AACCTTCGACAAGTGTTTACTCTTCTTCAAGAAGTGCCTCTTCATCGTCAAGTGTCTCTGTTCCAACTACTGTGATTTCTTCATTGTCATCGAGTAAAACATCAATTTATTCATCTCCAAGTTCGTCGGCGTCATCTTCTCAAACTCTTCGACCAACTACTTCCATCTATACGACATCAAAAGCTTCCAGCTCTCAAGTATCAAGTAGTTCCGTGCAACCTTCGACAAGTGTTTACTCTTCTTCAAGAAGTGCCTCTTCATCGTCAAGTGTCTCTGTTCCAACTACTGTGATTTCTTCATTGTCATCGAGTAAAACATCAATTTATTCATCATCAAGTTCGTCGGCGTCATCTTCTCAAACTCTTCGACCAACTACTTCCATCTATACGACATCAAAGCTCCCAGCTCTCAATTATCAAGTAGTTCCGTGCAACCTTCGACAAGTGTTTACTCTTCTTCAAGAAGTGCCTCTTCATCGTCAAGTGTCTCTATTCCAACTACTGTGATTTCTTCATTGTCATCGATTAAAACATCAATTTATTCATCTCAAGTTCGTCGGCGTCATCTTCTCAAACTCTTCGACCAACTACTTCCATCTATACGACATCAAAGCTTCCAGCTCTCAAGTATCAAGTAGTTCCGTGCAACCTTCGACAAGTGTTTACTCTTCTTCAAGAAGTGCTTCTTCATCGTCAAGTGTCTCTGTTCCAACTACTGTGATTTCTTCATTGTCATCGAGTAAAACATCAATTTATTCATCTCCAAGTTCGTCGGCGTCATCTTCTCAAACTCTTCGACCAACTACTTCCATCTATACGACATCAAAAGCTTCCAGCTCTCAAGTATCAAGTAGTTCCGTGCAACCTTCGACAAGTGTTTACTCTTCTTCAAGAAGTGCCTCTTCATCGTCAAGTGTCTCTGTTCCAACTACTGTGATTTCTTCATTGTCATCGAGTAAAACATCAATTTATTCATCATCAAGTTCGTCGGCGTCATCTTCTCAAACTCTTCGACCAACTACTTCCATCTATACGACATCAAAGCTTCCAGCTCTCAAGTATCAAGTAGTTCCGTGCAACCTTCGACAAGTGTTTACTCTCTTCAAGAAGTGCCTCTTCATCGTCAAGTGTCTCTGTTCCAACTACTGTGATTTCTTCATTGTCATCGAGTAAAACATCAATTTATTCATCCAAGTTCGTCGGCGTCATCTTCTCAAACTCTTCGACCAACTACTTCCATCTATACGACATCAAAAGCTCCCAGCTCTCAAGTATCAAGTAGTTCCGTGCAACCTTCGACAAGTGTTTACTCCTCTTCAAGAAGTGCCTCTTCATCGTCAAGTGTCTCTGTTCCAACTACTGTGATTTCTTCATTGTCATCGAGTAAAACATCAATTTATTCATCTCAAGTTCGTCGGCGTCATCTTCTCAAACTCTTCGACCAACTACTTCCATCTATACGACATCAAAAGCTTCCAGCTCTCAAGTATCAAGTAGTTCCGTGCAACCTTCGACAAGTGTTTACTCTTCTTCAAGAAGTTCTTCTTCATCGTCAAGTGTCTCTATTCCAACTACTGTGATTTCTTCATTGTCATCGAGTAAAACATCAATTTATTCATCTCCAAGTTCGTCGGCGTCATCTTCTCAAACTCTTCGACCAACTACTTCCATCTATACGACATCAAAAGCTTCCAGCTCTCAAGTATCAAGTAGTTCCGTGCAACCTTCGACAAGTGTTTACTCTTCTTCAAGAAGTGCTCTTCATCGTCAAGTGTCTCTGTTCCAACTACTGTGATTTCTTCATTGTCATCGAGTAAAACATCAATTTATTCATCTCCAAGTTCGTCGGCGTCATCTTCTCAAACTCTTCGACCAACTACTTCCATCTATACGACATCAAAAGCTTCCAGCTCTCAAGTATCAAGTAGTTCCGTGCAACCTTCGACAAGTGTTTACTCTTCTTCAAGTGCCTCTTCATCGTCAAGTGTCTCTGTTCCAACTACTGTGATTTCTTCATTGTCATCGAGTAAAACATCAATTTATTCATCATCAAGTTCGTCGGCGTCATCTTCTCAAACTCTTCGACCAACTACTTCCATCTATACGACATCAAAGCTCCCAGCTCTCAAGTATCAAGTAGTTCCGTGCAACCTTCGACAAGTGTTTACTCTTCTTCAAGAAGTGCCTCTTCATCGTCAAGTGTCTCTGTTCCAACTACTGTGATTTCTTCATTGTCATCGAGTAAAACATCAATTTATTCATCTCCAAGTTCGTCGGCGTCATCTTCTCAAACTCTTCGACCAACTACTTCCATCTATACGACATCAAAAGCTTCCAGCTCTCAAGTATCAAGTAGTTCCGTGCAACCTTCGACAAGTGTTTACTCTTCAAGAAGTGCTTCTTCATCGTCAAGTGTCTCTGTTCCAACTACTGTGATTTCTTCATTGTCATCGAGTAAAACATCAATTTATTCATCAAGTTCGTCGGCGTCATCTTCTCAAACTCTTCGACCAACTACTTCCATCTATACGACATCAAAGCTTCCAGCTCTCAAGTATCAAGTAGTTCCGTGCAACCTTCGACAAGTGTTTACTCTCTTCAAGAAGTGCCTCTTCATCGTCAAGTGTCTCTGTTCCAACTACTGTGATTTCTTCATTGTCATCGAGTAAAACATCAATTTATTCATCATCAAGTTCGTCGGCGTCATCTTCTCAAACTCTTCGACCAACTACTTCCATCTATACGACATCAAAGCTTCCAGCTCTCAAGTATCAAGTAGTTCCGTGCAACCTTCGACAAGTGTTTACTCTTCTTCAAGAAGTTCTTCATCGTCAAGTGTCTCTGTTCCAACTACTGTGATTTCTTCATTGTCATCGAGTAAAACATCAATTTATTCATCTCCAAGTTCGTCGGCGTCATCTTCTCAAACTCTTCGACCAACTACTTCCATCTATACGACATCAAAAGCTTCCAGCTCTCAAGTATCAAGTAGTTCCGTGCAACCTTCGACAAGTGTTTACTCTTCTTCAAGAAGTGCCTCCTCATCGTCAAGTGTCTCTATTCCAACTACTGTGATTTCTTCATTGTCATCGAGTAAAACATCAATTTATTCATCTCCAAGTTCGTCGGCGTCATCTTCTCAAACTCTTCGACCAACTACTTCCATCTATACGACATCAAAAGCTTCCAGCTCTCAAGTATCAAGTAGTTCCGTGCAACCTTCGACAAGTGTTTACTCCTCTTCAAGAAGTGCCTCTTCATCGTCAAGTGTCTCTGTTCCAACTACTGTGATTTCTTCATTGTCATCGAGTAAAACATCAATTTATTCATCAGCAAGTTCGTCGGCGTCATCTTCTCAAACTCTTCAACCAACTACTTCCATCTATACGACATCAAAAGCTCCCAGCTCTCAAGTATCAAGTAGTTCCGTGCAACCTTCGACAAGTGTTTACTCTTCTTCAAGAAGTGCTTCTTCATCGTCAAGTGTCTCTGTTCCAACTACTGTGATTTCTTCATTGTCATCGAGTAAAACATCAATTTATTCATCTCAAGTTCGTCGGCGTCATCTTCTCAAACTCTTCAACCAACTACTTCCATCTATACGACATCAAAGCTCCCAGCTCTCAAGTATCAAGTAGTTCCGTGCAACCTTCGACAAGTGTTTACTCTTCTTCAAGAAGTTCTTCTTCATCGTCAAGTGTCTCTATTCCAACTACTGTGATTTCTTCATTGTCATCGAGTAAAACATCAATTTATTCATCTCCAAGTTCGTCGGCGTCATCTTCTCAAACTCTTAGACCAACTACTTCCATCTATACGACATCGAAAGCTTCCAGCTCTCAAGTATCAAGTAGTTCCGTGCAACCTTCGACAAGTGTTTACTCTTCTTCAAGAAGTTCTTCTTCATCGTCAAGTGTCTCTATTCCAACTACTGTGATTTCTTCATTGTCATCGAGTAAAACATCAATTTATTCATCTCCAAGTTCGTCGGCGTCATCTTCTCAAACTCTTCGACCAACTACTTCCATCTATACGACATCAAAAGCTTCCAGCTCTCAAGTATCAAGTAGTTCCGTGCAACCTTCGACAAGTGTTTACTCTTCCTCAAGAAGTGCTTCTTCATCGTCAAGTGTCTCTGTTCCAACTACTGTGATTTCTTCATTGTCATCGAGTAAAACATCAATTTATTCATCATCAAGTTCGTCGGCGTCATCTTCTCAAACTCTTCGACCAACTACTTCCATCTATACGACATCGAAAGCTTCCAGCTCTCAAGTATCAAGTAGTTCCGTGCAACCTTCGACAAGTGTTTACTCTTCTTCAAGAAGTTCTTCTTCATCGTCAAGTGTCTCTGTTCCAACTACTGTGATTTCTTCATTGTCATCGAGTAAAACATCAATTTATTCATCTCCAAGTTCGTCGGCGTCATCTTCTCAAACTCTTCGACCAACTACTTCCATCTATACGACATCAAAAGCTTCCAGCTCTCAAGTATCAAGTAGTTCCGTGCAACCTTCGACAAGTGTTTACTCCTCTTCAAGAAGTGCCTCTTCATCGTCAAGTGTCTCTGTTCCAACTACTGTGATTTCTTCATTGTCATCGAGTAAAACATCAATTTATTCATCATCAAGTTCGTCGGCGTCATCTTCTCAAACTCTTCGACCAACTACTTCCATCTATACGACATCAAAAGCTCCCAGCTCTCAAGTATCAAGTAGTTCCGTGCAACCTTCGACAAGTGTTTACTCTTCTTCAAGAAGTCTTCATCGTCAAGTGTCTCTGTTCCAACTACTGTGATTTCTTCATTGTCATCGAGTAAAACATCAATTTATTCATCTCAAGTTCGTCGGCGTCATCTTCTCAAACTCTTCGACCAACTACTTCCATCTATACGACATCAAAGCTTCCAGCTCTCAAGTATCAAGTAGTTCCGTGCAACCTTCGACAAGTGTTTACTCTCTTCAAGAAGTGCCTCTTCATCGTCAAGTGTCTCTATTCCAACTACTGTGATTTCTTCATTGTCATCGAGTAAAACATCAATTTATTCATCAGCAAGTTCGTCGGCGTCATCTTCTCAAACTCTTCAACCAACTACTTCCATCTATACGACATCAAAAGCTCCCAGCTCTCAAGTATCAAGTAGTTCCGTGCAACCTTCGACAAGTGTTTACTCCTCTTCAAGAAGTGCCTCTTCATCGTCAAGTGTCTCTGTTCCAACTACTGTGATTTCTTCATTGTCATCGAGTAAAACATCAAGTTATTCATCATCAAGTTCGTCGGCGTCATCTTCTCAAATTCTTCGACCAAGTACTTCCATCTATACGACATCAAAAGCTCCCAGCTCTCAAGTATCAAGTATTTCCGTGCAACCTTCGACAAGTGTTTACATGTCTTCACATTCCACGATTATTACGTCTGCTATTGTTTCAACAGGACTAGGTAGTCAATCGTCCAGTTCTATTATTTTGTCATCTATTATTCCTACATCAAGTCAGCTTTCTAGCAGTGTACCAGGTAACATTTTTTAGTGTTTTTTTTATTTTTTTAGTTGTTGACTTTTGTCTGTAGTTATATACATACTTATTGTCAATTTTTGTATGTTAGTATCGACCAGCATTTGTCCCAGCTGTTTTCACAACGGACATTATTATCCAGTAAGTGTGTATTGCTTTATTATTATATAATAATGATCGAGTAGAGAAATAGTGACAATTTTATTTGAACTTTTAGGAAAACAGTACTTGGTCAAATGGACCTTGCGTCACAATGCACTGCAGAAAAGTGCCAAATTCTTGTTTCCCTCTGAATGTAAGCGTTCAAATTGAACAGAAGATTGAAACATGCGAGCCTTGCAAACAGGTACATTTTTGTTTTTTGTTTATCTCATTTATGTACCCTATAAGTTCGCAAACTCCTTTCTTGATTTTGATCAAACTTTTTTTGTTTTTAGTGATAAACGAAAATGTTACTAATTTGATTTGAATTTACTTTTTAAGGGCTACTTCAGGCCAAACTCTAGCAAAGTCTGCTGTCCAACATGCGGTGAGAGTCAAATTTTATGTTGATAAATACACAATTATGACGTGTATAACCAGCTTTTGCTAACATGGGTTTATTTTTATGGTATGGCCGAGACATGATGTTTGCAAATTGTTTTTAATAGTGGCTAAACCTGGTGTTGTTCCAAATGTGGAATCATGTCAAGCGATGGATGTGGAAGACTATGTTAAATTTAATAATTGCACTTCTAGACAAAAAATAAAAATGAAGAAATGTTCAGGCTTATGCGAATCATCGTACGATCCTTTCACTGATACTTCCCTTTGTACTTGCTGTCGTCCGAAAGTTTACCTTCATAAACGGTTTACACTGGACTGTCCTGACCAAAGTCGAATATTTAAAGTGTTAAAAGTAATCGAATCATGTGAATGCCAGACAAAATGATAGCATTTTTAGCTGACAATGACTTAGAGATACGGATTATGTAATTAGAGTATCTGTAGTAGATAAATAATAAATGGTTAGAAAATCAAAATAGTCATAGTTTTTATCACTAAAGACCGTTGAAATTGAAACATGTCCTGGAAAAAAGTTGCAGTCTCAGGATTTTGATTTCAAACATTTTAAAAGCCATAAAGCTGCTCTGGAAACTTGAGATTTTACACAACGCAACTTTTGATTACAAATTTTGTAGTATATCTTTCGTTAAAATACACGAGCTTGAAAAAGTCCTACACACGACAATAGGTTGCTTCGTAGCACTCCATGTTCCCTTTGGGGCCATCGATCGTGTGTTCCCTTCGAGGATCGCCATTTGTTCGGAAATATTCGACTTTTATCGGAAGCGATTCTCGTGACCGCGTGAAGAGTTCAAGTGCTCACGAAACTTTTAGCTGAAACGAATGGCTTGGTGGTAAACGTTGCTTGTAAGAAATATACAGCTGTTCAGACTCAGTTATCGCTAAAAATGGACACAAATAGGTAAACTAATATTCACTCATAATAAATCTTTGTCGAAAATATTCTGAAAACAAATTTCTTTTTGAAAAAATTTGCTTGAAAATTGCGTTTTATTTTGTCCAGCAACGCAGACGCAGGCCACGCCACACAACGACGAATGTTTAGAAAAACTCACTATTCTTATTAAAAAACGTTCTGGTTAAAAATATAAACCAGCAATTTATGATTAATCGCGTTGAACTATAAGCAACAAATTATATTTTGCATACAAATTAACTGAATTTATTAAATGGTTTGATAAATGACAAGAAGGTGAAACTTGCTTCTAGACCATGTGTTTGTTGTGTTAAGTAACATGCTTTTGCAGCCATGGTTTGATTCAATTACATTCAAGTATTATTATTCAAAATTGGAAAATTTTTGTGAATAAAATTCACATGACAAATGAATTACAGTAGTGGTCAGAACTTACAACAATAATTATGTCAAATTTGAGAGATTATCAAATAATAGCTGCACCATTTGGCTACTGGTTTTATCAGACTCAAGGACTGTGTAACATATTTTTGTTAGGGGGGCTATCGACTGGCAAATTTGGCAGCAGTTAGTGGTGCAGGAAGAAATTTCAAAATTAATATAATGGCAAAAATCTTGCACAAGGGAGGGGGGGTTGTGCAGTATATGCTACATGCACTGTTAACAAATTATGAAGATTTATTTTGATATTGTTAGCAATGCTTGTTCTCCTACTGAAATCACGGAAATATCTGTTGGAAATCGAAAAACTCTTGACATGCAGACAATTGCACAAAAACGAAAGTCTGAGGATGGCCTCATCAATGGAAATAATGTAAGCAGAGATTGTTATGATTTATTACTTACATATGTCGGTCGCTCTAGCACTTAAAAGCAATGTGGGGAAAGGCTGGAAACAATAAATTATACTTAAAAAACTATAAATCTCACTGATATAGGAAATGCTGTGTTAAACAGACTATTTATTAAAGGAGTATAAACTTGCAATGATGAATGAGAAACAAATCTAAGGAAGCAACATTCACTGGGAAACACTAGATTGGTATAAATTTATACTAAAAACCAAGTTAAAAACAAATAAGGATGGAAAACTGTTTGTCATCTTCCACAATTGAAGGCAACAACATTTTAAATCCCCAATATGCTAATATCAATCAAATTATTTCACGCCCCCAAAGACTCAGCTGCTAATGGTTGATGACTTCCACATATACATGACATTTTAATGATTTTACTCTACCAAACTAGGAAGTTGCTTTTTCTGCATTTCCAGACTTAGGACAAAAAGTTTGCCTTTATGAGCATCTCTATACATAGCTACTATTACAAAGTTCAAAAAGAACATTTCTTCAGACTTCAATTACAGTGAAAGCCAAAATTTAAGAATTGTCTGCAAAAATGTTTTTGTAAAAATGGCAATAATTCCTATATTTATGCAAACACACTAACATTTGAATCTATAAATTTCATTAAAAATTTCATCTGATACAATCCAAACAATAGCCATTAATGCTAACATTTTCAATCTGAGACAATTTATAAAGTTTTAATTTTACATTAAAGTTGTTCAACAAAGGTACGTTCTTCAACCTTTTGTAGTTGAAGAAGTGTTGCAGTTTTTTCCAATTCATTTCATAAATCATCTTTAAAAGTTTAGCAACATTATTAAGGACCAGTGTAATTTGTTAACAATGGTGACTATAACTGCTTGTGGTATTCCAAATGTGGCTTGACTAATGAATTATGTATCTGTTGAAGCACACTCTTCAAGACACTGTGTTACACGAAACACCCAAACAAATATCCTATTTACTTTCCCAATTTCCTTCTCAACATGCCTTGACAAAATGCAATGTTGTTAAATCAAACCATTATAAATGAATTCACAAGTTTCGTAATGCTTTAACTGCTGCAGTAATGAAAATCACCATATGTATGTACAAATATTTAGTTTATCTCCTCCTGTAGCTGTTATGCTTTTATAAAGAGTGTCATATAACATTATTTAGCAACCTAAAATATAACTTTATGTAGGTCTGAATTGCTGAAGTCTTTATTAAATTGTAAAAACTCAAGAAACCAATGACAGTCTTTACTATAGCATATACATTTGTTCCCCCAAACAACCCTAAATACAATGCACAAAGAAAAAAAGTCAGATTGTTTGGATTACTTATTCATGAATAGGGAAGATCTTTAATTTAAATTTATTTCCATTTATGAGTCTTCGGGTTTTTTTCCTGCTGTCTATAATGGAATATTTCATTTCTTTACAGCCAAAGTCTTTAAAGCCAGACATTCTATTGCTTGATGTTTACACGCAAACTGACAGTATCACAACTGATGTGACAATGGTATGTAGAACTGGCAAATCTAGTCCGAACTTTTACTCATTGTATGTGAAATTGTTTGAAAATTTCACATTTATTTCTCTAGATTCAGTTTCATTAATTGTTTTTCCAGTGATTAAACAAAAAATAGTTGCAAGGGTAAAAAGGGATGGTTTTGTTACTGGTATGTAGCCAGGTGCAGTTAGTGTAGCCAGGTGCTGTTGGGTGTAGCCAAGTGCAGTTGGGTGTAGCCAGGTGATGTTGAGTGTAGCCAGGTGCTGTTGGGTGTAGCCAAGTGCAGTTGAGTGTAGCCAAGTGCAGTTGAGTGCAGCCAAATGCATTTGGGTGCAGCCAGGTGCTGTTGGGGTTAGCGAGTAGTCAAATGAATTAAAGAACAAACTGCATTGAATAACAAAGGAGGCAAAAGTAAAACACAAATTATTTTATGCAGCACACTAACAATTTTCAATTGTGATCGAAGATCTGAATTCATCATGAATTACTTCATCGTATTCGTTAAAAAAACGTCGTAACGAAATGTCGAAACTTTTTTCTACCAATTTTCACATTATTCTTTTTGCCTTTTTTCTCTTTCGTCTAGATCACTATATTTGACTTGGTTAAAACAAATGCTGAGCGTCTGAACAGGGTGGAAGATCTCATGACTAAACTGTGCGATATGATTGGTGCATTTGCAGAAACGACCTCGCCCCAGATCACTGCTTCACAAGAGAAGGTAACGCTGATGTCATCACTCCGTTGGCAACCCTATTTTCTTTCATGACTTTTCATGAGTCTGATAAATTTCACTATGTTCCTCATTGTCAAATTAGAAATGTAGTTATGAATGTATAAATATAATTTCCTTTTAAAGCTGATGGTATCATGGCAGACCATGGGAACATCAAGGAAATGTATAGTTTTCTCAGTGATAAATCGCATGAGAGCAGTTAGTTTTCGAAGGGTGAAATCTGTTAATGACTTGAAAATCAGAAGTTTCTGGGTATAATTATGGAAAATAGAGTATAAGTTTGGTTTTATGCGACAAAAAGTCATAACAGTAAAATAATTCTGAATTTACATTGCCTGTCAAGATGGGAAAGAGTATGGTTTGGAGTTAGGGGAACACGAGTTCAAATTGCGAATATTAAGCTTAAGTTTTTGTAATGACAATGAAGATTGTCTGTCCATTGGAACATATTTGTTACACTGCACCGTGTGCTGTACAAATTGTGTTAAAAAGCTCTTTGAATTGAAGAAAGTTACTATGTCTTATTATATTTAATGTATTACCCCTTTTTATTATGGTAATTGTATGCTCTATGTAATTTTTTAAATTACAAGTCACAGAATCTCAGCGTAAAAGAACGTGATACCTACCTGACCTACATATAACTTTTTTTCAACATCTTTTGTATTGTTTGACTGAAAAGTTCATATTGCTGCCTTGATTTTTATAGAAATGCAACGAGTCTTGTCCAACAAGTATCCTGTCACAAACAAGCGGAGATAATCAAAGATTCTCAACCACCAGTGGTAAAGCAACCTCCACAGATTTTATCACTCAGGCACCGCAGCAATGTCTATCAAGTAGTTGGGATGATATAAATTTTACTTGTGAAAATACACCTATTGCTAACACTGTAAGGGAAGATAAATCGCCCGAGCCGACATCATCCAAAATGAACTTAAATAATGGAAATTCCACTCGAGGTAAGACAAGTGAATAAATCTCCTTTTTCAAAAAGAGCATTTACACTCAATAAGCCTCCTACCATTTTTATACCTTAAAATTTATACGGGTAAAATAGGTTTATTGACTAAAGAGTTAATAAGTTTTCTCCGTCGTGTCTTCCAGATAATTTGGCAAGTTTAGGTTGTTGGCTTGGTAACCCTAACGATGCAAACTGTCGAGCGTGGTTTTCTGGTGATCCGAATATAATTGCTAATTGTGAAGCATATGGTACGAATCCTGTAAAACTGGCACTTGGTATGACTGAAGCGTTATTTACCAGAGAAGAAATGGCCGCCTCTAACGTACGGGGAACAAGAGGAAAGGAATCGCTAGATCCCAATAAAATCAACTCAATTAGAGGTTCGTTTTAAAATTATAAATTTTTGTATTTGCCAAATCAAGCTTCGTCGTCTATTGTGTTTCTAAGTTTATTTGTAATACGATATTATGCTGAAATGACAGAAATCTTCTGTTGTTAAATCCTTACTTTCTTCTAGTTTAATATCTTTATACAAGGAGTTGTATGAAATGCAGTAACAAAAATACCTACTAAGTTTTCTACAATATATAATTGTCTGTAATCGTTGAAAATTGGCAATTCTAGTTCACGTTGATTACAAATTTCCACTCGAAAAAGATCGAATGGAGGTTCGTTGGCAGTTAATCAAACCAAAAATCGACTCGAAATGTCGACAACAGCGACGACAACAGCACGAACATAAATGGAAAATTGTGAAGATGCTTAACTCAAAATCCTCTCCAAAGACGCATGCAAATGTTGGTAGACCGAAAAAAATCGCTTTGGGTGATGAGGAACGTGAAATTCTTCTTTATGGATCCACGAAAAAGGTTTTGAACGTATATACAAGTGAGACAAACGTTGAAACAAACGCATTAGCTAACTCTCATGATTACTTAAACGAGAACGAAAACGAGGACAAAGAAGGTTTAAAAATAGCTAACACTAGCAAATTTAGTTAACATTTCTTTCCATAGGATTGGCTAGTGATGTTATGTATTAGTGAGTACATAATTATCACTATCTACATCACATTCTTATTCCTTATGTTCATGCTTGGAAGTTCAAGTGACAGTTTTAATATTTAGTTTACATGAAGTACTGCAACACGTTGTTGGTGATAATGATGTTAACTTTGCATTTAATGTTTGTTTTGTATCATAATAAATGCTCTAAGTTATCTGCCACTTACGTTAAAATCGAGAAAGTTGACAATTAATGCGAAATGTTTTATGACGCTGATAAAATTGACGTTTTTATAGTTATTTTCAAGTTTTTTAACGTGTTCCTTTGTGGTTTACATGCTGGAGAATGTTTATTCCTAAGCAGAGCATCTTTTAAGTGTTGGCTTTCTCTCGTTAATTATGTGGATGAACCTTCGCTGAGAGTGTTTCGTCTTTCTGGGTTAACGTCAAACCTTAATTTGGTGAGTGTTTTTCTAATTCTTAAGCATATGTGTATATGAACTTTATGTTTAAGTTTTTTTGATGCTTTATAGCAGAGTGACATTTAATACCAAGTATCACTTTCATCATCAACCAACTGCTTAGTAACAGGGCGGATAGAACTTTTCTCTGATAGTTAGAGAGAGACTGTGCTACCAATTAGGGTAAACTAAAAATGTTAGTTGATGCTATTTTTTCATTATATTTTTACAGTATCGTCTCAATTTGCTTGCAATATTTGCTGCCATTGGTGTTTTTGTATTGGAAATACGTGATAAACAGTATTGGCTAAGTGGAATAATGGGATTGATTTTTGTACTTCTTTACACAAAGTTTTATCTGGCTCCACTTATTCTCAAACATGTTATGGATCCTGATTTCAACAAAAGTGAGTTCACCCATATTTATATGTATATGCCAGATTACTGTACTTGCTAAAGAATTCTGCAGATAGTAACAAAATATATTATGACAAATTACAACTAATATTACAACTTTATTTGCAACCTTCAAAAGTGCTTTGTATATCTTTTTGCACATGCTTGGGAACATTTAAGATGATACTTGCAAATGGTTGTTTGTACCTAACTTTTAATGAAATTGTTTAAATTTAGGTGACAACTATACAAAATCAATTTTAGTGAAAATTCAGCATCGACATCATGGTAGGACAGCATTATCAAGTGTGACATTTATTTGGTTTATTTATAGTCTGTATGTTTCCTGACATTTTGTGTAATACTATTGAAGTGGTACTATTTCTACCAATGTATTCTGACCTATTATTCGGAACAAGCCCATCCATACCAACCCAAGATGTACATTTGTAAAGTTATATCTAACAATTTGGCATGTCATCTTTTAATGTAAATTTTAACGAAAGTATTTGCAATCTTGCAAATACTTTTCTGAGTGACCTTTTCTGTTTATTTGAATAGTCTTGATTTAAGATTTTTGAAGTCAGTTCTTTCCGTCTGAGTGTTTAACTTTAGGATTTTGCTCAAAATTCCTAAGTAAAATTTTTTCATCTTCAAATAGTCAAGTTTTCAAGATGAGTTTTGATCAATTCAATTTTAAGATCAGGTCAACTTTATAATAGGAACTTTTAAAAGATCTGTATTATGTTATAAGCATGAGCATGGACCCATTAATTTTTTTGTTTATACTTAAGCTTGTTTGTGCAAGTGCTTTATTGCCCAACTTTTTAAACATGTGTAAAAGTTTACTACTGTAAGAAATCATTCTTCAATTCCATCTCTTGTATTTACATATTTTTTTTAATGATGTAGCTTACACAAATTAATTTACAAATTGCAATTTAAGATGTTTAATAAATAATAATCACCCTAAAGTCATAAAATCCACTTTGTCATCGCAAATAAAATAAGCTAATCAATAGCAATAAGTACATAATAATTATGGTGATTGGCAACAGAAATCTTATCAAATTTCTGTCTTAATACGTTTGCTTGGAGGTGTTGAGTAATCCTCAGTGCTTTTCTCAGCATCAACATTATCAATATTTACATATGCGTCTAGGCTACTGGTGTCAGATTCTTTGATGTCTAAGAGAGGGTCACTGGGCAGTGGTGATGTGCTAAGCAAGTTATCTGTAGTTGTAATCAATTGTGTTGCAGCATCTGTGTTGAACAAACCACTGTTACGTTGCTTCTCCATGTCATGGACTGCAAATGAAAGACATTGTTTGAAACTAAAACCATAATACATTGTCTTATATTCAAAAAAAAAATAAATACTTTGCTGATCCAAAATAACATTTTGTTGTTTGAGGTCTTCGATATCCGACTACATGAGGAAAAATGGCAACTGAATTTTACTGTGTCTAAATAACCATCATCAACTAAACACAATTTATGTTTGAAGGAAATCTGCTAATGTATATGCTCAGTTACCTGATGTGAATGGTTTTTCCGTCGCATGAAATTGATATAATCGGTTGCTTTATTGAGAATTTGAGCCCTGGAAGCCTGAATAATAATGAAGGTCAGAAGGTAAGGTCAGTTAGCATTTGAAATTTGACAATTGAAATTTGTGCATTGCGAAATGGAAATGAAATTCACGGTACGTTGTTTTTTAATTAAACTTTTGTTATTATTATCATATGACATATCTATGGAGACAGAGTTTATTGAATTATATTCAGAATTGCATGTGTACCTGTTAATATATAACGAATATATTTATGATAACAAGTGTATTGAAAAGAAGTTAAAATGTACAAAACTTAGAAATACACTTGTATATTACTTAGCTTTTAAAATCAAAACAATGTTACTTGTGCCGGCATTCAAACAATAACGCTTGACTGAGCGAGAATGTGAATCTCGCATCTTTGTAATAATAATCAGTTATGAAAAATTAAATAAGACACCGTACTGCATTAGATACGGCATCTCTCTATTCCTTTTATTTTCAGTCGTGCAAATGTACAAACTTTGTACTCTCTAGGTTAATTTCACCAACTATTTACTTAATACACTTTCTACGAATAGAACAATGGTAGCTATATTACGTGTATGATTCCTAAATTTCAACTAAGCATTTTTGCTTTCGTTTTACGACAAATTGAAATTCATGTTGTACGAGAACATAAAATAATTCTTTCAGAATGTAAAACCAACATAATTCGTACGATATCAAGAGAAATAGTGAGATTTGCTTTAAGACGTTTTGCTAACGTTTAATACTTCAGTTGACAGTAACCGGAATTAGTTGTTCGATCATTTAACGAAGCGTTGAAAGAAAGTGGATTGGCGGTATGGAATTCAACACAAAGTTTCCTCAAGACCAGGCGATCTAAAAACCTGAAGCAGGTCACACAGTTGAAAGCGGAAGTGTAAAATACCACTTTGCCTACCTTCTCGCCATGAAGCGATGGCACCGAATCTCTCAGATGGCAAAAGCTGTCCTTTATATGATCACGTCTTTTTCTTTCCAACGCATTGTGATGTGCACGTTTGTCGGCCTAAAATTCATAACATAGCAGCGTATGATATTTCAAAACGCTCATGTAATCTGCATCTTTCGGTATAAGGTTATTGTACTGTGCACAGGTGTAAGAGGTCGATACACAAGAACTTAGACGATTGATTTGAGAAAAAATATATAAGATTTGGGTATCAACAGTAGTTCTTTCCTGAGTACAGAAGGTAAACGTTTAATGTATTGAGATGAAATGAAATTGACACTAAATTGACAAGTTCTAGTGAACAATATTTCCCGACACGTGTCATGTTGTTCACATGTGTTTTAGTACAAACTAAAACCGTTCAAACTCGCCTGTGTCAAAAATTGCGTTGGCTGTTGCTCTTCTGTTGCTTCCTGTAACAAAATTATGACATTATAACATGCAAACGTTTCACAAGATTACCATACAAACTTAGCAATGACCTCGTCGGATTCCACATCTATGTTTTCTTCGTCCGACATGATCTCAACGTTTCGTGTAAACAAAACTAAAACATCCTGAAACCTCGTGTTGCGTTTGAACACGTGCTCAACATAGGCAGTCATAACCAATCAGCGCGTTAGCAAGTAGTACACGTGATACATAGACACTCAATCAACCTTGACCTATTTGTGATGATTTTGATAAAGAATATTCATCTTCTATTCTTTTACTTCGTAATTTATTTAATTGTTAATTTAATGAGAGAATTTTATCGTCAATAAAATTCTAGATCAATAAAATTCTCTCATCAAATTATTATATTACATTTAACTATGGCAATTCATATTATTGCAGTAATCTGAGCTCCAATGTTCATAATAAGTATAGAGTACGGAAAAAGCTTTTCTATAATTTGTGGGTGATTCCCACATGAATAAATTAGAAGCACCTTTTGACTTGCCTTCTAATTTATATGCGGATCGAACAAGTGGAATAAAGGTGGCCGGGTGAGAGAAAAAGAACAACTCTCCTAGAATTGCGGTTTCGGATGAGGTAAATTTTTGTTCATACTAGAAATAACCACCACACGACATGCTCTGTCTTCCGCCTAACCTTACTTACAATCATTGATTTCCCAAACTCTTCACTGAGAGAAGAAAAGAAAATTTCTTTTGTTTTCTCCAAACCTCTGGAGAAAAGGCTTTGCTTCCTTTTTCTAAACAGTGTCGTTAGTTAACTTAAAACCAGGCTTAATTCCTTTTGTCTTTGCTCTGCATATATTTTTATACAATCAATGAATTTAATCCTTTTTATCATGGTTTGAACAAAATTGACGTCAAAACAAATGAACTAATAAATTAATTCGTGTGATATATGAAAATTATCAGAATAAACGGTCTTTCAATTCGATTAACCTATTTGACAGAACTGTTCGTCTGCTGAAGGTGCTCTGTTGAAAGTCGAAGACAGTCTTTAAGAAATACAACTACTTGCTGCAAAATTCACCTTGAAACCAGATGATTTAAATATTTGAGCAGGTAAGAATAGCAAAAGATTAAGAGAAAAACGAAGGCTGTGATGCGGATAATACCACAAGAGCTCTTATCATTGGAAAGGACGAGCAATTGAAGATATGAAACATGACACGGATATTTTTGAAATATCTTAGTAAATTGTTGACCGTGTCATGTTTGAAAGCACCAGATTAAATACAGAAAAATCGTTGAAAACATAATTATATAAGTCTGCGATCGATGAATTAAAATGCATGACCGAATTGTGATGGAATTTGCGATACAGAATATTCAAAGCATCGTTAAGAATCCCATTTGTTCAAAGAAATGAACGATTCGTCGGTTTCTTGGTATTTCTATGGTTCAATCTTGGACCACAAAAATGCAGTCAATATCCAGTGAATATATTGAAGTGAGAACACGAAACTGCCAATAGTTTCCCACTATTCTCGACATCAATTATTGGACCTCAATCAATACATGCCCAGAAAATTTTGCAATATCACTCACATAAGTGTGATGATTTTGCATTTTGCCTATTTCTAACATCTGGCCAATGTTAGAAATGACAATTTCCATCTTTAGTTTTTGTGACCAAAGGATATAATAATGTAGATAACTTGTATACCTCCTGAGCAGGGTCGGATTATGTCATAATCGTAACTTGTTTTGTAGATGTTTCGTTTACATGAGGAGGATGCAGATGAAAAGACGAAGAGGATGCTGATGGAGGGACGAGGAGGATGCAGATAAAGAAACGAAGAGTTCAAATGAATTACCTCATATATATATATATATATATTGTAAAATATACAAGATATTGCAACATGTGGGCAGAATGTTGCAATATCTTTAAACTCGATGGTCTTTTATAAACCTTACTACCTTACCGTAATAATTAAACAACTTTTAGGATGAAGTCAGAAAGAGTCTAGTAGAAAATATATTGCATGAGACATTCTTTAATTATCTTGTTTTTATCTAGGCTTTTTTTAGTTATATCCATGTAATAAATCGTTTGACAATGTTACAGAACACTGCTTGTGTTATAACATTGAGGGATGTTACAACACAATGCACGGTTCAAACGATGAGTTTTCCTCGAGTGTAATAATCTTCAAAGTTTTGTTCACTTAACATACATGTTCAATCATGTACAGTTATGGATATCAAGGTTTTAATGATCTCCATAATCGCTTGCTATGATTTTAATTCAAAAATTGTTGTTAGAGTTATGTAGACATATTGGGCTTACTGACGGTGAAAGAACAAGAACCCTGACAGTGGTATGTTCTTATAACTTTTGTTTCCATCAAACAAATAACTTCTTCGTCAGTCTCTTTTGTTTAGATCAAGAAGAAAACAGAGGAGTATGTGATGTTTTGTCCTGTCATAATCTTTACTTGTTTTTTAGATGTTTTGTTTACACGAGGAGGATGCAGATGAAGAGATAAAGAGGATGGTGATGATGGGACAAGGAGGATGCTGATAAAAAGACGATGAGGATGGTGATGAAAAGACGATGAGGTTGGTGATGAAGAGACTACGAGGATGGTGATGAAGAGACTAGGAGGATGCTGATGAAGAGACTAGGAGGATGCTGATGAAAAGACGATGAAGATGCTGATGAAGATGGTGATGAAGAGACTAGGAGGATGCTGATGAAAAGACGATGAAGATGCTGATGAAGATGCTGATGAAGAGACTAGGAGGATGCTGATGAAAAGACGATTAAGATGCTGATGAAGATGCTGATGAAGATGCTAATGAAGAGACTAATGAAGAGACTAGGGGGATGGTGATGGAAAGACGAGGAGGATGGTGATGAAAAGACGATGAGGATGGTGATGAAAAGGCGATGAGGATGCTGATGAAGAGAAGAAGAGTTCAAATGAATTACCTCAAATTTATATTATAGAACATACAAGATAGTGCAACATGCGGGCAGAATGTTGCAAAATCTTTAAACTTGATGGTCTTTTATAAACCTTAGTATCTTACTGTAATAATTAAACAACCTTTAGGATGAAATCGAAAAAAGTCGAGTAGAGAATATATCGCATAGACATTCTTTAATTATCTTGTTTTTATCTAGGAATTCTTGAGTTAAATCGCATGTAATAATTCTTTTGACAATGTTACAGAACATTGCATGTGTTATAACATTGAGGGATGTTACAACACAATGCACGGTTCAAACGATAAGCTTTCCACGAGTGTTATAATCTTCAAAGTGTTGTTCACTTAACATACATGATCAATCATGTACAATCATGGATATCAATGTTTTAATGTGAAAGCACGATCTCCATAATCGCTTGCTATAATTTAATTCAAAAATTGTTGTTGCATTTATGTAGACACGTTGGGCTTACTGACAGTAAAAGAACAAGAACCCTGACAGTGGTATGTGCTTATAACTGTTTGTTTCCATCAAACAAATAACTTCTTCTTCAGTCTTTTTTTAGGTTCAAGGGATGATGATCAAGAAGAAGATAGAGGAGTATGTTCAGTTTTTTCATGTCATAATATTAACTTGTTTTGTAGATGTTTCGTTTAGATGAGGAGGATGCAGATGCAGAGACGTGGAGGATGCTGATGGAGGGACGAGGAGGATGCTGTTGGAGCAACGAGAAGGATGCTGTTGGTTCGACGAGGATGCTGATGAGCGACCAGGAGGATGCTGATGATGCTGATGAAGCGACCCGGAGGATGCTGATGGAGCGACCAGGAGGATGCTGATGGAGCGACCAGGAGGATGCTGATGGAGCGACCAGGAGGATGCTGATGGAGCGACCAGGTGGATGCTGATGGAGCGACCAGGAGGATGCTGATGGAGCGACCAGAAGGATGCTGATGGAGCGACCAGGAAGATGCTGATGGAGCGACCAGGAGGATGCTGATGGAGCGACCAGGAGGATGCTGATGGAGCGACCAGGAGGATGCTGATGGAGCGACCAGGAAGATGCTGATGGAGCGACGAGAAGCGCGCTCATGAAGAGACGAGGAGGATGCAGATGAAGAACAAGATGAAAAACAAGATGAGGTATAAATACTTGTTTTTATTTGTTCTACTGATTTGTAGCTTAGTGACTTCAGTCTTTTTTCAGGTTCAGATGTTTGTTTTTATTCTGCCACTAATTTGTTGTTTGGCTATCTTTTAGATAGATGTTAATCAAAGCATTATTTTCGATGTTTATTTTCGATTTTTCAGTGGCAGAAAACGATTTTTAAGAAATCTTGGATGTGGAAAGCAAATATGTTTTACGAACACAGATACGCTATTGTAATTGGCGTATTCTTTTACTAAGTTAGAGAGTTCCCTCGCTCTCCAACTTAGTAAACGAATTCTGTGGTAAGGTATTTCAAAATAGGCTCCTGCCACCTATTTTGGAATAGTGTTGTACAAATTTCCATTAAGTAATGATTTTATAATAATAATGTTGCTTTGAAAAGCATAAATGCCTTGATGAACAAAATTATTCATCGATAGTTTTGAAAGAATTGTCAATTTAAAACATGCATATGTATTTAAATTAATTAAATGTCACCATGCACGTATCAGCGTATGTTAATTGTGTTTTATTATGAAAATTTGTCATCACAACGTGTAAAAAATCGCTGTTATTTAATAATAAAGAAGCAATTTTAACAAATATTTGATGATGTTTGGGTTTGTTTTCATTCAACCGAAGCTGTGGAGTGTTTGCATTTACGTCATAGTGCCTATGCTCAAGAGAGCATAAATTTAGCAGAAATTGTTTTCACTATATGGGATTTTCCCCCTATATGGCGACTGATGAAAATACTCTAGAGGAAGAAATAATTGAATTGCTAAATGATTTTTGCATCAGCTGACAATACATTTGCGACTTTTCACAGTATTTTAAATGCATGAACATTTACATAAAAATTACATCTCGCAAGAAATATGAATTTTGATCATCAAATTATCTGACATGTCTCAGTAACTGAGGTCGCAGTATAGTAGCGGTAACCTCTTTCATGTTTCTGAGATTAGTTTACACCTCATTGTGTTCTACTCCGTTTCCACAGACCCTAAACAGAAACTTTCACCTGTAATTTAATGTATGACATAGTTAAGACGAAATTTAAGAGAACGGACTTCTCAAACAACTTCAAGCAAGATGTAATATGTGATTTTTTGCAAGTAAAAATGTTCGTACAATAACTTATGAAAAACTGTGACTTGTGATGGTTTGTTATTTCATGCAAAGACTCTTTTTTTATCAAAATCAACTTGAATATCGTAATTTTGCCCTCTATGGTTGCGAAACCTAAAATCATGGACGAGCAAGAACAATATGTTACGTTTTATTCTTTGTTTGCGAGCTACGTCATGGCCGCCTTGTTTGATGTTTTTAACAAAGGATGGATTTTCCTCATTTACAATACAAATTTCATCCAACATGGCGAGCATTTCTTTGTTATTTTACTCCCAGGGGATAGTTGCAACCCACGAATAACGTAAATTGTTATCAAGTTCTCTTTTTCTCATTTTCTGGCACATTTATCAAATGAGGAATTAAATATACATTGAATGACAGTTTCATTTGACTTATTAAAAACAAAAACATTTTAGCAGTGCGCGGGAATGCGCGGGAATTACGAATTACTAGAAAATAAATTATTAAATTTGAATAAATCATGTGACATTGGTGAAAAAAATTCAAATGAAATGGTTGCCACCATTGTCAAACTCACTCACTAACTTGCTTGTGGTTATCGTCGTCGAGCTGGTGGTTGTGAGTTACAAACCACAATATTCTCAGAAGTAATATCCCTTTCATGATTGAGTATACTTTGTGTTAAATTACAGATAAACAATGGATGAAACTAATCCAGAAGATATACCAGATACCAGAATGAGTTAGTACATTTAATAATTTTAAATTTTGAATTTCAACTAATTACCTTTTCTGCTGCTGTTACTCACGAGTTCTTGTTTATCAATTAAGTAGAGTGCTCTTGATATTTTGTTACAGTTTTTGTATATGTTTCTAAACTTGAAAAGTTCGTTAAACAACAAGGAGACGAAATTGTCTTGCTCAAGTCCGCATTAGCGGAAGCTTTGAGAAGAATACGAGTTTTAGAAGAGAAGACCCTCGTCTTGTTAGGTGTGTGAACATCATACTCTAATTATTTTTTATGTTTATACGTTTATGTATACATTTTTGTTCCATATGTTTAATAAAACATGTTGTAAAATGTGTTCTACTTATTATTGTTTTTTTTAAATTGGTGCAAATTCGTGTAAATTAAATAATTTAGTTTAAATTGAAGCTGTCATTTTTTCTCTTTGCTGAGGTTAATTTAGCTAAAGTTATTGCAGTGACTAATGTGTTTCTGCACAGCTATGAAAATTGCTTGCCAACACATTTCTTTTGTTTGACAATTTTGAAATTCTTGTACAGCTACTCCAAGATCTAAGAGGGTTATAACTACTCCCAGACTTAATGCTGGGTCAGCTTCTGGAGACAATGTAAGTACTTTACATACATACATTTCTTTGAATTCTTTTTTTGATTAACATCTAGTTTTTAACTTTTATGAGGACTATGTGTCTGAAAGTATATTGTTGCAACCAGCCTACTTTATTGTGATGAAAAATGTTTTTTAAGGTTGTTTAAGTAAATGGAATATTTTCTCGTTTATTTATGTCATGGTGAGAAATTTTTCAATTTTTGGTCATGTCAAATTCATATTTGTTTATTGGTATTTTAGACCTCTGGCACATCAACGAGACCCCGACAATCTTCATCTCAGTCATTGTCAAAGTAACATCTCTTTACGAAATTTCAGCAAGTTTTGTTTTATTAGCAAATGCTTTCAAATTATTTTTTATTTGCCTTTGTAAAAGGAAGCCCTTGTCAGCGAAAAGAAAAACTAGCCTCAGGTTTGAACTTCTTTGTTAAGTTTTCTTTTGGTAAAAGGTTCATCGTGGATATTTTTAAGCTCTTTTTATTCTTGGAAATAGTTGGAGCCCAACACAATTATAATGCCTCAGTCAAATATTATATTAAATACGTACATACATACTGGAATAATTCGATCATTATAAGCATGATGAGCTTCTACTTAAGTTTTAACATTTCTTTGTAATGTTTCTTGTATTTATTGTTTAGACCGAAACTTGTGAATATTATAATCAAACAATGCTAAGTAAAATGCTGGAAACATACCCAAAACTAGTTTGCAAGTTAGGTCATGCTAAGTAAATATTTCGATGTTCACTCACTGTAAAAACAATGGATTTCTAAAGAAATGAATAATGTTAATGATCTGAAATTTACATAGCATAAGACCAAACTTGTGTGCTGGCAATGCCACTGAACGTACTTCCCTCCCCCCCCCCTCCCTCTACCTAAAAAACATCTTTTGAAAAGCAGTAGCGTAGACTAAAGTGTTTGAAAATAATCTTAAATCATGTAGAGGTTACTGTAAAGACTTCAAAGTAGTTTTATAATTTGTATTTCTAGTGGCTTAGCAATTAAGGAAGAGCCTGAAGAAAGAGGTAACTATAGTTGTCATTTTTCATTACAAGGAATACTCAGTTGCATTTATATATGCTTTTGAAAAACCAGGCAAATGATTATATAAGATGTCAATGTACTCCAGGTTTCTATAAGTGAGTATTATAAACTCATCTCATTCCGCTTGGACCATTATTACACTTCTTGCATATTGTACTGCTTTTATCCCCTGTGCAGCTGTGCTCTGCCCATAGTTATATACATTTAGGGGTATCACATGTGTTATAACATTCTCTGAACTCTGCACTCCTTGTTATATTTTATTATAGATTCTGCTTTTGAAAAATTTCAACTCAGGGGTAGAACCATAAACTTTTATGCGTGGAATGGTTACAACGAATCATATTACACTGGTGAAGCTCCAAATGTGAAACTGCAGCTTGAATGGGTGTATCTTTTTTGTGTTACGTATGTTTACATACGTATTTTAAATGAGTAATACGTATCTTAAAATTACTGGATATGGAGAAAAAAACGATGAGTATTGAGTTGAATTGTTCTTGATTGAATTTCTGTTGTTGAGAATAGATCTAATTTTTAAGACTGTTGATTAAGTCCTTTTAAATTTTTTCATGCCATTATAAATTGAGAGGAAAAAAAAACCGCCAAAACAACTGGATTTTATGCTTTAACTTATGAATCAGACATGGTTATCGTGGAAAGGACAGTCGTAACAACTTGTACTTTCTACCATCTAATGAAGTAATGTACACCACGGCTGCAGTCGTTGTAATTTATGATTTTATTACAAAGTCTCAACGACATTATACTGAACATACAGACGATGTGAAATGGTAAGATATAGTGACGTTTACGTTGTGTTTCATTAAATCTAGGACAAACAATTGACATTGATTACTTTGTTATCGTTTGCATCATTCTTTATTGAGGCTGTATGAGACATTACGCCACTTTTTCTAAAAAAAAATAGATGAACTTATCAAGTCAACCCAATGATTTCTTGACGATCTTGTTTTAGCCTTGCTCTACATCCAAACAAAGACATTGCCGCTAGTGGTCAGGTTGCTGGTCATGCTAAAAAGGAGGGAAAGGTGAAACATTTTGCTTTATGTAACCATTGTGTTTCTGAAATCCTAAAGCTCTTTTTCATTTGCCAGCCTCACGTTCGAGTGTGGAGAATTGATTCCTTAGAAACGTTAAAAGTCGTTGGTTTAGGTTCGTTTCAAAGAGGATTGTCTTGCATTGCATTCTCTGTTGAGGTAAAGATAGTTCGCTTGCTTTCATTAAGTTCTCGTCAATTTTCCTGCTCTTTGAACATTGCGTTTAGTTCAAGCAATTGTTTCAACATTCATCTTTTAGGATAAAGGGGTTAATATTGTGTGTGTTGATGATGGAAATGATCATTGTATAACTGTTTGGGATTGGGAAAACAAAAAGAAAATATCTGAAGCAAAGGCAAGTATTGCTAAGACACTTTCTCGTGTCTAAGGTTTCAATTGCATTGTTAGAAGTTACCACTGAATCTCGGTTTTATATTATTACGTCACGTGTATTTTCTTTTTTGTGAAGGGTGGTAGCGAGCCTGTATTGGCCGTCGATTTTTACCCCAAGGACTCGAAGCGTCTGGTCACGTGTGGCAAGTCTCACATCGCATTTTGGAAACTAAATGGTGACAATAAATTGGAAAAGAGATTGGGTGTTTTTGAGGTGAGTTGATATGCCGAATTTAACACTTGTTATGTGTTATTTCGTAATTTTGCAATGAATCAACCATGTTTTTTTTCAACTCACAGGAAATCCATAATGGTGTGATTATGAAATCTTTTTCTTTCATATTCACTAGTTTGGTAAGATTTTCTTAAAAATTTACTTACATGGGAATTCTTCATTTTAGAGGCACTCCAAACCCAAGTACGTGTTATGTTTTGCTTTTGGTCAGAATAGTGAAGTAATTACTGGCGACTCTAATGGAAACATTTTCATTTGGTCAAGTGGTACGGTGAAGTGCGCAAATCTACTACTTTGACCAAGCTCTCGTAAAAAAGTTTTAATTTGTTAGTTTTTTGCATGTGTGAAGTTAACTGTAAGGGTATCTATACAACGTTTTGGTCAAGTGGTACGGTGAAGTGCGCAAATCTACTACTTTGACCAAGTTCTCGTAAAAAAGTTTTAATTTGTTAGTTTTTTGTATGTGTGAAGTTAACTGTAAGGGTATCTATATAACGTTTTGGTCAAGTGGTACGGTGAAGTGCGCAAATCTACTACTTTGACCAAGTTCTCGTAAAAAAGTTTTAATTTGTTAGTTTTTTGCATGTGTGAAGTTAACTGTAAGGGTATCTATATAACGTTAGGTTATTATTTTGGACAAACTGGAGCTGGCTACTTCAACTACAGTCAGTTGTAACTTTGTCGCATGTTTTCGCTACTTAAGTCAGAAAAATCAGCCAATAAAATGCAAGAACAAAAGCAAGGCTCGTAAAAATATGTTTTTTTGTAATCGCATTATATGTTTGCATGTTTTTGTACATATTTTTATTATTCTTGACATGTTTTCACTAAGTTTGTCCACAATTCTTTGTTTTTAGAGAAAAACCAAACCACTTACGAGATTATTGCTGCACACGAGGTATAAATTTGTTTATAGATTTATAGTCCGCCATGTAGATATAGGACCAACAAAGTCAATCGTTAACTGCCAATTAATTATGTTGGATGAAAAGTGTCTTTTGACATTTTTTTCTGCATGACTGTTTAGGGGGGGGGGTGCAGAAGGGGAAATTTCCACCAGGCTCCTGACTTAAGTGGTCGAATGACTAAAGAAAGCATGTTTATACTTCATTCATGTAAAGGAGGCTTTATACTTACGAATCAGGGACCTATTTTCTCGATCGAAACTTCTCAAGATGGAATGTTCTTGTCTGGTGGTGGAAGAGATAGGAAAATCTACTTGTGGGACTGTAATTATAACCAATCTGAAAAGCAACTTGAGGTACTACTTCCGTTGAATGTTTGGAGAATGTTCATTTGGTAATTTAACATTTTTAAAATTAATCCCTAGATTCCCGAAGAGTGTGGGGCTGTGAGATCCGTGATATTTGGTCCAAAACTTAGTGAAGAAATATGTGTTCTGATCGGAACAACAAAGAATTGCTTGCTGCAAGGAAAATTGGAGAACGAAAAAAATCAATTTACTTTTCTCACCCAGGTAAATGTTTTCTTCCTTTTTTATTTAAAGAAATGTGTATTTTGTTCTGATGCAATGTTAAATCTTGGATGATAAGAAAACCATTTTAATTAACAATGGACAAACGAAAATTACATGTAATAAAATTAATAAAAATTAGAATTAACTATGTAATTGAACGAATATAAAACAATACTTTTGAAATTTCAATAACTCTAAATGTTTTCAACCTATAAGTTTTTTTTTATCTTTGTGCCAGGGTCATTCCGAAGAAACTTGGGGTCTTTGCGTTCATCCTACGAAGCCAGTTTATGTTACATGCGGTTATGATAAAATGCTGTACATGTGGAGTGCAGAGACAAGATGTTTGCTTTGGTCAAAGCAACTCGAGGTTCGAATAAAATGTACTTTATCACAAAGCATCGGGATGCTCAGTTTTTACGTAACCCCCTTCCTGAACATTATCAAAACTTGAGCATATATTAACGTAGCTATGTGCATGATAAGATATAGCCGTATATACTGTTCAATTTAGAGTTATATTTGTGATATTGTAATGTTATGTGCAGTCGTTGGTCTGTACAATTAAGCTAAAACTTTCAACATTTAGGATCCCCTTCAATCAGTTTGCTTTCATCCTAATGGCAACATTCTAGCAGTTGCCACACAGAACAGTAAATTTAAAGCTTTAGACGCTGAAAGTGGTGTAGAGTTCTTCACTTGTGTTGTTGGCTCCGAGCAACATGATTGCGTCCAATTTTCTCCAGGTTATGAGTAGAAATAACGATGTAGAAAATATTATTCATTCATAATACGTTTACCTATTTTTTTTTATACAATTTTCCTACGAATATTGGTTTTCATTTGTCACCGCTTTATTTTGAGGCAATATTTTCATTTGCGATGTACTAATGCGTACCTATTTTTCATTTTTTTACAGATGGCTGCTATTTGGCGATTGGTTCGCATGATAATTTCATCTACGTGTTTGCGGTGACTGAGAACGGTAAAAACTACAAGAAATATATCCGTTTTTCCGGTCATTCCAGTTATATCACTCATTTTGATTGGTCAAAAGATAGCCAATTTATTCAAAGTAATTCTGGTGATTACGAAATGCTTTATTGTAAGTATGGTTAATAATTTGTGGTTCACGTTCGTCCGGGACACCCCGTAAAGAGTGGATAGTAAAATATAAAATTTTGACATAGGGGATGTTAATGAGTGTAAACAAGTGTCGTCGTCATTTTCTATGAGAGACACGGAGTGGGACAGTTGGTCTTGCGTTCTAGGGCTCCCTGTGAGAGGTTTGTGTCATTTCTTATTCTTATCCTCTACTAACTTCTATGAAATTAACTGCTTGCAAACGATCAGAAATACTTGGAGTACCGCTTCTACTTAATCATGGATTTATGAAATTTCAAGATAATATGCATAATACGTCGACGTTGTATTTATTATGTGAATATTTCCAGGAATGTGGCCTGAAGGCGCAGATGGGACTGATATCAATTCTTGTATAAGATCACATGATAAACAATATCTTGTTAGTGGGGATGATTTTGGATGCTTGAATATATTTTCTTACCCATGTCCAAAATTAAAGGTAAACAGTGAATGGATTTAGTATTTCTTATTTCTTGAAGATGACAAGTAGCTATAACTTATTTTTCAACAAAAGGTCTTCTCGACTCTGACATGATACTGGACTTCTCCGAAGTACGAAATAAGCACAATTTTTTCTCATACGTTAGAAATATTTAGATTAGAAATTGAGAAACCCACTGTCCATTCATTTGTTGGGGAATTAGAAATTTTCGGATCAAATATGGTGTTTGCATCGCTCGCCATGTTGGAGGAATATCGCATGTAGTGAAATGAATTCTTGTTGATTTCGTACTCTGTCGAGCATTGGCAATTTGTTGTTGTCTTTCAACATGGCCGCTTGACGTCACATGCAAACACTCTATAAGTGGATTTCAGAAGCCAAGTATTTAGGAAATATATAAGCACTGGGTCACAAATGCTGTCTACTAATGTAAAAATTTGCAATTTGTGGTTGTCAATGAATTGGGTTTTTTGCACCGAAAATTTTAAAGACATTTTTTTGTAGTCGATTCCCAACATTGCCCGCGGTCACAGCTCACACGTCACAGCGGTTAGATTCCTAGTCAAGGATTCCCATCTTATTAGCACAGGAGGAAAAGACAATACCGTCATGCAATGGAAACTTGAGAGCTAAGTACATCGATTAAATTTTTCTTACATTATATAATAATTAATTCGATTGAATAGTCTTACAAAGTTTGATTTCGTCACAACCTTTTGATTTTTTCGTCAATTATCTAAATAGAGAAAAGCAACGGACAATTTACTTCAAAATATTTCGAGAAACTTGGGAATATGTTGATAAATGATATACTATAGAAATTTCCATCCGTATTTTTTCAAATTACGTAAATATCCTGACACAAATCTTGTAGACAAGAAGCTTGGATGTAAAAATCTAATAACTAGTCTTTCGAAAGAAATCACACAAAAACCGGCTTTTGCGATGTGAATGGAAATATCTGATAGATTATAGTACCTGCAGCCGTTTTTCAAGCTCGCCACTGCGATGAGCGAAGTTCTTCACCAGAAAATCAAGTTCTTGACGGATTTTCTCCTTCTCGTAAACAGTAAAATTGAATTTAGTCAAATTAGCATGGTTATGACTATTTTACGACACAACTCGTGTGACATAAAATTGTTTTGTTTACCTTTTTTAAAACTTCAATCTGCAACATTTCTTTCATTTCTTTTATGCTTTCTTCTGTTTTTGATATTGAATATCGATGACCTCCAAAACTGTTTATGATATTTTGTTTATCCGTTTTTCTTGGTGAGATGGGAAAATCTTTACTTCTATCTGTACCATCTACTTCCTTTATATAACGCTATCTAGGACTGTTGATTCTTGCAAAGAATCTGTACTATATTGTTGACTTATGTCGACGCTCTCAGTTCGTTCATTACCTTCCTTCATATTAGCGCTATTTTTGACTGTTGATTCTTGCAAAGAATCTGTACTATATTGTTGACTTATGTCGACCATTTCTGTCTTTTCATCTTCTTCCTTTATATCAACGTTATCTATGACTGTTGATTCTTGCAAAGAATCTGTACTATATTGTTGACTTAAGTCGACGCTCTCAGTTTGTTCATTACCTTCCTTTATATTAGCGCTATTTTTGACTGTTGATTCTTGCAAGGTATTATTTGACATTTCTACAACTCGCTCAATTCTAATAGTTGGTATGTTTATGCGACCCTTCTCCCATCGATAATAACCAGATTTTGCTTCCTTTAAACTTTCCGAATGTTCATTTAAAGGTTTTTCTATAATTTCTTCCAAGGGTTTTTTAACCTTCAGAGAGTTTGGACAAGTTTCACTGTCTGCTGCTCTATTACTTCTAAATTCATTGGTTTCAGTCTCATTGTTTTCATTCGTTGGATTATCATCCACAAAAGGACGTGTTTTATTCAGTGCTACTTGTTTCTGTTTTAACATAATTTGCCTGGGTTCTTTAGGTAGGATTTTTTTTGTTTTGCCATTCTCTTTATCATTCATTTTCTTAGTAATAATTAATTGAGAAATGTCAACTTTTCTCCTTGGTGCGTCAGTCATATTATCTGAATTTTCTTCATAATTTTCAGGTTTAGTTTTACTTTTCGACCATTTCCCTCGTCGCCACCATTCTTGAATTTTCTTTGCTGCTGACGTGACTATTTTCTTTCCTGTCACGCCACCGTGATCTCGAAGATATCTCACACAATTGTTGTTTTTATTTAACTCGGCCAAGTCAACTGCACTGACAAACTTATATTTGCCATTCTTTGTAAAAGAGATGAGAAGAACATCACAGTGAAATTTCAAAATAGAGTGTTTACAAAGTTTATCCTTAATCTTCGGGTTGATATATACTGTGTGAACCTGCAGTTAATGCTGATGGTGTGTTCCAGTTGATACTTGTGATATGAACTGTGCATTTTATCATTTTTAGTATAATATATTCAGACGTTATAGTTAAGCAGTAATTGTGATAGAAATGTGTGATTGTTAAACATTACCTTGCATTGTGTGTTAATAAGATTAATGGATGCACCTCCATCCATGAGATTTTTGCAGATCGGAACTGATCCTACTGATGCAGCCAATTGTAACGGCGTAAAATCTTTATTGTTTCGAGAATTTATGTAGCAGCTGCATCTCAATAAGTAGAGAACTGCATCTAGATGGTTGCATGAAAAAATATCATTGCAGATAAGTTTAAGAGTTTGAACATTAAGGAGAAAAAATTGTCGAACCTATCTGTTGAAATATGGCTGCTTCGTGCAACGGTGTGTCACCAGCTTTATTCTTTAGTTCTAATGAACCTTTGTATTTAACAAGAACTTCTAAGCCTTCTCTCAGGCCTTTCGATGCAGCCAGATGCCCTGCGCTGTGGAAAGTGAAAAGTAATCTTCAAGGCTGTAGTTCCAGCATAATGACAATGCTTATAGAACCAGTAGCTCATTGGAAGCTTTTTTTAATTAGTCAAAAGCCTTTCAAATTCAGACAGTTTTACCAACTGCTCTACACGCGACAACTTTTGAAGACGAGATTCTTACCGATGTATATGAAAGATATCGGATTCTATAATGGTTATCTATGGTTGAGTTTTTTACAAAGGGTTTTCTTTGTATGTTTTGTTCATTTTTGTCTGCAAATGGAATACAAACACATTGCAGTCGAAAAGTTCACCTGTAGAGTGTTGACTGCGAGAGGTATTTGGGTGTATGAAAGTATATCAAATTTTTGTGAGCAAGATATTGCCTTACGTATTTTACCTGTAACCATTCTTGTTTTGGTGGTTTGGATTAGCGTCATGATAAAGTAACAACTCTGCACATTCATAATGCTTTGAGACGATTGCATTAAACAATGGCGTGTATCCACATGAATCCTCTATATCCACATCTGCTCCACATTCCATAATCAACACTTCGATACACTCAATATGTCCCTGACTAGCCGCTACATGCAATGCTGAAGGACAACAATGTTCAATAGGTTAATCCTTTGCTATAAATATTTTGATTGCAATGAACAATGAATGTTAATAACGCTGAGAACAACGTTAAGTTGGGTGGAATATTGGAAAATGAAAAATGAAATATGAATGAAGACTTCGGGTGTTATCAGTTTTCTTTAAGCAGTATTTTGGATCGGACTGTTTTCAAATGTTCATTTAGAAATCCCTAAAGAGCTACACTTGAAAGTTGTCTAAATTTATTTCCTATGTTTATTTATGACTCTTTCAATCCATTTGGATATGTGTAATGCTCTTATTGTACCTGTCTGTCCATTATTGCATCGTAAGTTAACAGGTGATCCTTTAACCATCAGCAATTTGCAGACGTTTGCTTTACCTATGTCAACAAAATTCTTCTCGATAAGTTGATATTGGATGATGATTATAAGTTAATGGGTTAGTTATTGTACGCTATACTTTGCTTACCTGCATTAACTGCCCAATGGAGAGGCAAACGACCATTCTTATCAACTGTAGTAGGATCACCTCCAGAGTCCAGTAGATGTTTCACTATATCTGTTCTTTTATCTTGTTTTGAATCTTGAATAATAGCAGTGTGCAGCGGTGTTGCGCCTCCTATATCTTGACAATTAATCGATGCTCCACCATCAAGCAATTTCCACATACAATCAATATGTCCATAACCTGTAGGAAATGAATGTTGGCTGTACTAAATAATTCTATTATTGATATAGTATCTTATTTCTTTTGATTCCACTTTTCAAAATGCATTTCGCCATCGGAGAAAACATAATGCTGAATTAATAATTGTGTTGAAATCATTTAAGTATTACTAGTAGATAATGTCTTTAACACGAAAAATAACATAAACTCTAATGACCCTCCCCAGTTCTTTTGCTTCTATTAATTGTGTCAGCTGTTTCATTGACGTCAATGACAATCCATTTAATGGTCATAGCTTCCTTTTATCTCTCAAGACCAATTTAAGTTACTTTTTTTTAACAAAAAACACAGTGTGTCTTCGATTATGATCAATGTTATCGTTTCCTTTAACAAGCGTCTTTGCAAGAATCGTAACTTTTGTGTTCCATAGCTGTGTTGAAACGTGTTTATGTGCTATTCTGTTTACCATTTTAAAGTTCTTTCCCTGTTATTTGTTTACCTAAAATCTTTCATTTCAAGTGTGTAATACCGAGTCATGCGTGTTGCAGCAAGCATCATAATCCAAAGCTTTGTGTCCTTGTTGATAGCTACTAGCCGTGTCAGAGATGTCTTATGTTTTCTCTTCCTTACTATCAATGGAAAATGCTAGGCGTATCAAAGCCAAACCGGTTGTATTAGTCGTTGGTTGTAACAGCAAAGTTGCAAAGGCAACAATTAACACGCTTTCAACAAAATATGCTCGTAAACTGAAAGTGCATGTTGGCTTTCAACTATCCGAGTTACTTGAAAATTTGAAGGCCTCAAGTCGTGTTACGACAGTAAAAGAAGAAATGGAAGAATTCACAAAAATGAAAGCGGCTTTCGCTGACGTACAAGCTTTACTAATTGTTGCACCTTACCGTGAGGATGGAGTCGAGTTTGTTTCGAAAACAGTTAACGCTGCAAAAAAAGCAGGTGTTAAACACATCTTACTTTTAAGTAGTACATATGCTGCGACAGGTGAAACTACTTATGGTAAACAGTTCTATCATCTCGAACAAGCTGTAATGGCAGGAGGAATACCCTTTACTATTCTACGATTGCCGTGGCTTATGGAAAATTTCTTCGTATACAAACATACGATAAAGAGTCATATGCAATTCTTTGTTCCTGGTGATCCAAAACGAGAATTTGAAACTGTTTGCGTAGGTGACGCTGGCGCAGCAGCTGCCGCTGTTTTGGCCTCGCCCCTAGAGCATGTTGGGAAGGTATACTCTGTTGTAGGCGATTGGAGCACATTAGAGAAAGTATCGAGTGCGATGACGAGCACACTAAGCAAGGTGATTGCCTGCATTCAGGTTCCCTACGATGAAGCTCTAGGGCAATTAATCCGAAATGATATGGTTGACGAGAATCTTGAAGAATACAGTGAGTTTTATAAAACTCTTGATTCTGCTTCGCAGCAGACTTTGGAAGAAAATCAACATTATCAATACATCACTGGAAAAAGTCCAACAAAACTCATTTCATGGATGAATCGTCATGCCGATGTATTCAATTAGACAATAGTTACATTTGTTTTGACGATAAAAGAAAGTGAAACTATAGTTGTCCCACCGAGATATACACGTGTTCAAAGGTGTAACAAATGTATAAGTTAGAAGAAATTTATTGAATTAAATACAGAGAAGTAGATTTTATCTTGCAATACCTTACATTCTGTTCACAATTTGAAAGTCGCTTGGCTAAAGCAACGAATTTTATGTCTTTGTTTCTCAAGTGTCTCTCTACATGAGCTCAATTTCTGTGCTTTTTTATAATTTCTGGCTGTTAGAGCAGATGAAGAACGAAAAACCTTTTAAGACCTTTTTCAAATTGAACCTTGAATTAAACCCATCTTTAGTTTGAAGTAAGTTCAAGAAACCTAAGATCCTTAATTCCTAGCTAACTGCTTAACCTAAGAAGGAGGGATTGAGGTCAGCTCTACTGTATGTATCAAGACCTCTACCTGCTCTTCATTGATCTGACCAAGGCCTTCGACACCGTCAGCAGACCTGGCCTCTGGCCCATCCTGTCTAAACTAGGCTGCCCCCCCAAGTTCGTCAGAGCCGTTCGGTCTTTCCATGATGGCATGATGGCCAGGGTGGTCGAAAATGGGGATGCCTCCGAGCCCTTCCCTGTCACCAACGGAGTCAAGCAGGGCTGCGTCCTGGCTCCCACACTCTTCAGCCTGCTGTTCGCCGAGATGCTGTCAGCTGCACTAACCCAAACCAGCGCCGGCATCAGGATCAGATACAGGACAGATGGACGTTTTTTCGATCTACGTCATCTGAAGGCCAAGACCAAAGAGCGTGAAGCCCTGGTCCGCGACTTCCTCTTTGCTGACGACTGTGCGCTTGGCGCCCACTCTGAAGAAGACTTGCAATGCCTGGCAGACTGTTTCTCCACCGCTACTAAAGCCTTTGGTCTGACAATCAAGAAGACTGAGGTTATGTACCAAGCAGCCCCTGGTGCTAGCAAGCCAGAACCAGTCATTGAGATTGACGGTGCCCAGCTGAAGAACGTGGAGGACTTCACCTACCTTGGTAGTTGCCTCTCCTCGTCTGGGACCCTGGACAGGGAAATTTCCTGTCGACTGGCAAAGGCTAGCAGCGCCTTTGGACGCCTTTGCACAAGAGTCTGGCACGAGCGGGGCATCACGCAGAAAACGAAAGTCGCAGTCTACAGAGCTGTGGTACTGACATCGCTCCTATACGGCTGTCTTCCATACGTGATGCGTATGGAAGACAGCCGTCTTCCCAAGCAGCTCTTCTGTTCTGAACTGGCCAGCGGCACAAGAAAGCAGGGAGGCCAGATCAAGCGTTACAAAGACTCCCTGAAGCAGTCCCTGAATGCCTGCAACATCCCCGTCGATGGTTGGGAAGGACTGGCTGCCAACCGTACTGCCTGGAGGCAGTCTACACTGTACGGGATCAAGGCCTTCGAGGACCGTCGACTTGAGGAACTTGATGCCAAACGCCAGGCCAGGAAGGACAGGAGAGCAAACCCTGCTGCTGCCGTAGCCTGCCCGGTGTGTGGAAGTATCTGCGCATCGGACTTCGGGCTACGCTCACATATGAGGCGCCACTGACGTCATCCTCGCTTCGCGACGGACTTCCATTAGTTATTATTATTAGTTACTGTATGGTTTAGAGAAATCCGGTTTCTAATGCACTTGCAACGTTCAGTTCGTTTATGAAAATTTTCGTAAATACTTTTATTACAAAGGTTGGGTTTTATGTTGCTTACCTACGGCAAAATGAAGAGCGGTGTGTCCTTCGTTGTCAGCTAGCTCTAAATTTGGCTGAAACTCGAGGAGAATTTGCAATGCCTCAATTTTATTTAATATGACCACAATGTGAACAGCTGTTAAACCCTCCTTGTTCTTTTCGTCTATGATTTCTGGAAATAACTTGCACATCCAAAGAGTACTTGAAATATTATTGGTATGCTCGAGCAAATGATGAAAAATCTTTCTTTTCACTTCTTCACCATTGTTCTCCTTATGGAAGAAAGATAATGAACTAAATAACTAATTTCGGCTAGTTTAGGTATGGTTCAGTTTCAATTAATGATGAAAAGTATAGTAAAACTTACAGTTTCAATGGTCCAAGTTAGTAATGGTGACTTTACTACTTTAGTAATGATGATTACTCCTTACTTTACTTTGGTTGAAAATACTTTCGTTGTTGCGTTCTAAACCAAGTGTTGCGCAAATGGATAGCAACCACTCCTCATTTTGAACGACGCAGTCAAGTACTGCTTTATCAAGACGTGCGCCTTTCTGAATGATCAATCTTAATATTTCCAACTGTTGTAGTTCAGCAGCATAATTTGCTGCTGTCTTTCCTGCTTTGTCTCGTACGTTTACATCGATGTCTTTGTCGATCAAAATTTTGCATATTTTTCGAAATTCTCCGCCAAACAATGCTGTCCATTTCGTTTGCAAACGTTTCACACAATGAATCAATAATGTTTCGCCCTGCTCATTACGAACATTGATGTTGAAAGACGAATTGCGTTTAAAGTAATCTTTGCATTCTTCTAAATCACCGAAATAAACAACTCTAAATGCGTAGTCGTTTGCGTCAGCCATAATTCGTGTTTGGAAGGGAAACGACAAATGAAATTTAATACTTTCGTATTCAAACCATGCACGTCGTGTCTGGCATGCATTTCGTGCACGAATTTTCGTTTCGTTTTCGTCAATAAAGACGATAGTGTGGCCCAGGCTTAATGTTTATTGATCAACAATTGATTTGGCAGGATTTGGTAGTACATGTTTTTATCAACAAAACGTTTATATGTTTGTAAATGATGATCGTCCAGGTTAACATATAACGATTCTCCCGGGTTCAAACCATTTACTTTATAACAAAACGTTTAGTCCATAAAAATTTTCTTCAAGAGTATGATATCATCAAATGAATGAATAGTCAAAGTCATGAGTAGAGCGACAACTTCATTTTTCTTATCTTAAACATTGAATGACTTAATAATATTTCTGAACACTCGTTTTCGTCAAGCTTTGTCCAACATCTAATTGACATTTTCAAATAGTTGTTTTATCATTGATGTAATTCAACAGTAGAGCTTCGTAATTCATCATTGGGGAGGTTTCTACACATTTCTTAAAGTCACACGTGTCTGTATTTAGCCATTCTAATATTCTAATGTAAGGTAGTAATCCCTTCATTCGTCCACTTTTGGTATGTCTAACGCATTGAAGTGTTTGACGGCTTCCATTGCGCTATCTATACCAATGTTAAAAATCGGATGTGTGGTATTCTATAGAGAACGAAAACAAAAACAGATCTTTTGAAGATGTCAAGACGAACGCATTGGGGGGAATATAGTTGATGTAAGGTGTTGCACCCTAGGATATACCTACCAATAGGTTTTCATTACGTCCAATGACTTTCACATTTTCTTTATTCATTTCGTGAAAATTCTGCGCCACAGACAGACCACTTAAACAATAGCACGTGTGATAAAAATCGCGAACTCTACAAGCAAGAGTTAAAACAACAGATTGAGGTACAATATCTGTCGTTATGCGATGAGTATTTTTCAAATGAAAATGCGCACTCACTTGCCGGGTTTGTCTACTAGTCCACCAGTTGGGTACTGACAATTGACAAGTATATAAGTTTGTAGTGCATCTTTAAAAAGAGAAGAATAGTCATGGTTTTAAAAAACAATAACACTCAAATGTAGTTTGTGTTTCAGTGATTTCTATATTTTAAGATTTTCACCTCTATCAAACATCCAACTTTGATCGCTCAAAGCTTGATCATTTTGTTTCTTGAGAATATGGTGTATTATAGGGAAAACTCCTCCCTGCCAGAGCGAGTAACAGCCATCTACCAACTTGTTTGTTCGACCCTTTAAAAAATCAACAGATTATTAAATCAATTTAATAATCTTTGAAAGATTCCATAAAATTAACAGAAGGATCTTTTGAAAAAGGTTCAAATTTATAGATTTATCTCGTTCACAGAAGTTAAAAAGATACATTATTACTTCAGATAATTCACAAGCCAAAAAACGATGCTTTTACACACTTCACGGTTTATTAAATAATTGCGACAGGTTTTGAAAGAACTAAATGTTCCAACACATTTCACCTGAAAACCTCCTTCAAGTCTCATCTGTCGTTGACTAGTCCATTTCTAAAGAAATATATTTATTTTCAGTCGTAATGCTTTAACTGTAGCCGTGATCGTTCACAACTTACTAGCAATTTTTGAATATTTATTTTATTTTCTTCTCCTAAGAGAACGAGCGCGGCCACACCGCAAAAGGAATAACCACCGTGCTTCAACACCTTTATGAAACCAACGTTTAAATTAATTTCGTGACACGTTAGTCTAAGACATTTATTTCTTTTCACTGTAGAGAAACTGCTGCTTTTATGAAGTTGATTTTTGTCCCATCCACGATTGTTTACTGACGCATTTTTCAAACTATCGCGAATGTACGTGTAATCATTTTCTTTTTGTACATGAAACTTTTATTTTATTTATACCAAATGTTGTCTGGCATACACATGGTGTCTTTGCAATCACAATAAAATTTATGAATATTTAACAAACATAATAATTGATATTAAAGAGAATGCTAGAGATGCATAAAAACGTCACAATAAAACTATTTGAGTGTTACCTGGCTCACCAGAAAAACCTCCTTCATATGTTTGGCAACTGTGTGTTTGATGAAAGAGAAAATATTTAGATTCTAATTATGCATCTCATTGTTAGCTGTGAGAGCATAACAAGGTGACAATAGTAGTTTTGCTCAAGCAACAAGTTAATTTGGTACCATTTAATCCAGTTGCCAGTGTTTTCAAATAGTTTTGGAGTGTATACATTTGTTAATCTGGCAGCAACTGCTGCACAATATGCACCTCTTGAGAAAGAAAATTGTATTAGCTAAAAAAATATTTCCTATCTCTTTATGTCTATTCATGAGTTTTAACATGATGGAACTATTTCTGGGGTAGTAGCAGACTCATGTTAATTCACCTTATATCAACCTCTCCATCATAATGCATCCGAAATGCACCCTCACTTGTATGACAACGCAATAAGAATCTGAACAAGCCTTCCCTAAGAATAAAATAACATCAGTTAAAACAAGAAATAATTATCAACAAGTCACACTTGAACATTAGACTTGTATATGGCAATATCAACATAGACAAGCTCCCAAGTAAAGATGTCAACTGTGGAGGAATTTTTTACCTATCTATAGCTTCATAAGCTTGTGAGTAATACAGCCCACAAATACTGATAGCACAAACTGCTGCATAGGTTGGTGCCAAATGAGGCAACTGACCTGGTCCTCCTGAAATATTTTATATCTTTTATTAGGAAATTACTAGAGGATTTGAACTTAAAAGAAGCATTTTTTGGAATAGATGATGGGAGCTGAGTTGCTTCTCAAAGGAGTTAATACATATGTAGTCATTTGGCATGAGAACTAACATAGATTGTTTACATGCTTTTGCTAAGGAAATATTACCTCCAAAACCTCCTCTTGGACTTTGGCATTTAATTAGGAATTCTGCCACACTAATGAATTAAAGTCAAAGGAATTCAAAATAAATAAATCCATGAGTATCAAGGAGGAAGAATTTACATATATCAAAAAATAAATTGTATCCTACTTTTTTGCTATAAATTGTGTTATTGGTTGATCTAATAGTTCTAGTGAGTGAAGGATCCAATAACATAGCCATGGTCTACTGGCATCCAGACACTATAAAAATATCATTGATTTCAGTACTTTAATGGATCATGAATTGACAATGTTATTATTCTACTTGAAGAAATCACACCATGTGTATGTATTACCTCATAAGAACTTGACAGTTTGCTCAGTCCACGTGTACAATACTGAATATGTTTCTTTCTTTGAAGAAGAAGTCTAACAAAACAATTGAAGCAAAAGAGTCTACTTCAAGACTGGTGACTCCGTTTGAGTTTCTGAGCTGAATTGCAGAATACCCATGCACTCGGTTTTAGTGTTGGGATTAGGTTAGGGTCAAGGTCAAGTTTTTATTATACGTGAATCGATGAGTATTCTCCAACTGAAACCAACTTAAAGTCAAACTACTTGATTTTTATTCAACACTTACTCAGATATACTATCCGAAATTTCTGACAGTACTTCATGGTTCATTATGACAGAGTCTTCTACCTTCGTCTGTAAAAACGAACAACACCACGATAGTGAAAACAAAACAAGACTTTGGATGAAATGAAAAAGATTTTGAATTTTTTTAGCAAATATTACAACCTGCTCTTCTGTTGTACGCGTAGGAAACCCGTCATCATTGATTCGCAACTCATCCAATGATTTTTTGTTTCGAAACGCCATTTAATATGTACCGTAGTGTTTGTTTTCATTTCATTTACCATATTACCATGTCAGTCCGCCATCTTTTATTCATGACGTCGTGAATTACGTGAATAGGTAAAGCACATTGAGTTCTATAATAACTGGAGCGGCTATCTTTACTGGGGCGAGGTCGCCAAAAAAATGGCGGCCAACGGACGTATTTCCGCTGAAATGATCGCTTTGCAGAAAAATAATATTCTCGACCTCCCCTGGTGTCTATAGTAAATTATAAAGAATTTTCAAAACAACACGATATCACAGAATACGGATATCGTTAGCTCCATATTCTGTGACAATATCTTTTAGCATTTCTTTATAATGCCAACACTTCAATCGTTCAATTGTTGGATGTCGTAGTTTCCACAAAAAGGAACATATCGCTTCTCACAGGTGAGATAGTTGCTTGTTTTGTTAGTCCGTCAACGATTGAAAAGCAATTATACATGCTCTTGAAAAGCCATAAAATACATATTAAATATCGTATTTTTAAGACTGACTTGAACCACAATTATACTGATGTTTTCCTGTTTTTGTCAATAAAATACTGCATACTTTTCTGTCATTTGTTAATGCATGAAATCGTAAATTTACCCATCTATTTGCAAAATAGTTTCCCTAAAGCAAAAAAGACCCTGCACACATTTTGCTCTGTGAAAAGTATCAAAAAGAAATGATCAGCCCCAACAGTACCCATGATTTGTTATGTTCTATTTGCTGACAACATGCAGGGAAGACCAAGGAGTAAAGATGACTGGAAGATGTTATTGACCAGGCAGAGTCTTAAAAAAATGATAATGCTGTAAAGGTAATTGATTTATTGTCTGCCTTATCCTGTCGACAATGGATTCACTTATGATGCCTTGAATGCTTTGAAGTTAAAGTTCATGAACCAAAAAAAGATGGCAAGAAGGTTGTGTGTGTTTTGATGCTTAATTAAATGTCAATTCACAACATATAAAATGGGAAGGCCATAAAGTTTGTGTCTATGTAAACATTTGTACTGAGATTTATGATGACTCGATGCAGATGTGAAGCATCAAACTGTATAAGCCATTGAGTTTTATATGACTTAATGTTAAATCATGTCATATCTTTATCAAAATATTTTAGTTGAGTGTTGTTTAAATGTTACTAATATCTAATGCACTATACTGAAGCATTAAAGATTCAGTGATGAAACCTTTAAAATTATTGTACTGTATATTTCTTATATATTTCTTATATTTCTTTAAAAAACAGTTTGAGCTTATTTACCTATTAGAGTAGAGAATGGAGATTTATCATATGCTTCATTACTGCTTTTTTAAATAAATGTTTTTCACTTTTCAAAGCTTTTCTACAAATATTTTGCTTCTTATTTCTTTTCATGTGATTGATGATATAGAGGTAATATAATCCAATAACTTTCAAATTTCTAAAAAGCTTTTAAGCTTCTAGCGTAAAAGTACACTATAGGTATTTAATTCATTTGGTTTTATTGCCTTGCTATGACATATCCATATGCATTTCATCATTCTTGTATGAAGAAAACACCAAATGTGGATACTCAGAGAACAAAATGCACTACCAACTGCTTATGAAATTTATTATTGAGGTGAAAACTGTGTTAATCATTCAAATTGTGCACTTATATTGCAAATATAGGAAAAACAAAACAAAGAGAAAAAGAAGGGTGGAAGTATTAAAACTAAAAATGAATTATAAACACCATTGGAAGCATAAGTGTTTTGATGATTATTTGCATTTTGCCCAATTTATATATCAATACAACAAAATCAAAATGTGCTACAACTTTACAAGTATTTGATGCAGTTGCCTTCAGAACATCACAAAAGGTTACTTAAAGTAATTTCTATACAATATTGTTTGTTTTCATTTACCAAACCTATGCAGACTTGAGTCTTTTGAAATTTCATATGAAACTCAATTACAGAAAATCCGTAAATATCCAGAGATTTAATATGTACTTTTTAAAGAAACAAGTAAAAATCCTACAATTGTGAAAAGCCATTGCCCATTGCATGAAAAGAAGCAAAATAGCAATGATAACAAATAAGCTAACTTCTCTCGTGAACCGTGGAGATGAACTATGATATACTTTTTTGTATAGACTAAAGAGTTTAATCGATCAAACAAATTTGACGTTGGTAAGAAAACGACGCATATCTGCATTCATACATGTGTAGCCGACATATAGCTCTTTCGTCGATAGTTATAAATACATCCTCGTAGGAGCCGATAACTGGAAAGCTAGGTTGACTCGCTGTTAGAATTGTAGGTTTTATCGTGATTTTCATCAAAAATTGCTTGCCAAATCCCAAATACACACATACATTTTCTTCACTTTTCTCAGGAGGAGTGGAAATTGTGAAATTTTCGGAAAAGCGGTCAATTTCGGTAAATCTCAGCGGCAACGGACGAAATCCGCCATTTTTTTGGCGTCATCAGATATCTAAGGCCGCGCTTGAGATAGCCCCTCCAGTTATTATAGAACTCAATGGTAAAGCATCGAAGGTTGGCCGGCGTCTTCCGATTACTGCTGCGTTTTTGTTGTTATGACAACAGATATGATGGTGGAGAAATCTTCAGAAAGATGCTAATGTTGTAGTGCTTTTTGAGTTTAAATTTCGCCTTTTAAACTTTAGGAAAGGAAATAATGTACACTTTGAGAATTCAGCAGTGTTTATGCCTATTTCTAAATTATTTGGAGTGGTACGTTTGTTTTAAATTAGTTTGTTAATACCATACTCATAAGCTTATGGAAGAATCTACTTACAATTTTTCATGTTGCAGTCGACGATGACTACAGTTTCACCAAAGATTGTTCAGAACTACGGCATTGAGGTAAACGAAGGAATTCAGTGGAAAGCATGGGAACCTGGTGGCGAATACACAAAACAAATTACTCTGAAGAACGTTCAAGTCAAGACTCAAAAGATTAATTATAAGTGAGAACAAGACAGTATTTATATTTTCCTTTGTCGTACACGCCACAACCAACTTAATATGCACTAACTATCGTCTTATAAAATATCCAAGTAACTACTTTTGGATTAACTGTGTTTCTTATGAATTCTTTTAGAGTTCCACATTCAAGATTCTTCACAACCCTCTATCCAAAGACACTTGTCCTGACATGTGGAACAAGTTTCACTCTCCCCGTCACATTTTTTATAAAACTGCTGCTAACCATATGTCATTGTATATAAACGATAAATACATAAAGTCCAAATAAGTTTAAAGAAGTTGTAAATTTTCAGAGATTTTCAAATTTTATGTTTCTCATTCATCTGATATTTTAGTATTGTTATGAAGATAAGATTGAGTTTCAAACCAAGGTACCTATATCCATGAACAACGTCCCTTATGTGGTAAATTCGTCATTTATTTTTACTATCATAATTCCTTCTATCATTATGCCAGGATGGGTCATTTTCTGTGCCTATAAAAGCAGTTCTCCCAAAGCCAGATCTGTTACTACCAGAGATGTTAAAATTTGGGATGTGTGCTGTAAAAGACTTCTGTGAATTGAGTTTCAAGTTAACAAATCCAAGGTAGGTTTTCATAAATATATAGAATGGCAATTTATTTGGCAAGCAGTAACCTAAGTTATCGGTAGTTACTTTATATCTGACACTTCATAAAGTGTATCAATATGTTGTTATTAAAGAACACATGTATAACTATACTTAGCCATACATAGCACACCTTAGCCATACATAGCACACCTTAGCCATACATAGCACACCTTAGCCACATAGCACACCTTAGCCATACATAGCACACCTTAGCCATAATTACACCATCTTAGCCATACATAGCACACCTTAGCCATACATAGCACACCTTAGCCATACATAGCACACCTTAGCCATAATTACACCATCTTAGCCATACATAGCACACCTTAGCCATACATAGCACACCTTAGCCATACATAGCACACCTTAGCCATAATTACACCATCTTAGCCATACATAGCACACCTTAGCCATAATTACACCACCTTAGCTTCCTTACATAGACCACGACACTTACACTACCTTTTACTGAATAAATATTTAAGTGAATGTAGAACAAACTATTTTCATTTTTTTTATTTCAATCATTACAGTGAAGTTCCTACTCAATTTAAGTGGTCTTTTCAACGTCCTTTTTCCTTCATGCCATCAAGTGGAACTCTTGAATCAAAAACATCATGTCTCATAAAAGCAAAATTTTCACCTGAGGTTGGTGTTTCATGCCATTTATTCATTACTCTAAATGTACTTTGAAACATGAATATGTTGATCATTTAGTGTGGTTATGTGTATGATGGTGTTGCTGTTTGTTACTTTGGTAAGCATCCAGAGTCAATGGAAAAGTCTGTGCAACTTAATGGCACAGGTAGGAATCATTTAAAAACTTGTTTCTTGCAATTATATATTTTAGACTCAAGTTGAGTTCTTTGTCCAAGTTACGGGGAACGATAGCGTTCATGCTTACACTTGTTTGCTTTCGATCAACTTAATCATCCTTTCTTAGTTTTATAATGAAATTAGTTTATTTATTTAAGTAAACCATTGACGTTTTTGATGAGAGAAGACGTGTAGCCTGGCTAAATGTAGTACATACTGTACGAATTACTTCTTTGATAATGACGTTGTTTTTGACATTATGCATACCTACGTTGATTTGTTTTGACAGGAAAATATCCCTATCTATTGGTAAAGAATCCTTTACGTACTAAAGAAGAGAAGGATGGTCGTTCATTGGATAAAACTATCGTTGAGTTTGGTGATGTTGCTGCTGGCTTTTCATCCGAGAAAACGTTACATTTTCAAAATATGTCGCCTGTTAACGCTTCGTTTCAAATCCTTCAACCGTCGTCCATATCAAATCTGGAAAAAGTCTTCACTTGTTCTCAATATCACGGGATAATTGCTCCTGGTAGCGTTGGAAAAATAAAGGTAAAAGTTATTTCTTATGAAGAAACTATGATATATAGTAGGACAACCATTGGCTTAGAGGATTAACTATATCCTTCAAACTTTAAATTTCTGATTATCTTTTGGCAGTTTTATTTGCAATAAAATCAAAAGTATAATTCTTGACGTGTGGGTTGCACAAACTATCCAACTTTCTCCTTTAAAAAATTCTTTTTGCAAAAATATGTTTGCACATGCAATCATCGAGGTTGACTTTCTACAAATAACATATTTACATTTTATGTCTTCACCATTCAGATTCAATACTCTCCAACATATCCAAATGCAACTCACGTCGACTATTTTGAAGTAAATGTCTTTGGAGCAGCAAACTGTTCTGTTATTGAATGCTTTGGAAGAAGCAAAGGTGTGTTGTATGTAAATATTTGTGTAATTTGTGCTTATTTTGGTGAAATATGTTTAAATTACATATACATACGTATGAAATATAAAATAATGATCTTTACATTTTGGTAAATAATAGTATTGGTAAGCAATTAACTGGTCTCTCGTTATCATTCATTTCATTTTACATCATCAACACTGCATTATGCTCTTTCCATTTGAACATCATATGTTTGTTGATTTTTACAATAAAACCAACAGCGTTGACGTTATTTTATATTAACTGATCATTTCATTATCAATAGTATAAGGAATCCCTTGGTTAGCCACGTATAATTTTGCTTCTTAGGTCCCAGTGTAAGATCTGACGTTTCTTTGCTTGGGTTTGGTCAAGTAAAGTCCGGCTGCTCTGTTACGAAGATTGTAAATTTAATCAACGATTCTGATGTTAACACAGCATTTCAAGTAAGGGAAGATAGTAGACAATTTAAACCAACAACAATTGTTTTTAAAGAAGTAACCATGTTCCTCCATACTTTACGCCATCTTCATTGAAAAGTGGATGAAATTATTTATTTAGATACAAGATAATATATATAATCTTACATGATACTCAAAGATATGAACCAAATCAATCCATATTAAGATGTTTCTATGGAGTAATTCGTGTTTATTGTGTATTTTACAGTTTCTCGTCGATGAACGTAACAGTATTTTTACGTTTGAAACAACAAGTGGTTATTTACCTGCGTTCACTAGTGTTAAAATCATTGTGAGGTTTTCTCCACAACTTGCCATTAACTATTACCGAAACATTACGTGTTTGCTGCAAAATCAGGTAATATAACATAAACTATGAAAAATTCTACTTCACTGCTTATTTGATCTCTTGGTTTTGCGAGTTGTTGAATTTTTTTTACATGAGACTTTTTAATGTTTTACTTTCCACATTTATAGTTGTTTTTGTTCATTTGACTTGCATCGTTTAGGCTCCACTGTATTTAGAAATGTTTGGAACATGTAACACAGAACTTGTCCAACCTGGTTTGTATGATGAGAAATCTTCATAATTTTTTCTATCTTTCGTATATAGATCTCGTTTTATTAATTTTAATTTCATTCACTCAATATAACTATACTGATCATTATCTAACGATCGTTGACAATTCACGTACAATTCACGTGATCAAACAAATTACAATCCTCAAGATTAGATATTTTCTACGTTTGCAATCTTCAAAGACAAATTAATTTCAAGTTTAGATCATATTGCACTGATCATGCTTTATACTTATTTGAACCTCTGTCATTTATAGATATTATCCTCAAATGTTTTGATAGAGTTTCATTTCTTCTTAGCCGTTCTAAAGTCAAGGCATCTTCGTCAATATAAAGCGTTTGTAAAGCATGGACTATCAAGGACATCACCTGAGGTATTTTACTTATCTAGAGAAACATTTCCCCATGGTATAGTAAACATGCAAAATATTTATATGTAAGCGACGGCCGTCCCTAGAATATTAATTAGAGTGTGTTTATTCATATATTCAGTGGTGTCAGAGTGATTTCTTTTAAAGAGAAATTCACTTTCAAAAGAAATAGTCGAGCACAACTAAACATGATAATAAACTCCCCCCCCCCTCCCCCCGTCAATTGACGATCTAGGGACGGGCCCGATTGATGGCAGCAAGTTTAGCGATTTAATCCAAATGTCCATGATGTAGTATGTTGTCAATCCAATTCAAAGTAAAAAATCTTTTATCTCCTCCATTCACAAGGGTATAAAAGTCAATTTGACTTCTTTTTTATCTTTTTTTTCTTTTCTTTTTTTTTCTTCTGTTTGATTGTTGTTTTTGATTTTTTTTCATTTTCATTTGGTTAATTAATTTGATAATATTTAAAATTTTTACAGCATATTCAAGAGATGCTAAAGAATGGCCAATTAACCATTGATGATAACAACGTCGTTCATTTTCCCGTATGTTGTGCTTACTTTATACCTTCAGCTGAATGATTCATGAAATTAGTTTAATTTAAAACGTTCTTTATAGCATCATCATGATTTACAAACATCTGAGGAAGACCTGTCTGTTGAGGAGCGTTTTTTCAACGACCCAAGTGTCGGACAAACAGTATGAACAGAAAATGGACGTTAAAAATATTGGAAGGAAAACAGCTAAAATTTATCATTGAAATATTTGACAGGCTTTGGTTCAACCACACATCAGTCTTGATCATTCTCTATTAGACTTTGGAAAATGTGCAAAAATTCCATGCATAGAACAAAAGGTAATAATTCCTCCTACTAAAAGACGAATTTTTTATCGTAATTTTTTCGTAATCTTTCCATAGAAAGTAAGCAAAATGAAGTTTTAATTCGTCACTTGCTAAGAATAATGATTTCAGTTATGACGATTGGTTTATAACAAGCCTTTATAATCCATATAATAAACATAATCCATATAATCATATAATCTTTTACAGACAGTGAATATAACCAATCACACTAAGGGGAAAGTCACATGCTACTGGTTAAAAGGTAGACGCTTGATAGAAGTGTTTAATATTGCTATTGCTGGTGAGTGAGGATCATTTGAGGATATTGCGTACCTTTTAGATAACACTGGAGTATTTCAAATATCTCCCGAAAATGTCGACATCTTGCCTTTAAAAACGACATCGTTTACCGTGACGTTCAAACCTGTGAGTTTGTTATGACTCAATTTTTTCTTCCACTTTTACTCTACAATCATTACTTTCATTCAGCATCTATGAAAGTAAGTAATGTTTTAAAATGACGATAGTAGTTTTGATTTATCACATTTCTTACTATAAGTCCTATAACATTACACAAAATTTTTGCTGTGATCAATCACAGATCATGAAAACCTTGACTGTGTTACCAAATTTTTCGTATATTTGTGTAGGAGAAAGTGAATCAGTTTTATGGCTGTGAAATTGAGTGTTTTGTTTCGTACAAGGTGCGCCTGTGCATTTAAAATCAGCAACTGTGCGTTTCATTTTCTAGCGTAAATAATAATGTGTTGCAAATTGTTTAGTGTGTTAGAGATTATAGATTTGTCAAAGATAACGCGCTTTCCCCGCCATGGTGCTTAACTCTGTATTGTTCTGGTAAGTAGAAAAGCATTGATGACATGTTACGTAGCTATACTCCTGTAATACATGGTGATGTTTGGTGAAAAACATTGCATAACAGCAAGTGGGTTTTAATAATAACTATTTTGATTAACAATGTATAATGATTCAATTATCTTATAAATCTTTACTTTTAGGAGAAACTTTCTCCCTTGGTAAAGAATCGTTTTTACCGCGTCTTGAGTTTAGTTCAACACAGATGGTGAGTGATTTTTTAGTTGATATAGCAACATCTACAGAACTTAAGTGCGCTTGTAGAATATAAACTTTACTTTACGTACGTAGTCATAAATTTTTAGAGTTCTTGCGGTTTATGTTCAGACAAACTAGTCGTCTATTTTTGTTTCTGACACGTGAGATCAACGTATGTACGTATTTTCTGTATAAAATCTTGCATAAAAGGTGAAGATTGTGAAACACGACGTAATGGAATGATTTAACTGTAGATCATATTTATCTATCCACTATGTGGATACACATTCCAAACATTTTTTCCAACACAAAGTTGGTTTTTTAGCAAAAAAGTTCTTGCTGACCTCCTTAACTTTGTCGTACATTTTTCAGGTATTCCCAGCTGTCACATTACAACATGCGTCGTATCGGACGCTTTGCATTGCAAATACCTCCTCTAATCCCGTGAAGTTCTTCTTTGATCCTGATCCTTCTGGGTAAGTACACGAGACACCTCCTCCAATCCCGTGATGTTCTTCTTGATCCTGATCCTTCCGGGTAAGTACAATAGACACTTCCTCTAATCCCGTGAAGTTCTTCTTTGATCCTGATCCTTCCGGGTAAGTACACGAGGACCTCCTCTAATCCCGTGAAGTTCTTCTCTGATCCTGATCCTTCTGGGTAAGTACACGAGACACCTCCTCTAATCCCGTGAAGCTCTTCTCTGATCCTGATCCTTCCGGGTAAGTACACGAGACACCTTCTCCAATCCCGTGAAGTTCTTCTTTGATCCTGATCCTTCCAGGTAAGTACACGAGACACCTCCTCTAATCCTACAATCAAAAATTTTACAAAATGTGTTATTTTTGTTATATTGATAGTCGTTTTAATATCTATCGTTTAGGGTTTTTCGTTGTAAACCCTCTCAAGGCGTTATATATGGCAGACTACAGATAATATTGTTTCGCTATGAAGGAATGGAATTGCAAACGAATAAAATGTCGATGATCTGTCACTTCAATAACGAAGAGAAATTTAATCAGGTGAAAAAATGCCCATAACTTTTGCAATAATATTTAGATTTGACTCTGCGCGGGGTTTATTTATCTATTTATTGAGTAAAATCTTTTCGTTGTAATCTGGATAGTTTTGAATGATTTTGGGGTTGAGTAATAAAGCCGGTTTTTAATGCATGTACCTTTGAATAGAGTAGGGGCTATTTCTACATCTGAATTTCGATTAATAAAATCAAACGAAACAGTAACATAGAAAAACGTTTTCCCTCTCTTCCTTTTTTTATGGAATCAACGTAAGTAGGAGTTCTTACTTAGTGCTTCAACGGAATCACCAAAAATACATTTGGAAAACGAGGTTTGTGGATTTCATTTTCAAAATCGTGTATGCTATGTTATCTCTCATCCATACACCACCTTCTCTTTAGTTGTTTTACTTTCGACCAACGTGTGTTGGAAACACATCAACAAGAAGATATCGCGTACAAAATAAATCACGAATACCCATAAAGTAGTGTATATGACTATGTTTTTTAATCTTTGTTTCCTCTCAGACCTATGCATGCCTTGTAAAAAACAAAAGAAACATCTTCCATATCAACTTCTCCAAACCAATGAACTACATTGAATTTCACTGATTTTTCCCCTTCAGCTTTAAATGGAAAATTCCTTCGGATATTTTGAAAAATGTTAGTATCGAGCCATGCGAAGGATTTTTGAATTCAGGCCAGCGTTTGGTGAGAACTTTTTTTTGTTAATTATCAATGGTTTGAAAATGGTTTTGACAATTTACGAAGTGTTTTTTTATAGTCTTGCATTTGGCAATTTTGTCCCGTTGAGGAGAGAAAATATCTTTTAAAGTGTAAACTATTTATCAGAGCATTTGAGAGAGTTGTGTCAGATAAGAGGTAAGTATTTAGGTTCCGTTTTAAAGGGTAGTGAAGAAATGTTTTAAGGTAATTTTGTAAACCATTTTTCAACGCTTACAGACAGAAAAAATGCATTTTTCCTCGCCGTGATGATGTTTACTGAAAATAATGCATGTTTAAATAATATCATCAAGCTTTTCCACTTGATCCAAACATCTCACCTTGTACTAATAACCAGGACAAGCAGACAATTTCAAGTAATACAAAATAAAACAAATTCCGAAGAGGGACATCTTGTTTTCTTGATATTCAAGATATTACAAGAGTTTGAAACAAAAGATGGTGTAATATTTCGTCTTTATTTCAAAGACATCATCAGACTTATGACTTATGGAATAAAGACGAAATATTACACCATCTTTTGTTTCAAAATATTGTAATATCTTGAATATCAAGAACGAGATGTCCCTCTTCGGAATTTGTTTTATTTTGTATCATCTTGTACTTACGTGCCTATTCTTCAACACTGGCTTCACAGCAAATATGTTGTAGTTTATGCTGTTCTCTCTCTGTGATTGTGTGCTTTGCGTAGAGTCTTAAATTTGGGTAAAACTGTTTTTATCTGCGATTGAGCTTACGTTGTCTGACTGTGTTATTTTGTAGTGTTACACCTGGGCAAAATTATTTGATCCGTGCTGTCGGCTCAGGATTAACTGGACGCATAACGGTAAGTATCAAAGGATGCTTGAAGTGTATGTACTGTTCTTGTGAAGTTGCCCCATGTATTATCACGTGTGTTGCTATTGTCCATTTTTGATCAAGTTAATATGTTCAAAGCAGTGCAAGTATACTTGGTTGGTCGTTCGCATGTCTTTGAGCTGAAACAGTTGGTTTAGTGGACTGTGCATGCTAAGATGACTTGTCTAATATTTTGTGCTTGAGGTAGCTAATTACTCCAAAAGCAGTGCAAGTCGATCAAATTCGTCACTCCCTTGGACATAGTGGTGAATTTACAAATATGTATCAAAATGTTAATGTTTGATACAGATATAAAATCAAAAAGGCAGTGTTAGTTTATTACTTTTCTGATGCCAAATTTTTTTATTTGACTATGGATTTTGTATTTCAGTGTCAAAACACATCAATGGATTTCGATAGTGTCGAAGTTGACACTTGTGCAATGCGAAAGCTAACTCTGTACAACCCAACCGACTGCGATGTACCTTACTCCTTATTCTTATCTCCTGAGAATCTTCAAGATAACGAAGAGGATAGAGATGTGATTTGTAAGTTTACATATATTACCTCAGATGGTATTACCTTACTTGTAGATTGATAAGGCTACAACGAACGCGTACAGCTATAACACAAGTTTCAGATAAGGCTGATTTGGATCAGAATGTTTCATAAAGAACATGAATGTGTTAGTAGCTGAATTTCGCTATGGCTAATTAGTATTAGAGAACGTTAGTCGTCAATTTACAATCTCAATGAACGAATTGTTTTCATTTACATACTTGATTTTATTCTTAAGATGCGATATTTTTTGAAAGATGTTTTTACTCCACTTTTTACATGTTTCATGTTTTTGTTTAAGCTGTAGAGGAAAGCAAACATGACGTAATACCTGCGAGAACCTACAAATCGCTTGAAGTGAAAGCAAGACCCCTCAGAAGGACGAAATATCGTACTAACATAAAGTATCTCGTGACTTCTCTGCCAGGTATTTGGAGGTGGTAAAAAATGGACTCAACTCTATGACCTACCTAGATAAAATACATCATGCCTTGTTCAACGATGGTACTATTAAAGTTCAATTCATCAATTTTATTTTCTAATTTCAATATATTTATAAACTGGAACGTTCGCCTTCATGTTAACGTAGATATTTTCATTCAGTACTTGTGTGAAATCAAGTTCTACACTCAGTTACGCCTTTGTTTATCACATACAAAATACATTGAACTTGCGTTATTTACTTGTCCAATACGTCTGTTTCGTTTTCAAGATTCGACAACAAAGACTATGGATGACTATACCTGTCTATGCTCTGTGGTAGTTCAAGGCGTCTATCCTACATTGCAAGTTCAAGACATCCGTTCCACGGGTAGTGGGGAAACCTATAGTAAAGTTCAGTTATGGAAAATGTTTTCACTTGATAGGTAAGAACATTTCAGTATACAAAAGTTGCAATGAGTAGCATATACGAATGTCATTGTCAGTTACGAGGAAGGTTATGAAAGATGAATATGTCATTGAAGATAACATGGAGAAACTATGTAATTCATTGTGATTTTCAACAACTCTAAAAATGCACTTTGCTCATGTTAACTCTGCTTTTGTTGTGTTTAATAGCAGATATTTATTTCAAGCATCAATAAGCTTTTTAATAAATTGATTTAAAATGTGTTTGTACTTGAGCTATTTTTTACTTTGTTAAGTAATGAATGAAACAGCTACGAGAATTGGGACTGTATTCCAAAAGCACACTCAAACTCAGTGCAGCTTAAAAATCACTTCATAGCTATTGGAAAACGGTATTTTTAATTCGCTGATTGCTCGAATTTAGATATTTCAACAAAAATGTTGCCATGGATGGAGAAATGAGTTTGCTATTGATTAGTGGGTGCGCAATATCTTTGCGTGCGAGTTGAGTGCGAGTGAGTTTTTGGAATACAGGCATTGATCTTGTAGCGCAGATTAAAGGAATGTAAGAATTTGTAGTTTTTGCATCATTATATGTATATTATACTTTTGTTAAACTTCTAAATTCAATTTACAGCTTCAATTCACTTTTGGAGACAGACCCTCATCCTGTTGAAGCAATGAGCTCAAGTCTCACTCGATACAGGTAATTATCCACCAGTTATCCCAGTTTAAACCGATTTATTTGGTTTGAACAACGTGAAAATTCATCATTATACTGCAGTGATGTGCTTGGTGGGAATCGTGATTGCGATATGAAGATCAAAATATATTTATGTATTGAATGTCAATGTAAAAAAATTTTGTTCAGGCTAACACTGTGTTGTTCGTATATCTCATTTAATCAGAAATTTACAAAGACTTCGCTTGTTGCCATGAGAGTTGTAAATATATGTTTTATCTTATAGTGATAAACGAAGAAAACCGGTTTCAACGAGAGCTGTAATTGGATTATCATTTGGTAGCGCTACTTGTGACTCAGAGCCCAATGTGTTTCACATTAGTTTTCTTAACAATGGTCCAGTTACAGCTGACTGGTATGACCTATTTTTATTTCCTACTTTAGTATAGTCATGATTAAAGCGTTAGTCATCTCCCAGTCCTCTCTTTCACATCGCAAAGTTCAGCAATCTAAAATGAGGAAACTTGTTGGCAAAAACTCTGTGTTGGTCTTTGTGCGTTAGTTTAGAGGAGTATTAACTGCTTGGACTTGAAGAGTGTCATGCACGTAATATAATTTATCACATGTAGGGAGTTTCTTTTTCCTAACGATCTAAAGATTGAGATGGATTATTGGACAGAGACTGGAAGTTATAGTTCGGAGGAATTACGTCAAGTAAGATTATCACAAACTTATCATTTACCTCCCTTACTACAGTAATGGCATAGTGGTTTTTTCTAGATGCAGACAATAGGCCATCAGTTGTTCAGTGTTGAACCAAAAAAAGGCTCTCTTGCTGCTGGTCATGCGCAAACTGTTATGTTGAAATACAAGTATGTTATTTAACAGTCAAAACTAATCTTATAGTTACTAATAACTGTAGTTATAATGTAACTATATAATATAATTATATATTGTACAAATTACAACCGTGTAGAAACTATGGCTCATCGTAAAACAATCTAACCATTTACTGTGTTAGCTGTTTAGAAGGTGTTCACAACGCTATATGTCCCTATTTTAGATGCAATTTGGCTCCCAACATTTTTTCATTACATCAAAATTTTGAGACAAGCATTTCAATGATTACATGTTAGAAGAGTAAATTTTTTTGGGAAGGACAAAGGATAATTGTCGTGTATTTTCGCCACCAGTTTTAAATTCTAGAACTGTGTTTTTTTGTTATGTTGTCAACTAAGGCTGCTTTTAATATTTAGACACAAAATCGTTGGTGTCAACAGGCTTCCCGTTTTGCTTAAAATACACAAAGGACGTGAGGTTTTGGTATGATGATATTTTATTGAACTTGAGCCAGTTCTTTAGAATAGAGAGTAGTCGTATATAGTGATTTCTTTACTATAGTAGCTGAATTTTTTTGTACTTTGCTCGTGAGTCGCTCATCCCAAACGGTTTTATAGTAATGCATTATCATTAAGGTAGAAAGTAAATTTATTATTGATGAACATGTTTATGTTTTAGCTAAATTTCGCCGGTGTGACTGTGAAAGGGAAGGAACCTTTCGTTTACTTTAACTCCTACAGATATGCATTTTCGCCTGTCGCTGTTGGCCTCCGGACGCCACCAATACAGGAGTATTCCTTATATAATGGTGGCTCAGTTGATACAACATATGAAATTGATACATCTCCCTTGAGAGAGCTACAAAAGGTGTGAATGATATTGCACCTTAATGATAGAGAGTTGATCATGGAAAATTTCATAGTGAAATCAAAACTTCTTAAGCATTAAGTGGCTTATTAATTTAAAATTTATGAATTCTCATTCCCTTTTTCTTTGAAATAATTAAATGATTATTTTATTCAGGAAAACTATGGGTGCGAAATTCTCGAATGCTTGAATCCAACTGGAAAAGTTTCACCCGGCCAAACGGTTTCAATTCATTGGATGTTCCAACCTATGGAAGCAAAGACGTACATTGCAAGTGATGAGATTTCAATTTCAAGTCTTGTGTCCATATTTTATTCGTATTCATATTTTCATTCACAATTTAACGTTCTCCAGTGATAAATCCAGTATCGAAGTTAAACAACGAAGTTTAAATTTGAATTCTTTCATGATTAAGTATATTTTTGCTATGATTTAAACTCGATCTGAAAATAAAAGATGTTTTAGAAATCAACATTCTATGCAATTAATAAAAAAGTGCTTCTCTATTCTTAAACTATCGTTTACGTGCAGGTCGACATTCCTATTCATGTTTTGGGCTGCGAGTCAACATTGGTGACGTTTATCGCCACAGGGTATGACAAAAGACCAACAAAAAATACCCTTTCTTCACGTGATCATGTTAATGATATACCAACACGACAGATTGCTTACGTTGGCTCTCAGGTAAAGATTACACTAAAGTAAATCATGTAGCCTCTGCCTTTCCACCTTGTTAGCATTATCAACTGGTATCCTTGACATGAATCAAATTTGAACATTGATAAGACTTCAAATTACTTTCCAGTCTAATTTCAAATGTTCTCATTTTTCAATGATGTGTGACGTAGAGTTCATGAAATCCTCACTGAACCCAGTTGATGTTTTTGTTGTTTCAGCTCGCAACTCTATCGGAGGAAAGATTACATTTTGGTAATGTTCCATTATATATGAAGAGAGCGCAAGTGATATTTTTATTAAACATGCATAAAGAACACACGATCTCCTATCGATGGATCATTAATGAATCCCCAGAAAATAATGTAAGCTTTATCTATTGTGGTTTCAATGAAAGATTTTTGACATATATTGTTCGTTGATGCGAATTCTTTCCTTATATTATATTTTTGGAATAGGTTGTTGACATTGTTCCCTCGTTTGGCCTCGTGAAACCTGCAGAGAGTGTTGCTTTAAAGGTGCATATAGAACGAGATAAAAGAGAGGTTTCTATCATATAAGGAATGTAACCTTTTTGTTTACTCCGTAGGTAACATTTTTTTCGTCTGGCTCACCATCACTACATGACATTGATTTGATATGTGAGGTATGATTTAACCTACTATCATTTACTTCCTTACCTTTACCCACTTTATTTATCATAACATTGTCATTGCTCCTTTTAACTGTAATGGTTGATGAATTTTTATCGAATTTTCACATTTAATATTAATTAGTACGTTTTATAACCTTTTGATGTCCTTCTTATTCCTGGTAACTATCACTTTGTTAGCACTATGAGTTTTCTTGAAGGTTTTCAAAATTGTTGTTGTTGTTTTATATCAAGATAATTGATGATACGTTAATGGACACTTACAACACAAAAATTCAAGAGTGGACGCACGTTCAGGAGGAACGAAAGCATACTTTTACTATCACCGAGAAAGATCTTGAAGAAACGACGAAAAAACAAGGAAAAACACAAAACGAACTGTCGAAAGGTTCCGAAGGAGACTTGAAGAAATTTTTTGCATTGCCACCAATTGGCTCTCCTCGAAGGACAGACCGTGCAAGGTCTAGTAATGAGAATGTGAAACCCAATCCAGTTCCTGTAGCTCCCAGTTCATTTCTCCTTCATCTCAGCGTTACCGCTCAAACTTTAGAGATTGAAGATGCTGTTTTTGATAAAGATATACTTGATATAACTACAGCGTTAATGCGGTAATTTACGACTGCTCGTTCTCCATACTGCTTACTTAATATATTTGTTTCAAAAATATCTTATTGTAATTCATTTTCTTATTCAGTAAACATACTATCCGAGGACAGTCCAAGGAGAAGATCAATATCACGTCATCAACACGTGATGAACTCCATGTCGTCACTGAAGCACTATCTGTTGTTCTCAGGTTAATTTACTTCGTAAAATTTTTAGTAATGTTGCAACAAAATGTTCTAGATACAACAATTTTAAAGAGTTTCATTATTAATAATGATAAGATGAAATAAGAATGTAATGATTTAATATATTATGGTAAATTTGCTAAATTACAATTTGCATAGCTAAGTATTACAATACTCTATTCTGTTGAATGGCAAAAAGATATGAAAAGTATGCTAAATTGCAAAACTTACTTAACCATCCTTGCCCATTCCTGTTTTTCTTTTGCATGCTTTCTTAGCACCAGAGTTTATATCTAGTCAAAATTATTTCTTCCATTGTCTTAGCTCAGAAATTTTTATTTCTTTTCTCAGGGGATTATTGAATGAAGAAACTTTTCACTTTGATATCCGTAGTTTGGCCGACGAGCCCATTCCATATTTTCGACAATTTGCAACGAATGATGATGCTATGTCGCACGTTCATAGTGTGAGTTTTAATGATGATGTCGAAATTATGTTAAGTAATACGGAGGTTTTTTCATTGGTAAACATTCATAGAAGAACGAATGAAGGATTTGAAGATTTATAAAGTGCACTGCAGTGATCATGATACAATTACTAACTCAAATTTAAAGGACTTGTGTGTTCTTCCCTAGCAAACATCTTTTTATTGATGCTGTTGAGATGAATTGATATGATCTGTTCTCTTTATTTAGAATATTCCTATTGTTACAATATCATCCAACACACCGACTCAAGAAAGTCTACACAGTCCCATCACTGACGTCATTGAAGAAATTGACCAACACAATGAAACAACACCATACAACGAAATTAAAAGGTTTGCCATGCATTTTGCATTTTCTTTTCATTTGGCAACATTTCAATTCTAAATTTTTGCTATAGCTCGTCAGAATTTGCAACGTTGGCTGAAGATGTTCTTGAAAATACGATACGTAATATCATATGTGCCGCTAATATTGGTGAAGTTAATCTTACAACTAAACCAAGAACTATCGCATTACCATCTAGTAGAGCAAAGAAAGGCTTGTAGACACACTCTAATCTTCTATATTGTTGAAAATAAAAAACTAGCCATTGTAATGATAGTATTTTTGTGTAACACCATCTTGCCTTGGGTTAGCTGTGTGTCGACTACTCGACTCAGTCTTAGTTCTCCAATATATCAACACGGCTTTTGTCCCAATCGTCTTCTCGTGCATCAAGTGGAGTGACAAGTTGAATAACTTTTCGTTTCTCCAAATTTTTCTGGCTTTCAAACTATGGATATAGAACAGCTGACGAAAGCAGTCGAAAGAGAATACAATCGTCTGAAAGACCTTGAAAAACGTGAAGCTATTCAACTCGTAAAGGTAGTAAAAAGTGTTTTAAATGACCAGTCTCGGTGTTATCTTTGTGTTCAGGGCGGGAGAATTGAATTTCTATATACTAATGCCAATGGTATGAACTGTTGACATTCGTGAAAATTCACAACAGTCTTTGTCGGGTTGCAATATTTTCTTAATGACTAAGACAATAACTGTTGTTGGTTTACACGCTGCGGAATATGTGTTTCATTTGTTTTTCAAAACTTATTTCGCTCTTGGTCTGGACGAAAAAGGCCTTTAAAAGTATTGTATGGGCGAATGATTAACAGCGGAAGATATGTATCAATATTAGTTTTAATGGCAGTACCAATGAAGAATTCTGGTATAGAAATGTAAAATGCTTTCCATTAAATACAAAATAATTTTAACAAACTATACCATGTCATCAACCTTTAGTTAAACCAACATGAAAAACTATGCATGCAAAATGTTGGCTTGCAAACATCAGTAATTGATGGTGTATTTTTGTTTATACTTTACAGGAATGTTTAGTTTCTAATCGTCAAAAAATCAATCATCAACTTGATGAAAAAGATAATGTGCGAAAGAAAGCAAAATCCTTAAAACCAGTTAGTTTTGCTCCCATCACTGGACATATGCAAACTACAAGAAAGGTGAAAACAAGAAAAACACATCTACATGGCATTGCTTTATTGATATTGAATTAAGGGACTTTTTTTCAGGCATGTGTAAAATCTGGAGGTGCGTTTCCGCCTCAATACACCTGTCTTCGCGTTCTATATTCTGTATCTCCTATACCGCCATTTTTCACATGGGTATCATTACAACATAACTACATGGTAAGTATTATATCATTCATGCAGCTTTATATGATGCAAACCAATTTATGCCAGTTAGTTTGTTGCACATTAAGTTGTCTTTAAAACTGTAGTTTATGTATTTAGTTGACCAGTCAAACTGAGTTGGTAATCCAAGTTGCATGAAAGACTAATAACTGTCTTCCTCAAATGATTGCATCGTTGTGTATCATGTAAAGCTGTTTCAATGCATCTTCAAATTTTTGGTTTTATGAAATTAATTACAAGCTTTGCAAAAAATAATTTTCAAACAAATTGCAGGTAGAAGATGAAACAGTATTACATAATATTCCTTATATGGGGGAAGAGGTTCTTGATCAGGATGGCACTTTCATAGAAGAATTAATAAAGAATTACGATGGCAAAGTTCATAGAACACCAGATCATGGTATTGCTTATCATTATTTTTACTTATTTCTAGAACTAACATCCCCTGTATATTTATCTGATATCTTCCATCTATCCATTGTGTGATAAATTATAAAGATGTAGGTATGCAAATTAAGCCAGTTATTATAGCATAATAGTATGATTATATGGATATATCATTTGTTTTCTTTAAAAACCCACTTTTATATAATATTTGTTCATACTTTTGTATTTTCCAGTTATTGATGATGGTAGTTTAACTGACAACATGTTGTATGAGATTATCTCTAATGTGACAAAATCCAAAGATTTATCAAACTGTTTGTCTACTGATACTGAAAACAAAGGTAACTTTATTGACCTGATGCATATTTCATTTTATTTGTCTATCAAACTTACACTCACATAAATGGATTTCTAAATTTTTTTTCATCCAACCTTGAAGGTTAGAAATGTATAAAATCATATTTTGTTCAGCATCCTCTTATAAGTAGGATGAGGGAATTAAAAGTTAATCATTTCTATAAGAAGTAGATTTTACTTTTATTTGTTCTTCAAAACCAAGTATTTATGGCATGGACAGGGTCTTAAAAGGTTTATTGGGGATATGGTATAAAGACTTATGTATTTTATAGAGACTGGTACAGTTAAAATGAGCAACAATGATATGCCAGGGGATGAAATATTTCGTGTAATTTTGAACTTGTGTCCTGGAAAAGGATGGACATTGGATGATATCAAAACTAGGTACGTGAAGGAATATTGTGCAAAGCATGCTATATACATATGGACATTGGATGATATCAAAACTAGGTACGTGAAGGAATATTGTGCAAAGCATGCTATATACATATGGACATTGGATGATATCAAAACTAGGTACTTGAAGGAATATTGTGCAAAGCATGCTATATACATATGGACATTGGATGATATCAAAACTAGGTACATGAAGGAATATTGTGCAAAGCATGCTATATACATAATACTTATGGTCAGTTTGTGTTGCTTATTCAACGGTATGGTTAAGTATGGCTAAGGTAGTGGAAGTTTAGAGATATAGCGAAGGTGGTCAAAGTATGGCAAAGGTTGTCTAAAGAGGACTCAGTAAGTCTAGCATGGTCTAATTATAGTTTAATAGGGCCAAGGTGTCCTAAGTATGCTTAAGATTGCGTAAGAAGGTATTACGTGTGTTTCTTTGTAACAACATATTGATACACTTCATGAAGTTGACACAACGGCAGGTGAAGTAGCTGCCAGTGGATTTTTATCTTTTTTTTACAGCTCTAAATACAGAGTACTAGTGACATTTATTTTTAGATTTAGAGTTAAAATATTTGTTCGTTTGCGGCTACTAGCATTCACCGCTTCACAAATATTTGAATCCCTCGGAAAGGGGCGGTCATATGTCGTCATCAATGACGTCACTGCTACGTAGATCAAAGCATTGATGATTTTGCTTTGTAAATACACATATAATTGAAAAAAATCTAGTACAACAGAGTACATTCATATCAGTATACAACTTTCATTAACAGTTCTCTTTTTATCAGTGTAAACAACCTTTCTAAATCAATCTTTTTCCACCATCAGTTTACATTTCCATGTCTGCATTATTTTTTATGAAGGTACAAAGAAACTAAACAACGTATAACTGGATCTGTCTCTTTACAGCAATGTACCCCAGATATAGACAGGTATGAAAAACGTCAGTTTTTACCTGACTTTTATATGGTTGTTTTATGAAAAGCCTCTACTAACAAAAGCGACTTGGAAATCAGCAAATTTCAAAAATGTACTTTTTTTAAAAAATTTTCTATGACTCACTGTAGAAAGAAATCATTTGGTGGCTGCCTTTGAATTTCTAAATGATATTGTTTATTTTACACAAGGCAGATTGCAATGTAATGTGACTTACGTTTTGATAAACTTGTTCTCTAATTTTCAACTTTACATTAACCACATATTTGCGCGACTGGTTTCTCTTATCTTGTTTCTTTGTCCAATTCCTGTTTGATGACTTTTTCTCCACAGTTTATAACTGTGTCTTTGGTATATTATTACAATTCCCTACTCATTCACGCTAAAACATTTATCTTTGTCCCTGTAATGATTCATAGAGAGAACTTGCCCCTGAAATATTTTACTTCACCTTATATACATAATTTTCTCTGTAAAAGAAAACTTTGCCTTTCGGGAGTATATTTAATTGCGAATATAAAGTTACATTAATGTGCCAATTTTTTTTCTTTAGCAACGAAGCTCAGTCTACATCAAGAGAACAAACAATGCACTCGTTTCATATGTTGTTCTGTCGACGATGTTTTAAATATGATTGTGTACTTCATGCTTGGAAACCTTTACCGACTCAAGCCAGACGTAAGGTGAGCTTATACTAAAACAAATCACGTGCACTGTGCAGGATAGAAATATTATCAATAAAGCCGTTGAGTATATAAAAAAAAAGTGAAAAGTATGCTAAATTATTATTGGAAGTCAGTTAATTGTTTTGCTTGAGCATTACAGATTACTTGTGATCAGCCAAAACAATGAAGTTGAAAAATGACTTTTTTGAGTCGTTAAGAAATTGCATCATATTGGCTGACCTGTTTTGTAATGCTTGTGGTACCAGCGTTTTAACCCAAATTCAAACCAAGAAATAATAACATTATAATCATTGCAATTATCCTGCGATAACCAATATTTTGAAGAAATTTTTTCTTGTACATCTGCGCGGGGTTTTGGGCAAAGTCGGTCAGTTTCTTCTGGATTTTCGTGATTATCACACTCTATGATTATTTGGTGATGTTTCTGCTTTTCAGCACCTTTGGAGACGATTTTGCGAATTTCCTGGTCAGCGGTCAATGGACTGTTAGTTTGAAGTGCACGAAATTTGCTATGAATGATATCCAACTTTCTGCCATTGTCGTCCAGCTGAAATAAATAGCAATTGAGCGTGGTGGAAACTGATGTAATATTTGCAATGCAAACAACATATCGTTTAAGACCAAGTTTCGGCATGTTTCCCCACACTGTGTTCTTATCTCCTCCGCTTGGTTTATTTAAACTTAATTGATGATGGGAATGCCATTGGCCTAAATTGCATAGTCCATGTTTTTCTGCCAAATACTTGCCAACATTTCCAAGGTAATTCACATCTTGATAGAAACTCGTTGAACCTCGTCTACAGTTGACACCTGGTCCTATTGCCAGTTGAACGACTGCCGTTTGAGAATTGATCCAAAGACCAAACAAGTCGCCCCCCGTCTCTATGTTCTTGTACTGCATCACCCAGTTCTCAATCTTTTTTTTCTTTTTGTAAATGTGTATTTTGAATTGACCCTCGTTCTCTTCATCACTTTCATTTTGTAATTTCTCATATCCATGACCATGGATCTTCTTTTTCCTACTCATATTTGCTCGTCTATTTATGTTACTTTTATGTTTCTTGTTGTATACTTCTATGGCTTTTTTTTTCATGTACCTTCAGCTTCGTAAGAAAGTTACTTCCCTTTAACGTTAGCTTTCCTTTCCGTTTGTACTGTATTTTGCTAAAGCAATGTGGCGTGACTTCGAGGAATCGTTATTGCTAAGAACTATGAATGCGTAAACACTTTTTCTTAGTTGAATCTGAATGTACTTGAAAGTATTCTCAAATGAATCATCACAAAGACTACATCGACGTTTTATCTTTTAACAATTCTTGAGTAACTTTGATTTAGCAATCGGTAGACGAATATTTAAGATTAGCAAGTCTGAAAGTTGTATTTTAAGGTGTTTTTCACTTTCATTTCAAAATAACGAAAGCGATAAAGTTTCTTAGAAGCCTAAAGCGAAAGGTCAAACTTCATGTATAGAAATATGATTATGACAAACATAATTCTCGAAGTAAAACAAAACGAATGTTTGGTTCAGCTATATTTATAAAGAAAACCTTTGAAACGCAAATTCTTGCTGGTTTTTTCCACACAAATCTTTCATGTGGTTTTCTCATATTATGTCCAGGTCTGTTTACCCCCTCCATCTCGTTCATAATTTTTGATTGTCATTTATTCATGCCAGGGATGGTTGCATTTCTTCGGAAATGCAAATTTCAAACTTCCAATCAAACATGATCAAGATTTCTATAGTGTTTTAATGCGACATCTAATATTGGCAAATTTAAGCGATATCTTTGTGCATATTGATTATAGTCTGAGAGGTGGAGAAAGCTTATGAACCCAGTGATAGAGTTCAAGGATTAATCATTGAACTTTAACTTACCTCTTGTATTATGCTGCATTATACACCATATATTTGCTAACTGCTTTTGTTATTATTTTTTAAATGCAGAAATATTTTTCTTTAGAACTGTGAAGACAGTCAAGAGATATCACCTTGTAGTGAGACATGCTTCATGTACATCAAAGTGAGTTTGCTTATGTATTCATTTTCGATTGGTCGTTATCCTTATGTATATGAAGTTTCTTGTAATCTTTCAGTTTTCTAAATTTCAATAAATTAGGATCAAACTATTTCTATACGCAAATGACAATATGACTTGTAGTCTTTGAACTAAATATATATCTGGATGACTAACCTTGGATAAATATGATTATCTTGCGTTTCTTAGGAGGAGAACAGAAAGCGACCCTTATATGATGAAGCAAGTTTTTGGGACGGTGCGGAAAGTTCGTTGTATCGTGTTCTCAGACCAGTTTATCAAAGTCATTTTTGTACAATATCAAAATTGATCAAGACCAAGACTTGTTTTGAGGTATGTAGGATGACTTGCGAAGAAAGTTTTGTTGTTTGACTTGTGTTTTAACATTCAACTGTTTTTAATAAAGCGACACATTGGAATATGATGAATAGCAAACATGTATTTGTTCCGCAGATTACGTTAAATTCTTTTCCATATTTTATATTGGAAAAGGACAAAGTAATGACTCGAAATTTCAACATCAAATCATTCCTAATGAAAGCATTAGACTAGACTGGAGTGTGTAAGGACTCAGGTTTTAACATCAGACTACTCCCGATAAATGAATCATCAAGCACTACATTGGAGGATAGACTTCTCTAGTTTCAGCACTATTTGCTTAGATTGTATCTTTGAATGAATTTCTTTATTATCTAGGTATACCAACATTCTTTGCATGAAGGCCAAGAGGAAGATCCTGTCCCAGAATTCGAAGACGCCAACCAAAAAGCAAAGAAGAAACGCAAGCACAGGTATTTAGAAGTACTTTGTGTGTTGTCACAATATTTCAGTCATGTTAAGTACGTCTCTATCTTGGCGCGTTTTGTTAATTTATTTGGTTTATGATTCGTTACAGAATGTGGTCATTGCACTGTCGAAAGATACAGTTAAAGAAAGGTATGTAGACGTAGGGTACACCGTAATGCTGGAAATAATGCAGGGAAGTGAGGATCATAGACTTACAGGATAGGATTGCTACGTATACTTATGGAATCTGAATTGCACTCGAGGGAGGAGATGTCATTGAACTCAATGGGATTGCACTTTATCATTTCAGATAGTGCAAACAATCACGTGTACAATTATGTTCCATGCGACCATCCTGGCCTGCAATGTGACCAATCATGTATCTGTATCGCCACACAAAATTTCTGTGAAAAGTTTTGCCAGTGCAGTCCTGACTGTAAGTGAATGTTACAACTTTAGATAAGATGAAAATAACGCTGACCAAGTGATAAATACACATTTATTGTATGTGATTTTAGGTCAGAACCGTTTTCCTGGTTGTCGATGTAAAGCGCAGTGTGTAACAAAACAATGTCCGTGCTTCCTTGCCGTACGTGAGTGTGACCCAGACCTCTGTCGTACATGCGGTGCAGATAACTTTACTAGCGACATGATGTGTTGTAAAAATGTTGGTTTACAGCGTGGAGATAGAAAGGTTGGGAGCTTTCTTTATCTATCTTTTTCACGTGATATTTTTCAATGAAGAGTCTAGTTAGCTACGTAACATGTTCACTTTAGGGAGTTGACTTTGTAAACGGGTGTCTGGTTCAAAGGACGTTTCTCTATATTAGAGAGATGACCTTCATCAAAGGGTACTGCCTGAAGGGTGTGTTATTGTATGTTTAGAGAGTTGACCTTCTTCAACGGGTGCTGCTAGAAGGGGGCATTCTTTATGTATAGAGAGATGACCGTCTAAAACGGGTGCTGTTTAAAAGGGAGGAGTTATAATTAAAGGGGTGACAATCTAAAACGGGTGCTGCTTAAAGGGGAGGGGTTATATTTAGAGAGGTGACAGTCTAAAACGAGTGCTGCTCAAAGGGGAGAGGGTGTTAATGTTCAGAGAGGAGAAGTCTAAAACAGGTCCTGCTCAAAGGGGGGTGTTAATGTTTAGAGAGGTGACAGTCTAAAACGAGTCCTGGTCAAATGGGGGCTACTGTATGTATAAAGAGGTGGCCTTATTACACGGGTGCCTGTTTGAATGGTGCTCACAATATCTTTTCTTGTTGAAGCACATGTATTTCGCTCCGTCTGACGTCGCTGGCTGGGGTGTTTTCATAAAAGATTCGTGTCAAAAAAATGAATTGATTGGTGAATATTGTGGAGAGGTTTGTTGACTACTTACGAGGTGATATGACTGAAAGAAGAAAAAATTGCAAATCTATTTTGGAAGTTTAACGTTACCGTATTTCCTCTAACCAAGAAAAATCCCGGGCATGTCGAGTTTACTACTTTTATCAATAAAATGTTATTAGTTATGATTGAAATTAGTTTGATATTGTCTTGTCAACTCAAGGGGGTGAGGAGATTTTATAAATTTTCCTTATGCTCAATTATTTCAATAGAGGGCCATAGATCAAGAAGTATTCGCTGCCGAACTTTCTCAAACGTTTTTGCATTTCAAGTGTCAGTTGCATATAATTTTGTTTACTTGATTTGAGAGCTCTTCTTCTACAACTCATTTGATGGCTTCAAATTAAATGAAATTTATGATTCCTTCAGATGATTTCACAAGATGAAGCGGACAGAAGAGGAAAAGTCTACGATAAATATATGTGCAGCTTTCTATTCAACTTGAATAACGGTAAGACGGATTAAATAATACATTGTCATGCAGCTGGCAAAGCATTTTTGTCTTCAGACGTGTTCAAGTTTTATGTTGATTTGATCACTTAGATCATGTTGTGGATGCAACCAGAAAAGGAAATAAAATGAGATTTGCCAACCATTCTATAAATCCCAACTGTTATGCAAAAGGTAATTACCTATTTATCTGTTCTTTCGTTAGACGATAGTGACGAAGATAAATGCTGGCTTTAGTTTCGATTATTTATTTAATCTTGTGATGTTTAATGATGAAATGATGATAAATTTCTTTTGATGTTTCGCTGGCCATGCCCTCAGAATCAAGTTCATCTTATATCTTTTAACATTTTTCTACAAAACTGGGCTGGTATGAACTAAGGGCAAGAATTAGTTCGAGTTAGAAATGCATTATCAAACAAATACCTGGATAATTGTGAACAAATTATCATGCAGTCATTGATCTTTGAACTTAGTTTCACTCGCGATATTTACTGTGCTTTTTTAATATAGTCATGATGGTGAATGGGGATCATCGCATCGGGATTTTTGCTAAAAGATTCATTGAAGCTGGAGAGGAACTTTTCTTTGATTACAGGTAATAAGTTGTACCTTGTACCAAAGGGTTCTTTGCAGTATCATTTTACTGGGGAGGGGCGGAGGGTGCCAATGACATTTGTTAAAAGAAACGAAATATCACAGTAAAAAATAATTGTATTTGAATCTTGAAACCCAGCTGTTTGACGCAAGTCATTTGCTTTATTGTGTTTAGACAAAAATTTATCTATTACAAAAGAAGTTTATGTTTTGTTTATGATTTTGGGGTTACGTTACAGCTGTTTTTGTATTGTATAAGATAAACATACACTTTGTTGTTTTAAAATTTCGCCAAACTGTAGAAAGTTTATGATTTTGGTGCTATGTTACAGCTGTTTTTGTATTGTATAAGATAAACATACACTTTGTTGTTTTAAAATTTCGCCAAACTGTAGAAAATATTCAACAATATTTATAGAAGATATTTTGTTACCAAATCCATTCTATCGGTGGGAGACAAACTTCTAAAATGTTGATGTTATGTTTAGCAGTTACTTTATAATCATTTTGTTATGATTACTTTTGCATAATATTGTTTTACAAAATACACACTTGTCTTAACAGTGTGTATTTTGGCTTACATAATGTTGAGGCAATGTCTGCACTTGAGGTAGTGAGTTTTGTCGCTCTAAATCTATTAAAAAGATTGTTTTTCCTCGTTAACAAGGAATATGTTCAACAAAACATTTATTTTCAAATATATATCAAACTAAGAGGGATAAACTTCATACTCTATGCTGTATACATTTGTCATCATTGAAAGTGATGTCAAATATTAACAGAATTTACGAAAGGTCCCACTCTGATCACAAGCATGAACCATGGTCAATTAACACTTCAAACACATGACAAATGTGTATTTTAAGCAATAAATGTTTATTTGGGTTATCGCATTGATTATTCAATTACTGCATTTGAGGTTCCAATTTATAATGGTTGTTTCATCTGGAAGATGGTGTTGCTTTTAATTGAATCTTGTGGCAACCAGCCTTGACAGCGACCCAAGAAATGCTGCAATATAATGACTTAATTATGACTTAATTATACACTATTAAAACAAAAGAAACATATAATTTTTCTTATGTTTTCAAGATTATGTCTTACGTTATATTGATTGGATGCGATTGAATTTAGAATTGAAAAATAACACTTTTATGTTGTCAGGTTGACCTCGTTTATGACGTCATTCTTTACTGTTACAAAGACGTGTTCTTGCCATTGTGAAGTACAGCCTGGTACTCATATAGTCGTCCGAGTCGTTTCAGTCGTCAAAATTTCACAGACGACCCGTGCGACTATAGGTATGAGAACATTTCAGAGGCGACCGGGGTGACCTCAAATGACTCACACGACTGAAACGACCGTTGAGAAATGCAATCGACCTTTTTATGGCGCAAACGATTTGAGAAGCAAATAACTAGCCAAAAGACTTTGTCTTTGATAAACAGCAGCTGTCATTTTTAAATGTTTCACGTAAAAATTATTTAAGCAGTCTCTCGGCAGCGTTGGTACGAATATATGAGAAGAAAATAGCTTAAGTCTTCCCAGTCGTTTTGAAAAACATCGGAACGACTCGGATGACTCAAGCGACTTAATGAGAACCAGGCTTTAGTAATATTAAATAACGTCATAAACTTGCATTATGTTGCACAATTATCCTTAAGACACATGGAACTTTGGTTATTTCTGTTATGGTTTTATGTCTTAATGTAGTGTTGTATGAATTAGTCATAACGTTTTACTATTATTTTTGCACGTACTATACAACACGTCAAATGGAATCATTCATCGTTTTTATCGCTGTTACGACATTTTTGCTAACTACAGGTTGACATCAATAATAAATGCTTCTGATATTATTTTATTAGAATGCTTCTTTTTCTTGTAGGTATAGTGCAATGGATGCTTTGAAATTTGTTAGTATTGAACGAGACGTGGATGTGACTTTACGGTAAGAACACCCGAGGGCCAAAAGAGTCGAGGTCAAGCAACCACATAAACGAGGTTAGGTCTTTTCACTGATTGATGGCGCCTTGATGTCGATGGTTTTAGAAAATTTAAAATTGCTTCTTGATTGACATAACTCAGCTTTGGTATTTGTGTTTATTTATGTCATAAATATTCCTTTTAACACTTATGACGTCATCAAAGTTGTCTGTCTGTGATCCTAACGTGACATACTGTTCATTTTTTCATTTATCTAAATTTATAATTTACTTTTTTGCAAAAGAATGATTTTTTTGAAATTTTGAGATGGTGCCCATTTTCCATTTGAATACCATAGTAATTTTAACCTGTCCAACGCATAGATTTTGACTCGGCCGTAGTTTCTTAAGTATATGGAGTAGCGATGTTTGGCAGGCTTTCGAAATTTCTAAATGATAAATTTATGTGCGTAGTTTAATATAACTTGCGACATTATAGGGCAAACCTGTTATAGCCAGATTCTTTATAGCGTTTTGTTGTGTGTTACCTAATCCACGGAATACTGGATATATAGGAAAATATATCTGGTTGGAATATTTTGCAAGGCTGAAACTTAATGAATGTTATTGAAGGTCATTACTTCGTGATGAGCGTTAAGTTTGCTAAATTTAACTAAAAATTTCCCCTTGGATAACATGAAGCGGTGTGCGAAGACCAAAATTCATCCACGCAGAAATTGGGTTCTGAAAATTAGATCTTCAAATGTCATTGTCGTCGTGTCTTTAGGACTATTTTTAAGAAAATGTTGTGCAAACATGCATTATTCAACAAGGATTGGTGTATGGAAGGAAAAACAAATCTTCATTATTTATAGCACAAACAGGTGTAAAGAACGTTAATTGCTAACTAAAACGAGCACGCTAAAACTTGATTGGTTGAGCATATTAGGCGAGGATTAAGATTTTTCTTCGTAGAAAATGGCTGACAAATCTATTCCAGATGTTTCATGGTACTATGCAGTGAACACTTCGATGAATCGTACATTTTGTGTTAAAGTGTTTAATTGTAGCTAAGATATTTTAGCATGCGCATAATCTTTGCTTTATCATTATTTGTGGCAATTTTTACTTAGATACACAGCCAATCATTAAATTAGTGCTAAAACTAATACGCAAAACTAACCAATCGTAATCGACTTTTTTTTTGAGCTCTGTACGTATGATAGATGTGCACAACGTTTGAGTCTAAAATACTGAATCACTAAAGGAAATTTGATATTCTAATGAACAGCTTGGGACGACGTAAACATCTGTACCTGCACGCTCAAATAATATTCATAAAAATTATGTAATCTTTCTATGGAAGTCTACCATATTACCGCATTCCTTTAGCGCTTAGAATACTTATCAATACTCATATACATTTGCATAGCACTTTATTAATATACAATGAAAAAATTCTTCCCGGAAGTCAATAAAGAAAGAGAAGTCTTAGTTTTCTTAGTCGACCTCAGTCGTCGACCTTGACTAACCGACCTTTTGGTCGCCCACTAACCGCCTTCTACTTGCCTTTCACTCCAGCCAAGCATCAATTTTATGTAACTGCGTGGTGTCGAAAGATATTTAAATATTTTTGTCGTGAATTTCATCATTGCTTGCACGTAGGATTCTAATATAGATAGTAAAATTAGACTTGTCAATCCCTCTAATATTAACACGGTGAAATATTTATGTTTGAAACATTTTTGTTTACCTATATATAATCCCTAATTCAGTGAAAACTCTCATAGTTTAATGTTAGAAACTTGCTGGTGAAATTTTTCTCCCGAGAAAATATACCTGAGTTTTGCCTCAGAGTAGCTCGTTTTTCACACATGGAAAATCTGTCCCGCGTTGAGATTCGGCATTATCCGCAGAAACGTACGCTATCCGCAATTCATATGTACCATATTCGTCAATTGATTATCCGCTTATGATAGAAGAAAAAGTGTGTAAACATCCTATATTACATCCATATCGAAAAATGCATCAGTGACATTCAATCCACATTCGTTGCTGCCGTTTTTTGATAAATCAATGTGCATCTGTGCATTTTAGGATGGAGATGGGTTTGTTGTGGGACGTGTGGGGGTGTGATTTTTGATATCAACGGCGACAGACATATTTTATTGCATAATTTGTGGCTCGTTGTTAATAATAGCTTTTCACGCAAATATTTGCATCAACCAAAAGGATGATTTTTTATACCAAGATATTGTACCATACTGTTTTAATTAGACTGATTAAAAACGCATGTGTTATCTAAAGTGCGCGAGCTTTTTTACCATAAAAAAAGAGTATTTGAATCAGAAATCAGGTAGGCATTACATGCAAAACACTTCGCATCAATTATTTGCCAAAAAATTGGAAATAGTTCGCTACTTTTACAGAATTATCATTCACTCGACCTATTAAAATCAGAATTACAACTTTGATAAACTGCCTTAGGAATTTGTACATTAGTAAATAGTTTTTCGTAATAAGTACACCTGATAACGTTTCCTTTTACTCGGCACGCAATGAACACATTAAATAATAGGAAATTATAGGGTAAACAACTTGATGCTAATTCTGTGAAGTGCTTCATATATGTTGACACTAATTCCAGATGTACAGAGTATTTTTCCTCGTATTGTTTTGCATACCAAATTCCTTAATATCACGTGAAACACAGGCTCATTTTTGCGCATTTTAATTGTGTAATTACAGTAAACGCATCTTTTACACCCCCCACCCCCGATGTTGACAGTATGGACTTTGTTATTGCCACTCAAAGCATGAAAAATTTACACAAATCTTTCATTTAACAGCACGAAACATTTACCTAAATGTCATTTGAAAGATTTAGATGGTATTTTTTTGAAAAAGAAGACTGCGCGTTCCTCTCGTGAATAGTCTCGACTAAACATGCGCAAAGGATGTTTATAATGCGACATTGATGCTTTGATTATGCAACACCTGATCGACTCACGTGATACGCTGCTTGTATCTGCCGAGCCATCGAGAGAATCATCAGACGTCCCTGTGTGCATAGGTTTTATGTATTCAACAGAAATGGCGAAGAATGTGACGAATTGTTTTAAGCTGAAGGCCAAAATATTGTGTTAAAAATGACAGAATCTGTGTGTACAGTTACCGAAGAGGTGTTCGAAGGTGAAAGGAGCAAGAAAAGAGAAGAGAAAGGGAAGAAAAGTGAATACTCTCGTAGAGACCAGACGAACGGCAAAGCAGCTGTCGAATGGGGAAATTCTAAACGTCATACATTTGAAAATGCGAATGAGAGCGGGGCTATTTTCGCAGCTAGTCTTAGCAACATGTCACCAGAGGAGTACGCTCGAAAACTTGCGGAGTTTAACGCGCAGAATGGCTCTTATATGAAAAACGCTTATCCATCGGTTGATCCTCGAGCGTACTATGGTTGGATGCCAACCACCGGATTTAATCCTATGCGAGTTCCTGCGTTTATTTATCCACATTCTCTTGTTGGATTCGCCCCAACTTTTGCGTGGATGCAGTCTAATGATTCCAACGCTATTAAAACATTTGGGAAAGTTGCAAACGTTCCAAAGGTTGAACGCTGGAAAGGCAGTCGAAAGGAACAACAGCATTCGATTTGCAACTCTGATCTTACTAGTCTGGCGAATCACGATGGCTCAACAGTCTACGCTAAAAGTGATTCGAGCTCTGAAAACGTTTCCGAGTCTGTTAAAGCAACAAATAGTGATGAAGATGAGGGTATGGTACTTGACGAGCGTGAAACGTTAAAAAGACGTCGTCAAAAGGATGCTGAAAAAAATCAAACGCCTCAAGACTTCAAAATTACAGAGAGACGAAGTAGCGTTATACAAGAGAACAAGTCGATTCATGTACAACAATCAGCATTGTTGAATCGTTCTTCTCATCTTTTTGACGATAAATCATCTATGAACACTGAAATTGATCAGAATAAGCCTGCAAAAAGAGGTCGAGCGTCTACACGGCAAATCGAGAAGACTGAACAGTATTGGGATCGTCGTAAGAAAAATAACATGAGCGCTAAAAAGTCTCGAGATGCTCGTAGGCAACGCGAAGCTCTCATAAATCAACGTGCTGCTATGTTAGAAACAGAAAATCTTCGCTTAAGAGCGGAGTTGGCTACAGTAAGAGACGAAAATTCTCGACTAAAACAAGAACTGAACAGTTTGAAAATGACGCAATCGTCTGCGTGATTTCTTAAGTGTGTATACAATTGGTACAATGAGAAGAGCTTGTATTGTACAAATATGTATCATATATAATTTGCTAAAGAGATGGCCTCCGGAAGAAATATTCGAGAAAACGTTACATCGACATTCTGATGGTTAAGCTCTATACCTTTAAAATCATTTCCTCAAAGTTCAAGAAAGATAGAGAGGGGAAGAGGGAAGGAAGGAGTAATTGTTACACGGAACTATTCGTCATTTGTTCATCTTTCAAAACTTTCCTCCGGTAGTTATATAACTTTAGTACGTATATCCAAGTTTATCCATATTTGTTTAAGTGCTCAACTAATTCTTTGTTTGGCCTAAGCTTTTCAAAGTAGTTATATAAGAAGAACTTGATAAACGATCTATACCACAATAGATTTATCAGAAAACTTTGCACACATTTATTTTTCCGTAAATTGTAAAGCATTTGAGGTTTTGCCATTAACTTAACATAAACCCTATATAATTGGACTTCGATTACTATTGAAATAATTTGAAGGGATTTAGAAAAACAGATCATATGTGTTTTAACACCAAATATTTTAATTCAAAGTAAGGCGCCTTCGCAAAATCATTAGCTTCAGTTTGTTTTTCAGTTTATTGCAAAAGCAACACCTGCTTTTAAAAAATCTTTCTAGACTTGTTATTTATATAAGTTCTCACAATCTGGCTTGCTATAGACAATTGCCTTGAGTGTGCGAGACGCCTAAAACTCACGTTTTTTTTATTCGACGTGGCAAAGTCGACAAACTATAAAGTAACTCAGTGAAAATGCACATCAAGTTTAACCCATTTACAATGCATATGAATTAGTTTCAGTTTGATAGGCCAATGTAAGCCACCGAAGTCTTGCATTAGATTTATATTGTACATAAATATATGTTATATTCTTGTCTTTTAACATATTCTGTAGACTGTTTGTGTCACATAAATATGTGATTAACGAATAACTCTCTTGTATAGTTCATATGTGCTTCATTTTGTGGAGCGTTTTAATTCTATATATATATACATATATATACGTACGTGTGTGTACAATACTTTATTCATATACTATGTAATTATGATATATCTTCATAAGTTTGCGAGAAAATTCAATATTACGATATTGCACTTTAACGTGATTTTTGGTTGTAGGCTTTTGACATTTTTTTGAACGCAAACGCAGTTTTTTCGTTTAAAAACTAGACAATGTCGTCTCTATTGTATTAGCAGAGTAAGATTTACGGAATGTTTCAGGTACAGCTTAAACGTTTATAATTTCTTGATCGCAGCGAAGCTGTAATGATTACGTTATTAGCTTTGTTTTAGTATTGGCCGCTTATATTATCTAGACTAAACGAATCTTGACAAAATTCAACATATGTATCAAAGTTTGTTACATGGTTTTCATATAATCTTATATCGTTTTACATCAGCAATCACACCAAAAAAGAAATGTAAAACTACAGGCAAAAGAAAATTTGTTAGTCAGTCAATATAAGCGAGGGCGTGTAACTGCCACTTCTTTCTCTTAATTAACAGCATGATTGATGCACTTTTGTATGAGTTTAAAATACGAAACGCCTGGATGAATTATCAGCATCAATAACAGGGAAGAAACATAAGTCTGGCTTTCAGAGTAGTTAAACATTTCACTGAGCTTTTTAATCTGCTTGACAAGATCTTTTCTCACTTGTTTGTGAAAGAATTTGGATTTTTTCCACTATCTGTATAAACTCTGAAAGCTATATAAAGTGTCGTTCGTCCACCCCATTAAAATATTCTGCGCCCAATTTATGTGAAAAAGTATTGAAAACTTAGTTCGTTTCAAAAGAATGGGTCACGAGCCCAAAAAAAATATGCACACGACTTACAGCCATACACGTGATGTTGTTTATCATATAGCAATATTGGTCACGCCTTGTACCGATGATCACACGAGCCGCAAGTTGAGTTAATTGCTCCTTAATGAGATATTTTTTTAAATCAACAATTTTTTAATAGAAAATTTTCTCGTTAGCTTAAAAATGTCCTAAAACGGTGATTTACATAAATGTTGCAATTATGTAAAATATTTATTGTGTACTTTAATTAACAAATCTGTGAAACTTTTGTTTTTGGAGGAGAACGTATTTTTTTTGCAGACATTTAATTGCGATGCAGATGCATTAGGGATCAGATAACGGAATAGTCTGGCAACATTAACGCAGCTATTTTTGGCTGTTTTTCTCATTTGGTTAGGTATATTTACGAATACGTCTTTTTGATTACTTGTTCCTGGCGGGATGGAATGACTCGTGAAAAAAAGAGGAAAAATCAAGATGTATTTAGCTATGTTCACTGAAACCAGAATGCTTAACATCTGTACTAGTGAAGTTAAGATTAATGAAATTATAAACATATTAGTATTATCGTCACACTAGTCTAGAAAATAACCTCAAGCGTCGTTGATTGTTATACAGGCAAATATGTGGATATGTTGTATATATCTTCGTAAGGTTGCCAGAGATGGCAGTTTGTTGTATAATGCAAAGATGGTCTGAGAAACTGTTACAACTGTGTGTAAAAGAGAATCGCAATAGCACAAGAATAGTTTAGAACGTAGTTTTATTAAAACAAAAATGGATTAGGGTTGTAGGTATAGGTACGAACAGGTCTTCGAAAACAAACGGTGTTATTCTTTTAAAGTTTCCTGTTGCTTAGCCCATTGGCTTTAAAAACTTTAAAATAGAATATAAATTCCAAAAAAGGAATTGTTATTTAAAAAGAGATTTAAAATTTTTGATATTGTGAAAGATTGCTCATCATTTATTCAACTTCCAAGTCATGTTATTTGTCTGGGGATCAGCTTGTGATAACGTACGATCGTTGTGTTATGGCCAGTTTCACCTTTCATTAAATGATTCTGTCACGTGACTTGAGAATCTTTAACGATAAATCAATAGTGCAACAGTTTGATGTGTCCTAGTTAACATTTACCACGTAGTTGTAAAGATCATCACAATATCCACCATCGTGATACCTAGTTGCATTTTGATTTATTTTGCATACGAGTTAAACCCTAAAACTTACAATCAAAAACGCCATAACATGCAATGATTAGAATGAAGGACCTCGAGCTGAAATTTTACGTTGTACATATTGTGAAATAGGAAACGCTACTCTAGTAGACTGAAACTGTCAGAAGAGGGAAGATATTTTTGTATTTTGGCATGATTTGATATGGATCATGTAAGACCATTACAGTATCAATGGACGACGTCACGTGCATGTTAGAACCAAAATAATACAGAATAAACAACCTTTGGACAGACCTTATTCATGACACCCACACTAAAGATAAGCTTGATTGTAGCTACCAATAATTGTGATCCATGCGTTATAGATTAGACAAAACAACCAATGTCAAACCAAAAATAATGTTTGTCTGATTACACAATCGCATACATTTACGTGGGCGAGACTGTCATAGGAACATCAAAACACTCCTTACTTCAGGAACATCTGCAAAGAACTTTTTATGCCCTTAGAACTTACATTGGCGTCAAAAATTATACTCTTTCAATGACCTGAGAAATAATTCACAGCAATATTGAACGCAAAAATGAATGAGATATTTTAGAAGTTTTATGCTATAGCTGTGAGTGTAGAAAGCGATCGTATGTAGGCTATCCTTATCCATTACCAGTCAATGAAGTAGAATAATAAAAAGAGAAAAAATACCTGCAAGATTAGAAATGAAAAATAAAATGTCTATTTTTGACCTCGCAACTTAAGATAAACGAATGGAGATAAACAAATTACGAACTGACATCAGATTCAGATGATGAATTTATTACATATTCTAAAAGTCACTGTTTGAAAACTAGTAAGTAGGAAAATGACTTTTTATTAAGAGCGTATTTCTTGATACGATTTTTGCAGATTCAACAACGATGTATCTATTTCTATTTACCATATGCAGCTTTGTGCAAGCTTTTAGCTAAATAATCTCAACATTGATTCTATCTGACGGCATTCTTTCCTTCTTTGGTCAATATCAAAAGTCAAGCCTTGCTCTTGTGGGTAAATTACATTTTTTTATATGAGATTTAAATTGGAAATTTGTGACGGTGTATCATCCGCTTTAGTTCTTTTCTAGCAGCAACCTAGACGTCAATAAAACACGAAAGTTTAGAAGAGGAGATTGAGAGGTGTCTCAACCCTTTTCGTTATGTTCATTTTGGTATTAATCATGGAAATTGTGTCATATGTTCATTGAGATGTTCTGGTTGGGCATAGTTATAAATTCATCGGATGTTTATTTTCTCTTGAATCTGTGTGTCTTTTTCTCTTGACAGGTAATTGATAGTCAGGTGCCCCGTGTGAAGAAATCGCCCCTACTGATCGACACCATTTTCGTCGTTGGTATTTTGCGTTGAAGAAATAACTATTATATGTCTTCATTTGTAGTATCAATGTGTCATATACTACTCCCAAGGTGGTATCACTGGACACTGGGTGGTGTCACTGGATATTGGGTGGTGTCCCTGGATATTGGATGGTGTCACTGGATATTTGGTGGTGTCAATGGATATTGGGTGGTGTCACTGGATATTGGGTGGTTTCACCGGACATTTGATGGTGTCAATGAACATTGGGTGGTATATTCAAAAACGGTGTCCAAATGTACCCAACAAAAAGTTTGTTATTTGTGATGTGATAGCGCGCGAGTTTCCCACGCGTGTAAAACTCGACTCGTTTAATTCCGGTTTTGTTTGATGTGGCGATTAGAATAGCGTTCTAACTGACTAGAGGAAAACTGATAGAAATTCATCTTCTTTTTCATCTTCTTTGGAGCAAATCAAAAGGTTTGACATTTCATGTATTGTTTTCGATTATTGTGTTTCTGATTTCAATTATTTATGGTTTTATCATACATATTGTTGTATACATCTGTGATTTGATTTCGTTTCCTGGACCAGGACAGCCTATATCGTTGAAGTTGTAGGAGTGGAAATATATTTTGCCGGATTATTTTTCAATTAAAATATCTAGTGCACAAATACATATTTTATTTTCACGTTCGTATACTTTGCTTTAATGTATTTTCGGATTACACTTGCAATTAAAAATGTCGTTTACCGATGAAATATTTCCTACATTATGTATTTATTATTAAAAACACTGAAAATATTTTTGTTTGGAAGAATCATACCTAAGGTTTTGTGGCGTTTCATATGTTCAGGAATATTAATTTTCTGAAAATTTATTGAAAAGAAATTGCTAATGCCCAAGGGAAGGTTATCTCAAATAGTTTTATGATTATTTTTATCAATGAAATGTCCTCAACGTAAGGCAGATTTCCGATCATTTACATTTGACAGGTGTACTAAATTTAGTAAATTATCAAGTAGAGAGTAGATACTTCGTCAAAAATAATTGTTGAAAGCTCTGCTTTTTACAGCGGCATCTGTATTTATTTTGGTTTGCTTTCATAATTTCTTTAGAACAACAACGCTATTTTTGTGATTTACTGTATTTTTTAAAATACATTTAAATGACAGATGTACATTGATTTTCATTTCACGTCAAAACTGATTAGATATTATTTTGTACATTCCTAATATTCGTTTTACTTTTATTACATTCTAATGTTTGTTTTAATGTCCGTTCCAAGTGATTTCTCGTAGACATTGTTAACGCAAATTAGCAAAAGGAATGTTATATTTATTGGTTATTTACATTAGGTGAAAATGCCACCTGGGCAAGTCAAACATTCACCTGGCGCTAAGATAGTGAAGGAAGGATGGCTTTACAAGCGAGGTTTTACTCTTCTTTTATAATGGCTTTATTAATGAAAAAATGCCTAGTTTTTAGTTCTGATAGTAGTATAAATGCACATTATCACAAGTTCTTTGTCGAAATGTTATGTTATATAAGTTTTTATTGAAAGCCAAGCCCCAAATACTGATATACATAGTTAAGAAACTTATTATTTAGAGAAAACTTTGTGTTTTAGAAGCTTCAGTTTAAAAATAGTATTTTAATTTTATATATTGTAAGAGCATGTTATCCAATCAACTTATCTCGTGAAACTTCATCATATTTCCGTGGCACATTTTCTATGTTTTGAGCCAAAGTATTGATTTAATGTAGGTGAATACATAAAGAACTGGCGTCCACGCTATTTTCAACTTTGGGATGATGGAAACTTTCTTGGCTACAAGGACAAAACAAAAACAGATGAAGAACCACTAAATAAATTCACAGTTCAAAGTATACACTTCTGTCTTTGCATGCAAGCTTGTACCATTTGTGGACATGTTGATGTATTGCAGTGCAAGGTGTAGTGTATGTCAAAATAAATTATTGTAGCTTGTTTTGAATATATATTTGTTTTCAAATACCTTAAATAGGCAACTTGATTGGTAAAAATTTACTCTCAATAAATTAGAAACCAATAGTGTTCTTATGAAAGTAATTTGAATTTACAATTCAGAATCTATAATTTATTTTGACTAATGCTGGATTTGCCACTGAAGTGTAGAATGTGCTCAAATGGCTGAAATCAATTACAAATTCCCTAAAATGGCTGTAAGTGATCTGAATATACATGGTCTTTTGCCTGTTTTAGACTGTCAAATTGTGAGCACTGAAAGGCCAAAGCCACACTCATTCTTTGTCAGGTATTTATGTATAAATTTGAAAATATGATTTAGTGAAACATTTTTAATGGGAAATTCACAATTTGATGCATGACGTTTTTGCAAACTTATTAACCCATCTTTAAGATAGCATATTTAAGGTTTCCCAATTCTTTCTTTCATATGTATATGAAAAATATTTTAGGTGTTATCAATGGACTACTATTGTGGAAAGACTCTTTCATGTTGATACAAATAATGAAAGGCAAGTTTTTTGTGCCATAAAAGAAACTTTGTGGTTAATAATTTTTTGAATTTGTCATCATGCTTTGTTCAAAACTAATTGATACAAATTTATATAAATATATTTGTGAAGACGTCTTAAAATGTGCAATTATTTAAAGTAAACATATTGAATGTGTTGATATTTGTTGAAGGGAGGATTGGCTACAATGCATTAAAAACGTTTCAGAAAAAATTCTGGAAAAAGCAAAGTCTTTACCTGATCAAGCTCATGCAACTGCTGGCAAGAAAATGGTATACATTTTCGTTTAAAGATTTAGTCTTACAAACATTATGATGAAAATTTTGTTACTTCTGACTTTGATTTCCAGACATTAGAAGACTTCACTATCTTGAAAGTTCTTGGAAAAGGTACATTTGGAAAGGTATTGTTTATTAATTGTTGTTTATGCTTACACTCTTCATTTTGTGGTAGCTTTCATTCAGATGTTTTTTGCATTAAAACATATGTGTAAATGTATCTTTTCAAATTACTGTTATTTGTTGAGCCATTCTTCTAACATGATCAGTGGTTTTCAATATAGTTTATAACAAGAAAGTAAATCATCAAAAATCATCTAATCATCTCATCTTTTGCTCAATGATTATCATAGGTAATGCTTGCAAAGCAAAAAGCCACAAATGAACTATTTGCTCTCAAAGTTTTAAAGAAAGAAGTCATAGTGGCAAAGGTGGGATTGACTACATCATTGTTTGCATGAGTGAGCAATTAAAGAAAAATTTTCTTGTGACATCAGCAAGTGCCATGTGTAATGTGTGAAATTGAACAGCTAGGCTTAAGTAAATCACTGCCTGTGAGAATAGAGATATTGAACCAAGCTATTGTTCAAGTCTTCAATATCACTAAATGAAAGCAATCTTTAGCTACTACTCAGTTTTGTTTTAGCTATAGTGTTTCCTTGATGCATTTTAATCACACGACTCATGTCTAAGGCCATCCTCCTATTCATTCAACCTCCCTCCCAACAGTATAATTGTTTTTTAACAGGATGAAGTTTTTCACACGTTGACTGAAAACAGAGTTTTACAACTGTGCAAACATCCATTTTTGACGGAACTTCGTTTCTCTTTTCAAACACGAGACAGATTGGTGTTTGTTATGGAATATGTTAATGGTGGCGAGGTAGATGATGAACGTTTGTTGCAATTTTTAAATATAGGCATTGTCATTTGAACTAGCTATTTTAATACTTTGAAATTATGTTAAATCCAGTGAGTTAAAACGAGACAGTATTATATATGCTTATATTACTATATCATTTTCCAAGTTAGTGAAAATATTTTTTCATCGTGTGTAATTCAGTGACCCGATTTTGGCTTTTTAATATACTTCAGCAAAAGTTCTTCTTTTATTCTTTCTGTATTGAAAAATCAAAAAAGATATGGGACTAATTTGTCATGTTTTCTAATCGATTTCTTTTAAATAGTTATTCTTCCATCTCTCGAAAGAGCGTGTGTTCCCTGAGGAAAGAAGTAAATTTTATGCGTCAGAAATCATTTTAGCTGTGGAATATCTTCATGAACAGAATGTCGTGTACAGGGATTTGAAGGTGATTAAATCTTTATACTGTCGCGTTTTTGAGACAGATGTGTGTTTAACTCAATTATATTTCTGCTAAATTTGTTGTATATTTTGAGACTACATTAAGTTGAGCTATCGTATTCGTTGCTTTTTCCAGTTGGAGAATTTGTTGCTTGACTCGGAAGGTCACATAAAGATTACAGATTTTGGTTTGTGTAAAGAAGAAATCTCATTCGGAGCTACCACAAAAACGTTTTGTGGTACACCAGAGTATCTAGCTCCCGAGGTTGAAAAATACATTTTGCCTCAAATGTGACTCATCATCATCGTCTCAGTTTCATATCTTGCTTCTCTTAGGTATTAGAAGACAATGATTATGGTCGTTCCGTTGATTGGTGGGGTGTTGGAATTGTTATGTATGAAATGATGTGCGGACGTTTACCTTTTTATAGTCGTGACCACGAAGTCTTGTTTGAGCTTATTCTTACCGTAAGTGCACGAAAATTATATAAATCTTGTGTCCTCTTGTGTAAAGAAAGTTCTTTATGATCATAGGCTATTGAAACATGATCATACCACTCCTTTTCTCATACTTACTATTGAATATAATTGACTAATCGGGTTTAAAATTTCTTAGTCGAACTTTCTACTTTCTTTCTTCCTTTCTGTATGTATAAGTGATGTGAAAAGTCAGCAACTGATTATTTGAAGTTCTTATTTAAAATATATAAAAGGAATATATTCTTCGACCTTTATTCTACATAGTTCTAGTAAATATCTATGTAACTACAAAATCTACAGATGTTTATACTCTTTTTCTTAACATAATTATTCCTAATATTTTCTCTATTTATTTTTAATTTGTCCCATTGGATGATTCCTAAATAGCTCATTATAATTATTGTTTATACTTAAAATTAATTGTTTCTTACAGCAAGTGACATACAATGTCTTGTTTTGCATAGGAAGACGTAAAGTTCCCTCAGCGATTGACTGATCTTGCTAAGTCTGTATTGGGTGGTTTGTTGGAAAAAAATCCAAAACAACGGTAAGAATGTCAATTTACATGAGTTTTTATTTCAAGATGTTGAACTTTTTTACTATTTAGATTGGGTGGTGATGTCTCTGATGCTAATCAAATCAAAAAACATCCATTTTTTCGTGACGTCAATTGGACAGATGTTCTTAACAAGAAGGTTCGTCTTATACATTATTAAATCTTAGAACGTAGTCTCAATAAACCGAGGTATATAAACAGGAACGTTTATACTTAGATCAAACCACCGTACATTCCAACGATCAAAGATTCAGAAGACACTTCTTATTTTGATCGTGAATTTACAGATCAACCTGCTCAACTTACTCCACCTGATGCTGATGGTAAGTACATTACTTGCACTCCATGCTTGCACTTCATCAGTAACAGCAGAAAACTTTTTCACATTTATCAATAGAATAAACCTAATCCTCCCTCCTCTCAATTATCGATCTTCCAAGTTCCTACATCCCTGCTAAAGTAGATAAACTCTGTGACATTATTGACCTCTTGGTTATTTGTTATGTAGACATTCACAAAGCATTGATTACTTTTACCCAAGTTATGTTGTGTGATACAAAGCATATTTATACATAAATTAAAGCATTTAGCGCTTGTGTTTTCATTTTTAGGTGTCCTCGATGGCATTCCTGAAGAAGCTGACGCACAATTTAATAAGTTTGAGTTCGTGACGGACGAGCAACCAAAGTCGAAGTAGGTGATACGTCAAATGTTCAATGCAATGCATCAATACATTTTACATGAGCTCAACGTTTTGGCAAAACATTGTATTTGTGTTGCAGAAACTTTAATACCACTAATACAGATAGGTTTAGTATTAAAAAACAAAAGACCTTCTCGTATATTTGTTAACCCTTCTCGTATTTTTGTTTGTCTTATTCTCTTACTTAAACTAAATTTGCTTGAAAATCTGTATTTTTTGTAAATTATTTGCAATTCTTTCTTGTTGTTTAATGTGATAATAACTTGACTAATAAATGAATACATGCAAAGTATACAGCATCTGAATTTTTATCAATCATTGCTCTTTTCTGTGAAGAGTCTTGCTTTTGTTTTTTTACTGTTATCCCATTCCCATCTAAAAAGTTGTAGGTGACGTCAGAAAACAACCTCGTTCCTAGGCTATTTCGAAAATCTCTGTGTTAGCTAGCAAAGGCCCTGGGGCCTGGGCGCGAAAGAAGAAACATGGCTTCTTTCAATTTAAAGGAGAAAAGGTTAATTTTGATCTATTTTTTCTTATTTCCTCAACGATTACTTTGTCATTACAATGCAGAGCCAAGTAGCATCATCAGAGGAGTGAGAGGTGACGGTAAGCAAATATTAAAACGTAGTATCTCCGAAAATCCTTTATCAATAATGGCTTTTTATGATACTAGTGTTGAAAGACTGAGCACGGTTTTTAAACAACTTATAACTAACCGACTATTACCCGAGGCTATTGCTTATTTTGGCAAAACGTTGACCGTCCGTCAACGTATTTCGCCATTAAAACTTCAAAGGAACTGCTCAAAGGAAAAATTCGTCAAATATAATAACGAGTATGTTCGGTTTTGTGCTAATCATTGTGAAAAACAAACGTTTTGTGGGCCAGTTAGAGTTCCCGAAAATCATCTTGACGTCTGTAACACTTGCAACCCTACAGACATTAGTTGTAAGCAAAAGAACCAATCACTGAACACTGGTGTCACCAACTATGACTTTATTTTGTATGTAACTGCTAGTAACACATTTCACTGTTCTGTGGAAAATGATGTTATAGCCTATGCATCATCATGCCAACAAGAGCAAAGACTTGATCGCCCAGTTGCTGGATTTGTTAATTTTTGTCCAGAAGCATTCATGAAGAAATTACACTTCAGTCATTTGTTAGCTATTACAAAACATGAGATTTTTCATGCTCTTGGCTTTTCATCATTGCTTTTTGCTTACTACCGTATGGACAATGGTCATCCACTCACACCACGTCTACATGATGGTAGACCTGCGTATCGCTGGAGTGATAAGGTAATTAAAAGCTATATGAATGAGATGGTAGCATTTCCAGGACAGTTGGCTAAGCACATTGCTTTGAATTGTAAATCTTCCAGTAAAATAAGTTAGAAAAAAGTAATGATCATGAATCAAACTTAAGTGTTAGCACTTACACATTAAGCAATAATTGGTTTATGCCTTCATCCTCTACTTATAAATTTGTGAAAACATAGAGTGTTGCAATTATGATTACCATAACATGACGTACATAATATTTGTATTTCCAATTGTATGTTAAACAGTTAACTTTTTTCAAAACAGTATATAATTTTCATGTCCTTTTCTGTGTCCTATGTTCACTGATGGAGTTTTGCCTTACTGTATTATCTTACTAGTATGTTATTAGTATGACTAATAATTCTTATTCACAATCATAGGTTATAAAAGATGTTACTAGACAAAGGTGGCTAGTCAGTGAAAGGGCTGGGGGATCTGTTGTTCATAAAGTGAGAATGATTATTACACCAAGAGTTGTTAAAGAGGCACGGTTGCACTTTAATTGCTCAATCTTGGAAGGTGCTGAAATTGAGAATCAAGGTTCATCAGGTCAAATTTACACACACTTGGAGAAGCGGGTTTTTGAGAATGAGGCCATGACTGGGGTGTTTACTAATAATCCAGTATTTTCTCGCATTACACTGGCAATTATGGAGGATAGTGGTTGGTATTGGGCTAACTATAATATGGCAGAAGAACTAGACTGGGGACGCAACTTTTCTTGTGCCTTTGCAATGAATAGCTGTAAATATTGGATGGATTATCAAATGAAAGCTAACAAATCAATTGCTCCTTATTGTACCCAGTTATCAAAAAAAGATCAAATACAAACTGGTTGCACTCACAGTCGTGGTGGTGTAGGAGTTTGTAATTTGTTCAAATATAAACACTCCCTTCCTTTGGAGTATCAGTACTTTGATTCACTGCCAGGGGTAGGGACTCCTTCTCATTATGGTGGTGCAATAATCCTTGCAGACTATTGTCCATACTATCAGGAATTGGATTGGAAAAGTGAGGGAAAAGTGGTTCGCAACTCTTATTGTAAATGCAAGTTGAATAATCCCACCCAAGAAAAGAATTATGCATTGGAAGTTTATGGAGATAATGCTATCTGTTTCAGGCAAGGTAAAGCATGGACTCGCAAGTCTTGTTCTCATAGCTCAAGTGCAAAGAATTGGGGCAGTGGATGTTATTTGTACTCATGCACAATTGATGGATTGGTTCTCAATGTAGGAGGAAAATCCTTCCATTGTTCATATGCTGAGCAAGTAATAGATGTTAAACTGTTGTTCAATGGTATGTTGCACGAAGGCTCAATCATTTGCCCTCATTGTAATGATGTTTGTTCAAATTCATGTTCGTTAACCAACTTAATAAAATTCAATAGTTCTAGTGTCATTATTCAAGAGAAATCTCTACTTGTCTGTTCATGCAATACTTTACATTATGACATATTTATTATGTTATTGCTTATGGTCATAATCTCACTTGTCAAAACATAAATAGTTAATTAAATCTAAGTTTTATAATCCGTGTACGTAAAATAGTGTTTCCTTAAACATCGTATTTTATGAGGAAAAGATGTTATTTATTCTGAACATTGTAAATAGTAGAACAAAGCAATATTTTTAGGTATGTGATATGATGAATAAATATTATGGTTCGTTTTTATTTAGCAATGATTGTTTTATTTTTACGCTTTAATTTATTTTTTCACTCATATAATACACAAACTGACAGTTCTCTCCATTCTCTGTGTTTATAGACGTTGCCTCGCTATAAACGTAGTGATCAAAAATTCGAACAAAAAGTAGAATTCCCATCATCTCTCTTTATTATTCTCGGTTTGTAAACTTGTCGTTTTGTTCGCTAACGATATATATAGTTATCAAAAACTGGAACAAAACTAGAAAAAAAGATTCCGATGTAGTTGACCTTGAATTGTTGAAACTGACAATAAACGAATCGATACCTTGGATTGTACATCTCTATGCGACCCTTGAGTATGGAAGGACCAAGTAATTTTGCTAAGTCTTGCGTACATTCAGCGGCTGCTGTTGATGTGAGAGTGTTTTCGCACGTTAAACTGTGAAATAAGACCTCCAGAAATTCTTCTAAGTACACTTTGAAATGTTTTTTCCCGAGAGCTTTTGCTACTATAGGTAGCTGAAAACGATCAAAAAGAGATAAATTTGTATTAGTGAAAGTGGTTTAGGAAGTGATGAACGAGCGATAAGAGAGAACGAGAACAGTCTTCAACTACATTTACTACAGTAAATATGAACAAGAACATTCTTGAGACTGACTGAAATAAAAGAACGCGGTATAACATGAACACAACATCATTTCAATAAATATTGATATATATTTGTGTGACCTGTTTGCAGACAGTCTCATAAAATTGTAAATATTGAGAATAATTTCTTTTTTTTGTTGCTTCAGCCATAAGAGGAATGAGGATTTTCATATGATCTCGTGCTATATCAAGCTTCGACAACTCGGCAACGAGGTAAACACATCTAAATAACAAATGAAACATATTTCATTTACCTACACTTGCATTTAGTACCGTAAACTTTACTCTTTAAACTCCTGGATTTTGTTTTTTCGTATTTAAACAACCAAAGCCTTTGTATGAGCACACAAAACGATGATGAAGGAGTGGAAACATTTTTTTTACTTATAAAAACTAATATTAAACATGCATTTTCAATGTTTCTTTAACGTTCGATGTTAATAAACTAACCCATCAGTAACCTCCCATGGTTGTGTAGGTCGTTTGAAATGACCACCTGAGCAACCGCCACGCCCCATTTTAGGCGCCAGCGAACCGCAGGAGTACATCTGAATAAAGCAAGAGAAAATTATATATTGAATACTTGATGTTATTTGTTAATGTATATTTGTAGCACTTTCTAACGGAGGTTATACCGTTTGATTTGTATGAAGTTCAATATCATTATCTCTCTGTTTTTTTATCACACCAAATGAACCAGGTCCCTTTTCTAGAGCACTGAATCTGTATAAATACAATAGACTTTCAATTTGTAATATGAAGAGGACTTTAAGTCAAGATTTTTTACTTAACCTGTAAGCTATCCCTAACCATCCCTCCCATTTTACCTTTGATTGTCTTTGTTATCTTGCTTATCAACCTCTTTTAACTTTTCTTTAGCTTTATCTGATACATATTCGACTGCTTCCACGCCTAAAGACGAAGGCGAGCAGTAAGTTCCTTATACATAAAACACTGTGTATTAAGTGATGTACATGAATAAAAGACATTTCACAGCATACCGTAAGTTTTGACGAGATTAGCCAATGAGATTGCAGCACCTTGTCTAACAGACGGTATGTTGTCGCAAAGATTGACAAAGAATAGTTCATATAGCGTGGAAAGACGCGGTCTGTTTACAGAGGAGGAACAATTGATTTTATGATATGAAAAAAATTATGCTTTTTTAAGATCTATTCATAATCCTTGAAGTTTGCACATTTAACTTCAACCTTTACCTGCATTCTTCGGAAAAACATTGAACAAAGTTGCCGCAAGCCAAACACGCAGCTAGAAATATGAGAATAGTTATAAGACCGTAACTGCTTGCTTTGAATCTGAATTTATTTGTTAAAAAGTCGGTGATTTTTTTTTAATTAGACATAACGTTCCGAAACTTTTACCATCTCTGACAGGCCAGCCTTCGTCATGAAAACAGTCTATCATAGCTGCAAGGAGAACGTTGACGAACGGACGGACGGCGTCTGGAGATACCTGTATTATATGCATCAGTGAAACCATGTGATTGTGCAGTACCACAGAGGTAAATGTAAAGCTTTACCTTAATTCCTAATTCTGCTATACACTCACATGCAGCTTCCCTCACTGCATGGTTATCTGCCTTTGTTTGACTGATATAAAACTCCACCTGAATAGCGAAGAGAAGAAAGTCATGGTTAAATTCACTTTTCATCTTTGCTGTTTGATCATTCGATCAGCGAATATTCAGCCCCTCAAAAGAACACTGATTATCATTAAACTACGTATACGCTTTGTTTTTCAACTGGCATAGGACAAGGTTTGAACTTTCCCTTTTTTATAACCTACAACGAGCACCTGGAGCATATTTACATTCTAAAAGATCATACTGTTTCTTTGATGTATTTTTCCACGAGTCTCTTGCCGTCGTTCCCTGTGATTATCTTCCAATTTTCCTGCGAGTAAATCCGTACACCCGCTGCAACGTAGTATCTATAAAAGAAATAACCATCTCAATCACCGACCATAAATCGCTTGCTTCTCTTTAATGTTATCACATGATTATATAAGAAGAAGAAGTTTGCGTAGCCTTGGCATTGAAAACCGAAAAATTCAAATTTGACAATATCAAACAAACCTATTTAAACACATGGGTGGTAAGAGTTTTGGATAAAACTGTTCTTTTGCATCATTTGTACCCAGAGTGACTAGGAATGATCTTGTTGCCCATGATGCAGCCAGACGAACCTATCCAAAACAACCCGTGAAATTAAAACCTTGCGTCATATATTTGTTCAATCGTTGAACGTTACCTGACTCCAGTTATCTGAGAGACCTTTCCTCAGATAGTCAGCTAACATATCTCCATAGTTAAGCAAGGATTGCCTGTTTTCCATCGCTTGCTCTTGAGATAATCCAGACGACACCGGGGCATCTAAACAGCCAGCACATTAAAAGCATGTAAAAACGGTTGCTTTATGCCGAACTTGGATTTTTTATAAGTTTTTGTTGATGTAGAGCATTGTCGACTTTTATTTCATAAACTTTGAAAATTCTTCAAGTGCTTTTGGATTGGAGGCATAAAGGATTCAGTTAAATAAAATTAAGCGTTAGTAGAGAGAATTATTAAAAAAATAAAACTTCAAAGAAGTTATAAAAACTGTATAATTTAATGAACATAATCTATTTACAATTCATTTACTATAGTACAGCAAATGTGTTACCACCCAAAACCCTTGTTATTTTAAATTACAAACAATATATATTTAAAAAACTTACAAAAACTGATCAAACTGTTTAAATTACTTATATACTTCTACATTACAGGGGCAACTTTATTTCGTTTAAAACAAGAAAAGATAGAAGCAATTCTTGCTCGAAATTTTGGCCGTCTTGGCCAACTGATTCTCTTCAATGATTGAGATGATCGTTCTTCACTCGACGTTTTTTCTAAATGAATCGCGTCCGCTTTTAGTTTTCGAGATGACGGAAGGACAATGTCTGATACCATGTCGTTTTCATTTACATCTTCCAGCACCATGTCAGTATTTGACGATTTGTCAGAAGCCTTTTCCGATTTACAGTCGTTTTCCTCTGTTTCCAACACTTCGTTTGAGATGGTCTTTTCAACAACGTCTAAAACGTCTATTGTGTTATCAAGCGCAGGTTCAAAAGTTGTGAAGGAGCTTGAGCAAGATAAAGGAAATGACGGTTCGTTGGTTTGTTCATTGTCAATGTTCAACTCTTTACAGAGGCTTTGAGAATGAAGTTTTTCCTCAATAGGCTGAAAACTATTGCTTTCAACCTCAGCAATGTCGTAAACTGCACCGCTTCTTTCTTTCTGAGCTGATAGTTGCTTGTTGTCATAATAAAATGGGATGTCTTTTCTCGTTAATTTCATATAATTAGTACTCTTTCGACAAGATATTGGAGAAATGTCAGCCATTTTGCACTTAAGTACGGCCTTGTGTAAAGGTTTAGGTACACGTACGTAAAATCCGAGTTGAGGGATGCGATAGGCGTCGGGATCCTCAACGATCTTATCCATACAACACAAGCGTACTTCAAGGAACTTTGTGCGCATGTTCCAATGGTGGGTACTGTTGAACATCTTGTGTTCCTTGGAGTAGTTTCCCACGAATTTAATAATGTTTTTCCATTCACGCATGCCTCCGTATCGCTCTTTGATTGACTCGATGCCAGGAAGCGTCACTTTGTGCTCTTTTAATGTAGGTGATAAAGGTCGGAGTCGACCAGATGGGAGTGTAACACGGAGATGGTCGCTCAGTTTTGGAAATATCCAATCATCTTCATACGAATCTTCTAACTCATAACTAAAAGACTCGACGTTTTCGTTAAATGTAACTTTTCCGGTCATTTTTTCAAAAATGAATACTTTCTTTTTCGATAAATTTTGCTGCCAGTAAAACACCACCGTTCGCTTTGAAATTGACTTCAATTATGACTAATTATCGCGCGCATCGCTTTGTTACGTCATATAATTGGTCATGCAGGTATTGTCGCGTCATTAAATTGAGTAACGTCAGAATTGAGCCTCGTCATTACTGTTTTACGTCATAATTAGATTGCCTGCTTGAAGTCTTTGTGAAAATATGTTTGCAGAAACTTGATTCTCAATTATATTCAATTTAACAAAGAGATTTTCTTCAAAAAATGCTAAATTTTACAAGGAATAGATCAATAGAAGTGGAATAGGCTTGTGAAATACTTCAAAAAATTATAAACACAACCAGATATGCAAAAAATTAAAACCAACATAAGCATTTCTTGTAGCTTAATCACAAGAATATACTGTAAAAGTAGTCAATACCTTTATTGAGACCTAAACGAACCAAGGAAGAGAACACTTGGTAGCCAGTTTCTCTCACAAATCTGTTTGTGTGATCAAGAGCTTGAAACAACAGTTTTAGCAAATCATTATCAATGTATTTGCTGAATGCTGATCCACATCCTTCAATAACATGTTGAAGACATCTGCAATATAAGGTTAAAATGGTTTTATGAAGAAATGAGTGAATTTGTATAGTATGTACCATACCTCATGCTCGTCTCCAAATGCCTCCAGCCAACCGACTCGTGGACAATTTGAATTGAGTTTTTTCTCCCTACCTTGTATATTGAAAACAAAGGTATAGTTAGGTTGGTGGAATGGCACAAATTCAAATATATAAAATTTGTGATATGAAATCATACATCAATAGGATTTGATTCATCTATCAACATCTGACCCTCGGAAACTGTGTCTTCTGGAATATGCCGTTCAAGATTGTCTTCAACACTTTTTAACAATTCCATACGAGATTGTTCATATACTGATGTACCAATGGTTTGACACAGAACACCCAAGACCTCTCCTTTGATAAATCAAGTCAAAAAGAAAATTTCATGTAAAGGTAAAGAGACAATACAAACACTTTGGAGATATGGAGGTTTATAAATGGTGATTAAAACTATGTAGTATAATATCCACCTGCAGATTGACGAACTCGAGCCTCGTTGTCATGCATTAAGCACAACGCACCCTTTTGTACCCTTTCATTTAAATTTGCATCCGATGGTTTCATAGTGATGATCAATTTCGCTGCCTGTAAACCGCCTTGTCGTGTTTCCCATTTCGTATCACTTTCGGATGCAATAAACTCTAAGATCTTGGTCTGAAGATTTTCGATTTTGTCGTTTTTCTCATTATTTTCAAAGTTCAATAATTTTTTACTTAAAAATTCCAAACCACGATCACGATCCAACTTCAAAGTACTTTTAATTAACGCTAATATTTCTTCAAAATCATCCGTCATGGTGGAAGAGTAAGATTTTATTCAATAACACGATATGTACACAGGATAGTTCCCTCTTTACATTGACCAGAATTAAGACGCTTTCCCCCCGTTTAATATAAAGTATAATTCATAGTATAATTGGTATAATTTGTTTCCGGAGGGGGTGGTCATTAGGATAGCAATCCGTCAAGGCTTTGGAATGAGTGAATATTTGTGTTAGTTTGAATTTTTTTGATGGATTCGTCGAAAGATATTAAAGTTCCAACCAAGGATCCTTGGGCAAGATTCGAAGCGTGGAGAAGTCATCCTTATTATTGCTCTCGAGCAAATTTTCGTTATTTTTTCCCCGGTTTTACTTGGGGAGTTGGTGCATTCATCTTCGCCTGTATGATCGAGAAGTTTTTTGAAAAACCAGATGAACATCACGGACACAGTGAACATGGAAGTGGGAAACATTAAAAGGCAAAGGAACAAAATTCATTACAAGAAAGTTGATGTTACATTTAATATTTTTGGCTTGATCTTGACGACATTTCTTTTTTCTTTGGATGGACACGGTGGCCGGTGTTGTCAAAAAAATATTGAAATTTTGTCAAATGTGTTGTATGTTCAAGTTAACTGATTGCTTGCTATGTCAGAAAATATATTTGGTATCAAATTAATGAGTACATTTTGTATTAAATGTATTTTATCATTTGAAATTCTGATATCACTACTGTCACAACAATATTGATTTTACCAAGGATAAATTTTAAACCACATAGTGTGACCTGACTTACCTCCTTTCTTATCATACTTTTGCACACGAAAATGGATTAAATACTCTTGTTTTTTTATAAACAGAAAAGTCAATGTCTTATAGACCTCAAACATACATGCCAACTTCATTGCTTTAGCTAAAATACATGTATTTCAATGTGTAGACAGACACTGGTTTGTCTTTTATCGTATCCTCTCAGAGAAACTATAGAAATTATTTGATTGCTAAATTTTCGTGAAGTCAAATAGATTTCTGTAGAAATGATTTGTGACAATGTTCTATATTTTACATAGCTAGACTAAAACTTGTGGGTTGACTTTATGATTATCAATGCCTTTTTCATGCTTTTATTCATAAATATGTAACATTTTTTCCATTTTATTGTACTGAAGCCTTTCTTCTGTAGCTTCTTTAATTAGATTGATTATTCGGAATCTATTGCACATTTGCTTGGATGATTTAAATGGAAACATACTAGATATCATACAAAAAAATAATGACATTCTAGATCTCACAAATATTCTTTATAACAATACTTGCATCTTGTGTGAATGCAAGTTGTTATGTTACATGAATGATTATTCAGTCTGATATATATCAGCACTGGCTACCACAATGTCAGGGCAAATCTTCAATGATTCCCAATTAAAATTGATTTGATTAAAGTACTGTCTAGCTATTCTCTGCACTTGTGAGCAATTGTAAATTTTGGCTCAATAGCTGCTGATTTCTTGACAATGTCTGTTTTAGAGTCTGCAATGGCTGTGATAAAGACATTGAGATTTCACAATGCAGTTGTTCTAGCAAAGGTAATTTTGCCACCCAAGTAAGCTTTTCAATTCCAAACAGGCGATCATTTATTTTTGCACCAAGCAACTGCACTTTCCTTTGATTTTTTACAGTTTGAAGAAGTCCTTTTAACTGTATGTCTTTTGAATAGGCAACAGCTGTACTGCCAATGAAGAGTGGTGACATGTTTACATAACCTGTGCTATCCAGTGCCCGATGAACTATTTTATTTGGTAAAAAGCGTAGTTTAATATCATTTTTTCCTGCTTCAAAAATCACTTCATTCCACTCAATAGATTTCATATCATAGTAACCAAGAACTGCGACCATTTCATTTTCATGGAATAAATTTCTAATTTCAGAAGCCAACTGAATCTTATGTGGCTGAGGCTGAAAGAAAAATTTATATGGGGTAGTTGCAATCATGATGAACTACTAGGTTCTCAAATTATTTAGGTTAATATGAAAATTGTCACTTCTTTTTATCAACTAATTTGTATATTTACAGGGCCATTTTGGAGAAAACTTATACAAGCAATACCCTGACAAGCCTCTTTTAAAAGCTTGCAAAAACAAATTCCCAGAGCCTGGTGGTAACAAGCTAATAAGAATGAGATAAAGCGTGTCTACCACCACACTCCCACATTCTCTCCCTTCCCCGCAGCCAGTGTTGAACTATTAGATGTAACCATGTTATAAATCAAACGAAGATAATCAAACGTGGCTCCTTTGAATCTCACCTTGATTTCTCTGCTGTGTATTTGTCGTCTAGCCTTGCAAGTGTTCGCCAAATTGATCGTCAAACGCTTATTTGCAATACAATTTTTGTGTAATCCTATTAAAAATAACATTTAAATGGTCAATTGAGCAACTTTTAATTATTTCCACAACATCAAAATAGGTTTAAACACCTAAAACTTTCGTTGCCATGTTGGATTTTGACTTTCTAGTTTTTACCAATGGAGGTAGTGACTGCAAGACGAGGATGCCACTGGCAGAAAGACCTTGGAAAAAGTGTGTTTGGATTAAATGTTTCCAATGTTTTTTGGCTGCTTTTGTTTGTTGCAACCGTAATTATTCATTGATAAATATTGAATACATGCTTCCTGTGTCTCTGCTTGGTGTTGCTAAATCTTCTGTTTGTTTCCAGTTGGGAGATTTTGCTAATCGATATTCCTCAATGTGGCTTCCATCTTTTGTTTTACAGAGTTTTGGAGCTTTTAATCACAAATTACACTGCAAAAGAATGAATAACGTTTTCTTGAGTCGTTTTTAAAACCACTTAACGAAAAGGAAATGAATTTACAACATGTTAGGGACTTTTTGAATGGCGTCCAGGTAACGTTTTTATCGAAATAATTCGGAAGTTGTTATTTGTTTAAAAAATAAATTGAAACTCCACTTAACATGAAAAACTGCTTATCATTGATAGCCTGACTAGTTTCTTGTCATGTATATCTACTTTATTAAAACAGAATGAAACAAAAGAAAAGACAATTAAAACATTAGAAAGCAACCAACATATGATTGGGCAAATTATTACATGTTTGATGACTGATGATGGTAGCCAAAGTGAGGTATATTTTCTTTGATTTCTGTAATATGTGCAATTAGAATAGCTGTCTGTTTCTCAATATATTGGCCCTAACCCTGATCAATGTAAATAATGTTCTGACTATGGACATGGAACCACCCCTTTTTCCATTAACAAGCAATTTATTTGGTAAAAGTGAGCATCTCATGTATTGAGTATATTCCCATTTTATTTTGACACCTTATATTTGAGCCGACTGTGTGGTCACTGTTTCTATCTTTAACATTTATTTTTTCCAAGCTTGCTGATGTAGTGTACAGCAATCTTTTTTCTTTGTATCAACATGGTGACGACACAAAAAAGGCATTTGTTCTTCATTTTCTACCTGCATTCATATGGGAATATCTTTTCATCTCCTTCAATCATGGGCAAAAGGTTTGTTGAATGACCCAGCTAAATCTCATTCTTAACATACCAATGCAAATACAGAATGCCCCATGCCCAAGTTTGGCTGTAAGAAAATTAATGCAAGCTATTCTGTTGATGAGTCTTTATTTGTTTAATTGTTATGCAAATCTTTTTAGGGTCATGGCAAGCTCGAAGCTATTTTGCTGGCAATCTATAATGCTGTACGTTGTGTAAGTCACCAAATGCCTCAAAGTATTGTTTTCAACTTTTTTCTTTATTTTATAGGAAGTTGTTGATCATAACAACAAAACTAAATATCAGAAGTTTCGTTTACCTTCACTGACTAGACCATCACTTTATCATGAGGTTTGTGGAATTAATGGCCTTTTATGCTTTATGAATTAATGGCCTTTTATTCACAGCTGAAATTAATGTTGAAAAGCATATTCCAATTGTAATTTTGTTCTATCATCGTAGCCTTCACTGGCCAAAACCAGTGCTTCAGCATTAACAGAATTTGCATTAAGTCGACATGAGCAAATTGAAGTGGCTTATCGGCAGGATGGTCCAGGAAGAAAGTTAAGTCGAATTCCTGCATGTTACAGGTATAGTAGCCTCTAATATTTTCACTACTGTTACTTTTAAAATGTGTCTAATTTGATATTAATTTTGGCTTAGATTTTCAGTGGTCAGTTTTGTATTGGAACAATACAATCATTATATTACATTTATTGGAGAACTGTCACTTGAAGCGGCTTGTAAAATGGCTTTATTGTGAGTAAGAATTATAAATTCATTATTTTTTTAATTACCCTTCAGTGAAATTTCACAGAAAAGTGGGATTTTTTTGACTGTCTGATTAGTTGCAATTTCTTGCAAACCCTTAAGACCATTGCAAATTTTTCCCAATGCAAATTTGTTCAAATATCATTTATATTTTAAGCTTTGTAGGCAAGCACTCGTCATCATTATTTACCATGTACCCTATAAAAATCATACTGTGGCATATGATTTTTATTTTTTTTCATTTCCTAGAGTCACTAGCTGTGGCTTTGAAGATCTTTGTTTGAAACAAGATGTAAAAAAGGATTTGGAAAAATTTTCAGAATGTTCACGAATTCCTATAGACAACAGTACCTTAGTTCAACTAATCTATATTGTTCATTATGCATAGTAAGTCACAGACCATCAAGCATATTTTTATCATGGGGAGCTATGGACAGTGTAATTAGGTGCAAATAGTGGGAACATACCCCCAAAACTTTGGGTGGGATAGCTCAGTCGATAGAGCATTCGCCTGGTGATTGCAAGGTCCCAGGTTTGATACCAGCCCTCTCCAACTCTCAGCGTATGAGCAGCGCAAATCAGGTCATCTGATCTGCACGGTAAAGTAGCAGGAAGCTGAGAGTAGGTTTGGCGCCCCACCTCAGCATAGATCTCCCTTGTCTGGCGCTAAAATCAAAAAGGTATAGACTCCCTCGTTCTTCGGCCGTTATCGACTTCAGGCCATCTCGCAAACTACTTTTACTTTAATTTTTTTTAAGACTCTGAACAGCTTTTTTTTTCATTTTATTATTACGATGAGTGTATGACTTTAAAGTGAATTATCTATTTTCATGCTGTAGCTACAATGGGTATTCAAGCCAGACTCGTCCCATTTTGAAAAACTTGAATTTTCGCGCTGAATATGGCTTGTTCTCGCAAGCTTATCTTGTAAGTATCGTGTACTTGTTTTGACATTACATGAATCATACGGACCAACATCCTTTTCTATTTTTTTATTCACTTAAGCTCACGCAATCTATTGATAATAATTTGAAATGCGAAGGAGACAACATTTCCCCGTTAGGACTTCAAATACCTTCAAGTATATCTGGTAAAGAAAGCATTTTATCATTTCTGTTAGCTAAGTCATAGTCAGATAGTTGAGATAAGCTTAACTAAATAAAGTATTGCATTCTATTTGTTATAAATTTGCAAAGAATAAAATTAGATCTTACCTATCCAGACAAAGACAGTTGCAGTTGAGATTTTCTAGACTTTCTAACCAACAATGATTTGGTACATTTTATTTGACAAATGTATAACTTTTTTAATGAAGTTTTTCTTGGATTAATTAAAAAAGACTTCAAATTTTTTAGACAGAGAAAGTGTCCCACAGAAAAGACGTTGTCCTTACGAAATTCTCCTGTGTGATAGATCTGTACTGAGTGTACTAGAAATTGATCAAACTCAGTACACATTGCAACCAAATTCAAGCAAAGAGGGGCGTCCAAGGAAAAGTAAAAGTTGGTCCAATACTTCTAGTGGTAAATTTTCGTCTAGTCCTACTGCGTCAAACGTTCAGTCACCTGATCGTCTCAGTACCCCTGGCACCCCAAGAAAGCCCACAACTGAAAAAATAGAATTGGTTACTGGTTTATGAATGATGGAAGAAAGTAGAGAGTAAGAGTCATGCCCTATTATGGAAATATTTTTTCACTCTCCATGAGTTAACCATTTCATAACTGCTTTTATTCACGAATTAAAAAACACAAACAATTTGCATGTTTGACCAACACCCGACACTGATACAACTAACATTATCGCACATCTTTAATTCGTGAATTATAATGGTGAAAAAATTAATTAAGATTACCAAAAAGTATTCTAATAAAACACAAAACAATGGATACTCCGTATTATGATACCTTGTTTATAATTTGTAATTTTTGAAAAGTTCACATTTTTTACTGACGTAGACATTTAACACTTGTCGAAATGTTGAGATTGAATGTTTACTTTATATGGAGTGTCAACTGTTTTTGTGTTTTACTAAAATTTAAGTGAAATGTTTCTATAAATTTGGTTAATAAATTTGAAAGGTAAAACTGTACATATTTTTTGTGGTGCATCGAAGGCATGTTCAACACTTCTTGCAAAATGACAAGGAAAATTTTCTGGATACGAGGATAAACGACAACAGTCACGTCTTCATTCTTTTGACGTAATTGTTGGTTTCCTTGTATGAAAGTGAAACCTCAAGTGAAACGACACCCAATATTTATAACAGCATTTTTACTATCAATGGTGAAACTTGTTTCATAAAGGATTTCTATATTATTGTACGTATGATTAAAAGAATATTTAGAGTCATAAAGAAAAAGGAATTTGAGAAGATCTTTTTGGTAATTGACACTGAAATTTGTATATTCATTTTTTGTTCAATTAGTAATTTTTGTTCACAATTTTATTAATCATCTGTTCTTGTTTTCAGCGAAGTTTGTGAATTCAGCGATTCATTGTCTTATTTTAAAGATGAATATATGGTTTGTATACACTGTCTTCGTGAGAAAATTGTCATAATATCGTGAAGTACTGCAAAAATATGCAGTACGCCACACAATGGGATGGTTGATGATTTAATCTACTTCTATCACAAAACTTCTTTACCACGATCTTATGATAAGTGTGAAGTCCAAGCGTGCCAAAAATCCCAGGGGATAGTGGTGGACCTTAGGTGTGTGAGTGTGAGCTTCATGAAAATCAATGGTACGTGATCATTACGAGAATTGGCACTCATCTACAGTAAGTCACCTATTACTTTTCAAGAGTGTTGGAGAAGTTGTTAAGATGGTAAATGTTTCATGTTTCATTTTTCCAACCATTACGCGCACGATGTGTCGTAAACCGTGGTCGTCAGTAGTCATTTTTATAACAGTCACTGATAACAGTATAGTTGCTGACCGCTGACCAAGAATCGATTAAGAGAATAATTCTGGAAGTTTTGATATAGGCGACTGCCGTTTTGGGACGGAAGGGACGCGTCGAATTTTTATCCGACTTTCGCTCTTTATTACCAGCTTTGTGAATAATTGTAAGTACTGTTTTATATTTTAAATGATGTTCTATTTTTCTCCCTTTGTTGTGTTATTGTCAGTTCACTGACTGCTGACAAGGACAAATGTCACACATTCCGTATTGTCGACAAATTGTTTCATATATGTAAATATACAATTGTTCCTACCATATTTGATGATAGAAAGGTACTTCGTACTTGACATGTTAACATTGACATTTTACCGTTAGTATTTACATGCTTTGTGTATTCTCTGTGGTATATTATTAAAAAGAAAAGACGTTAACCTGTAGAAATTTTTGAAGAAATTAATGTTTACTCGCAACTTCCTATGTCTGTGCTTGAAAAATACCGTTGTGGGAAATAATTTTTTATTGAATAGCAATGTTTATTGATTTGCAACAATGTTAATGATGGTAGTTGATATCTGTTGTAGAAGTCTCTTATTATCCTTGGGATTAACATTCTTATTTATGTTTCATGGCAGATAGGCTTTTGTCGCTGTCTTGTTAAATACGGTGTTCGAACATTTTCATTTGCTTACTTTTTGTCGATTACATGTATTTTTGAGCTCTTTTTTGAATGAAAGATTATTTTCTTGTTGAAATTTTGTATTGATTGCTAATTATGTGTCAAGCAACGAAGTACTTCCACTTCGGTAATTGCAACATACAATTGTAAATTACAGGATGATAGGAAGTATTCCAAAAATCCAGACGGATTTAATTAGTATTTGTTCTATCAATGGCAATGTTATTGTCTCTTCATAATTTACTGCAGACAAGCTTTGACTCATTTTATTTCATGCATCAATAAAATAACAGACTTCATGTTATCATTGTCAAACATTTCTATTCATTTTGACAAGCAAAACTCTTCAAAATAAAATGTAATTTTTTAACAGTTCATTTCAATTTCGCACTTATTAACAGACAATGGTGAATGAAAGCAATCAAGAGAAGTCAGAAAATTTGGACCTTTTAACTTGCATTCATGTACGTTCGCATTTACTATTTTTATATGCAGGTTCACTAATGAATTTTTCGCCTGTATTACGTATAGACACATACATATAGATACAAACATATAGATACAAACATATTAAGATATGTGTGGAATACTGTTGACTTGTAAGGAAAAACATGGTATATTTTTTACTTATCCTTGAGTAATTTGCACATCTTGTTGTGTTGCATTTTTTTCAGTGGGGATATCTTAATGTTTTGCAACTCCATGATGTATCAGGAAAAAAGATCAAGGTATATAAATAATGCAAGTCTTTTCATGTATTGTGGTCCTTTGACCATATTTGTGTTTTTAGCACCCTCGTTGGCAGACATTTTGGACAGATCTATGTGGCTCAACTTTGCGTTTTTATAAGGTTTTTAAGATTTATTTCAAACATAGGTATGATATCAAAGTTATTTGGAACTTCTGTTAATTTTTAGTTTATTCATACTTCATAGGATACAACATTACCTGACAATAACAAACTATTTCCTCCAGCAACTGTGATTGGTCCAAGACCTGAGGTATATTTTCATCAAGTTAAAAATATTGCTTTGCAAAATGTACGAGTGAACCTAGATGTCACATGTTATTCACAAAAGTGATTAAAGCTACTTGCACTATCTTACAACAATTTTAATGATAACAACTGCTATCAATCTTTGCCACAATGAATTCATTTATTAAAACAGTTGTAATAACCATGCCTTTCATGTTATATATGTATATCTCTCTATGAAGCTGGTGCTAGAATGTTAGTTATGGGGGATCTATGAAATAGATTTAGGGAAAGGGGTCCAGGCTTTGGTTTGATGGGATGCAAGAATGGTGTCAATTTTTTTACAAAATTCTGATATACTAAACTATTGAATTGTGAATAAGAAATTGTGAATGCATTTTATGTCACAAATTATTAGAGAAATCATTTGAGAATGTGCTGTTGAATCAAACAATTGTTCAAGTTGATATTCACGTTGTATGCTGTTCTAGCTCTCTACAAAATGGCATGTGTAACAACTTATATAATTGTCTTTTAGGACCAGATAAAGTATTCATTTTTTAGTTTAAAGAATGGAAGTGTAAAAGACTATGACGCAATATCCAATGTGAGTTTATATGGTAATTTTTATCTTGATATTATTTTTCAACAAAGATTGAAGATGAAATTATTTTTGTTTTTATTTTGTTTTCAACCCTTTACTCCTCTCATCTTTTGCTAAATACATTGCTTTTTCCAGTTATCATCATTGAACTGAAAAATTTTAACCATTATGCTGTAATATGTGCATTTCATTTAAAATTGTTTGTGTTAGAACTGTTTTCACATGTACTAATATCGTATTCAACTGAAATTGAATTGAATTTCAATTTCTTTTTTATTTTGCTAGTCTCCAAAGTTACGTCGAAAGAACAAGATAGGACGAAAGAATGTCCTACAAATAACTTTGGCAAATTTCTCCGTTTACTACTTGCAGGCACCAACTATGTCTGCTTTTTACAGATGGTGAGTTCATTGCTACATCCTAAAATCCCAATGTTACCCTTATGGTATCCTATATTCCCACGTGTATCCCCTAGACCTACGCTTCCAAAATGTATTGAGGAAAGACTTATAATGCCCAAGCTGATTATTTGATTTTTTGTATGTTTCATTTTTCTTCCATATCTTTTATTTTATGGATATATTTTTCGTTGAATAAAGGAGGACAAAATTGCAGTCAAGTATTGATAGCGCTGAGGCGCCTGAAAGGTTTTATGGTAAGTTACGTCATCTGAAACTTTTTATTTCTAAATTTGTGATACAGAAATTTGTGTGGTAACTTTAATTAATGTCTCGATTTCAACACAACCAGCTCTTTGGCTTTTTTTTTAATTAAGTTGGTGAAATTGAAGAAAAGAAATTTGTTTTTCAGAAAAGCAGTTGCGCGAGGCAAAGATGGAACTTTTTGAGCTGCACAGATGTCATGTTAAAGTTGAACCGTAAGTTGATATTTTAGAAAATTACAAAACCATATCTTGATTTTACATCTCAAAACTGTATCTGGAAAAGTTAAGAAATGGAATAAGAAAGGCATCAGATATTTATTGCAATGATACCAAAGTATTTCATCTTGGATGTCTTGATATTAAAGTTTCAGTTCTAACCATATTTTTTACCTATATTTTGTCATGATAAGTGTTCTCCTGTCTTGTGTAGACAATACCCTGAAACAGATAGTGAAGTGAAACAAATTGCAGGTGCGTAAGATACAAGATGTCTTCGTTGTTACATGTGAACTTTTGCCGCTTAATGTTGTTCTTAAAGCAGTGTGTTCAATTTAATGTTGTGTTAAGCTTTTCATTGCGTAACACATAGGGTACATTGACTATACGGCTTACATTGTTTTCCATTTGTTATTTATCGTTATATTGAAATGGTTTCCAGTCTATGAGATGGTATACATACATATACAACAGTTTGACGGTCTTTATTTTTGCTTTTTTATGTTTCAAGTTGTTTTGAAGTTTTGAGTTTCATAATTTAAATGAGATTTTTGTTTAGATAAATTTTCTTCGACCTGTAACCCACAGCTACGTGCTCTCCAGGTGAACGAGGGGAATTTCGCCATATTAAAGTGTCTTGGTCTGATCAATTTATATTTTTCAAACAGGACAAACTTATGGAGAAGGAAAACTTTCTGAAGCAGTTAGAAAAACAAGAAAGAGATTTTTTAGGAAATGAAGACGAAAGCAAAAGTACTTTTAAATTAATCCATTGGTCATATATTTTGATAGTTTTGAGCATTCTTTCTATGAAGCTTCCTTTTTAGACTTTACTTGCTAGTAAATATGGCAAATATGTTCGCAACTTTTTAATTATATGTTGTACTAAAAATCGTGCGATGAAAATTTTGACTTCACCGAAGTTCATGTATGGGTTCATTTACTAAAATGTCGTGTATAATTTTTAACTACTAACTTCATTCTTTATTTTTTTTAAAAAAATAAGTTTTTGTTTTCGTCGTCTAAATGAAGCTATATTGGTTGACAAATATTTTCAGTTTAGTTTTGCATCTAAACTTTCTCATCAAAAATAATGAAATTTGACCTTGTCTGTGAGATTTTTCGTTGTAAAAATTTAATCCAACGTTACACAACACATATGTACAGCAACATTATAAATGTATTCTGTTAAATTTTATTCTTATTCTTAATGTTTGATATACGTAGGTACGCTGACAAGAATAGAGTTTACTGCAACAGCAGGAAAGAGGTATTTTTTGGTGATTGGACGACGCGATACGCTCATATGTAAAGGAGAAAGCTTCACTGTATTTGGAAGATTACCAAATGAACGTTGGAGGTGTTATGTTGAAAGAAAAGAACGTTTGTATAAGAGTGACGATGGCAAAGTTTGTGAAAATTTCTCGTATCCGTTGATCGGATCAGTTCCAAGTAGTGTGATTGTTGAATTAAACCAACCGTCACGTATAAAAGATTTAGTGGATAGTCTTTCTGTTTCGTCGGGCGATATTTCACCTCCTGGAACTCCCCCTGATGATCTTTCCACGTCAGTTATAGGTGACGTCATAACTCCACCACGATCGCAGTCGCCACGACGTATTTCTGATGCTTCCTCTTTCAAAGGACAAAATTCACGCTTGGAGCCGTACTCTTCTCATAGACGAAATTCAAAACTTGAGCCACCAAAACATTCAGCTAACACCTCTCTATTTACCAGATCTAAACAACTTAATCCCCAGGGTACTTTACCGTTATGTCAACGCGTTCCAAGGTCATCGACCTTATCGATATCACCCACTTCTCCATACGGGAAAAGTATTGATAATGCTATATCTGACTTGAACCTGGCGTTGAGTAGTTTGAATGCCCTTAAACAACGCCCTAGGGCTTCATCCGATGTCTCCATACGCAGTCAAACTTCCAACTCCAGTCAAGAATACGAAAGTCCGGACATGAGTCGTATTTCGAAGATTGAGTTACATTCAGATGATGGTGGTAGGTTTTCTGTTCATCAAATAAGGCAATGTGTTTGAAAAATGTACTGCTTGTTTGATGTGTGTAGTAATATGATTATTTTGAATTTGTTAGATACAACTGTTCGAAGAAGAAAGAAAAGAGATATTCATATATCTCGAAAACTTCATGCTAAAGGCATTTCTATCATTGTTGGTTCTTCAAGCTCTTCTGAAGGTGTGTAACGTCACTTGTGTGAGAATTTCTACTACAGAATTTTAAGAAAATTAACTCAAACCTTTGTACTGAAGATTAAGATTAAAGATTAAAGATTTATTTTGTTAATACGTACTCCTAGATGAAGATGAGGGTGACAAAGTAGACGGTAATCTGGAACAGCGAAACCAATTATCTGACTCCTTAAATGAAGTTTCAAAATCAAGGTACGAATTATGAATCGTCACCACGATGTCTCAACATATTTCATTAAAGATATTGAATGAATAAGTGAGATAAAAGTTAGCTGTCCTTCCTTTCATGCGTAATAAAAAGGAACAGCATTTGGATAATTTAGAAACAAGATTTCTAGTTAATGCTTGGTGATGAAATATACGGTTTATTTATTGTGACGTTATTTTTTTTATTTGAATGAGCTGTTTCAGAAAAATTTCTCAGGAATTTCAAGAATTTGAAAAGCATTTTGAGGAATGTGTGGTTACATCCTAAGAACAAGCTTTGGTTGTTTTAGTTTCCGAAATTATCTTAAAATCTTTTTAATATACGCGAGTGCTTTTTAAGGCATTTTGTTTTAGAAGCTGACGTAACATATGTTCAATAGGCACACACTAGTTTTATGAATTTCTATATACTTCAGCAAATGTATAGTTGGTCAATTTTTTGTGAAAGTTTTAAAGAGTTTAAAAAACGTTTATTATGAGTACTGTGAACGTTGAACGTTAAACCTTCTTTAGTTAAAGTTTTTCATTGTTTGTCATATCGTTTGTCATTTAGAGATTACCCACGGTACATTGTTTGTATGTTTGTTGAGTTGCATCCGGTTGAAATGATCTATCTTCTTTTTGCAGTTCTTTATTTATAATCCATTTTGTCGTCAATAACCTATTTCCTGTGAAATTTGAGGAATTTGATCATTTTTCAATTGATTTGTGTGTGTATGTTTCCTGATTGTCTGGGAAAACAGAAGGTTCGCACATTTCTTTAGTGATTTTTCAAATCTGATTTTTCAAAGTGTGTTGATTAGTTGATAGAACATATTCATTTTTATTTGATTGCAATTTTTTTCAATTTATCTGTAAATTAGTAATTTTTTCTTTTTCATCATTGAATAGGACGCCAGTGTTTGTATGTTAATGACTTAACTAATGATAAATTGTTTCCTGCTTTCATTGCATGTTTCACTCGTTTGTACATGTGTCGAACTCGCTCTGTTTTTCTTTCTGTTGTTTTTGATCTGTTTGTCATTCATCGTTTAATTCAAGTTACATTTCTTATGTTGATTTTTTACTTTTCTTGGTTTCTCACTCCAGTTGAGAGCTCAGTTTAAATTCCCAGCACATGAGAAAATTGCACGGTGATAACGACAGGAAATAACCCCACTGAACTTCTACTTGCGGTTTGCAAGGATTACATAGCATTTTTAGACCTGAGAACTTGAATCTCACTACACACGCTACCTTTACTCACGTTAAACTCTAAAGACGCAAAGCTTGTTCTGAGAACACACGTCCAATGTAGTAATTATTTCTGTGTGCCGAAGGAAACGCTATGTCCATGAGCTGGGTTTCAGATGCATTAAACATCTGTAATATATTTTCGTGTTTTAGAACAATAGAAGGTCTACAGACTTCTAAAGAAAAACTCGCAGAAAAAGTGGTAAAAGGTAAGATTTAATACGTTTGCTATGGTTTGTGCTCTTGTGTACATGTTGTTATTGGGCCTGAGTGTATGTTTACCTTTATTTAATTAATGAATGGCATTGCGCTGCAACATGATGATATTGTATATGATAGCGCAATGTATGTATAACCCTTTTGTAAATTTGGTGCAAATTTTTAACTTTTAACACTGAAGACAGACAGTTGAACATGTTACAATTAGTTATCCAAGTAATTTGTTCTACTTATGGAGCATGTGTTACTACAAAACACAACATATGTCGCTACTAATGTAATTCGGCATAAACTATATGTTTGATAGCATGGTCAAAGTGTCATATTGCTGTAGTTTCCTCAATATTTCTATAAACTTTGCAGCATATGTTTTGTATGTAATATTACTGTTCAATGTATTACAGTTCAATTTTGATCCCTCGTATTTTAGTTTTTCATAAGACCTTTCCCTTATGTATAAGTAAAACAGTAGAATTAAACTGATTAGGAAATCAACTGCAAATTAATTTTGGTTAGCTTGTCTGAAATTTTTAATTAAATAAATGCAATCTTTTTTGATATGAAATTATTAGCACCTTTTGCGTTACCGTTATTTGTGCCTTTAATTTTATGGTCTTATGAGATGTATTTCTTGTTTTGCGACAAATTTCTATTCTCTCCTGTTTTTTTTTCTCAATCATTCACACGTTCTCATGTTCCATTCAACCAGTAATACAATAAAACTGTATGTAATGATCTTATTTTGAAATGAGTGGCAAATCCCATAGATTAGTTTATCGATTAACTCAAATTTCTTTGTTTTTATGATCTGATATGTGTACACAATGTTCTGTGTTGCAAAGGACCCATGATAAGTTGTTTAGAGATTTTATATTATGAACGTATTTCCACGTTTTATTGTAGTTCAAAGATACGTGAGGTCTATTTTGAAATTGTATCTTTCATCGATTATTGACAGTAATAGCGCACAATTGAAGTACGTTGCAACAACACCTACTTCGTTTGTCTAGCGAAACGAATTTATTTCTTCTTGTTTCAAACCTAAATACTTTTCGGCTGCTGATGTTTCTCTGAAGTTTAATGAATTTTCTCATATTGAATAAACAAAGATTAGAATTTTGCATGTTAGCTATATGTGTATTTTGAACTAGAAATACCACTTGTAATGCTACGTCATTGTTGCATTGATTATAACTAAAAAGAGCATTACATTATTCATTAGTAACATATATGTACGGGTTTAGCTGAAGGTTTAGTCAATGTGATAGGCCTTGAACGCTTTATTTTATCACTAACCATCGTGAAACTTCAACCATTTTAATACTTTACAATTTTATCCTTGTAAGAAACATGAAGCAAGCACGTACATTGACGTAACATAATGTCTATTCCTTTTCTGTGCACATGTTCTGATACTTATTGCAATGTTTCCTTTTGTTATCATTGTCGTTATCGTCTCCACACACATGTGCTATTATATAATATTTATGATCTTTATTGTACATCAGTCTATCACATGTATTGACGTCACGAGATTGACATAACGAGAAAAATGGGTTGATGATTCTGCCGTATGTTCTGCCGTGACGCTGCTAGATATTTGAAAGGGTTATGGGTAATTTTCCGAGCTCTGGAGACTTCAATACAGCGGGGGCAAGTTTCTTTCTCGTCCGCTTACGGAAAGAAAATAGATACTCATATGTTAGAAAATTTTTTTTACGATATTATGGGTATCGTGATTGTGATTTATTGTGATTTATTTATATGTCTAAAGCTTCGTAAATAAATAAATCTCTATCTAGAAAAAGGTCTTCTTTGAAATCAATGCATGATATGTCTGTAGCCAATGGCGAGCATTATTGATCAACAGTTTTTTTCTTTGTAATTGATTCACTTTAATTTTCAGGTGTAAAAGGTTTGCCAGAGATCAAACAGCCAACAAAAGAAAGGTACGAGTTCATTTTGTGATACGGCAACACTGACTCGTACAGACTGAAGTACTAACTTATCATATGTTGGCAATGACAGCAACTGATTCATAAATGATTTGAAATAATGTGTGTTTGTAATATAGACCGGTCGTCGATAACATTACTATAACTACCGATCTCCTGCAAGAGTTCTCGGAAAATGGTTGCTATGGTGAACCTATAAGGAACAGTGTGACACAATCTCAATTTAAACCTCTTGCAAGGTAACTTCGATGTATGATTCAATATGAAACATTCTTACAACCAAACAGTAGCAGTGGGACAAATAAGACAATTTTTAGTAAATAAAACCAGAAAAATTTGTGAAGTCATCGTATCCACTTACTAACTTTGTCATCTTATACCGTAGTCATAGGTGGCGATAAGACCAGACTAAAGTTGTATAAAAAGAATATTAACAAGAATATAAATGTTATCTCCAATCTCGTCCAATGTTATCTTTATTTTTTTTAAGTCATGAGATTTCGCCACCTTTACATCAAAGACGAACGTTGCAAATGACACGTAAAGAAAACGAGGGATTTGGTTTTGTTTTGCAGGTACGATGAATCGTTCTAAGTATCATTTTTTGTCAATCTTATACTTCTTCTACGTCTGCAATACTCATTGTGTGACACTGTCAACTCACTCGATCACTCCAGTTATTCGACGGAAGACTGGTATTAATTAATGAATCGTCGTCTAATGTTTCATCTTTCCGCCTTTTGTGATAATATGTATTTTATGTATTACTTTCTTTGTTTTCAGACTAGTACTGTGATCCAAACAGATGCTTATAGTGACACTATGACTTATATATCCAATGTTTCAGAAGATGGTCCTGCATATCTAGCTGGCATGAGACCAGGTGGGCTGGTATTCGTTTTTCAATTCTAGTGCTAATTATACTTGTCGTATCCTTCCTAGTTTGTAAGTAGTGCAGGAGAAAAGCATTTGTGTTTGTGGAGCACAAAAAATCATTTAATCATAGAGTCACAGAATCCAAAAAATGCCACGACAACACCCACAAAGTAACCACCATCAACTAATCCAAACTAGAGCACCCACCTCTCCCTTCCTCCTTTCAAAATCATCATGGACCCATTTCTGTAGATGCTTGAATTTTCTTAACAGTAACTGTAGATCATCGCTCGGTTTCTTCTACCCTAGGTGACGTAATCATAGAGATTGACAATATGAAAGTTGAAGACGAACCTCATCATATGATTGTAGGAAATATAAAAAACGCAGGCTTATCTGTAAGGTTAGTTATTTCAAAATGGGCTCTATTAAATGTTCTTCATTTGCAATACAATGCTTATTGTTTCAGACTCGTTGTTGTTTATAAAGAAGCAATAAAGCGAATGAAAATGTCTACACGTCTTATAGCACTGAAGGTAAAACATAATTTTTCATTATACCAGGATTGATTGATATTCGCAATACGATTTCACGGAAATGCACTTAACTTCGTTGGAAGAAGTCATAATGAATTCAAAAAGTGATTTACTATTAGATATTTGATTGGCTGATGATTTGCAAATAGACCAATCAAACGCTTGTCACTTGTTGATAAGTACAACGAAAGTTACCTGAAATCAATTTGATAGGTTTTGGAAGCTTCATTATGTTTTGTCGTTTAATATTATGATATGTCAATGACTTTCATGATTTGTAAATGAATTACAAAGAAGGCCAGAATGGAGCTTTTCCAGCAGAGTCTTGTGATATCATTTTTCTTAAATCAAAAACGACGTTAGCCAATGACACGATAAAATTTTTGGGTTTTTTGTAGGCTCGTCTCAAACAAGCTGAGGCGGCTTATGAAGACGTCATCAGGAAAGAGCAAGTTCTTCTTGGTAAATATTTTACATTTTAAAACTTTAACATATGGCAAACATCACGAAACAGAAACAAAACTGAAATGAAAAAAACCATTCATTGAAGATTTAGTGTTTGGCTTTGTTCTCCATGTTACTTGTGTGAATTTTATTTTTCTTTTATTTGCTGATCTTTGATTCTAAACCTAACCTCAACAATAGTTTTCTTCGTGTAAATTAGGAAATAAGCAACAAATTTATGTCATTGTCATGTTTTTTTTTCACAGATCACTTGAAAGACACGCAAATAACGGACGCCAAAATAAGATCACCTGTTGTATATATACACAGTCACACTTCTAGCACAACCTTTGCTCGCGAGACGGCTGAAATAAAAAATTCCGTAAATCAAGTAAAACGAACACCTTTGGAGCTGCTGGAAGCACAAAAACAATCAACTGAATTCTCAAAGTATTGCGGTGTTTCTACCACAAGTTATGAACTGGTGCGAGAATTTGCAACGACTTGCGAGCCAGAAAATAAAGATGGGTTTGTCCAAAAAAGTGATTCGTCAAAATTTACGAGCGATTCAACAATAAATTCAAGTAAAGGACAAAGTGAAGTGAATTTCAAACAAAAAACATTTCGGCAGTTACCACATTCATCTTTCATTTCCTACATTGACTTTGATCAAAATAGGTTTGGTGTAAAAAAGGAGCATGACTCTGTTACATCGACAAGAAAGCGATTAGTACCTAACTGCGACGATGAATCCAAATATTCTGTCGAATTAGATGATGAACTTCGACCAAAAAAGAATATCTCCACATCCCAAACGCAGGCAACGAGACCAGAGTCGTATAAATTCGCCCTTGGTTCGCAGAATACTATCGATAGCAATCTTGATCTTAACAGTAAATAATCACCAATTAAAAATTTTGATGGGGTTAGTAAGTAGCGGATTTTACATTTTACGTTGATCATTGCCTTTAGAACTCAATGAATTGTACGATTGAAAAACACCATTAGTTCATTCATTATCCATTAAATGGAAGAACCTTTACGGTATACATCATGATACATCAGGAATCCGCACTGTCCATCATTTCATTCACCGATTTTGCTACATCGTGATGGTTTTTTCACCTAGAAATGATCGATTGAACACATTAAGGAACATTTTAGTATGGACCGACCATGTGATTTTCTAGTATTATGTGTGGGCAACTAGCATCGTTATGGCATTACCTCTTGAATAGCACATGTGATTTCTTTTAAACATGGTGGTGCACTGCTGTTTGTAAAACCTTTTCCAGCCGACAATTTGAAGAAAATATAGAGATAAAACACACTAAATAAAAAAGAAAATCTTGTAAACTGAAGATTCGAGTTATATCAGCAAGAGATAAGATTTAAATGGTTATGTAACTCGAATCTTGAGTTCACAGGATGATAATTTTTGGAGCATGTTTTATCTGATACTGTTGTTTTTTGTATAATATTGTGTATAGTTATATATATTGTGAATAATGCATTTGCTGTTTTGTGAGTTTTGATCATGAATTTTAATTTCATCTTTTGCCTGCGTATATCGTGGGAAAATGGAAAGATTTCTTTTAATTACCTGCTCTTGGCGCCTTGTGTGCTAAATCTGTTCGCCCGACACGTTATGAGACACAACGCATTATGTTTGGTTGTCTCTTCCATTTTCAAATGCAAGGAATATGATTAAGATAATATCATGTCAGTGTTGCTCCAAACATATCGTGACGATTAATCGACAAAAATTTTTCTCGGAATAGTGTCAATGTAAATTTTTTCATCGATAGTTCACTCTTTCAAAAAGAACGAACAGATCAACAGCGAATATCTTCATCTAATGAAAGTGTTAAAGAACCTTTTGTTTAATTTACCTGAAATGTAAGCATTTTTCCTAAACATTGTTGCCCAATGTTCCTTGCAATTCTCTTATGTTAAACAGAGTTGGATGTGTAAAGTTATAATCAATTTTATAAGTGATTCGCCAAAACCGTTTGAGAATTATATGTTTTTTATCAAATTATATTCAAAGTTGAAGATAAATTTTGTTATTGTTCGTGTAGCAAAGTTGTTAGTGTTCAAAATAGAAATGACTCTTAACAGTTTTAAGAATTTTTGCCACGTTTTAGCTATTCAGTATCAAATTAGTAAAGGATTAGTGGATTATCAGTCTAATGTTGAACCCAGCTTATTTATAATGGTTTTTATAACTTGAACGATATTCTGGCTTATATTACTTATATGCTGAAGTGCAATGGTCACCAGATTGTAATACTTCATATTAATTTTTCATATTGACTAACAATTTTGATAATGTGTAATCACCACTTAACTGTACACGACTGTACATAATCTTGGCACGAACTTCATTACACTGTCTGGTAATTTTTTACCTTTGGAATACTGATAAAATTATTTCCTTCACTATTCCCTGTGGTTTTGAGAATGCTTTAAAACAACTTTGTATAAAACTATTCTTGTCGTCTTCAATCAAGCATACGGATTCAACATGGTCGACATGGTAAATATATATTTTGAAGTGTTTTTTTTTGCATTGCCTTCTTAAGTTTTTCCTACATTTGAAGGCCTGAATGATTGAATTTACTAAATTGAGTGTCCTTCAGTGTTCTTCAACGTATCATTAGTAAAATAAATATATTTGATAAAGTATTGTATTTGTTGATTTAGTCGGTAGTTGTGCCTTTGTGTTTATCCAGGCTTTTCGTAAGTTATTCTCAAGCTTTTGCACCCCGCAGAGTGTTTAATTGTCTTCTAAGTTAAAGCAATACAAGCAAAGCTCGCAACGACAAATACGACTCATAACTTTGTACTCTTGTATTCTCTGTCAGTTCTTTAATATATTTGTATGTATGTTTGTGTACACTTCGCTTTCTTTTATTCAATGTGTATCCGGTTTTGGAGTCTTCAGGATTGAAGGCGAATCGTGAGCATAAAGAACGTCTTAACCTATTTTTAGGCATCTTAATTGCGAAAGTGCGACAACAGTGGCATTATTTCTATGGTGTGGCTGAGTCGTCTTTATTCTGGTTCTCCAATTTGCTAAAGTATTAATTTAAACGAAGGTATGTCCTCGTTGAAAGTCTGTTTCAGGTACTCATTAGTCTATAAAGGAAGTATTATAAGTGGAGATATTAAAGCCTTCCTGCTGTCATGAACTATTTTAATATCAGTCCAATAAAGTTATTATTCACTCATACGGTATGATTTTTGGAAACTTTTGTCACCCTGATCTCTGTAACTAAAGAGACGTTAAATTTGAGTGACCATAACTACATGTTTCCAGTGCATGTTACATGTTTTTCAACGTGCATTATATAAACATGATGAAAGCTCAGATGAAGTATGTTAAAGGCAGGGATGAGGAATTTGTCTAACTGTTCATGTAGTATTTGCTAAAACTTGTCCCGTCCAATTTTGTGTAATTTTTTGTGAGCAAACTCCAACAAAAGCGAAAATACGGCTATTTTTGTACTGAAATTGCGTTATTGCTATTTTACTCGACATTCGCCATAAATTAGGCCCGAGGTAATGAAATATATGTTTTTTGATGGCTGTCTTCGAAAATACATATTAAGCAGACAAATTTAGCAAACTCATCAGATTGAGGTTATTAAAACAAGCGATGTGAAATATTGTCATTTCATTCGTGGGAAACTTCGACTTTTTTTCAGTTACTCCGACCACACACATCCGATGAGTTGAATGTTAGAAATAAATTTAAGCCAATATATTTGAAATGACGTGAAGATTTGGAAAGATAAGATTTTAAAGTTTGAGTGTCCACTTCAGCCAGTTGACTACAGTTCAATATAGAGCACTAAGAAAAACAGACACACAATACATTTTGTACACAGAGGGCTTTAGAAAGGACCGTATTGACTAACTCAGCACGCACATTATTTTTTATTATAGCGTGTTAGCCACCAAAACTGTTCATAAATGAAGTCATTGGCTAAAAATGAGAAAACATTGCCGCCCTTGATTTCGGAAGCAATTAGCAAACACCTCAAAAGAAGGCCGAATTTTTATTCTAATATCAATGGTATGAGTAATGGGGGTCAGGTTTCATCCAAGTGCCGTTACGCATTTTTTCAACAACTTCATGATTTTTTGAAACGACATGGTTTATTTCATGATATTTAATGAAGCAGCTCTGATGAACCAGCAGAAAGATAAATATTTCACTATAGTCAATAAAATCAAGCTATTATTTCGAGTTGGCAGAAGCCTACATTCACTAAATTGCTGACGACGCCTTTTTTTCATTTATAAAGCCATCCGGAATTCACATGTTCCAGTGTTTATTTACCTGTCGTGGCCTTACGTTTACGCTTGCTTATCTGCTTGCACTATACACCATATCCCAATAAAACAGCTGGTTATGGGAATGCCTGGGTTTGTCTGTTTTATCCCAACGTAGTAGCTTTTATTATCCTCAAGAAATAACCAGCAAATTAAAGATATAGTATTTTTGTTGCCACTCCAAGGCTGGGAATATTAGAATGTTTTTCTCCCAAGTCGAATTCTCTCGATTTTTCTTTCCTTGTGTTGTTCTTTGCGCAATATGCTATTTTGCTTCTGTCGTAAAATGAAATATTAACTACATTTTAATTATTTCTTAATATAACTAAATTTTGTCGAATATTTTACAAACTTTATATGTAGAAGGAAAATTTGTCTGATCGTGGCTTACCATAATCATTGAAGTCTGCAGTCAATAGTCCATTTTATGTCTTCATGTGCGAGGGCGAAAAAGAAATTATTTTGACTTTGTAATTACTATGTAACCATTGCACTTTACAACAGGTGCAAAGCATGATACCTACAGGTCACCAAACATATTAAATATGCAAGTATACATAAGCCGATGTAGACTAGCAAGACTAATATATCCGTCTTGTTTGTCTTTTATTGTTGTAGCACCTCAGAAGTAATCGCGTTTTGCAGTTTCAAAAAATCTAGTTATTGTCATGTGAATATTTTTACATCAGCATAAAATTTTCATATGACACCTTGTTCTTGTGTTACCCAAATCAGTGGTTGCTTGAATGTCGTTCATCGCTCACCATTCGTCATCAAAGTTTTATTTATATTTTTTTGCGAAGGCTCTTCTTTGAAATGAATCGCATTCAGATGGCATTCTTTCTGTGGACATGGTCTTGTCAAGTTGTGGGTGGTACTGGCGCCGAAGACTTGTTTTTTGGCGGTAATGATGCACTCTTCCACCAAGGTAAACACAACAAAGTGATTCGTTGTTGCATTCATATACATATACATGTTTATTCAACCTCGACTATCTTTCCATGTATTTATATTCTTCCGAGAAATTCCTAGCCCATTATTCGATCGCGCAAATGTGATTTTAATATTTGTGATAAATGAATAAGTAGATAAACGATCGATTGGATGAATGTGCAAATGAATGAACATTGGAATCTATTAGTGTCGATGTGTGTATATGAATAATGATAAAAGAGATTACAAAGTAATAGAATCATTTTTTGTCTTTGTAATATGCTGCCATGTATGTTGGTATTTGACCTCAGTGGAACTCTTCTACAAAATTGTTCCTTATATATTTGTGCTTTGACCTCCTACAGCAACTTGGTACCGAAACATGACTGTCTATTTCCGAATTTTTGTTAATCCGCTGTGGAGTTGACCGGACGGAACGTCTTGAAACGTTAAAGCTATTAAATGTCATAACTGCTTTAAAACGCAAATTCAAAATATAGTCTTGTATTAAATGCAGTGCCTATGTCGTATAAAGATATCTGAAACGAATGAAAAGTAAAAAAATTCAATCTTTCAGCATTCATTCAATCAGTCTCCAGTGTAGGATGCTTGGTTTGTTTTCATGATTTTATTTAGATTAATGCTGTAGACCCCCCTATGGATAAGCTGCCATGCGACTTTGAGTTTTATTCACTTAAATAAATGTTTATTTGATATGATCTAGACAATTGCACTTCATTTTTAAAGCCTATTAAAATTTCCTTTTAACGCGCTTATTGAAATCATCCATATGTATGGGGTATTATATGTCTTGATGTATAGACACCTGCGCTATCTTCGTCTAGTGTGTTCTGTAGTTTGGCTTTTTTCACGATGATTAATCGGGGGCTAAAATTTGATAGGCCAGATGTTATAAAGCGTTAATAGGACATTGTAAAAAACTAATATATGATGATTATTTGGTGTATTCATTCATCGCCACCACTGGCTATGAACACTTGATATCATCTTTATGTAAGAAATCTTTATGAAGAATTCTCAGCAGTTGCCATTGCAGTTTGTACGTCATTCTTTTTTATTATCAGATTCACTTAACTTTACATAATGCCATTTTATTGTGCTCTTATGTATTCAATCATCTGTAAATTAAAGTTCCAGTCATTTCTATCAAATGTGTATGTTGTAGCTATACTTTTAAAGGGTAGAAGTTTGATTTGGATTTAATACATTGAACCATGAAATTTATGACATAATTTCAAACTAGCATTTCATTTTAGACTTTTCCATTGAACTTATATATTTAGTAAAATGACAATTGCACAGGTATTAATTTTTGCATCTTCACATGATGAAATTTGCGAAATATTCAAAATCATCAATGTATTAGAATTAGAAGATTTTTTTACAGGTCATTAGCGCATAATATGTCTGTACTTAAGGACCATTTTTGGTTTTGATATGGCTAAAATGCTGTATTTATTGACCTCTTGCAAGTGCCATTACATGTATAACATATGTAGTCTTTCGGATGATTCAAGTGCAAGAAAGATGACTTGTGTTAGGATTGTTCTTAAGCTGTAATTATTTTTTGATAAGAAGTAATTATTGCAAATTTTTAAAATTTTGCCTATGTGTAAAATTTCTCTCATGCTATCGGCTCTCAGTTCCCTTTTAGACGAATGGCGGTAGGTAGATATTCGTTAAAAGAAATTGTCAAAACATACTGGTAAATATAAAGACATATCGATAGGCAAATGGCAAAGTTACATGCAAGCTTATAAAACATTTACACTGTTTCATTTACTCAAAGTTATTGAATACATCTTAATTTGAAATTCAGTTTATAAATTGAACAATCATAACAAAAACCACATATAAGTCAAACGATATTAAACATTTTGCCAAGTTTCTTTCAAATAAGTATTTGATCTAATTATGAAAAAAATTATAAATATATACACGACAGCGTTTCTGCTGTTGTTTTAATGCTGAAAGATTGATGGTTTGCAATGTAAATATAGACCTTTAATTAAATTTTGTTTTCTTTAAGAAGAATGCAATATATTTTAATAATTTTTTAAAAGAACACGGCCCTCATATTATACATAATGTGAAATGAAGAGCGTGTTTTTGTGACAAATGATTGGTAGTTTCTTGTTTGTTTTTTATAAATATGTGCTAAACTAACTTGTAGATAGTTTATTTAGTCACCATTTGTTTTGTGAAATAACAATCATGTTTGTTTTTGATATCATTGAAAACATTCCCTCTTGCTGTTAAATGGCTGCAAATATGAAAATAGCAAAGAAAATAATCTATGATTCTAGTCTCCACAACTGGCGAAACCGCACAATTCTCTCAATATTATAGTATATTGGATATAAAGACAAGTTTGTCGTCGTATTTAGATTTCAATAGCCACATTTAGATTGTAGAGCAATACCTAAGAGCCGGCGACTGCCAGGACAGCAAAAACTTTAAAACATACCGATTTCTAAAAGTAAAGAAATGCTTTGTACGATTAAATACCGATGTTCATAGACAAATAATCAACAGGGCCATTTTTATCATTTTATGCATTCAATAGTTTATTTTGTGTTTCTTTGTCGGCAAAGCAAGAGCAGGTTTCAAAAATCATGTAACTTTGATAAAGGTAGATTGATTGTTGCATATAAAGCAAAGCCTTTCTTTCTTAACGTTAAAAAAATACATTTTTATTATTTAATATAATTGTGGCCATGAATTACAGTTTGGATAGTAGCTTTCTTTATTGAATAAGTAAACCTTCGAATTTTATACTACGAAATGCCAGCAGGAAATGCTGAGATATGTGGCGAATAAATTGGGCTACCTGTGAGAGACATTTATGCAGTCTAGTGTCTTCGTCAGGATTGGAGTGATCTGATATTTAGACTAGAAAACTTATATAGTACAACAATCTGATTCCCTTAAATACTCCTGTCTAATGCCTTAATCAGTACGATTTTGTAGTCTGAAGCTTAACATCTTTATTGGAAGGGATCTGATGATGAAATTTGAGTAACTGTACCCTCCTGTAAAGTGTGTTTGTCCGAAGCGATCTGATAATGTGTCATAAAGTCTTCTCTCCGCCTTTTTTTGCAATGAAATGTTGCGTAGAAAAATGAATCATTATCTCTTGTTGATTGTGTAGAACCGACTTTTACGAAATGTTATTTCCTTAAAGTTAAAGGTGATTACCACAGAAATTGCGAGGAAATCGAAGGTATTGTCGCAGAATATTACATTTTAGTAAATAGAAATACCCGGGAGGTTTGAAATATGATCCTACATGCACCCTATATGCACCCTATCTATGACCCTACATGTGACCTCTGAGCGCGTTTGTATAATTCGTTTACCATTACATTATCTGTCATATACTTGGGTCGCCTTGCGTTTGCTAGCAATTTCTACTGATAAAATTGACATCTTCCATACATACCGGTTACTAACTTACTATGTTAGTTTTATGGCCTTCTTATTGCTATGCAGCTGTATCATGTATATGAATCCAATAAGACGAAAATTCTGCTAAAACCACTGTGTGTTGTACTGATATTTATGTTCATTTTCAAACTGTATTTAATTGAAATCTTTTGGAAAAAAGCACGTAGAACACTTTTTTGAAAGACAATTGAAATTTAAACGGCGATTTTCATCTCGTTTTTTGTGTAAAACTGACTGACGATCAAAGTCATGACGCTGTTGACCTGCTGCATGCGAAAAAGCTCTTTTTTACTAAAATTTTAAAACCTATAATTTGCGGTTCCTTTATATAACCTAATGTTGCGTTAGAACAAATGGACTTTTTTATAGTTTTCAATATGCACGTCAATTATCACTTATACTAGAAGCATTCTTTGTGAAAAAAATGCTTTTGTAATAACGGATATGCAGTTAGTCGATTTGAATTTCATTGCACGAATAGCCCTTAGCCTGAAACACAAATGTTTGCTGACTAAAATATTTACTTTTACACGTACACAGAGAAAGTCAGGCTAATTTATTTACGTCGATCCGATGTTAAAATTTGAAAAATGGCAAACCTGCAAAATGTACTCATGCCTGTATAAGAATTAATTTGTATTAAAAGTTTTTGCCTGTGATTACGTTATCTCATCAACATTTTAAAATATGTGGAATACTTCATTTCTTGTTTTTAATGAGCTCATGCTGTCTCAAAGCTATTAGCGTCTGGTAGAAAGAACACAATTCATTCCTCGATTCATTCCTTTCGTCTGATTATTTTAAATTGTTATGATTATAACTGCGCTCAACTTACATTTATGCAATGCGGTCCACATATATGTGTATAACGTAATCAGCTGGATAGCCAAATGAAAAGACTACCTGAAATATCTGTCTTCAATTGATATCCCTCTGTGATTCGGGTATTCAGAGTCAACACCTCAAACAAAGATTGTAGTCATTCGCTTTCTCACTGATTAATTAATAGTATCGTGTGAATATATTGCCGATCTTCTCCTGACGAGGAGCACTGTTTCTTTGTATAAAATCCAATCGAATATTACGGTTCATTCGTGACCATAGAAGATTATTTACCTAAATTGAAGGAGACGTCTGGATTTGATTTGTATGCACGTGAATGAACAGCGTTTCTTTACATCGCCACAACATGTCGTCAAGATGTGCGAGTCTGGTCGCTTGTAGCATCTTTTTGTCTTTATTTTTTCATAATTTGTCTCATCTAACGTCGGCCGAGCATCTTGAAATCGAAAAACGTGAGTATTCCTCTTGTGTTTAAATATGTTAAAAATTTATTTGAAACCAGATGGCAAAATTATTATTTTGTTTGTAAGCCAAGGTTGTAGATCTTAAAGGAACGCCAGGAAATTCTCCAATTTCACAAGAAGAAAATATTCCAAATTTCAGATTGTGCGTTTGAGAGAGACTTCGATTATTTTGAGTATCTATTTCAAATTTTACTGACTACATGGTATTCATTCCATTTTTCATAGCGCTATTCAAGTCGAAGCATGGTAGCCCTCGACCTCTCGTTAGATAAGAATAAAATGATGATTTACGCTTTCCATTCTATCATTATATACTGTGATCCACAAAGTGTACTCAACATGTCTGAAATATCTCAACATCAGCAAGCGTATGAATAATTTTGGCACATTTGGTACCATAACGATGCAAAATATTTCATGGACACCCGTTGTTCCTTTACTTGATTTGATGTTTCTTTAGGCCATTCCTGGGCCTAAGGTGATGTTGATGTTGAAATAAAAGCAAGTCTAGTGTTCGACGAACGTTCACAAAAATCATTTTTTGATTCCATTTTAGCCTATCAAATTATATGCTCTAAAACATTTTCGCGTTGTCGGCCACCTAGTTAGATAACTAAAAGGAATAAATAAACAAAAACTCATGTAGTATAACAATTGCACGATAAAATACTTTCCATGTTTATGAATACACGAGCATATTCTTTCTTCGGAAAAATTAGATACCAGCAATAATTCCCGCGTTAGACAATAGATCGCATTCACAATACATCCCAGTCATTGTGCTATTATTTTGTTGTTGCATTTTGTTCAAACAAGATCGTTTGAATTTCGATAGAACCATTGCAGATCCGAATGCAGACGGGCTTGAGTACAGATCCTCGTGAATCTGAAAATTGAAATCTGCACCACCAAGCGTTTATGAATTACACCGCATGAGGAATGTGCTATGCGGATATTAGCTGGATAATTGTATTACATTCATTTTTTATAAGCGATAATGTTCATAACTGCATAGATCAGTCTTTGTTCTTTGATCATATGTATTGCAAAAGACGTGGACGTTAATATCACCTATTTATCAAAAGAAACTTAGAAAATGAAGTCTGTGTTACTGTTACTGCCCTTTTCATCACAATTTATACAATTGTCAAGTTAATTTTGAAATTGTGGCTTTATTTTAAATCAGGGTACATCGATTAAGATAATATGCTTTTGATCGAACTATTTGTGTTCCATCACTTCGCAAACATGTCAACAACATTATTTTGTGAGAAAGATTTTCCCGTATTTTTATTAATGCAATGCTTTAATACAACAAAATACTACAACCAATTATCGATATTGTATTTATATAAATGAAAGAGTAACGATATGTTTCTATTTCTCAGCTTATTCGAGAGCTTATGCGTAAACATTATGGTGAACTGTCTTAAGTACTCATGATGTCGACTTTAATGTTGTACTCTCGTTGTATTTGCTTGATAAGTTTGATCAACTGTGTGTCCGCGTTCACTACTTAATGCTATGAGCATGGATCAAATAATTTTTGTATATGTTACCATGGAATTTATTTGAATATAATCCGATTTCATAGTTATTACTTCAAAGTTGCTTGCCGTGGTCTTTAACCTCTTGCAACCCAGCAGGGCGGCTCCGAATGTATACTCATTTTCAGTTATGTACGATAAACTGATCATAAAACTTTAAACTATCTCGTTTATATGTATTTTTTCCACCGGAACTTCTTACCACACACAGAACATACTATTGTAACTAGAATGCCTTGCAACAACTAACAAATTAATAGTTAGCTACTATCTTTATATCAAGTATTATTACTTATATGTAGTGATGTTGAAAAAAGTCACGAAAACTACAGATTCGTCCCGACAAGCCTGTTTTGTGATTGCTCACTCTTCAGGGAATTTAATGAATACTATTAGTTATATATATTAATATTATGTTCAACAAATAAATACCTAATTACCTAGCAAGCATGCAGTGGTTGTAATAGTATAGATGTACTATGTTGTCATCATTCTGAACTTATCTTTTATATGCTGTGTACAGATATCACTAAACTCTAGAATACTGTGATTTGTGCTTTTATTCTAGTAGAAATGAACTAAGGCTTGGTGTTTTGTCTCGGAGAATTTAATTTTCATGACCGAAGTGTCTCGTTATAGCATGGCAAATACTGGCCAGATTTATTGTAAAATTTAATTCATCAGTAATTTATTGTATTACGGAAAAATTTTCTTTTCATATGAGCCTCTACTAAGTTGATAAATTTGTCCTAAAACATTTCTTTTTTATTTTCAGGTTCTTTGGATGACGAAATTCTCATAGATTTTCTAAGTTTTATCGCAATACCTCTTCCTGAAGGAGTAACTTGGGTATTAGGTCCAAATGGTTTGGACAGTGAACCAGCGCTAAGATTTTTACCAAATTCAAAGGCATTTCAACTTACAAAAAATGTTCTGCCTTTATCATTTCCAAGTGACTTTGCAATTACGGCAACGGTATTATCGCCCACAAATGGCGGTGTTCTTTTTGCTGTGACCAACGAAGATAACTCAAAGATCTACTTGGGTTTAGAGATTCTCCCCGTGCAAGCTGCAGGACCTGATAACAATGGCTCTATGATCATAAGGTTCATGTTTTTAAACCCATACTTTGGACGAAACGAGACTATTAATTTCCCAGTCAAAGAATTCGCCAACAAATGGACTAAGTTTGCCCTCAGTAAACAAGACAATTTGATCACTTTGCACTTCTCTTGTGGATCAGAAGTTTTTGAGAAGGTTGCAACGCAAGTTTGGGGAGCGTTTATCATCCCTGACACAAGTTTATTCCACCTTGGTCGCGTTGGCAACAATATCAAGTACAATGTGTTTGAGGTTGTTTGATTTTTTTCAATTTCCTACACAATTATGTAACTTATATAATAACTATGTCTAACAAAATTATTTACCTTCTTTGTGATTTCATTTTGCTTCGGTTATCACCCGCCGACAATCATGTTAATTTTGGTAAATTATTTTTGAACGTTGGTGCAATTGAATTTATTTTTTTTGAATTTAGGGCGATATAGCAGAATTGAAATTACATCTGGATCCCAATCAAGCTGCTGAACAATGTGATGTAAGCAATATAAGCATTGAAAACAGGATTTGAAAAATTTTTTCATAAATTTATTACACAAAAGGATTTCAAAGTTGGAAAAATTTAATCGTTTCCTTTGGACGTAAAAAACATAAAGCAAGTTTTTGAAATGTTTGCCTGTTTCTTTTCTAGGATGGTTCAGGATCAGGATTTGCGACGTTTACAAGATCAAGCAGTTTGAAGAACAGTGAAAACACAGTAATGGCGACGGTAAAGTCAAAGAGTAAAGAAAACGAGCCAAACGTCTTACATACAAAAAGTACCGAGGAGGAAGTATCGTTTGAATTCACTGATGATCCCAAATTTTCCCGTGATTCATCTCTCAACCTTGAAACAACTCCTCCATCTCTTATCGAGTTTTCTTCTCAGAGACAAGTTAGCTCAAAATTTGTTTCGGTAAAAACTGAGTCTGAAACAATACCAATTCCTGACACCACAACTAAACCTGACACTACAGCACAGTCTCAATTCACAACTGAAAGACAAACGGTTGCTTTGGAAACCACAGCTAAACCTGACACTACAGTACAATCTAAATCTACAGATGAAGAAGAAACAACGATTGCTCCAGACATCACAGCTAAACCTGACACTACAGTACAATCTAAATCTACAGATGAAGAAGAAACAACGATTGCTCCAGACATCACAGCTAAACCTGACACTACAGTACAATCTAAATCTACAGATGAAGAAGAAACAACGATTGCTCCAGGCACCACAGCTAAACCTGACACTACAGTACAATCTAAATCTACAGATGAAGAAGAAACCACGATTGCTCCAGACACCACAGCTAAACCTGAAACTACAGTACAATCTAAATCTACAGATGAAGAAGAAACCACGATTGCTCCAGACATCACAGCTAAACCTTACACTACAGTACAATCTAAATCTACAGATGAAGAAGAAACCACGATTGCTCCAGACACCACAGCTAAACCTTACACTACAGTACAATCTAAATTTACGGATGAAGAAGAAACCACGATTGCTCCAGACACCACAGCTAAACCTTACACTACAGTACAATCTAAATCTACAGATGAAGAAGAAACCACGATTGCTCCAGACACCACAGCTAAACCTGACACTAAAGTACAATCTAAATCTACAGGTGAAGAAGAAACCACGATTGCTCCAGACACCACAGCTAAACCTGACACTACAGCACAGTCTAAATCTACAGATGAAGAAGAAACAACGATTGCTCCAGACACAACAGCTAAACCTGACACTACAGTACAATCTAAATCTACAGATGAAGAAGAAACCACGATTGCTCCAGACACCACAGCTAAACCTGACACTACAGCACAGTCTAAATCTACAGATGAAGAAGAAACAACGATTGCTCCAGACACCACAGCTAAACCTTACACTACAGTACAATCTAAATTTACGGATGAAGAAGAAACCACGATTGCTCCAGACACCACAGCTAAACCTGACACTACAGTACAATCTAAATCTATAGATGAAGAAGAAACCACGATTGCTCCAGACACCACAGCTAAACCTGACACTACAGTACAATCTAAATCTAAAGATGAAGAAGAAACAATTCTTGCTTTGGACACCACAACAAAACCTGTAACCACGGTACAGTCTGAATCAACATCTAAAGTTGAAACAACACCTAAGAGAACAGAACTTGGCATTACACCGAACATTCTACCTCAACGTAAGACAGTGGCAACATCCGCTATGCGAAAAACTACCTTGCCTGAATCAAAGGTATGTATTAATTTTGTTTAAATCAGCTAAAGCCATGGTATCTTATTTTTAGCATTAACATTTGTTAGAATGATTTTAAATGAAAAAAATTGTGATACAATTTGTTTCACAACACAATGAACAATTTTATTTTACATGCAATTTTAACAAAAATTCATTTGTATTTGTCGTTGTTATCGCTTTTGTATTCCCTTCGTGACTGGAGTTTTAAACACGCAAACCGCGTTTCAAATAAAACGATGTTGTCTTTATTTTTGACATGAATTTGCAACAAGCAGAAAGTCGATTCCCACCTGACTAATAACATGATACCATGTTCGATTGATACCAACTGCAATAAAGTGAGGGCTTTGACCCAGGTATGACTTTGCATTTTAAGCTTTTTTTGCAAGATCAGCATCAATCAATCAATCAATGCAATGCCTTGATTATCTATTGATTATTTCATCCTCTTTGTGAATTATGCAATTTGCTAATTATACGTTGATTATCTACTGATTAAATTGCTTAATTTTCTTCTGTGATTTTTCTGTCTTCTGATAAAGTAACACTTTTCTTGACAGATTTTCTACTTTCGTTATTCATTGTAGATATTAAGCCATTTTTTGTTTTATTTTAGAAAGAAAAGGAGATATCTCTTCCGGTAAGTCGAGAAACTTTTCTGCTCGACATTAGAAAAGAAAACAATTGCAAAATCTTGGAATGGTCATTTGTCTCCGTCATAATCGTAATTTTATTGCTGTTTTTTGTAGAACAAAGGAGCAAAAGGGGAAAAGGTTAGTTTTATGTTTTCACTCTTTTCATCGACAATATTTTATCTTCATTTGATGTTTTCAACTTCTGTGTTAGATGAAGTACTCAAATACCAGGAATGTTTTCTTTAGGGCGAAAAAGGAGCTGTTGGTGCAGTAATCGCGTTACCTGTAAGTGCTAGATTTTTTAAATCTCTTTTTCTCGTCAAATAGGCATAAAAGAATTATTACAACACACAGTTCATAAGTATTGCGTTGATTTTTTTAGCCCGAGCCAGGTCAAAAGGGTAATAAAGGAGAAAAAGGGGATAATGGTTTAGTTGGACCTGCTGGTATTCCTGGAGCATCGGTATAGTGTAGCTTCTTCCAATATATGTTGTTTTTGTTTGAAATAAATGAAATAAACGCGACTGTGTATTGTTTTTATAGATTAAAGGTGATAATGGTGATGTTGGAGCTAAGGTATCACAATATTTTGCACACTACTACAGTTGAAAGACTTGTTTGTGTCTCTATGACATTTGACATGTTAAGACTTCATGTAAACATAGTTATGTACGAGCTTTCTCCTCTTTTTTTTTCCAGGGTGAAAAAGGAGAACCTGGTGAAATCCGCATTGTTAAGGTATGGCAATCTATAGACAGTTTTTAAAGATCACGTTTCATATCAATTTCGCTTTTTTTCAGAGTGAACCTGGTATGCGTGGTTTACAGGTATGGAATTATACTTCATAAAAACTTCCATGTATGTGGTATTGATGACAGAGCCATCAATTTCTCGTTGATTTCTATTGCACAACGTGAGTTTTCATTTAAATATTTAGATGACGTACAGAAGCTAGAACTTAGTTTCTTTGTAGAAGAAACTGACTTTTATAAAATAATTTAGACGATTTTCAAGTTGAAGAAGCTTTTGTTTTGTAGTTATATTTCTATATTTTGTTTTACTTTTTTTCTAGGGTCCAAAAGGCGACAAGGTAAAATTGAATCAATGGAGTGTCATCAATTTGAAATAAGTAAAATAACAGAGCATTAGCATTAGGTCAATGGCATCTTTTATGAGCCAAGTATTCGTTAAGGGCTAAAATTTTTCCAGTGTTGGCTTCCATATAACCATTATCATTTATTAATGGCGTGATATATACAAGATCTCAAATGCAACCATTTTCCGTAGGGTAATGCTGGCAAAAATGGTTTAGATGGAAAACCTGGCCTTCCTGGATCACCTGGGCTTATGATCATCAGATATAATGCCAGTAAGGTACCTGGACCTCGGGGTCCACCTGGACGTCCTGGACAACCTGGCTTTAACGTAACTGGACCAAGTGGTCTTCCAGGATCACAGGGAGTGAAAGGAGCTAAAGGAGATACTGGAGCTCGAGGCGAGAAAGGAACAGTTGGAGATATAACGGTATGTCATGCTCCTTGCTCTTTTTTCTCTTTTTCCTCTATTGAACATTTTCCTTAGAATTCTTGTTGTACGTAACGTGGCTCTTTGAAACAATCTAGTTTTATTTTTGGCTCCTACAACCATTTTCTACGTTGCGAGTTTTAGACTTTTTCATGATAAACTTGACATGCTTTGCACTTCTGGGCTTGTTTTATGAAATTCTAAACCGAGTTTTCAACTTTGAAGTCGCTTTTTCCTGTCCATTTCATGTCGTCCTTTGACACTTGCATCTCCCAACAATGTCCTTTTTTCCATGTATTTATCTGTCGTCTTCATTCTCTTGATTCATTTTTTTTTTCTTTTCTCAATAACACGATAACAAACACCTACTTGTGTTGCTCTCTCTTTTCTAAATGTATAGGAAAATACTTTGAAAAACATAAATGTCACGTGTTTTATGATCTTCCTTGAATAATGTCTTTACTTTTTATGTAGACTGTACTTGGCCCTAGGGGTGCACAGGGTCCTCAAGGGCTTAAAGGAGATAAGGTGAGATTTATCTTATTCATTCGTGGAAGGAACATTTTATGTTTGATGATTATTTTTTTCATAGGGGGACATAGGATCACCTGGAATATTAGGATTGAAAGGTGTACAAGGAGACAAGGTGAGAATTAAATGTCCACAAACTGTTTCCTTATCTTTTATAGATAAGATATATGTTGTATTCGCATTATAGGGTACACCCGGGGATAAAGGAGAACAGGGATCATCTGGGATTGATGGAGAACCAGGAAGACCCGGACAAAGTATTAAGGTAATATTGATGTGAGGTGTGCGTCAGAGAATATTTTCATCGATATCATTTTTTATCTTTTATCGACGCTTTGATAATGGTATGAAAAAATCCCAAGATTTCAACAACAATTTCATTTTTTTAGGAAGAAAATTTACCCTTAAAAATGTCAATTATTTTGACGTTCTTTTATTCTGTGTTTTACAGGGTGATCATGGTACCAAAGGCGAAAAGGTAATTTGCCTTGCCATCCATCCAAGTATTTGTATTTTAAATGTAATATGTTTTTGGTTTTTAGGGCGACCGTGGTGAACCAGGAACGAAGGTGAGTAATTTCCATAGTGAATGCAAGAAAGTATTTTGAACTGATATCTTGTTGGAAATTATGTTTTTTCATGAAAATTATGTTTTTTCATGAAAAGCAAAGAGTGAACAATGAATGCGATGATTTTTTTATCCCCAACTTTGTCACTCTTTTATTCAGTTCCTATTTGTATTCATGAAAAGTGATTGCACACTTAGATCAAAAGTTTGATCACATTTGGGTTTTTTTCATTCAAATTAAAATCTACGTTTCAATGGTTTTAAAGTTTTTATTGTTATTAATTATTATATGAAAATGGTGAAACTTATTTGCGCTGTTTTCATACGTAAAGCTGAAATGCAACCAAGACTTTACTCAACCAATTTTTCATATAAATCAACTTAGCGACAACTTCCAAAAGCTTCGTAGTTTTGAAAGCTACTTTGTTTAAGAATAATGAAAAACTTTTTATAATTTGGTTATTTACCGTGCGTTATCTTGTTTCTTTTTTTTAGGGTAAAAGTGTAGAAGGACCCCAAGGACCACCAGGTCCCCAAGGACTACCAGGTCCACCTGGACCACCAGGTCCGCTCGGATCCATGCAAGTACTAACGCTTTTTTTATCATTTATTGCTATAAAAATTCTATACGTTTTGGTAAAAATTAGACTAAAGAAAGCAATTTTAAACCTACATTCGAGTAAGTACTTTACAGCATTCATTCATGACTTGATCTTATTTTTATAGGGTATCAATGAAGGTAATCGTATTGTTGATGCTGCTGCTCAAAGTGTTTCGGAGAAAGGAGAAAAGGGTGACAAGGTTGTTTTTATAGTGCTTTGTTTAATAAAATATTCGATGAAGCAAAGGTGTTTTGCAACTGTTTGCTTTTAATAAGCTTGCGTTAGAGAATAATTTATTCGCAACATTGGTGTAGATCAATTAGTGAAAACTTGTTGTTCATCGTTTACTTTAGGGTAACATTGGTTTACGTGGTTCAAGTGGTGACGATGGAGTACCTGGTGTAAAGGGAGATAAAGGAGATCCTGGCATCGATGGAATCACTGGAGAAAAGGTAAAGGCACCATGTTACGTATCATAACATTTTAATTACTTTTACAAAGTTCTCGGTTTTCAAGTACTTTTAATCAATTGATTTTCCACCCAATTTTGGCATTTTCAGGGTGATGAAGGAGCTCGTGGAGCAAAGGGAAGCAAGGTACTTTATAGAAGTGTGTTTTTCTTTTTTTTTCCTAGCAATATCTTGAAAATAAATTATAAGTAATTTCATTGGCGCTTGGTTTTTTTAGGGGGCTACTGGACAAAAGGGTGACATTGGTATAAAGGGTGAACGTGGAGAAAAGGGGGATGCAGGAAGGCCTGGTGTTTCAGGAAATTCTGGTCCCAAGGGTGATGAAGGACAGCGTGGACTTGAAGGAGTGAAAGGAAACAAGGGTGAAATCGGAGCAAAAGGAAGTCTGGGGGATAAAGGGGACGAGGTGATATTGCTTGTGCTTTTGTGATAGCACGTGTTTGCTATAGAAGATTGTTCAGTGAGTTTTTGAGCCTCAAATCTACAAAATCAACAAACATTCTGTCATATAATTACATACTTTTGTACAGACATCAGATGGCAGATATATTTGTTTTGCCTCGTGAATTTTCTGCATTTTTTAGTGGGAGACATTGGACTGTTAACTTGTACTGAAAGCAACTACTTTGTTTCGACAGTAAATAATCAACTCTGGTTATTTTTTACAGGGAAAACTTGGTTTGTCTGGTAAAGATGGAATGAAGGTTGGCAATAGTATCTTAATGTTAACCACAACTTTCTAGGAGTGCTTACTTAAATTCATTTAATTTATTTCTAACTAACAGGGAGAAAAAGGTGACACCGGCTTGATTGGTCAACCTGTAAGTTACAATGCCATGTTTCTGACTGAGTTAGTGTTTCAAAAGGATAACAATTGCATTTTAGGGTGAAACAGGAGAAAAGGGGGATATTGGCTTACAGGTAAAATTTTTGTGTATCTATTTTATTGTTTTACGAGAAGTTAATCTCCAACTAAAAAAATTTGATGTGCATTTCGAAATTCATACTTTCACTCCAGGGCTCACCCGGTATAAAAGGCGAGAAGGGTGTTCCTGGCAATCCTGGTGTTTCGTTACCAGGAGAACGTGGTGCTCCCGGACCACGAGGTCCACCTGGACCGCCTGGACGCTCGATTACAGACGTCAACTCTTTCTCAGGTCCGGCAGGAAAAGAACATGATGAGCAGAAGTTGAATGTTGGGCAATCTAGCATATTGGGGGTAAGTGAGCATAAAGAAATTGATTTTTATAAAAAGTAGGCATCGAATTGATTTTGTTGATGTAAAATTTCAGAATGGTGACATATGAGGTCTATTGTTGTTAATTTCAGATTGTTACCTTCTATAATCAAGATGACCTTCTCTATGGTGGAAATTTGACACCAGAAGGAACAATAGCATTTGTTTTAGAAAGTCAAACATTGTTTGTGCGTATTGCACAAGGATGGCGCTCGATACAGGTAAGCTCATGAATATTGATGTCCGTCGTAGCTGTTGTTTTGTGTCATGATCATTTTTTTATTTTATTTAGTTTGGTAATGCGAATGTTGGCCTGATTTCTCCTACACCATCGGTAAATTTCATTAACTTTTTCGTGTAATATTTACTTTTTTATTATCTAATTTATCTGGGTTTTTTATTAACAAACAAAAATAGTTTAAAAATGGGCAAATTAAGGAAGTTAGTGACGATGGTGACGACAGTTTAGCTGAGAAATAATGTAAAATAGACGAAAATGGATTTATGATTTTATTTCTTCTCTCTTTCAGCCGAGTCAAAAGGTTGAGCTTCAAATACCACAAGCGGGTGTTGTAGCAAAAACACCTTACGTAAGTAATTGTCTCATCGTGAGTTTATGTTCAAATACCGGTGATTGGTTGCTGATATGAAGAATCTGATGTTTGGAACAATCCTGAAAACTCATCCATTCTTTTCCAGCTTTATTTGATTGCATTGAACGGACCGATGACTGGAAATATGGGTGGTGTGAGCGGTATCGATCACCAATGTTGGAAACAATCTAAAAACGCTGGACTTAGGGGTACTTTTCGTGCTTTCCTCTCATCTTATGCTCAATCAATAAAGTCTATCGTTAGAAGACGCGATCGTGATCTACCGCTGGCCAATCGTAACGTAAGTCATCGTTCTCATCATTATCAACTTTTCGTTGGAAAGTTTTATGTTTTGTAAACAACACACATTACCCCATTAACTTTCATTACTTCTGTATAATCTTATTTTACATCTTTTCAATTTGTTTTTCATCGTAATCGTTGTTTACTGCAATTGTTAAATTTGGTGATGTGTTCTTACAGTTCACTTCAGTGTTAGGCACATGTGATGGAAGGACGAGTTTATTTTGTATATATTTTACACACGTGTTTCTATGAGGCTTTTCTTTATATTTGTTCGACAGATTTATAAATAAGAGTGTGTTTTGAGATGACAAATTGTTGTATCTTATGTAGGGCCAACAGCTGTTTCCGTCTTGGGATATAGTGTTCAAAGAAAACGAAGCATTTAATCCGGAAATTCCCATACTTTCATTTGATGGTCGTGATGTCCGAAGAGATCCCACATGGTAAGGAAATTATTTTCAAATGTGTAAGAATTGTAAAGTTAAATAATAATTTTATAACTAATGTAACTTATATAATTGAAATTATGTCGACAAAAAGAACGACAACAATGTTACTGCTAAAATATTAACTTTCTCTATAATCATTTGTGCTGTATATCTCTGTCTGTATATCTGTTTTTTAGGCCACTAAAATTGTTTTGGCATGGCTCAGACAGCAATGGCAATAGCGTAAAAGAGAATTGCGATAGATGGGATGTGCAAAACAACAAGAATCGTGAGTTATTTAGTTTTGCATCTCCTATCAATGGTACAACAACTGTCTTGGCACAACAGAAGTTCTACTGTTATAATCCGTTTATTGTACTTTGTGTGCAAGTTGGTGTACGTCGTTGAGAAGAATTGGTTTGTTTAAAAAAATACCTGCCGTGTCGAAGTATAAGGGAAATAAGAGAGAAAAATATTCCAAAGTAATCAGTTGCCAAAGACGTTCTAGTACATAGTTTTGAGCATCGGCAATTAAACCATTTCATGATGATGTGGTCACTTCATTAACTACACAAGCGCTTATCAATTAATTTATCAAGAATCATCTATCTGTTCATTATCTGTTGGTGGACGTCATATAAACGTATTGTTGCATCACACATGACGTCACTGCTTACATTAATTATGTAGTGAGTAGGATAATGCAGTCCTAATAACTGATGTTTTTTAAATTCAGTTTTCTTAGCCTATGTCTTTGTTGTTTTGCACGGTATAAATTTAAGCGGGTTAAATTGCCTTACAAAGCGACATTTTCAATTATAAAATTCTTTAGCTAATTTTATTTATACATTGTGCGATTTAGAAAATGATTTGAATTATCATGTTTGTATATAAAAATTATATTTTTATATAGATAGATTTTTTTAACAGCATGCAAAACACAACATTGGTTCACACTATCTTTAATAATAGTAAAACTTGCATGCTAGTTCATAGTTTTATTTATGTAAGACGATGTTTGGATTACCACTTGGATTTTAGTCATTTTTCTTTTTTTTGTTTTCTACCATTCTCAATATGCTGAACTGATGTAATAAATTTCTAAAGTATTTCCTGAAGTGTCTCTTTTTTGCTAGTTTGTACTATGTCGGTTGGTTGCTTAAAAAATTGTTCGCTCTGAGCTTCTGAGAACATTTTCTTATGAAACTGGTGGATTAATACAAAAATGTCTTTTTTAAGAAAATTTTCACAAGTAATTAAGTTTATTAGCCTGTATATATTATACTCATTGATAATTGTTCAACTATTTTCGTCTTAAGAATGAGGATGTTGGTATTAAAATGAATTTTAAATGAACGCCATTTTGAATGAAAATGAGATCCTCCAGCCAAGTTGACTGAATTAACTTAAAATGAATTAAAATTTTGATGTTGAATAACTTTTTTCTATTTTGAATATCTTTTCTGTTGTAAACAATCATGATATGGATTTTTTTGCCATAACCATGTTTACTTCTGAGAAAGACCTATTTGCTACTTTGCTGCCCTGAATATATGGCAAAATCTTCAAATTCTAAACTTGAAGACGATTGGGATAAGACTCATCTTCAAAATAGGAAGAATATGACTTTGAAAGAAGGAGAAGTGGCAAGTAAAACCAATAAGCTTGTAATATCGTATATATGTCCGATGAAGCCAATATTCAGTTGGAATTTGAAGATCGAGGAAGCAATTTTACGCGAAAATTATCGTGAGGCATATAATTTATGTTTGTTTTTCAGAACTAATCAAATAGGAATATAAAATAGTCAAACGAAATTTGAGTACATGCAAACTAAATGTTGTACGACAAACACCTTGGAAATATGAGAGTGCTTTACAAATTAATAATTTTAATGTCAACAAGATGGTGAACTGACTTGTCGCTTTAGTTGGCGGGAAATTGTTTTTTTGTGATTTTCACTCTGTCCACTTATTTCTTAAATTATGTGGCGCTGTAATGAAATTTTAACACAGTAAAGTTTGTCTAGTTGGCGAAAAACTAAATAAAAAAAGGTACTGAATCGTGAAAATGTCAGACAAACAGAAATAGGAAATGAGTTGAATTAGACTAATGACTATGTCTTAAAATTTGAAGGATAATTTATATCATGTTGTCATTACTGCTGGCTTGTAGTCTCAGTATAAATCTGCGTGATGTTTGTTCGTCGTTGTTTTGAAATCTATTCATAGTTTGTAAAATGTTGTTGTCTTCGTTTATTCTTTACAGAGTTTGTTTATGTAGGGTCATTTGTGTTTAGTTATCCTACGTATAGTCTGTGTGTAGTCTGTAATCATTATATTGTAATATATCGTTTCTTTGTATATTGTTCTTGTAGTATTTTCCTTTTTATGCTGTCTGCACAATTTATATGTCTTCTGAAAGTTTTACTTGTATATTTACATAGAAAGCTGAGATACACTGAGAATATGCCTTTAAATCAGTTGCATACTCTCTCATTTTCTTCATTTTTTTTATTGTGCTTATAATGTTTATTTTTATTTTTTGTAGCCTTACAAAAATCACATTTTCGTATTTGTTGCTTCTTCGTCGTCTATAGCATGCGATGTTTGCGAAAACAGGGAATTGTTTGAAGGCATAACGTGTACAAGTATGCTTCATTCATTTTATTTTAAGTCTGAGATTTATTTGATTATACTTTGTCACCATACTAGTGCATGCAGCAAAACTTTGCTTTTTTGCAGAATGTTGTTATACTTGCCATTTAAAGTGTATCGAAAAGGTAAGTACTTAAATTGATGCTCATTATAAAATTGTTATGTTGAAAAGGACTGTTTTCTGTAATAATTTTTACTGTGTATGGTAGAGCCCATATTGTGATAAAACAGAAACGAAAACAAAGATGGAATCAAATGAAGCTCCAGAAGATGAAAGTGGTTTGTCTACAACTAGTAATGTAAGTACTCATGCAGTATTTTGTGCATCCAGAGTTAGGAAAAGCAATTAAATAATTGATGTTAATTTAAAATACCTCCCCTCCCTGTAATTACCCTCTTCTTTATTATGAGTGAATGTTAGTTTGATGGCATAATGTAATGTGTAAAATTTATTATTTTTTTCAGTATGTTTATGAACAAGTGGAGATGCCATCCAAATCTGTGAGTGATAAATTAGCTCAGATCATGCAAAATTATCATTTTTATTAATATAGCTATTATATATAGAAACTTGCAGCCAGTTCCTTTTTTCCTTTGCATGCATTCATATGGAGCAAGGGTTTTTTGGATTGTTTGATGGTCTGAAAGAAAATAAGGAATGACTTATGTCATGACTTACTGAGTTTTATACTTCAGAATATTTTGATAAGAATTTTGCAAAATTGCTGTTATAATGTGTAAATAGTAACATCTTTTAAGTACAAGATTAAAAGATCATGCAGTAAATCATATTTTGTCATTATGTATATAGAATCCCAAAGGTTTTTCAAAAATTTTAAAGCATAAGGTATCAAGGTATGAAAATTTAATTATTTGAAAGTATTTTAGTGAAAGTATACAAAAAGTGTTTTAAATAATGAATAAATAAACATGGAACATATTTGTGGAATTACCATTGAAAATGCCAAACTTATAGGATAGTCAAAATGCCTTATGTATGAATATTCTATAGAAAGGTTGCACAGATTATCTGATAGGATATAGGTTGAAAAATCTTTTCAATTATTCTTTAGATAAAATATAAAATAATATAAGGTAATAATGTCTCAAATATTTTTGTTATGGTTTTGATGAGACATTTGCCAGTTTTGATTTCTTTAGAGGAAGAAGTCGTCATGTTGACCAAGAATTTGATTTGGATTTAACATATATAACTGATAGAATTATTGGTAGGTTTTTTGTATAATACATGTTGAACATGTTGTCAACATGTATCTTTAACATGTTAAACACATTGGTATAGATACATGTTGAACATATATCAGTAACAGTGTGTTTGATGATGTTGTGTTGCTCATGAATTTTTGTTTGTCTTAGTTTCAAATCAATTTTTGATTTAAAATTAGTTTAATCGTGTGTATTGTAGACAATAGATGCTATTATTGAAAATAGATTATGGGAAAATTTTACTAATTCACTGGTTCATACCACACGTAATCAACAACTTATTTTTCATCTATAATCTGGCAAACACATTTGACGAAAGTAAAACAGACTGCAGGTTGTTCTAGTAATGAACAAAATTATAATGTTAGCAGTATAGTGAATAAGGGCAGAAATTCAAGGGATGTCATGACATGTGGTGTTAACTTTATGAGGGGCAGCAAAATGCAGCATTTTATCAATGTAGAGCGATGCAAGTTGATGAAATCTAGGAATATTATCCAGAAATAAATGCAATTTAGAGATTTGTTTGATTTCTGCCATCTTTCCTCCATTTGAGAACCATGAAAATAAAGGAGACCTTCAAATAATCTTTCCTCAAAGAGACGTAACTCAAAGCTGTTTTTACATCATGTCAAATGTACATTACACATGCATACTCATTTGTTAGAATTTATACTTTTTAAATTCAATTTATTTATATCCAACATTGATGCCAGTAGATGCAATTGGTTGTTGCCTTGACTATGAACTTGGATGATTGTTTGAGTCGATTACACATGCTCAGATGATTTCCCAATAATTCAAGTTTGAGCAAGCTATATTACTCTGAAATCTGTGCAATTAGATCCAGTTGTTGCCATGACCATAGATGATTTTTCAAATTGTTTTTGACTGAGTGAGATAGTTACTGCCACAGTAGTGCTAGGAGATCCAGTTGATTGGTACAAAATTGTTAGTTGGTTGAGCTAGGATTCACATTCTGAAATGCCTTGTCTTTATTTTTATTTTACAGCAATGTCATTTCCAGCAACTGGACTGGAGACAACCTATCGTAACAATCTCAAAGATGTTGCAAAATTGTTGAAAAAGAATCATCAGGAAAATTATCTTGTGAGCATTTAAAATATTTTTATTTATGTTTTTAACCACTTGATAGAAATTACAATCATTTTTAATTTGGTTTTTGAGCTTGTGACTCAGTTATAAAACTGTTGCAAGAATGAAGAATTTGAAGTGTGGCTAGACTTACTGAGTTGTAGTACCACGTATTGCTCTTATGAAAGGGCTGATGAAATTTCTATTCATCTGTTGTTGACTTAATCAAGGGCTCAAGATTATCGTCTTGATCATATTAAAATATGAATAATTTATTTTGTTTTTTCTAGGTTTTTAACTTATCAGGGAGAAGTTATGATATTTCAAAACTCAACCACCAGGTATAAACCACCAGAGCAGGTAAACATCAGCAGAGCAGGTAAACATCACCAGGGCAGGTAAACATCACTAGGGCAGGTATAAACCATTAGGGCAGGTGTAAACCACTATGGCAGGTATAAACCACTATGGCAGGTGTAAACCACTATGGCAGGTATAAACCACTAGGGCAGGTATAAACCACTATGGCAGGTGTAAACCACTATGGCAGGTATAAACCACTATGGCAGGTATAAACCACTATGGCAGGTGTAAACCACTATGGCAGTTAAAAACCACTATGGCAGGTATAAACCACTATGGCAGGTATAAACCATTTTGGCAGGTATAAACCATTATGACAGTTGCGAAACACAAGGCCATGTATAAACTTTCAGTGTCCACATGAATGAATATAATGATGAAATGATTTATTCATTATTACTTTGGCAAATATAAGGCTCTGTATAGAATTTGTAGCCTTGAATTTTTTGATTAGAATTTGTATGTAAGTATGGCATAACTGCACCAATAAAAGCGACAAATTAAACTCACTAATTCTAACGCTATTGTTTATGATTCAGGTGTTAGATTTCGGCTGGCCAGATCACTTAGCCCCACCTTTGGAACGGTTAGTTAGGTGAGAAAATACTTAAATATTTCTCTTGTCTTATTTGGAAAAAAATGACTTCGTCTCTCTTTGTTCTCTATTGTATCTGTAAATCTCTTTATATCCTATGTAGTATCTGTAAATCTCTTTATATCCTATGTAGTATCTGTAAATCTCTTTATATTCTATGTAGTATCTGTAAATCTCTTTATATCCTATGTAGTATCTGTAAATCAATTGACTCTTGGTTGAAGTCTGATCCACAACATGTTGTTGTTGTACATTGTAAGGTATGTTATGTCGCTATCCTTTTTAATGCTTCTACTTTTATTGTTATGCAGGAAGTACTTAAACTGTATTTAACTGACAGTTAGAAGGAAACGCAAAGAAAAAAGATTATATTTTGCTGTAGAACACCCATTTCTTCACCTAATTCGTGTTTGATAATCTTGCAGAAGAACGTTGACATGACGTCAACAATATGTCGTGTATTTCTTAAGTTTTGTCTTTAAATTTTATGATAAAAGTTATAGCTCAAACTGCATCTTGATAAAGTGTGATTATAGTTAAGGATCGTCAACATTACATTCTTGTTTTCATTTATTATTGAACAGTAATATTTCACTTCTTAAACATTTTTTCAAGAATGACGAACTACAAACCTGTGATGAAAAATTTATAAGATTGCTACTTTTTTTGTCCATACCTGTACATTAAGATGGCTAACATCTTTCTTAGGCTTGTCTCTTGCTACATTTTAGTGAGGAAGATTGAAATAAAACTTCAATTAATAACTAAGAATTCTACTTATACGAATTGTTTGCTCAATATACTGTATTAATTATCTATGTTGAAGATCTTCTCGTTTCATGGTAATGATTGTTTAGGGTGGAAAAGGTAGAACTGGTGTTGTTGTCGCATCTTACATGCATTATAGCAAACAATCTGAAAGGTAAAAATAAAAAATTTATCGAACATTTCTATATGCTTGGACAAAACTCTATTATTAATTTTGATAATTTAATCAGTCCGGAAGCAGCGATGGATGAATTTGCCATTCGAAGATTTTACGATGACAAACTTGCAGGGGTGACTCAACCTTCACAAAGGAGGTATAGTTATGATTATCACTCTATTCTAAAGTACTTAATCACCTTCGATAATTTAGATTGTACTTAATTATCCATCAAATTAATTACGATTCTCCCCATCAATCACTATACTCCCAATTAATCAATGTGCTCCCCATTGATCAAGATTCCCCCCGTTTATCACTACATATACTCCTCGTTGATCATGATCCAGACTGGAAAGTTTGCCCTTAGATCTCGGATATGCAATTTTGAGTAAAATAGGCATTTATGCGTGCAAATTTTGAATTTAGGGTGCATAGACTCTTTCCAGTCAAGATCACCATCTTATGAATTTAGTGACAACACTCCCGATTAAATATTCTTTAATTGATATTACTCATTTTTATGTACCTGTGATCTATATATTCCTGAATAGATATGTTCATTATCTTGATGCGTACATGGCGAACAAGATCTCGATAACCGATAAGTGCATTTCACTTCAACATATTGTTGTTCATGTGATACCAAACTACGATGGTAAAGGTGGCTGTCGTCCATTTTTCTCTATCTATCAAGACTTTGAACTTATATACGAAACTGATGTTTAGTAAGTGTTTGTTTTATGTTTTTTTATTTATAATCTTTATGGGTGACTATCAATGAATTCGGGTAAGTAATTCGCGCAAAGTCAAATTGGCAACATGATTGGTTGTCACAAAATAATGACGACATCATCTACCAATCAAGGGCTTTATCAGTTATTACGCGTTGAAAATTCCACCTAGTGGAAAATTGCCTGGAAATGTAGTTTTCATGATAGAATGTTTAGTTTTTTTTCTCTCATCTTGTTCAATATTTATTCTGTGATGGCTTCATGACGTATCGTCATTCCAAATCTTCTAAGGCGATTATTTTACTAGTCTTTTCGGTAGTTTTTATTACGTACCGTAAAATATGTTTTTGTTTTCTCGGTGTTTTTTATATAGCACTGTCAATGACAAACCAACATTGCGTTTGTCTATTAAAAACGGTTTGGATGTTCGGGGAGATATTTTGGTGAGCATAATTTCATATTATATAACATAGAGAAAGAGTAGATATCTTACATTTTATGTCTTTTGTATATCTTATCTCATGTCTTTTTCGTGTAAGGTGAAATGTTCACACAAGAGTATAACTTCAGGACGAGAAATTGTCTTTCGATGTCAATTTCACACAGATGCTGTGGAGAATTACTTTTTACGTTTTGAAAAGTCTCAGTTGGATGTCGCTCATAAAGGTGTGTGTCCTTGTTGTACATACTTATACAGAATTTAGTCTACTGCTCGGGTTTGCGTAGCTACATGCTTGCGTGTGTGTACCTAGGACTCCCTGTCTATATGGTAACATACGTAGAGGTCTTGGGTTAAGGTCCATGATCATTTCTCTTTGTAAATTTTTAATCTCCCAAAGATCTCTTCGGTTCAATAAAAAAGAAAAATTTATAGCGAATATCTAGAATTCATTGATGATTGATGTTTTTGTAGATAAACGTTTTTCAGAAAATGGCGCTGTCGAGTTTATTTTCTCGAGCTCCATCAATTCAAGTTCAGGTTTGACAAAACTTCTTCTTTGGTTTTTGTCCTTTCAAGTTCAGGTTTGACAAAACTTCTTTGGTTTTTGTCCTTTCAAGTTCAGGTTTGACAAAACTTCTTCTTTGGCTTTTCTCCTTTCAAGTTCAGGTTTGACAAAACTTCTTCTTTGGCTTTTCTCCTTTCAAGTTCAGGTTTGACAAAACCTCTTCTTTGGCTTTTCTCCTTTCAAGTTCAGGTTTGACAAAACTTCTTCTTTGGTTTTGTCCTTTCAAGTTCAGGTTTGACAAAACTTCTTCTTTGGTTTTTGTCCTTTCAAGTTCAGGTTTGACAAAACCTCTTCTTTGGCTTTTCTCCTTTCAAGTTCAGGTTTGACAAAACTTCTTCTTTGGCTTTTCACCTTTCAAGTTCAGGTTTGAAAAAACTTCTTCTTTGGCTTTTCTCCTTTCAAGTTCAGGTTTGACAAAACTTCTTCTTTGGTTTTTGTCCTTTCAAGTTCAGGTTTGACGAAACTTCTTTGGCTTTTCTCCTTTCAAGTTCAGGTTTGACAAAACTTCTTCTTTGGTTTTTGTCCTTTCAAGTTCAGGTTTGACGAAACTTCTTTGGCTTTTCTCCTTTCAAGTTCAGGTTTGACAAAACTTCTTCTTTGGCTTTTCTCCTTTCGAGCATAGCTTGTGAATTAAGTACGAATGCGAAAACGAATTTATCCTGTGAATATATGTTCCTGGAAACCCAAAATTTCAAATCGTCATCTTTCTTGGAAAATCCTATTGAGGGACAAGACGATAATACGTAATACGCAGTTTTATTTAAATTTCTGATACATTTTTTGATATCGTGTTGTGAAGCAGGTATACCTGCTTTTGTTATTTTCAATTTTTTGTTATTTTTATCGTGCAAGCTTTGGGTATATGCTTCCTGCTTCTTTTAATGGAACATAATCTTAATATAATTTAGTCTGATCGAACTCATGTGAAGTAGAATGCAATCAAATTGACTTTTTGTCGCCATTTTTAGGGACGGATGATGAGATTGTGATGAATGAATTCTATATACCTCGTCAGAGGATTAAATCGTATCAATCTACGGACTCATTGGAGGAATGGAAGAATAAAGACTCCAATAACAGCGTGGAAACGGTTCAAATGGGCGAAGCTCACGAAGGTGTGTGATAAAGTTTCCATAGCATATTTGAGCCGTCCCTCTCCGTTATGAAAATAGCTCCCTCCCCATGATGGCTGACTATGTTGTTTTTAATACAATATTTTCAATCATGTTATGGCTATAGCTATGATTGCTGTTCTACCAAGATATCTTGTAATGTTGGGAAAAATTTTTGACAAATATTTCCTCAGATGTTGCGTTTTGTAGTTATAAAAACATTTGCTTGAAATTTTCTTCGTTTTTACTGAAGATCGTTTTTTATTGTTTCAGAATGTAAAGTTTGAACTTTTATCGGTGGATTTCTTATCATCTTCATTGTGGGTAGCCATGGAATGGTAGTATATGATATGATTCAAAGCTATGTATCTCCTGTATAATTTTTTATCTATATATATTTAATGAAATTTCTTAATTTATTGTACATGCTAGTACATGCTAGTACATGCATGCGGATTGGTTAACCGTATGGACCAACTTAAATAAGGCTTCACGCGAGGAAGTCTTTATTATATAGCAAAGAATGCTAACATACAAATCCAAGCTCAGAAATTAGGACAACCCCACCCCACCCACCACCATTTTTACAATCTTATGTCACACACTTCAAATTTCTCCAACGATGAATTTCCTCTTTCGGCACTGGATTGGTGATTAATGAATGACGTATAGCGCACTACGCTAAAACAAAAATCACCGGACATAACCTTCTGTATGTTAGTATTCTGTGATTATGTATTTATGTTGTTAAATTTAGGATTATAAAGTCTGGAAAATGAGCTTGCCTTACGTAAGGGTTTTTAATACAAGCTAGCAGAAGTGTATTTTTTGCCATAGTCGGCCGGTTGCAACAAAAGGTTTTTCAAAACACTTACCCTCTTGGAGTTTCTATTGTACGACTTAACTACATACAAAGTTTTAAAGTGAACCTTTTCAATGTGCATTAATTCTTTTCAAAGAGGACGTATGGCTACACACAAAGAACTTTTATTAAATGCTATGTTTACTATATTTTTTAGTTAGATACTTTTGAAAACAAATTGTTTTAGTTGAGATCCTCAAATTCACACCTTCGTAGAGAGAGTTGACGTGTCGAAATCTTTGATGTTTTCGAATGTTTTAGATCAATTTGTGTTTCATCGATTAAAAAACGAGTTTTGAAATCAATACAGAACTCACCTACCGTCCTAATTTACATAACAATAACTTACCACCGTCATAATTACGAGTCTCCCTCAAACAGTTAGCTTACTAGAACCGTTCATTTCCTATTTAATGTGAATCAATGCATTTGGTTTAGTCTGCTTTCTGGGTCGTTCTAAAGATTCAGCACTTGGTATGTACTTAATTTCAATTTGACTTTACTCGTTGTATACTAGAGGCGATACATTGTATCAAATTATAACATATTAAGACATATTCAATAAATTAAAGCATTGTCGCAATTATCACTGCCTTCGAGCGTAACCCGTGGCATAACCTTTATAAAATGAAATGTCTCGCATATGTTGCTCGATTCAGCAACATATCGCCTGTTTTTTTGCGTTATGTTGTCCTTTACAATCTTTTGTGATGATAACTCACGACTAAAAAGTACAGACTGGGAGTTGCTTTGAAATATTTTCCTAATTATGGGCAGACTTCTAGAATGATATATGTATGGTTTCAATTGCCATGTCATTCGTTGAATTAGAAGTTTTTCTTGGCAGATTTGTTTGTAATTCTCAGACTCATGTACTTTGTGACAAAACAATTTTCACTTTGTTGGCTCCGTTCATTGTGCTCAAATTGTATAATTTTGTTATTAATCTTTAGCATGAATTGTGCGCTTTGTAACGTATTTAAGCGAAGAAATTAGTCATATATTGTTAGTATTTTTATTAATGTTCGTTCGAGTGTTGTGTATGTTATGTGTATAAGTGTTTTGGTAACGGTAAGTAGTTGCTGATCGAACTAAAATTTAAAATTTTTCGTAACATGGAAAATGATGGAAGGTATGAGAGATATTTTAAACATCTCAAAGCTGCGGGCCTTTTCATATATGTACATAATTAGTATAATAAAGACTCCTAACTTAATTAGGTTAACTGAGTTGATATATTAACAGACTAAAATTTCCTGGAGCAATATGTTCTTTTGTGTCTTCCTTTGGACGATGGCAGCCATGATCTGTTTTTCGTCAAATTATTTGCCAACACTTATCTGTCTTATCAAGTCTTGGGAAAATGACTTGTGACAATAACATTTTTAATCGCTCAAATCCTAAATATTAAAATGAGTGTCTTTGTTTGGTTGAAGCGCGTTTTGCTTTTAGTTTCTTTATGGCGACAATCGATAAGCTAACAGTCCAATGTATATGCATATATAAACAGATTAAATAACGACTTCTACGTTTAATATATTTGCTTTCTAAAGATTTGTAAATATTGGCGCAATTTAAAGATAGTATTCTCGAAAGATTGAAAATTGTTACCTGTATGTGTGTTGTTTAAGTTTACCTTGCAGAATCGGTCTGCTTTGAGTTTTTAAACATTCGTAATACGTGTGTTTACATGCATGACTTTCAACATGACCTTGAGAGACCATTATTTTTTGTCTCTTTTGCTTGGAAGAATTCGCTGTATCACGAGGTGAATTTCGAAATATGTTGTGATACAAGTGAGGAATGCTATATTGGTCATTTGTCTTTGTCATTATTTTGTCATGTAAAATAGTAACGATATTCTGTTTCTAATAATTCTAATAAAATTTTTCATATTTGAATTTTTCAGATAAATTTTGTTCGTACAGAACATCAAAAGACTTCGCTGATAAGGTGAGATTTTTGCACAACGTAAGCTATCTCGTGAACTATTAACTTCATTTGCCCTATTCTGACGTAAAGTCTCTATTTTATTTAGTTAAAGAAGTGAAAAACGAAGGCAAAGGATTTGTGTGTCATTATATTAGGTAAAATTCTTCTCATATATCTTGAACAGTTAAGTCTGCTATATAAAACATGGTGTACCAATGCGTACAGCTAATGTGAAAACTACGAATATGACCTGCAACGTATCTCCATCATTAAAGACAAAATAAGCCAACATGTTCATAATTGTGCATGACAAACGTATATACGTGTAGGCTATTTATGGAAAAGTATGTAAACTACACGATCTTCATACGACCCATGCAAACTCAACATGTTGTTCCTTAGTCGGAGTTCTTGTTTCCTGCTCCTAAAGCTCTCGTTGCGTGAGGTTTGCATGAATACCATCAGACTTTAAAATGTGTGAACAAATTTTTATGTTCCATTGTTTTGTACTCGGTTTTGCAAACATGTACGAGCAACCACCTTCGAATTGAAAAACTATTGATTTCTTCCTGTTTACTCCATGTAAAATTTACATTTGTTACCTCAAGCCGTGTACATTGACTACATTTTCATCACATGATTGCAAAGGCCTCTATTGAACATTTTCTCCATCATGACCTATGGAAATAGTGTTATATATCAGAGGCAAATTTCATCAAATTACGATAAATTAACGTCACTGGAACAAGAAAATAATCCTAACATGTTTGTCATCAAGACTGAATCATTGAAACTTGAGATACTTCCATTTTCCTGTGTGTAATTTTCTCTCAATGGAAAAAGAGTACTTTATGCATAAAAATGAAGTTGTCTTTCGGAATTTAGCTATAAGTATGTACTTAAGACATTTATTGTAATTGCACTGCTCTGTAAACAAGTGTGCGTTAAGTACAAAATTGTAGAGATTATCGACTATTTGGTATTTTGATTATCTGTAAAGTTAATATTCTTAATAATAGATACCCCGCTTAAATGAGATATTTGTGTTGTATTTTAATGCGCTTCTATACTTTTTGCCTGCGTTTATAGAGCGTCAAGATCATCGTGTTTTCTAACACTAGTTCAAAGTCCCATTTGTTTAAAACGTTCTCTTCTCATTGGAAAGATTTTCAAGATCTCTGTGTGATTGTGTACTGTTTATTTTGGTGTCAAAATACGCGACTTGTCGGCGCGTTTCCCAGAGTACACACACACAAGACACAAGAAAGGTGGACGTCACTTGTTCATCTGTGTTGCTGTGTTTGAGTGAAGCTTTAAAGGTATGAACGTTCAATGTTTTTTCCTATGTAAACTGCTTTGGAATGTGTGCTTTAGTTTCGTTTCAATGCTTGACTGTCCAATTTTAGTGGTTCTGTAATGAACAGGCTTTTCGTTTTGCGTATAAAATAATTATGATTGAAAGATGAAACCTTTGATTTTATTCAACAATATCGTTTATTGTCGTCAATGAATCTTTTTCTTTTGTTCAATCTTATACCCGCACCTCCGGCTATTTTCTGTTGTATGATATTTTACTTCCATCTAAGTATATTTTACAGCAAAAATGTGATTAGCAGCTTAACTTTTCTATACGACTAAAATTATGGTATATGGTCGTGTGATTTTTAAATATATCATTTAGGACGCTTAAAGATAAAAAAGCTCAGACGATTTAGCTATTTACTGTAAAGTTTGCTTAACGCTATGCTGCTTAGTGTGTGTATTGAGTATTGAAACGAGCTTTAAAATCGGTAATTTTGTGAAGTTTTCATCAAACTAAAGACAATGAATGCTGTTATTACTGTGAAGTACAAAAGCATTCAATTTCTGAAGCAAAATTTTGTTTTGTCATTGAAACTATTTTGAAGTTCATTTTTTCCATCACGATATGCGTTTAGTGCATGTAAAATGTCTAAAACACAAATAAAGACGATTGGTAGACATGTCGAGTCGTCAATAAAATTTTGCGTTTGGGTATATCAATTTTCAATAAAGCATGATTTAACGTACTTTAGCATTTTGTGATTTTATGATGGAATTTAAACGAGGATAATTGTTCCCTGCCTTGGAGATGTGTTTTACAATTATTCTCGTTAAGTTTTTGAAATCCAAGAAGAAGCGTCATTTACAAAATTATGATTTTTGTGATACATTTAGAAATTTAATCGAATTTAATGACAGGAACTTACTAGGAGTACTTTGTATTGAGTGAAATTTCTTATATATTTGCTACCTATATCTCTATGGATTTGTTGGCGCAGGGTTAGATTATGTTATTCATTAGATTGTAGGTATTTTTAAGAATAAGGAAAGTTGCAAAGCCTATATGGAACCAGTTTGTATCATTATTAATATGTATTGGAATAAAAATTAAATCCATCTCTACGTATGATAAATGTAAATACATGGATATTTACCGTTCATATTCAATGTACAAGTTGACTACGCACGTGTTTCTTGAAATGGTAAAATTATCAAGAGTAGTTTTCAGGTGCTGCGCATATCAGTGAAATTTGAAGTTTGACTTCCCACCTACTCAACTTGCGCAAAGCAATAAAACAAGTTAACGTTTCCCAAAGCACAAATTAGTTGCTCTATTTGTATGAATGATACATGATGTGTACTTTCTTTCAAATTGTAGTCGAGTTAGGGTGATTTTTATCAAATTAGGTAACTAAAGCGTGTCCGTTTTTAGTTTATGTTTGCTTTCTTCGTGTGTATGACTGTTATTGATATCCTTTTATAAAAGTCGATGGTTGATAAGAAATTTGATTTGTTGACATTGCATTAAATTGTTTTTAGTGAAACTAAATTTCTATCAATCGTAGATAAATCGAACATCTACTGCAGCACGGTGTATGAAAAATATCTACGCAGTTGAAACTTTTATAAGATAAATGAACGTCCATATATATATGCTTTGAGCTTTTATTTTTTTATTTATCAGAAACAAGAAACCTTGTAAGGATATATTTATATCTAAAGTCATAACTATTGTTAGTTCCAGCAATTTTTTGCTTATATATGTAAATTTCCATTACAAAGACAAAATTATGTTATGCTATTTACATACAATGCGGTTCATTCAACATATTTATAGTCGTAATACTTACGTTATGTACTTAAGCGTAAGAAATTCGATCCGCAATTCTTATAGTTGTTATCACATTCTTGAATTCCTATCATTTGTCCTAAAATTTTCTTAAATACTTCGAATTGCTTAAATTCCCTACTGCTGCTTATTATCTTTGGGCCTTCTCAAAGTTTATCTATGGTTGTTGTCTAAAGACTTTTACTAGCTTTAGTTTTCATATTTTGTTTTGATTACTTTTTAATGTGCGAAGATCCAGATACATGGTAGTTTAATAAAAGTGTCATTTTTTTTCTCAGAAAAACCTTTATCAAGCTGACCATGCAAGCCGTTCATCGACCTGTGAATATGAATAGAGGTATATTTTCTTTTCTCTGAATACTCACTTGAGCTTTATGGGGGTTGGGGCGAGTTTTTAAGATCGACCTGTGAATATGAATAGAGGTATATTTTCTTTTCTCTGAATACTCACTTGAGCTTTATGGGGTTGGGGCGAGTTTTAAGATCGACCTGTGAATATGAATAGAGGTATATTTTCTTTTCTCTGAATACTCACTTGAGCTTTATGGGGGCTGGGGCGAGTTTTAAGATCGACCTGTGAATATGAATAGAGGTATATTTTCTTTTCTCTGAATACTCACTTGAGCTTTATGGGGTTGGGGCGAGTTTTAAGATCGACCTGTGAATATGAATAGAGGTATATTTTCTTTTCTCTGAATACTCACTTGAGCTTTATGGGGGTTGGGGCGAGTTTTTAAGAGAACTTAAGTCATCATGCTGAGTCCTCGGTTATAATGAAGAACATTTTTAGGAAGTGTTTGATGATCTAGTGTAAATGATGGCCAAAAAAATTGCTTTGTCTATTTTATTCATTCTGTTTCCATGTTACCATTTCACGAGAGATGAAGTACTGTCAACCATAGTTTTTAGCCAACAAATGTATTGCTGATGATTACAAACTCATCACAATCATCCCAACAAAATTAAAAATATAATTCAAATAAGAGATGAATGCATGTTGTATGAGAATTTTTTGCCTTTAGAATCTCCTCCGCATATTCCTGGTCCAATTGACGGCAATCTTTACGCCGTAGTCAGCCCTGCCATGAAGATGAAATGTCGCGGAGAAAAGGGAAACGTAAACACGGATACAGATTATCCGGGAGAAAGTAAAGTGGCCAAATATAACGGAAGTGATAACATCTTTCAATTTCCCATCGTAATTGATGAACGGCAATTACGTGATGAGGATAGACAAGCTGCTATGGATGAGTTACTTGGTAATCTTGGTGTTAATAACGTTGCTGTGCAACAAAATGGTTACACCAGTAAGTCACCTCATCAGGTTACTTCAACTAATCCTGCCCCACCTCAACGACAAAGCAGTTTTTACGCAACGGAAAAGATCAAGGCAAGAAAGGGAAATCAAACATCAACATCAACATCGTCTCAGGGGCAGGGTTACTCTGTACCACATGTTAAAACTGCTCCAGATGATGAGCAAAATGTATATTATGCTTCTCATTACGCAGCTTCGCAGCCTGGCAAAGTAAAGGCGAAGCTCCATGTTAACTCAAATTCGAGTGGTCACATTTCTCCGAGTGCGTCGCCAGAACTTATTTCAAATAGAAAAATGCTGCTGGATGTTATTGATGGAGGCTCAAATGAGGAACTGGACGACTGTACATTTGATGAGGTAATGACAGAATCACGTGATATTGAAGTGCGGAATGTGGAGAGCGATGCAGAATCTGAGGAGGAGATATCATTCCACGAAAGTCCTACATTACCGAGAAAGGGAAATGTGGCAGAGAAAGTGAAATTTCTGTCTAAATCTGTTGCATTCTCACCTCCACCGACGGATGGCGACTCAGAGAAGCGTAAGAACACATCCGTTCCGCTTATTGGTCTGACTCATCTTCCGGCTACGGACATTACCGACCGGATAGCGAAACATAACGAGAAATCATTAGCTCCTGGTCAGGTTATGTCTACTCCGAATATGGTGCTTTATAGCAGTAAACAACCGCCGAAAAGAGTTGTTGAGTACAATGCTGATTCAAATGAAAACAGGGAAGAAACAGAAGGTAAATTATTGTTTTATATCGAAGATGGAAAGTATATTTGATCTTGTATTTTCTTGGAAGCACTTGCACATTTCATGGACAGTCCATTTTTAAACCATTCAATGGGTTTGGTTCATGTATATAATTTGTACATTTATTATTTGTACGAATAATTGGAGAGAGAGTAAGCTACTTTCTCCCTCTTCCACGATCGTGCTCCCCTTCTATAAGAAAGTATTGTTGCAAAAAGCTCTTCTTTGCTTCCTTTCATTATTGTTTGAAAAGATCAAAAGAAAATACAGGAAATGATTTTCTTAATGTGTACCTGTGTTTTAATTTATATCTTTCGTCCACGGTGTTTCCACATCGCGTAGGTGAAGATTTCCGTTCTACTGTCGTGTTGCGTCATTATGAAGATGCGTGGGACAATGTGGAAACAAACGATTCGGACACTGAAGAAGACTTCCCACCGCCACCTCCGCCTATTTTCTCAACTCCTGTTCTTCACACAGTGAAAATTGGCAAACAAGCTGAATTCAAGCTGAATATTGAATTGGGTAATATCAAACAGGTTCATTCGAGGTGATTATTATTATTTTGACTTAGGTCTATTTAAGTATGAATTTTGTAAAAATTTTGCAGAATCTTTTTACTGTAATGTTTAATAAATTTCATGTTTGGTTTCGAGCTTACTCAGTATATGGGAACACATCATATTGTTTAAAAAGATCTCTTGGTAGGATAATGCAGGATATTGTAGGTCATCATTAGGTATGTTTTTCATCGATTACCCGTAGATATGCATCTTTGATTACGCGCCAGACAATGTGTGGGGACACCGGAGAATATTTTATTCAATGCCATAGAATGATGAAACATGCTGCGTGTGTATATACAAGGACACACTGTATAAACTAACGAAATGACTAAACTTGTGTTATCCACACAAACAATTTGCTCAAATGATAATACATTCCTTTTGTCGTTTGTTGACCGAAAACCAAAACTCATCGTAAAAATATCGTCTGTTTGTAGCCAAGATCCAACGGATTCAGGATGTGAGGCATTAACACCACAATCTCCAACGCCTGCCATGAAAATAGAAGAACCTGCTATTCAAAAAAAACTTGTTAAAGTTGAAGAGTGTGTTGACGATGTATTATGGCAAGATTTGTTCAGTGACGTGCCAACACCTCGAGATGAAACTAGAACAACACCTCGAAGAACTCAGGTACATTGCTTTTTAAATTATTCCTGACCTTAATGTTAAGACCTTGCGTTATGCAGTTGAATTTTGTTAGTTTTAGATTTTATTCGATAAACCGTCTATTGAGGGAACAGTATTGTTGATTTTTCCGTACTATATTCATTGTTTTGATAAAATTTAACCAAAAACTGTACTGCAAGAGTATGTACGCTTAGTGTGTTTGAAAAATATTTACTTGTGGATGAAAACTTTTTTATGTTTACACTAAATTGAACCTCGAAACACTTTTATCGTAAGTGTAAATGCGTGATATCACTTGCGAACAGTGATTTAAAAACTGCGCAAAAATTTATTTTTAGTTTTTGATAGACAAGGTGCGGTGAATGATTTAAATGTCTGTTTTTTCTCCCCAAATCACATTATTTTGTGACGACAAAAAAAGAGGACTGTGTTATTAGTGTTGATGGATGTGTTCAATTCGGAACTGAGGCGAAAGAATTTTCCGCGCTTTTGCATGGAATTTTGGACACATTTTTTCCAGTTTTTTGACAATGACTATTTCCATTATGATGCCCATATCTGCGTTGTTGGCGGATAAGTGGTAGGACATTGAACATTTCATATAACGTCTCATTTGACATTAAAATTGAAGGATTGATAAAGGAAACAGATGTATACATTTTGGTAGTAGATAAATCACATTATATGAAAGACAGATATGAACTTCCAAGAAAAGTATTTTAATGCATGGCAAAGGTATTTCCTTGCATCATTTGATTGTTTCCTTGCAAAATAATTATTCGTCTTTGGCCTTTTGACCTGTTGTCACATGAATAAGCCAGAAATATCCAGTTGTTTAAAAATTTATTTCGTTGCTTTTCAATTTAATGATTATCAATTTATATATTGTACATATTAACTGTACAATAGTGGTGCGTCGTGTGAAATGTAGGAAATAGTGGCGTTTCGTGTGAATTTTAGGCAATAGTGGTGCTTCGTGTGATATTTAGGGAGATAGTGGTGCATCGTGTGATATTTAGGGAGATAGTAGTGCATCGTGTGAAATGTACATAATGGTTTTGAGTCATGGCAAATCGTGGTGTTATCACTTTAGGGGCTCATTGTTATTCTTCGTTTTAAACTCTTTTTTTGTATTGACATGTTATATGAAGTAGATAATATTGAAATGATTGTAAAATTTTCGTTGAAAAAATTATACAAAATCCCACGATGGAGTAGAACGCCATCGTTTAATGTATTGTTTAATGTATTGTTTAATGTATTGTTTAATGTATTGTTTGTCGTTTAATGTATTGTTTAATGTATTGTTTAATGTATTGTTTAATGTATTGTTTAATGTATTGTTTAATGTATTGTTTAATGTATTGTTTAATGTATTGTTTGTCGTTTAATGTTGTTTCTGTTAATCGTAGGATTATTCGAGCAGTGCTGTTACCACGCAGAATATTGTGGGCCCTCAGTTTACAACTTCATTGCGAAATCACACATTAGAAAACGGTTCACTTAGTCACGTAACCTCAAATGATGAAGAACAGAGGTACATGGATGAAGATGAAGGATACTCAAGGATTGAAGACATCAAACCGGGTGAAGGACAGGAAAATATAACGACTTTTGATAAGAAAGAGAATGGATTGACAGACGAGGAGTTCTTCAACAGGTACAGCCAATTGTGTGGGAAAAAAGAGTGGGCTTCATTTTTTTTGTTCAATCATGAATGTTAAAGAATGAAAAATATCGATGTATTTCTTTGTTGCAATGAAACCTTTGTATTTTTTTCAATGATTTACATAAGGACATGTACTCCTATGTATAACAATAAATACACATTTATATATAAAGAGAGATTTGTTGCCAATGAGCTTTTTTGATATCTGTTGGATTTTTTTGAATAAAAGTTTAGAGTAATGTGATATTATATACATTGGGTTGCAGTGACATATATATATAACTGTCTATTCCTGAGATTTTTTTCTGGGAGACTTTTTAAGCGAGCTTTTGCAATTTGATGAACATCGTTTCTTCTCGTTTTTTTCAGCTACAAACCTATTCCAGACAAGCCGACAAGTTTAGAGATAAGCTCTGTACCAAATCCTACACCAAGTCCAAACAAGAGTCCCTATGAGATAATGAAGAAGAACAAATTGTCAGCGACAGAACGGGGACCAGCTGTTCTTAACGAACTTATTAATGGTATTAGAACAATGAAGTGAGTTTGGCTTAAAGTAAAGTTGTATTACTTTGAAAATGCTGACGATGAGGATGAAAAAAGGAATGACAGTTTACGTGAAATTTTTATATGTTAAGTAGTAGCGATTGAACTTATGTTCAATCATTTGTCTGATCTTCTGAAGAAGATGAATTTAACATATGTAATATCATAGTTCATGCATAAAGTTTGACATGTTACAAATTTTCAATGTAGACAGGAGATGTCAAGCAAAGCAAGGGAACAACCTGGCAACAATGACATATCTCCGTCTAGTCCAGGAAGTGACCATTCTTCCACATCTCGTTCGCCAACGTCCACGATGTCTCGAGAAAATAGGAGACATAGAAAAGCTTCCGATAAAGGTTATGGCTCTACCAACTCAAGTCTCTCTGAAACAGGTAGGATATGGGTTTTTCTTTTGATGGAGTTTTATTTATATTTTTATCATTGTGAAAGAGTAAATTGTAATGAAAGCTAGTTCTATGGACAACCAAGCAATCAGTCGTTTATGTAGAGGTAATGGCTTTGGTCACTAAAACTGTGATGAGCTTTTATAAAGATGTCATACTTTTGGATGGTTTTACTGATGGAGTTGACTGATTAGGTCTTCCATACCTTCTAAGACTTAAATTTGTCTAGTTCTTAAAAATGTTTCGTAAAAAGACGTTAAAAAATACACTCACCAGGTTGTACGAGAAAAAAAACGTAACTACGAATTTCAACAAAGCACACATGAGCAAGATGTCAATGTTTTAGAATTATAGTGGGTGACAGTATCGTAAAACAGCAAATTTTTTCTTATTCACTGACAATGGTGCCGGGAAGAGGTTTTGCCCCTCCCTCTGCCCCGAAAGAAAGATAAATAAAGAGAAATACGCCATGACTTATGAAAACAAATAATAATTTAGGATTCTTATACTAGTTAGTTTAAAAAAAAATTCACAAATTTTTAAGAATTTCTTTCATATAAATAAATTTCTTCAATTGATAAAAAATAAATAAGATTAATATGTACTTTGTTTTATCACTATATTCGTTCAATATGGCGGCGAATAAGTTTCATATACAATTTGACAAATAGTGAGTTAACGCTACATCCTACTTTGGGATAAGTGGTAACTTGTCTAATTTCGGGTTTGTTTGTTTTGCTTGCGCAACAAACAAATTTGGATTGGCTCTTGCTTTTAAGAAGTATTTGAGAAAATCCTTGACCATCTTGCGTTATAAAATCAAGTATCATAGAACAAAGCAAAAAGATCGTTTGCCAACTACGTTGTGACTAAAGAAAACCAGAGCGAAAAATATGACTAAGAGTACAACGAAGGCAAGCGATTCACTTGATGGATTGCTTCAAAAAATTCGTCTCGCTACTCGAACTTCTTCAGACAACTTGGATGTTGATATGAATGTTTGTCCGCATTGTGAAAATAAAAGGCATTCAAATAGTTACGCCAATCTTAAAAACGTTCGATCTATTGATCCGCACAAAAATGAAGATATAGGTTTGTTTTGGCGAAAATTTTACATCGTTTAAATTAAATTAAATTAAATTGTCGTCAAGTTGGATTTGTCAACGCAACCAACCGGATATCGTGTTCAAGTAGTTTTAAAAACAATGCTCTTTTTCATTGATATAAAGTTGAGGCTCTGGTAATGCGTTAAATGGTTTTATCCACATGATTTTTGCATTTTACTAGGTAGAAATATGTTTCAAAATAATGTAGGAAACCGAAATTAAATTCTATTTGTTTTAATAATAAGTATATAACTTTGGAATGTTATTAAATTTTCTAGAACTGTTCGTTGAAATTCCTAAAAATCCTGGTGTAAAGTTTGACAAAGATACTTCCGCATTCTGGTATAAACCTCACATAACTAGGGAACAAGGTTTGTAAAGCATATTGAATTTGAATTAGTTTAGGATGAACTTTAGTGGTAATGGAGTACTTTAAAAAAAAGGTGTCTATTCTTCAATTTCGTTTAAGTTATTGCTGTTGAACATATGAAAGATTTGTTATTTAATATTTGAAATCAGGCTATTTTGCAAATTGGTGTTTGGTAGTTAAATTTCAATTTATAAATGCACAACTTTTTCTATATTTTTTATGTCTAGCAATTGCATTGCTGCAAGACAAGTCACCTGGGACATTTGTGATACGAGACAGTCAATCGTATACTGGAGCATTTGGTCTTGCCATTAAAGTTGAAGTTCCTCCTATGCATGTAATTCAAAGCCAGAACAAAGATTTCAGTTAGTAACTTTTGTATTTGAAATGTTGAATTGTTGTTTCCTTCTATTTAAATTACATGTATAGATATATTGGCTATTTGTGTATTCCTTTTTAATTCCATGAATGTTTTTGTCAGATGACATTGATCCATCAGAATTTGTTCGACATCTTTTAATTGAATCAACCCCAAAAGGCGTTCACCTCAAAGATTGCAAAGATGAGCCGATGTTTGGTATGAAAACTCATGGTATTATTTATTTGTTTACCTGAATAGCAATAATGTTAACAATTTGCATTTTTCATGTAGGAAGCCTAGCTGCATTTGTTTATCAACATTCATTGACAGAAATTTCCCTTCCATGCAAGCTCATACTTCCAACTAAAGGTAATGTGATTAGAAACTTTAGCTGCTCGTAATTGTATCTTACTGTTCTTAATCCTTTGTTTGCTTTCTACTTGAGTGTCTGTGATGTTTAATGTGTATATTTTCTGTTATTGTTCCATACTCCTTTGTTTATTTAGTGCTTGACTGTGTATGATGATTAGCTTATATTATTGTGTGTTAACACAATAGTAATTGTAATAATAATAGTATATTCCATACTTAGTGTGCTATAATATATCTCTATGTGCATATTGTTTATAGAGACTGTTTTGTAGCTTATCAATGTAGTAGATTTATATATGTATAAATATATGAGGTATATGTTAATATAATTCAGTAATAGTAAGTTGAAAATATCAACAATATGAAGTCTATAAATATGCATATCATTAAATACCCATTTGGATAAAAAGTGATGTTGGGAAACTGTCATGTGCTTTTGCATTTAGATCTTACTGTTGGAACGCTGAAAATCACAGACAGACAAGAAACAGAGGCTCAGCTTTTAGCACAAGGAGCAGGTATGAATTTCATTTGGAAGGGTTTTGTTGTTTAATCATGGCTTTTAATCTTATAGATTATTTAGTCTGTAAAAACTTCTTTATTGTTTATGCCGTTAACACATACAATATGTGACCATAGCTATATTCTTTGTACTTTGTTTTTTTTTTTTGAGAAAATTTCACACATATTTATATCATGAACAATTGTATCAACATTTGCTTCATTTATGTGTAGCTTGTAATGTTGCATATCTTGGCTCATTTAATGTGGAATCTCTTACGGGACATGCTGCCCTTAAGTATGCAGTGTCAAAGATTGAACCGGGTGGAAAAAATAAAGAACATGAACCAGTGTTGGTGAACTTTAAAGTTAATAAGCAAGGGATCACATTAACAGATAATGAAAGAAAGTAAGAGTTGTAACTCATCATTAAAACATGAGTTATTAGTATTATTTTATCTTGCTGAAAGCTGTTATGTGTGTGTGTTTTAGATTGTTCTTCCGTAAACATTATCCTTTGAAATATATATTGTATTATGGGACCGATCCAGAAGACACTAGGTAAGTTGATGCATTCAGAGATATTTTGTGCATGCATGATATTTAAATTAAATAATGATTAGTAATACAACTTTCTCAAGACAGCTCCTAACTGTTTTTTTTTACTTTCCTAAGATGGGATCTTACAGAATATGGTGGTGGAAATGTAGCAAGGTTAGAAATGTTTTGCTAAAGTAAAGTAGAAATGCATTGTTGTTTCAGCAACTACAGTTGTATGTAAGGTTTATAAATGAAGTCAGACAATGAATCCCTCATCTGTATCATCATTTTTTATTATGTTTTATGATTGAAATAGGTCATTTGTGTTTGTATCAAGAAAAATGGACAGTGATAGTAATGAATGCCATCTTTTTGCGGAAATGGATCCAAAACAACCAGCATCAACTGTTGTGGATGTTATTACAAAGATCATCTCAAATGTGAACTTGTGAATAAAATAAAAGGACATTCGTAGTTGGTTGTGGTGAAAGTTTAAAGGTGAAGCTGTTGATAATTTTTGTTTATCAAGAGCCAGTTGTACAAAGTCTGTTTAGCTCATTATAAATTGTTAAAGATGATGATAAAATACAATGCTTTGATTTATCGAAATGTAATTTGTTTTGTATATATTAATTTTACATTCAACTAAATTGTTATTGATGTAACATTTGATTAGCATAAAATTATGTGGCTAAGGTGTTTAATAAGTTTGTTTGTTAGTTAAGCAGGCTTTGTATTATGGCCATATAGTAATTTATTGTACAATATTTTATGCCATGTTACATGTTAGTAAAGTAAAAAATATGGTGTTTTTCATGTGATAGTAATTGATTGGATATATTTTTTGCCACATTGAAAGTTGATAACATTATTACGGAAAAAGGTTGAGGTGAGATATGTTTAGCATTTATATTAAACAACAAGTAATGATTTTTTTTATAGTCTGAATCAAACACAAATATATGATAAGACTTTTGCCAATGAACTTAGGACATCTCTTTATGCATGGGGTTCATCATTTTCATGAAGACTGTGCTGCAACTTCCTCCTTGTGTGCCTTGCTAACCATATGGGCTTGGTATGGCTTAGGTCCATTAAGCTGTTTGTCACAGATTTCACAATATAATAATGTTTTAGTTGTGTTGAAGTTGGAGAGTTGGTACTCCCATAGGCTGTAAGAAAATGATGAAATTTATTGCATAGTTTGTAAGTTTAGTTAAATATATATTTAATAAAGTGTGATGATAATAGATTACCAGATACGAATGGTTTCCATATTGTTTTGGGTGCAACTTTAAATGGGTCCTAGTTTTGTTAAAGGTTTGTCTTCTTGAAGTCTTTTGTTATGCAACCAAGGAAGGCTGGATGGATTTTGTTCTAAGATCTGGAAAAAACATAGTACATAATCATGAAAAGAAGAAAGTATCAAATAGTATATAGTCAAATTGAATTCTATAACGACCGAGCATTGTGCACGAAGTATGTAGGAATTATCTTAAGGCTTGGTAAGATCAATGAAAAATTTGTGTAATTTAACATAACTTTCACTTGGATTCACTCTATTGAAAGAGAAACTGCAACAAATTTGTGACCTAGCATAAGATAAGATCCAGGGATGTACCCACATTTTCCACTGTTTACATCTCTTATGTTCCACCACAAGGTTTCATGTTCATGGACGTTCAAAAATATAACTTTCTGACCTTGTTTTATGGAGAGTTCGGGAAAACCGCCAAGTTGATCAGGATTGGGAGGCTTTGTTTTGAAGAAAGTCTATTAAAATTGAAGAAAGTTGATTAAAACGATCCAATAAATTTGTGCGGCAAGTAGTTTATTTAGAAAGATTTAATTTGAATTTTCATAAAGAAACTTACATCCAGTTGTCTCCAAGTTTGCCACACGTGGTTTGGGCATAGGCTCGGTTGAGTGTAAGGAAAGCACACCACGACCACAGACCCATCGTTTTGTTGGCTTAAAAGACATGAAACTAATTGGGATAATTAAAGAAAGGTTAAAGTAAAATGAAAAAGTCCATGCTCCAAGGTCAACTTAAAACTATTAAGGCAGTGAAGATGTTGTTTATTTGGAAGTAGATGAAATTTAAAAAGGACAAGTAAAATCCATCATTTAAAATGACAACTTTGGTATAAGTGTCATGAAGGAGCGTCATATTTATTGAAACAAAAGTTTGAGTATTTCCATTTCTTGAATTTGAGAAAATCGTAGTGGTGTTATGTTTAAAAGAAAGAACAGAAAAGTGTGTTTAGTTGCAACCGTCATTTACAGGTTGGTTTGTTTATAAAACATTGTAATGTTTTTGTTTTCAATCCTCCGAATTTCAGAATGCTCTTGATTCGTCTTGAACCTTTGCACATTTTTGTTGCATGAACTGAACGTTTGCAGGAAAGATGTGAAAAGTTGCCCTTCTTTAAATTAAGTAATAATTTCTTTGATAAAGCATCGTTTTCACGTCAAGTAATTCTGCTTTTAGGAATATTATTGAAAATAGTGTGTTGTCATTGCCTTTATAATATGGGCAGTAATTTAATGATTTGGCTTATAGGGTTGTGAAAAATGTAAGAAAATAAGGAATATATAAATTGGAAGAACAAGTATAATATATTAAGAGTATGTAATGTATGCTCAGAGCATATCTTTTGTGATAATTTGTGGTGCAGCCACAAGAATCGCTGTTGGAGGATTGTCAATTGACCACCTATTTTCAAAAATTGGTTTGCCTTGAAGTTACTGTGTCTCTATGTTCTCTACATTGGCCTGGTCGCAGCCTTAATTTCTTTCCTTAGTAACAGTGAGGCTGCAAGCAAGCTATATCTCACATCGTTCATCAAGATTGTCAATATGTTATCCGATAATTTTTGCGTTTTCCGCTAATATATTTATATATAGTTATTAAGCACAACATGGCGTGACATACTTTAAAGTAAATTTTTACTAATTTCTAAGTTTGTGCCAGCTCCAGATCATTAATATATTATAGAGGATATAAAATACTATAGAAATGTTAAGTTTGAAAATATCGGATAGAATAGAACAAGAGTTATGACTAATTTTCTAAATTTTTGCGTTTTCCAATAATATATTCATATATAGTTATTAAGCACAACATGGCGTGACATACTTTAAAGTAAATTTTTACTAATTTCTAAGTTTGTACCACCTCCAGATCTTTGATATATTATAGAGGATATAAAATACTATAGAACTGTTAAGTTTAAAAATATCGGATAGAATAGAACAAGAGTTATGACTAATTTTCTAAATTTTTGCGTTTTCTGATAATATATTCATATATAGTTATTAAGCATAACATGGCGTGACATATTTAAAGTAAATTTTTACTAATTTCTAAGCTTGTGCCAACTCCAAATCTTTGATATACTATAGAGGATATAAAATACTATAGAAATGTTAAGTTTGAAAATATCGGATAGAATAGAACAAGAGTTATGACTAATTTTCTAAATTTTTGCGTTTTCCGATAATATATTTATATATAATTATTAAGCACAACATGGCGTGACATACTTTAAAGTAAATTTTTACTAATTTCTAAGTTTGTGCCACCTCCAGATCTTTGATATATTATAGAGGATATAAAATGCTATAGAACTGTTAAGTTTAAAAATATTTGAGTGAATAGATCAAGAGTTATGACTATATTTCTAAATTTTGCGGTTTTCCCTAATTTATTTATATATAATTATAAAGCCAAGCATTGCGTCGCATAACTTTAAAGTAAATTTTTTCTTTTTTCTAAGTTAGTGCTACCTCCAGATCTTTGATATATTATAGAGGATATAAAATACTATAGAAATGTTAAGTTTGAAAATATCGGATAGAATAGAACAAGAGTTATGACTAATTTTCTAAATTTTTGCGTTTTCCGTTAATATATTCATATATAGTTATTAAGCACAACATGGCGTGACATACTTTAAAGTAAATTTTTACTAATTTCTAAGTTTGTGCCACCTCCAGATCTTTGATATATTATAGAGGATATAAAATACTATAGAACTAATAAGTTTAAAACTATCGGATAGAATAGAACAAGAGTTATGACTAATTTTCTAAATTTTGCGCGCTAAAATATTTATATATAATTATTAAGCACAACATGGCGTGACATATTTAAAGTAAATTTTTACTAATTTCTAAGCTTGTGCCACCTCCAAATCTTTGATATACTATAGAGGATATAAAATACTATAGAAATGTTAAGTTTGAAAATATCGGATAGAATAGAACAAGAGTTATGACTAATTTTCTAAATTTTTGCGTTTTCCGATAATATATTCATATATAGTTATTAAGCACAACATGGCGTGACATACTTTAAAGTAAATTTTTACTAATTTCTAAGTTTGTGCCACCTCCAGATCTTTGATATACTATAGAGGATATAAAATACTATAGAATTGTGAAGTTTAAAAATATCGGATAGAATAGAACAAGAGTTATGACTAATTTTCTAAATTTTTGCGTTTTCTGATAATATATTCATATACAGTTATTATGTCGACCATGGCGTCCATATATTTAAAGTAAATTTTTTCTTCTTTCTAAGTTTGTGCCACCTCAGATCTTTGATATATTATAGAGGACATAATATAGTTAGAATTGTAAAGTTTAAAATATTTGAGTGAATAGAAGAGTTATGACTAATTTTCTAAATTTTGCGGTTTCCTAATTTATTTATATATATTATAAAGCCAAGCATCGCGTCATAACTTTAAAGTAAATTTTCCTTTTTTCTAAGTTAGTGCTACCTCCAGATCTTTGATATATTATAGAGGATATAGAATACTATAGAATTGTTAAGTTTAAAAATATTTGAGTGAATAGATCAAGAGTTATGACAATATTTCTAAACTTTGCGGTTTTCCCCTAATTTATTTATATGTAATTATTAAGCCAAGCATGTCGTCACATAACTTTAAAGTAAATTTTTTCTTATTTCTAAGTTTGTGCTACCTCCAGATCTTTGATATATTATAGAGGATATAAAATACTATAGAATTGTTAAGTTTAAAAATATTTGAGTGAATAGATCCAGAGTTATGACTATATTTTTAAATTTTGCGGTTTTCCACTAATTTATTTATATGTATTTATTTATTTGAATTTTTTTTTGTTTCTAAGTTTGTGCCTCCTCCAAATCTTTGTTATTTTATAGAGGATATGAAATACTTTAGAATTGTGAAGTTTAAAAAAATCTGAGAAAATAGATCAAGAGAAAATAGAAAATTGAAAGTAGATCTAAATTTTCTTGTGAATTTTTATAGCTTGATTTTAAGCGATGGAATCTAGTGGAGCCACACTCCACTGTTGATTGTGGTGCACATTGTGATGCCAATTAGATGTTTGAAACGACAGGACATTTGAGAAAAATGGTATGTTTACAGTTTGGTTAAAGTTGCTGATTTGGACTGTTATGGAATTAGTTTTCAACACCACATAGTTTGAATAAGAGCGAGAGAATCTTTGATTGTGTGCATTTTTTATGGAGGAATGTTATAAGCAAAACTTGTGCAAATACCAACATTATTTATGTGTAGTATTATTCGCGATCTATTTGGACCAAGACATTTATAAACGATGGCAGTGAAAAAGTTTGACTCAAGGAGATGCCTACAGTTAACTTCTGTAAATGCTTGAGGTGAATGCTTCTTCATGTTTCTATTTCTAAGTAAATCTTGATTTAAAAAAATGATCTAGCAATGCAATTTAATGTGCATGCAAGTCATTTCGTCCATCTTTTCAACTAATTGCAATAATTTTTCTCATAGGTTTTTCGTGTTACTGATAATAATTGTGAAGAGCTCAAGGTATTTGAGATTCAGAAGCAAAGAATGCTCATCATGTTCGATCATCAGTAAAGTGGATTGTTGAAGTTCAAATAGGAAGATGAAGCATAACTAAAAGCAGAAAATTTTGCTGAAAGATTTTGTCAAGTGATTGCATAGTAAAATGGAAGGTTGTGGATGATTTTTGAATATGACTGAAGAATTGATAAACTAGCAGGTAATGTATTTTAGTAAACATAGTCACTGCTAGTGTGTTTTACGGGAATACATTACCTAAAAGAATAAGGAGAATTATATAGTTAGGAAGCCTCGAAATGGTGTCAGCTAAAATGTTGGCATGAATTCTAAGTCATTTCCATGCAATTATTTCACAACTTTATGATTTGGATTGATTACCTGAAAAGCAATTTGTACTATCTTATCAACTGACAAGAAATAGGTATTTGTTAAGAACAAAATTTTTTGTTTCATTTGACAAATCTCTAATGAAGGTTGGTATCATTGTTAGCAGCCTTTCATTAGTAAAAACTGCTGCGTTTTTCCAATCAATCTTTTTATGAAATGGTAGTACCCAGCCAATACTAGGAATGAGAGGAATGCAACTTGACTGTACGGCATCAAGGAAATGATAGGAACCAAGATGTATGCCACAAGGAATAAGGAGTTCGTTGTATCTGAAAAATTAGTTCATAATAATGTACTTTGATGCAAAGTAGATGACCACAAAGATAAACACAGTAATTGGATTATGTGGTTGTCCTTTTTCAAAAAATGGTTATGATCAGCTATTAGTGTTATAGGTTTAAACATGCAATAGTGTCTTAAGCTTTTAGAATGAGCAATGATGTCAGTTTGTTGAAGTAATGTGCCTGAGCCAAGTAGTAATAAGTTCTTCTTTAGCCAATAAAATTTTTTTCTTTGCCGTGTAAATATGAAGTAAACGTGACTTAGCAAAAATTATCAGGTGAAAGTACCTGTATATTATCATGATCACAATGATCATCTTTAACATCTTTCCAATTATGAGCATGTTTGCAAGTTGTTAGCATTAAAATGTTTTTATTATTAAATTATGAATTTGATGAAGAGATGTTCGAGTATCTCTCCCAACGTTATGGAGATATCTTTAGCCCTTAAAGTCTATATGAATTTTTGTTGAAAGGGAAGATTTCAGTCACCAGTTGTGTGTTAGTGGTTTTGGTTTACACTAATTTTTTATTATGATCAGGTAAAATTGGATAAAATGATTGGAATTGGTGGATGTTTGTTTATAGATGTATTGAAACAAGCCGTTGATTAACAATTCAGTAAGAACTGCAATGTATATGGAGTGAACTGTATAGTCTACTGTTCATGGAAGAAAGCTGTATGTTAGGAAAGGGATCACTTTTGTGATTTCTAAAACGTACTTAGGCAGGTTCAGTTAGATGATGTGGATTTTATACTGTTGTTAAAGGATTTATTGTTCTCAATTTTGAAGTAAAATGTTGAGGTGGATGAAATTGTAGAAAAGTGAGATGAAAAAGTAGAGTGTGTTTTTTGTATTATATTGTAATAGACATATAATTATGGCCCATGTTGTTTGCATGTGGAAAAAATGTAACGTTAGTTCATATGTAAAGGAAAAGGAAAAGTATTGAGATCGTTTATTAAATACACGAGATGTATTGCCTACTTACATATTCTATACGATGATAAAAAATGTTTGCAAAATTTGATGAATTTTGATGCTATTGACGTATGGAACATGTGACGAGTTTTGTCCAATAGGATTTGATGTTAGTTTGAATTAGTTTACCGTTTTTATCACGCGCGATTTTACAAAAATTCTTAGGTAGGTAGGGCCGACATACTTTTTATCAGAAAGATTATGAAAAATATTATATTATATAGATAAGTATGAAGATTTATAGTATAGGAGTGAGTTTACAGATGTGTGTTTGTTTGAAATATTTGTGAAAAGTGGTTTCTGTAAGTCGGCAAGTTGATAAATGTCGAAGAGTTTGTTGTAAACGTGGGCAACGAAACCGGACAATGTTCTGTTATTGAAGGTACGTTGGTTTGATAAAGTAAGGAAAAGTTGAAGGCATGTTATTTAAAATAAGTTAAAAGTTTGAAGTGGTGTGGAAACTGCTGTAAATTGTATAATATGTTGACTGAAATGAAGATATGGTAGGGCATGTTCCGCCATTTTGGAAGTCTTGTCTAGAGAAATATGTGAAGATGTAAGATAACATTGTTAAAGATTTGGGAGTGGAAGAAGTAAGACTACTGTCAAGGAGTATATCAAATAAAAACGTTGCGTTTGTCTTGGAGAAGTTATGGAGAAGCAGGGGAAGGGAAAAGCTTAGTTTGGCTGGTATAATATAAAGAAAAAATATTCATGTAATTTGTAAACTGACGGGTTTATTGGGAGTTTGTGTTTTTATAAAATAGTTTGAAGATCTTTGTAAGTAGGTAAGAGGTAAGGTAACTGCTTAAAGAATTTTAGATGTTTATTCAAACAAATGTGTGTTTGGTGTGAATGATTTTCAATGTAAAAGTAGGAGTAAATTATTTATTGTAATTATTTAAAAGAAATAAAGATGTTTGTGTTATTATTAGAGGCTTATGAAAATGTAGGAGATGTTTGGAGAAAACGCAAGATGTATTACATAAGGGAAGATAAGGAAGTTGGTAAAGTTGAAGAAAAAAAATTAATGTGTAATGGTTTGTTTGAATTGTAATTGTGTAAATGGATGTTGAGGTAATAGAGTTTATTGTTTGATGTAACGTTAAAATATAAGTGAACATGATATAAGGAGGATGCTTGGATTTTTTAAACTTTGTCGTAATGAGGATTGAGTTGATTGAAAACATTTGTACATGAAACATTGAGATTTGAAGATTGAATTAAATATTTGTGGAAATCTACATTATGGTATATTGGTAACACACATGAAATGAGGTTAAATTTTGTTTTATTTTGAATGTATGGCACAAATGTTTGGGAATGAGATTTGAGGAGTTGACTTTTGTGATATGTCAATTGGCTAATGTGTTTTGTAAGTAAGTAAGAAAAAAGATTGTTTAGTTTAAGTTGAGATAGTTTTAGTTTGAGTAGTGTTTTGATCATTGTCTTAAAGGTTTGGAAAATGTGGATGTTTTTTAATTGACTTTTGACATAGATGATTGTCATAAACATATTTCATGATAGGAAAAGTGTTAGAAACAAGCGGCACAAATTCATTGTTTTGTGGAAGTATTTATTATGATTTACTTTCAGTTTTTGATGATTTGAAAATTTTTAAATATTTTGTTTTGGTTGTGGTTATCACAAATGGGGAAAAGTGAAATGGTTGTTTGACTTTTTGAAGGGAAATGGAAAGAGTTTAATGTCTATTTATATAACAGTAAGGAAAAAGTTGTTTAAAAAAGAAATTTTATTATTAAGTGTGTTGACTTGAATTTAATAAATGTTGAGTGTAAGGGATGTTATAATTATTTATGATGGTAAATGTTGTATTGTGATTTCAGGTGCAAGAAGTGTTTAACAAGAACCTCATGAAAAAATGACGAAGAAAAGTTGTATATAAATGTGTTTGGTGAAAAAATGGTTGTGGTTATGAACAAGATCATGAAAATTTGTAGTTGAGGTAAGTATGTTTAAGTATGGTGTATTTTAGGGGAGGGAAGTTTTGTGGCAAGAAATATTTAAGGGTTTTAAGATTGAAGAAAGTTTTGATTAAGTAAAATAAGGGAGAGTTAAGAAATAAGTAATATGCAGGAAATGTTATAATATATTGGGATTAAAATGTGGTTGATATATGTTTGTGCATGTAGTTTATCGAAGTTAAATTAGTCTTGAGAAGGAATGTTGGTTTGACTGATGCTTGAAAAAGCATAGTGGTAGTCATCTTAAGAGTGAAAAGTTTCATTTTGATTTCGAAACATCAGTCAAGAAAAACCATCCTTTTTGAGACTAATAACCTGGACAATGTACAGCTACAAACATGTAACGATACTCCCAGGTTCAAACCATTTAGTTTAAGTTTTCTTTTACTATGATGAGTAATGCTAAGGTTGTCAACAAAGGGAGTATTTGGACTAATGTCGTCTAAGGATTGAACTAACTGGGAGGAATAACATGATGTTAGGGATATGGGAATGACAGTCGATTTTAATATAAATGGAAGATATAAATGGCAAAATTTGTATGCTAGATTTGGGTTCAAATCATCTAGTTTAAAAGATTTTGATAAGTGAACTTGTATGTATATAATGTAAAAGATGGTATGTTCAGTAAGTGTTTATTGGAGTTAGATATTAAGAAAGGTTTGTATACAAAAGCCGTATTTGGATGAAAAGAAAAGGTTTGTATGCAGCAGATAGAGTTGGACAAGAAGAAATGGTTTGTATGCAGCGGATAGAGTTGGAAATGAAGTAAGCAAGAACTGTTTATGATCAATAAAGAGTTTATTAAATATTAGATGAAAAGTGTTTAATTGTAATGGTGGGAAGTAGTGGGGGTGTCGATTTAATTATTTTTTATGCTTATGAGGGGTTGGAAAGGCATATAAGTTTTATGTAATGGGTAGTTGTCAACATGACCTGTGTGGTCTAGTGGCTGATGTTCCTGTGTATGATGCTGATGATGTTGGTTCAAATCCTGGTTGGGTCAATGAAGATGTTGATGTGAACCTGATGTTGTGATGAACCCATGGTTAGCTGAGGCACAGTGAAGGAAGTATCTAACTGTCTGAAGAACAGATAAGAAGAACGCATTGATGTGATAAAACCCCGGGTTAGCTGAGGCACAGTGAAGGAAGTATCTAACTGTCTGAAGAACAGTAAGTATAAACTCACAAGGGGTCATGCAAGACTCAACAACACCTGGGAGACTATGTCATCCCATGGTGAGGAGGTATCCCAAAATGCACAGAGGTAAGGTAATAAGGTAAGGTGGGTAAGTGGTAAGGTAGGTAAGGTAAGGTGGGGTAAGGTAGTGGTAAGGTAAGGTAAGGTAAGTGGGTAAAGTAAAAGGGTAAGGTAAGGTGGGTAAGGTAAGGTAAGGTGGGTAAAGATGGGTAAGGTAAGTGGAGTAAGGTAAGGTAAGGTAAGGTAAGGTAAGGTAAGGTAAGGTAAGGTAAGGTAAGGTAAGGTAAGGTAAGGTAAGGTAAGGTAAGGTAAGGTTTCCCTTTTTTGGTGCGTTTTTTCGTCACTTTAATTTTTTATTTTTTCTTGACTTCTAACATCTTGAAGTTGATTGAAGACCTATTAAATCCTAAAAAAAAAGCAAGAAACAACATGAAGATGGACTTCTTAAAACTCTTAAGGTTGAGTGTCTAAGACTGGCAAAAAGTATTTTTGTAAAATACAAGCCAATTTAACAATTTTCAAACATTTATATTAAATAATATTACTTTATACTTAGTGTTTGAAAAAAGACTATAATTCTACGACCAACGATAACTCAAATATTAAATTTATTAGACACGGCATTTGTTCAGGTTCTCCTTTCTTATGAGTGTTCGACGCTATTTCTTAATTTTCGGTCTACCTTTCACATTTTAAAAAAATTTGCCACATTGTCTTCAGTTCAAGAAGCAAAAACACATGCCACGTTTCTTTTAACTCATACTATGTAATTTTTGAATGATTTGTACTTCGAAAGTCTTTTGCGTTCAATACTTTGATCAGAAACAAATTGTTATGTAGCTGCTGTATTCACAAAACCACGAAGAAAATCAGTTGGCGTTTTTCAAGGCATAACGCGTCTTAACCATTTGGAAGGCCTTGCCCTCGAGTTTCGTGCAATCTATTCCTTCAGTTTATATTTAATCGGCTAGATTCCCTTGTTCACACGAGTAACATGAACGTAAAACAACAGGCTTTTCTTTCCATAGATCGATGAAACATCACACGTTAAACACAGGCATGTATAATATAAACGCAATAAAGTTAAAATATTTGAAAATCGCCACAATACCTTATCTGCTACGATGTATTTTCTTCGCGTTTCTTGGGCGAAAGAACGATATTCCGATAATCCAATTCTCATTCCCAACATTTACAACGACTCTTCAAAAGGCCAATGCTTCTTCCTCGCGGTATTCAAGCTCTACCATCAACCAACTTTCAAGACAATCTTCCGATCGACTCCAACTCAGCGACCAAATGACTCGGCTGCCTTCAACACGTCCTTTTAACCACATTCTGACAAAAGACAGGAAGCAATTAATGAACACAATGAATGACGCACATGCAAATATCAACAACTATGACCAGAACGTTTAATTACGTCATTCTTTACAAATCTATTGTTTTCGCAATAAGGTTACTTCTACAAATTTCCATTGTTTTTTAGGCACTATATGATGCAAATCAACTAAAACCAACATTCATTTCAATTTTATCCGGAAGTCTAGTCTTCAAAAGTACACGACTTGCAAATAAATCAAAACGTAGAAAAATAGATTATTTGCCTAACGTCTACATCTTTCAAATCTTCAACGATTGTTCTTACCTTCTTTTATATCTATAACTTCTTCGGGGTAAAGGTTAACACTCTAAAAGGAATATATAGAGTTCATGCACGTTAATCACCCAAAGACTATAGTTAATGCACCTAACTCCTAAAGACTATAGTTCACGAAAATAACACCCAAAGAGTATAGTACACGAAAATAACAACCAAAGACTATAGTACACGAAAATAACACCCGAAGACTATCGTACACGAAAATAACACCCAAAGACTAGAGCCCACGAAAATAACACCCAAAGAATATAGTACACGAAAATAACAACCAAAGACTATAGCTCAAGAAAATAACGCCCAAAGACTATAGCTCACGAAAATAACAACCAAAGACTATAGCTCAAGAAAATAACAACCGAAGACTATAGTACACGAAAATAACAACCAAAGACTATAGTACACGAAAATTACACCCAAAGACTAAAGTACACGAAAATAACAACCAAAGACTATAGTACACGAAAAAAACACCCAAAGACTATAGTTCACGAAAATAATACCCAAAGACTATAGTACACGAAAATAACACCAAAGAATATAGCTCACAGAAAATAACAACCAAAGACTATAGTACACGAAAAAAAGACTATAGTTCACGAAAATAATACCCAAAGACTATAGTACACGAAAATAACACCCAAAGAATATAGCTCACGAAAATAACACCCAAAGACTATAGTACACGAAAATAACAACCAAAGACTATAGCTCACGAAAATAACAACCAAAGACTATAGCTCACGAAAATAACACCCAAAGAGTATAGTAAACGAAAATAACACCCAAAGACTATATAGTACACGAAAATAACAACCAATGGCTATAGAGTTCACGAAAAAACACCCAAAGAGTATAGTAAACGAAAATAAGACCCAAAGACTATAGTACACGAAAATAGCAACCAAAGACTATAGCTCACGAAAATAACAACCAAAGACTATAGCTCACGAAAATAACAACCAAAGACTATAGCTCACGAAAATAACAACCGAAGACTATAGTACACGAAAATAACAACCAAAGACTATAGTACACGAAAATTATACCCAAAGACTAAAGTACACGAAAATAACAACCAAAGACTATAGTACACGAAAAAACACCCAAAGACTATAGTTCACGAAAATAATACCCAAAGACTATAGTACACGAAAATAACACCCAAAGAATATAGCTCACGAAAATAACACCCAAAGACTAAAGTACACGAAAATAACACCCAAAGACTATAGTACACGAAAATAACAACCAAAGACTATAGCTCACGAAAATAACAACCAAAGACTATAGCTCACGAAAATAACAACCAAAGACTATAGCTCACGAAAATAACAACCAAAGACTATAGCTCACGAAAATAACACCCAAAGACTATAGTTGAAAAAACACCCAAAGACTATAGTTCACGAAAATAATACCCAAAGACTATAGTACACGAAAATAACACCCAAAGACTATAGCTCACGAAAATAACAACCAAAGACTATAGTACACGAAAATAACACCCAAAGACTATAGCTCACGAAAATAACAACCAAAGAGTATAGTTCACGAAAATAACACCCAAAGACTATAGTACACGAAAATAACACCCAAAGAGTATAGTTCACGAAAATAACACCCAAAGACTATAGCTCACGAAAATAACACCCAAAGACTATATAGTACACGAAAAAAACACCCAAAGACTATAGTTCACGAAAATAATACCCAAAGACTATAGTTACACGAAAATAACACCCAAGACTATAGCTCACGAAAATAACACCAAAGACTATAGTACACGAAAATAACAACCAAAGACTATAGCTTAAGAAAATAACAACCAAACACTATAGCTCACGAAAATAACAACCAAAGACTATAGCTCACGAAAATAGCACCCAAAGACTATAGTTCACGAAAATAACAACCAAAGAGTATAGCTCACCAAAGACTATAGCTCACGAAAATAACACCCAAAGACTATATAGTACACGAAAAAAACACCCAAAGACAATAGTTCACGAAAATAATACCCAAAGACTATAGTACACGAAAATAACACCCAAAGACTATAGCTCACGAAAATAACACCCAAAGACTATAGTACACGAAAATAACAACCAAAGACTATAGTACATGAAAATAACACCCAAAGACTATAGTACACGAAAATAGCAATCAAAGACTATAGCTCACGAAAATAACACCCGAAGACTATAGTACACGAAAATAACTACCAAAGACTATAGCTCACAAAAATAACAACCAAAGACTATAGTACACGAAAATAACACCCAAAAAGTATAGCTCACGAAAATAGCAACCAAAGACTATAGCTCACGAAAATAACACCCAAAGACTATAGTACACGAAAATAACATCCAAAGACTATAGTACACGAAAATAACAACCAAAGACTATAGCTCACGAAAATAACAACCAAAGACTATAGCTCACGAAAATAACAACCAAAGACTATAGCTCACGAAAATAACACCCAAAGACTATAGTACACGAAAATAACAACCAAAGACTATAGTACACGAAAATAACAACCAAAGACTATATATAGCTCACGAAAATAACAACCAAAGACTATAGCTCACGAAAATAACACCCAAAGAGTATAGTACTCGAAAATAACACCCAAAGACTATAGTACACAAAAATAAAACCCAAAGACTATAAGTTCACGAAATAACAACCAAAGACTATAGCTACGAAAATAACAACCAAAGACTATAGCTCACGAAAATAACACCCAAAGACTATAGTACACAGAAATAACAACCAATGACTATAGAGTTCACGAAAAAACACCCAAAGAGTATAGTAAACGAAAATAAGACCAAAGACTATAGTTCACGAAAATAACACCCAGAGTATAGCTCACAAAGACCTATAGCTCACAGAAATAACACCCAAAGACTATAGCTCACGAAAATAACAACCAAAGACTATAGTACACGAAAATAACACAAAGACTATAGCTCACGAAAATAACAAAAGACTATATAGTACACGAAAATAACAACCAAAGACTATAGAGCTCACGAAAAAACACCCAAAGAGTATAGTAACACGAAATAACACCCAAAGACTATAGTAAACGAAAATAGCACCCAAAGGTATAGTTCACGAAAATAACACCCAAAGACTGTAGCTCACGAAAATAACATAAAGACTATATAATACACGAAAAAACACAAAGACTATAGTTCTGAAAATAATACCCAAAGACTATAGTACACGAAAATAACACCCAAAGACTATAGCTCACGAAAATAACAACCAAAGACTATAGCTCACGAAAATAACACCCAAAGACTATAGCTCACAGAATATAACACCCAAAGACTATAGCTCACACGAAAATAGCACCAAAAAGTATAGTACACGAAAATAACACCAAAAGACTATATAGTACACGAAAAACACCCAAAGACTATAGTTCACGAAAATAATACCCAAGACTATAGCTCACAAAGACTATAGCTCGAAAATAACACCAAAGACTATAGTACACGAAAATAACAATAAAGACTATAGCTTAAGAAAATAACAATAAAGACTATAGCTCACGAAAATAACAACCAAAGACTATAGCTCACGAAATAACACCCAAAGACTATAGTACACGAAAATAACACCCAAAGACTATAGCTCACGAAAATAACACCCAAAGACTATAGTACACGAAAATAACAACCAAAGACTATAGCTCACGAAAATAATACCCAAAGACTATAGTACACGAAAATAACAACCAAAGACTATAGTACACGAAAATAGCAACCAAAGACTATAGCTCACGAAAATAACACCCAAAGACTATAGTACACGAAAATAACATCCAAAGAGACTATAGTACACGAAAATAACAACCAAAGACTATAGCTCACGAAAATAACAACCAAAGACTATAGCTCACGAAAATAACAACCAAAGAGACTATAGCTCACGAAAATAACACCAAAGACTATATAGTACACGAAAATAACACCAAAGACTATAATTACACGAAAATAACTACCAAAGACTATAGCTCACAAAAATAACAACAAAGACTATAGTACACGAAATAACACCAAAAAAGTATAGTCCCACGAAAATAGCAATAAAAGACTATAGCTCACAGAAATAACACCCAAAGACTATAGTACACGAAAATAACATCCAAAGACTATAGTACACAGAAAATAACAACCAAGACTATAGCTCACGAAAATAACAAAGACTATAGCTCACAGAAAACAACCAAAGACTATAGCTCACAGAAAATAACACCAAAGACTATATAGTACACGAAAATAACAACCAATGGCTATAGAGTTCACGAAAAACACCAAAGAGTATAGTAAGAAAATAAGACCAAAGACTATAGTACAGAAAATAGCAACCAAAGACTATAGCTCACGAAAATAACAACCAAAGACTATAGCTCACCAAAGAGACTATAGCTCACGAAAATAACACCAAAGACTATAGCTCAGAAAATAAAACCAAAGACTATAGCTCACGAAAATAACACCCAAAGACTATAGTACAGAAAATAACACCAAAGACTATATAGTACACGAAAATAACACCCAAAGACTATAGTTCACGAAAATAATACCAAAGACTATAGCTCACGAAAATAACAACCAAAGACTATAGTACACGAAAATAACAAAGACTATAGTACACGAAAATAACAATAAAGACTATAGTACACGAAAATAACAACCAAAGACTATAGCTCACGAAAATAACAACCAAAGACTATAGCTTAAGAAAATAACAACCAAAGACTATAGCTCAGGAAAATAACAACCAAAGACTATAGCTCACGAAAATAACAACCAAAGACTATAGCTCAAGAAAATAACAACCAAAGACTATAGCTCACGAAAATAACACCCAAAGAGACTATAGCTCACGAAAATAACAACCAAAGACTATAGCTCTGAATATAACACCAAAGACTATAGCTCACAAGAAAATAGCACCCAAAGGTATAGTAAACAGAAATAACACAAAGACTATAGTTACACGAAAATAGCACCCAAAGAGTATAGTTCACGAAAATAACACCAAAACTATAGCTCACGAAAATAACACCCAAAGACTATATAATTACACGAAAAAACACCCAAAGAGTATAGACGAAAATAACACCCAAGACTATAGCTCACGAAAATAACAACCAAAGACTATAGTTCACGAAAATAACAACCAAAGACTATAGCTCACGAAAATAACAACCAAAGACTATAGCTCACGAAATAACAACCAAAGACTATAGCTCACGAAAATAACACCAAAGACTATAGCTCACGAAAATAAATAGCACCAAGATATAGAGTACACAAAAAAATAACACCAAAAGACTATATAGTACACGAAAATAACAACCAAAGACTATAGTTCACGAAAATAATACCCAAAGACTATATAGTACACGAAAATAACAACCAAAGACTATAGTACACGAAAATAACAACCAAAGACTATAGTTCACGAAAATAGCACCCAAAGAGTATAGTTCACGAAAATAACACCAAAGACTATAGCTCACGAAAATAACACCCAAAGACTATAGTTCACGAAAAAAAACACCCAAGACTATAGTTACACGAAAATAACAACCAAGAGACTATAGCTCACGAAAATAACAACCAAAGACTATAGTCACGAAAATAACACCCAAAGACTATAGTTACACGAAAAAAACACCCAAAGACTATATAGTACACGAAAATAACCAAAGACTATAGTTCACGAAAATAATACCCAAAGACTATAGTACACGAAAATAACAACCAAAGAGACTAGTACACGAAAATAACACCCAAGACTATAGCTCACGAAAATAACACCCAAAGAGACTATAGTACAGGAATATTTACCTTTACTGTGATATAAATTCACAGTAAAGGTAAATATAATTAATTAAACAATACCAACATATTAAAGTCGACGAAATGCATTGATTTTTTTTTTTAGGGGAAGCGGTTTAATATATTTTCCTGATATCATTGAAATTGTCCACGATCATCATTGTTTTACGATATATAAGTATTTGTATGTTTAGTTTGAGTAAAAGTAAACTAAAATTGATATTTTCAACCTTGTTCGATATATTTTGAAAAATGGGAAATCTCATTATGGATATAGTATGCAAAAAATTTGCATAATGAAAATTTTATAATCATAACCAAAAGATGAGGAGTAAGATTTATTTTATTTTCTTTAACTATAAATTTAGTGATTATTTGCTTATTTTTAGAATGAGTAGAAAGTCTACATATTCGATTTGATAATATCAATGTTGACGAATTTGAGATCAGTAAAACAGCCAAAGACTATAGTACAACAAAATTACACCCAAAGACTATAAACACGAAAATAACAACCAAAGACTTTAAGACTATAGTACACGAAAATAACAACCAAAGACAAATAGCTCACGAAAATAACAACCAAAGACTATAGTACACAGAAAATAACACCCAAGACTATAGCTCACGAAAATAACAACCAAAGACTATAGTACACGAAAATAACACCCAAAGAGTATAGAGTACACGAAAATAACACCCAAAGACTACAGTTCACGAAAATAACACCCAAAGACTTTAGTTCACGAAAATAACACCCAAAGACTATATTGCACGAAATTAACACCCAAAGACTATATTTCACGAAAATAACACGCAAAGACTATAGTACACGAAAATAACAACCAAAGACTATAGTACACGAAAATAACACCCAATGACTATAGTTCACGCACCTAACTCCCAAAGACTATAGTTCATGCACTTTACTCCCAAAGACTATATAGTTGATTATTATAAGTTTTCTTCAAATTACTAACCAAATTTTCGTTTCTTTTTTTGTACTTTCATTGTTTATTCGCTCTGCCATCGAATTCATTGCTCTTCATCGACATTTAAGTAACGGAATTTCTCAAATGTATTTTACATATGCTGTTAAATAAATTCCCCAACGTCACAAAATTTTATTTTTTGTCCAGTTGCAATCGCAGATGTTGACGATCTTCATTTTCTATTAAACGTTTAAATACATCGGCAATCAAATGACACGTCTTTCGGTAATTCGCAGAAATTTAAGGATATTTATGGCACCAACTTTACTTTGCTTTACTGCATGCCTTTCCCCAACCAAATATATTTTTGAACAGATTATACTACTTCTTTCATTTTTGTCGTCTTGTTTAACTTTGTACGAAAGTCAAGTGTTTTCCATTATGCCTCGTACTTTGTAAGTACCACAAATCTTTTGAACACGTTAAATATGTTGCTTGTTTGTGTGTTGTCTTGTTGAACTTCGTTAGAAAGATAATTGTTTCTCATGACGCTTCGTAGTTTATTATTGTCAAAACATGAATTGAATAACATCTTTAAGCATCGTTTATGAATGTCATTAGTTACACATCATGTTTGTTTTTGCATTCAATGTTGGAACAAATTACCTGATGTCCAACAAATTTAATCCTAAGAACAATAGGTAGTGTTCCTTAACCAAAGAACTGTCTTCCCTTTACACAAAGGAAGACAAAAAAGTACACATAAAGGTAGACAAAAAGGTGAACAAAGTAGACATATGAAGTGACGACTTAATCTAATGTTGTCTTTTATGAAATATAAATTTTTAAGATTTCGTTCACATCGTCTTTTTGAAAATGTCGTTCTTCTTGTCTTATATGAAATGTTCGAAGACCTTAGCGGTAGTCATCTTCAGAGTCAAATGTCAACCTTTACGTCTACCATTATGTCTACCTAATTCAGACTCCGTTTACACCAGGGCTATAGTTCTCGGATTCATCGCAAATCTGCGATATTTTATGTCGGATTCATTTTTCCGTTTACATTTGCAGTCATAAATCATACAAAATTATATCGCATGCAAGAGTAAACTGGATATTTTGAATCCGAAAATTTGTGGGATTCTTGCATCCGAAAACTTTTCATCTCCCTAAAATCTTCGTGTAAACGGAAAGCCAGACGAATCTGAATACAAAAATTTAAGATGGCGAATAACACAGGAGTGAATCGACATTATCCTAATCAAGCAAATGCAATTTATAGGATGTTTGCGTTCCAAACATACACAAGAAAATATAGAATACTTTAAAATATGATGGGGGCATGCAAAATACGTCGTAACTGGTATCTCTCAGGTTTCGACAATCGGACGCTGAAGGCTCAAAACAGGAAATCTGAATACTTGCGAATCCGGAACAATACTGGGCCCCGTCCACGTATACGGATATTTTTGAAAACGGAGGTTTTTTCCTCCGTTTTGGCCTTAGGTCCACACATAAACGGCGTTTTCGGGGACCATAAACGGAGGTTTTCGAATACGCTCTCCAGAGTGAAGACTTTTCAAAACGCCGGTTTTATGTTTACCTGTGTGGACGGGCGAAAACGAAGGTTTTTCAAAACGATGACGTCAATAATTGAGTCCAGTCTCATGATTGAGTCGTCCGAGTACTTTTTAAAATGGCGGGTCACAAGTGCATTGCTATTTTATTGGAATAATTTCAAATTTGATAGCATGCATTCACTTGCATGTTGCAGTGATAAGTATTAAAGAAAGCGGGTGAGTATGCTTTCCCTGTTACAAAATGCCACAAAATATAACATTCGATTTTGCCTTTTCCTTTGGTGGAGCCTTCATTTGACTTTATACCATTCTAATTTTTCCATAAACTCACAAAATCAGCAGAGCGCCCTACGATGCAAACGAGACGTTAATAAATCCAAAATACAAATAATAAATATTGCAATTAGATGCTGCAAAAGCTTGAAGAATCTCTTATTACGAAGTAAATACGCATGCTCAGTGCTTACAAGTATTGAATTTCCTCCGTTTTTGCGTATACGTGTGGACATGGCCTTAGTGTAAACAAGGTCTCAGAAAGAAGTCTTTAATCATGGTATTAAAAATACATACAACTGGTTGTATTCAACATGTTGGTTTGAAAAACCTATTAAATTTTACAAGGATAAATACTACATAGCACCCAGCACACATCACGATAGTCAATTCGAGATGTGAGGATGAGAAGAGGCAAACAAAGTACTGGAAATACAGCTGTCAATCAAAACTGTTACAAAAATTGACAAATTCACCAACAATTTGAACTGCCGATTCATATTAAGACTGCCAACCACGGCAGGTTCTTTATTATCCAGTCAATTTTGTTCATCTCATCTCTTCTTTTCTCCACGCTGAGAAGCTGCTCTTCTAAAGCAAAGATGATGATTGTATAACCATTTTCCACGGTGCTCATGGAACAACTAAAGAAAATTAAATAATGGACCAATTTTCGATTGAAAAATATTCGTTCTCAGGTGTTCATTCATCACACCACACTGTACATTCAGTCCATATTTTAGGAAGTGTAAAGACTATTCTCATTCTCTGCTCTTCCAGTCATCACTGCTTTATATGCTTCCAGTCATCACTACTTTATATGCTTCCATGCACACACAAAAATTATACCGTCGTTGTCCACACATGTCCTGATTCTTCTCGTTGCTTAGCTAGTAACCTTTGATTATCTTCAAGCTAAAAAAAGGAACGAAAACCACAAATAGTTTCATCTTGAAGAGAAGAAGTTATTTTAGAATCAAACCTTTTCTTTTTCTTCAGCTGCTATGTTTATATCATCACAGCGAACAGCTTCAGTAACGTGTCTCCAAAGTCTGAAATATTACAACAAATTCGTGCAAGTCGCCAATTCTCATAAATTTGTATAAGATTACGATGAACATGAAAGTACACATAGTTATAATCGTTCGTGACAGTTGCAATGAACATGAAAGTACACATAGGTATAATCGTTCGTGACAGTTGCAATGAACATGAAAGTACACATAGGTATAATCGTTCGTGACAGTTGCAATGAACATGGAAGTACAAATAGGTATAATCGCTCGTGACAGTTGCAATTCTTGCAATATAGTTGTATCACTAAAATTATACATTTCAACACCTTCGAGATTCGTTTTCATCTTGCTTTACAATTGGTCGGAGTTTCTTAGGCGTTTTTTTCAACAAGTACGGTTCTATGACTTTCGTTTTTTCAGAAATTAAACGCTGCAGCACATGATCCAAAATATATAAAAATGTAAGAAACCTTTTTATATATTTAAATGTAAGAAACCGCAAAGAAACAACATACATAATAGCATGTAAACTTACCACTTCTTCGGAAAAATCCATTTCTATTCTATCAGTCCATTGTCCATTGATTCTGCACAAGGTGCGGTCGCTAGGGAGATGCTTGACTTCTCCAGTGATATGGTTCTTGATACCACCATACATTGGCTTAGTATGAAACGTAATGGAACAATTATAACCAGTTTTTGGGCAGGCAATGCTGACCTTTCCACCAAGTTCATACCATGGACGCGTGAGGATTGATCTTTAGTAAAGAAAGGTAACATTTGGTAAGTTCATACAAAACGATGCATACATTTACTGGAATGCTTCATGTCTTGAGATGCAAAAGTTCTCTGAATTAATAATTATCGTAATAATTAATTAGAATAATTGATCATTAATTATTTATTTCCCTAACAGGAAAACTATAGCCTTTCAAATAACTTTGTTTTTTCCAAGCAATATCAAAATAATGACAAAATAATCAGAGGATATCTGTCAAACTACAATAATAAACAAAGAAAAAAGAAGTAACTGGAGCTTTCATACCTGCAATATGCGTTAGGAAACGTAAAGAAATACTCTTCATCGTGATCTAACAATGTGAGTACACCTGTGAAAAAAATTATCATGAATTCATAATCAAGATAAAACATATCGTCAAAATATTGTAGTCACGAAACAACGCATTACATATTTACATTTCGTAAAAAAAATGAACTTTTACAAAGTGAAAGTAAATCAAATAATGGTCAAAGTAAGAAAGTAGTGATGTTTTTTTTTTTACCGTTGCCGATCAACTCGACTCCAACAGACATCCCATAGAATTTCGATTTCGTCCAAACATGACTGTTCATACAAATATTCTTCTCTGGACATTCAACATAAAACGCTGAGACTAAAAAGCGAAATGAAAAAATTAACGTTGATCCAAAAATATCAAACATAAAGCATACTGTATACACAAATCTGGAAGATTGCTAACTTTATTAAAGTTCGACCAATCACCTGGTGGATGATGGGATACTTGTTCAGCAACGTAGCGCAACCTATAGTCACGTCGTGACTCTCCTGTTGACTCCATCTCAGTCACGTGTCCATTTGTCTTCGGAGCAGAGATATCCCAGCAACAGTGAAATACCTCACCAAGTATAGGATTATAAGGTTTCTTCGAGTATCTGCCCTTAAATTATCGCAATGCAAAAGACATAAATATTAGTATAGTCCAACATATTCATAATTATAAACTCGTTAGAGAACACTTAACGAGAGCAAAAAACAAAAAACATGTCGTTTGGAGCAGATTGTGCTCAGAAAAGTGGTTTAAGAAGTTAGCAAGAAATGACCATTGTGTGAAAACATTTATAAATGTTTAAAGTGTTTATGTCACCAAATTTTACCATAGTGTTTTTTTAATTGCATCGCGAAGACAATTAATAATTACTTAATAACTTCTTTAAAAGAATTTTGTTATTTTGTTATTTTTGGAGAAATGTAACTTTCCTTCAGTATGCATATGACATCATTATGACATCGCATTGCATAATACAACAAAAGGAAAAGTTAATTTTCTCGACAGTTAGCATTAAAATATGTAACTTTTCGCATTTTTACAAATATTCATCTTTACGTGTGTTCATCAAACCGTCGTATTTGTTTATAAAATATTCTAACAATGTTAAAAATTGATGATTTCTAAAAAGTCATTATGCTGTGTGATGTCATTTGCATAAAGAAAAAAGTTAAATATCTCATGAAAAAAGTACAATAAGTCAACTTTACTGCAGAGGTTATCAAGTCAATATATCTGTTCTTTCCAATAAAATAAAAAAAATTGTGATAAAATTTCTTGTTATAAGCACTTTAAGCAAGAAAAAAAGTAAAAAAGACCAACTACATAGCTCATGGACAAATTACTCAACATATATCAAAAGAACAACAAATGTCTCTCAACAACAATAACATACTTTTCTAGCAGCATAAAATGACGTCAAATAGTATTCTACAGCGGCTAACATACGATCTCTGGGGGAGGTTTCGTCAGTTATCCTGTAACGATAGCAACACTTAGTCCAATGAACCTTGTAATTGATAAAGATTTACATAAAACAAAAAGTACATACTTGAGAAATAATTGGGGATAGCCATAACAATCAGCAAACATTTCTAACAAGCTTCGTGGTTCCAATATAAAAGTCGGTAAGGAAACCTCACAAAGAGAGAGAACGTAAATAACGTCACACTGTTGAATCACTTTCACATATAAGCCAAAATTTTCTATATTCGACAATAAACATTTATTGCCTTGCAGGCGATGTAGTTTAGGTGAATATTTTACCTTGGTTAAATCAATGCCTAATCCTTGCAGGCTATGAAGTTTAGATGAATATTTTACCTTGGTTAAATCCATGCCTAATCCTTGCAGGCTGTGTAGTTTAGATGAATATTTTACCTTGGTTAAATCCATGCCTAATCCTTGCAGGCTATGTAGTTTACATGAATATTTTACCTTGGTTAAATCTATGCCTAATCCTTGCAGGCTATGTAGTTTACATGAATAATATACCTTGGTTAAATCTATGCCTAATCCTTGTAGGCTATGTAGCTTACATGAAAATTTTACCTTGGTTAAATCCATGCCTAATTTGAGTTTTGACAATAAATGAAGAATAAGACTTTTATGCTCTTCTATGTTTTCATTCTCCAGCGAATATTCTTGCTCGTCTAAATCTCCATCCTCGATTTCATCTCGCAAAAGAGATTCTATACAATAAGATAAGGATTTCACATACGTCATATCTTAGAGCAAAGTTGTTTGTATTGACATAAAATCGCAATCTTGTCCAATTGAAGCAAGGTTATTCAACTTCGACCACCACACGTATCACAAATGTAATTGAATCGACACCATTTACGTACACTCACCGAAATCCACGCCATCAACATAGTCATCATTGGAACAAGGGAACGTCTTTTTATTGGTACTGCTAACGCTGCCAGAGGATGCGGGTAATAAAGGTACACCCTTAGAAACCTCCCCATTGGCATATTCATTACACAGGTCAGATCTATATGTCGTAAACGTTGTAGTATAGAATCTCATCTCAACATTTTCTTATATCATAGTGACGTCTTACTTTGGTTTTGGAGGGTCAAACCATTGAATAGTAGCGTCTTCAGGTATACCAGAATGCCTTGCTACATCATGCACGTCGTCAATCTTTTAAGAAGATGAATTGAACGTTATAGGAGTAAAAAAAAGGACATATGAACGATAAAAACACTATATTATAGACATAATGTAAACCTGTTTTTGTAGAATGACAAAACATTGATGAAGGCAGTGGAGAGTTGTCTAAAAACGGTTAAACAACAAGATTAAGATCCAGATTTACCATCATCGGACGTCGTAGTTCTTGTGTTCATAATGAGAATAAAATATTTACATATACAAATATAAGCTTGTCACCTGTGATGTTGCTTTTATCAAAAGCATCTCCTATAGAAATATAACAGAATTTCAATTATAAAACATATTCAGCGGTTTATAGTGTGAGAACGCAGTTATCCATTTTTAATTATGCAAACCAACCCTGCTTAGAAGATTCACAGTTTCGCCATCATTTGGCATGGCCTGCAAAAGAGAAAGAAAATAATTGAATCAGTAGATCTCTTATATTAGTAAGATTAAGATGTTGTTCAAAATAAACTTGAATCTTAGATTAAACACCTCCTCTTACTGAACACCCCTCCTCTACTGAACACCCCTCCCCCGTTAAACTGAACACCCCTCCTCCGTTAACCTGAACACCCCTCCTCCGTTAAACTGAACACCCTCCTCCGTTAAACTGAACACCCCTCCTCCGTTAAACTGAACACCCCTCCTCCGTTAAACTGAACACCCCTCCTCTAACTGACTACCCTCCTTCTTTAAAATGGACACCCTCTCCTACGTTAAATTATATACGTCTCCTCCGTTAAACTGGAATAATGAATATCTCTTTTCCGTTAAAATGGAGTCTATCACAAATTAATTTAATAAAATCTTGCGAAAAATGTTTCCATTCAACAATAATGAGCGTTTGTTAGATGCTTTGGTTTAATTCAGCAATATGAATGCGTTGATTGTTGGTCATATCTTAAAACGTATACGTTTCTAATCACATGTGATGTCTACACATTTTTGACTTCTTTTTCCACAATACAAACCTCTATCTTATTAAGAAAAGCCATTTGTTGAGCTTCACTAGTGTTTAACAACTCGTTAAGAATTTCCATGTAATCAAGAACCTCAGATGAGACAGCAATGGGACGATTTTTATTTAATATTACATCAAAATTATCTCCAGAAGCAGATGTAGAGATGGTAAGATTGTTTACAGGTTTCGTAGTTAAAAGTGGTGTTGTATTAGCAGGACCAACAGTTTGATTACTCAATTGAACTTTCTATCAGAAAAAAGAATTTCAATTGAGTTGCATCAAATCAGCTAGCAAACACATTTCTTATGCAACACAGCAGACTTATTTATTAATATTCATAAGTCGATACCTTTCAGAGAACTGAGCCCTCAGAGTTTTTGAAAAGAACATGAATTTGTCCTGTCTTACACCCACCCTCCCACAAATCAACACAAAAATTTTCCGAACAATCAATAAGGAATACTTAGAAAATTTTAAAAGTCTGAACTGAGCTGTTTTTATGCAGATTTACTTGAACAAAGGCTCAAAATTTTAAATGTAGCTATAGTGACCAAATTGAAATAATAAAACCCTCCAGGAAACCAGAAACAACTGATGATAAATCAATCTTACATTAACAAGTTTGGCGGAGTGTTTTTCTGAAATCATTCGTATATTATTGATCCATTGCTGGCGCTCTCGAGCATCGCATGCTAAAAAGAACTCAAACATGACAAATTTGAATAATAATAACAATATTATAGCCACATTTAGAGCCCATGACATGTTAGATGACAATGCTTCAAGAAGAACACAAATGTTAATAACTTTCATCCCAAATAAAGATATAATAAACAGATAGGCATACATGTATCGCTAACAATAAGACAAGCAACTGTTGTATAGGGGGCATGTCTGCAAAAATTGTGTATCTTAATTGACATATCCAAACACATTATTACGACTATGAAAAATACACTTTATTAGCAACAACTCTCTATGTTTTCACATGCAATATTCTAGCAGATAGTGGGCAAAACAAAATTAAATTTTAAGATTTATAACCTCGTAATTTAAAAAGATCACCATTTGAGGCATTTACAGTAAATGTAACAGAATCTTCGTCACTTGGTGCAATAACTGCGCCCTATTAAATTGAAAAAAATGAATTGAAATTATTCAAAATGACCTCCACAGTATTTCACCGGAAAAGCGCATTTGTACTTACCATGAGGTGAACAGAGCCACGTGGTTCTGTTCCATGAACTTTTTTCCCCTTATCCTTTAATAACACAAATCATATTGATGTCAACAACATAAAATATTGCAAAGAAATAATACAATAAAGTACTTGGACGTACTACATAATACTCAAGATATCCGGTCTCAGCATTCAAGACAAACCATCGATACTGCCAGCCTTTCATTAAATTTGTCCACTTGCTTAATTGACCTTCCATTTTTTGTCTAAAAATTGATGACATTGATAAGACTATGAGCTACATGTTGTGAGGCTTTACAACAACCTGTCTGATAACCACAGGATTCTAATACTTTACATTCAATGAAATTTACATATAATCAAAGAATCTCAAAGTTTCACCTTAATGCTTTGTCTTCATCTTTCTTTTGTAATTCCTTAATAAACAAAAAACATAAATGTTAATGAACATTTTGCTATTCAATTCATGTATAATTGCAATTCCAATGAAATTCCAAAAGATTATAGTTCATTTTTATTAATATATGTTACATACACTTATATTACAGTTTAAATATTTCTTTCATTGCTCAATATATAAACAATGATAGTCAGTCAAAATTGATACCATTAAATGCTAATTCATCAACACGCATTGCATAAAAAACTACATTCGACGATTTACTTTCACTTATTGAAAGTGAAATAACTTTTACTGACTTTCCCATGCCACCGAAGCATTTCATCATTTACATGTGAGCCAACCAGTCATAAAAAATTATTATTCATTAAATGTACTCTAAACAGATAAAAACTTATTTCGTATTGATAGGGCATAATGTATTTCATACTTGAGCTTTCTCCATTACAGATGAAATACGCTTTTTTTCCCAGTCATTCAAGCCAGACAAATCAACTTCTGATATTTTCGGCATTCGTGATGACAAATCGCTCGCCATATTGTTAAACTACCAAGGTCCAGGGACACGTTTTGCCATCCGTCATAAAATCACTGAATGGTGGCAGTATAGTAATTTTCAGTTTCATGACTGAGTTGCTCATTGTTTTCACTACTAAATCTGCAATACAATTAGATAAGTTGGAGTAATGTAATTTTAAAACATTTTAGTACTAAAAGGAAGTCATAAACTCATGCATTGATTAGGATTCACCTGACATTGAAATTTTTGCAGTTTCAATTTGCTAATTTAGTATCATGAGTTGAATGCCCAAGCGTAAATATTTGTAAATAAATTGATTTTGACACTAAACCAAACCATACCAAACCTACTATTAGTGGCTACTCCCATAAAAATGTTTCGAGAATGACATATTTTAACATAATTATGCTAATATATGAAAGTCTATTGACAGAACAGACGAAGGACTACAGTCAATATAAACACTGTGAAGAACAGTTCGTTCAAAATATCAATACAATGCATCGAGGTATAGGAGAGCAGAAACTTGCAGAGAAGCTTATTATTTTAAACGAACGTGGCAATGGCATGTTGACGAGGATTTATAATATAAAAAAGGCAAGTTCAATTTTTTAAAATTCATAGACTGTAATACGTGTTTATAGTTTACATGTCAATGTTATGTTCTTAAACTAAAAACACGACGAGAACTTGTTCATAGCCAAATGATAAACATTCTCCTTCTTTCTTTTACATGTATTCAACCATATTGTAGCTGAAGTAAATTAAAATAACATTCCTTAATTGACCATAAGTGAGATATGGTTAATGGTATATATGGACAAGAAGGAGAGATGATTTATTGTGGTTGAGATGGTTATTTTAGAAGTAAAAGGTTATGGGAGAGATGGAATTTATAAGAAGAAATACATATTTTAATTGCAATTACAATTGATCAATTTGCACTTAAATTACCATTTTTTGACAATTTCTCTCTGTTTAGACTTCTTTTCTCATTTGTTTGTGATATTTAATACTTGAAACTTACGTATAAACTATTTAATATTTTAATAGCAATGTTCAGATCCAAAATCCAGGCCATCTTTTCTCACAGACAAACCTCTCGAGGCAACAATCAAAATAATAGTCCGTAAATTCCCAAATTTTGAAAGTCATTTGAAGGTACAAAGAGTTTGAACCTTATAGAATTCAATGATGAAATATTCCTAGCTAGAGCATTTGTTTTAGAATATAGCACAACCCTATTCAAGGGCAAGAAAAAGAAATTGTGAAAGGATTGTCAAATTACTATAACACTTTTGTTGATGTGATGCAATTCAAGGTAAAATTATATGTGGGATGAGAAATTTACATGTTTTTGTATGTTTGAAAGTCATTTGATATACATTAAAAGCCTTGTAATGTGTGCATTGAAAGCCATACATGTGTATCAAATGCCATGCATTTACATTGAATATGATTTGTATTTGTAATAGGATCAAACCAACGAAATACTCACAATGATAGATGCAAGTTTTGTTCATTTTGATATTGTAAGTAAAATTAATTTACCCAATGACGAAAAGTTCAGTTATTACATGCATTTTTTTTAACCTTGTAATACTTGTGTACAGAAGGATCAATTGCCAATGCTAAACATCATTGACTCTCTACTAACACAAGTAGCAAACTGCAGTCCCACCTGAATAGATTTATGTTAGAACCTTTCTGTCACTCATTTTTAATAAGTTTGGTGGAGGGATTACCTCTGTTTGTTGCACTACCTTGGTAATGACATGTATGTCTACCCAAAATTCATTGGATATAACCTTTTGTGTGTTTGACCCAACTACCTCAACACCAGCTCTCAAATCTTATGGTCACATACGTATGTTTCCATAATGATGTTGAATTGTTTAATTTTTCAGTCATTGAATTTTGATATTACAAGAGCATACCTGGATCTTAGTAACCTATGTATCCCTGATGATCCTTATTGCTCGTGTTGAGGATCGCAAGGCTGTTCTTGGATTAATTATGCTTATGAGACTCTGAATGGACGAGGTTCATTTTTAGTATGTTACTCCCAAACACTTTTTTTTATATGACTAACCTTGATTTCTTATATTTTGTAGTGATGAATATTTTCCAAGGTTGGGTAAATTGATCATTGATTATGAGAATCCTATAAAGAAATTAGCTGAAGAATTCAACACACATAATCAGGTGAGTTTCTTATACATGAAACTCATAAACCACCAAAACATGTGACTCCTCAGACATCGAGCAACTGACGGAATGTAGTTTTATCATTTTAATTAAATTCAATTCCATTTTCTATAAATTCTTTCTTTTCAACAGCGTCTCGAAGCTCTTCAGTCACTCAATCCCATTTACATTCGACGAAATCAGACTGGGGCACAAGTGCGTTATTGATACGTAATTGAAGATAGTTAAGCCATAAGAAAATAACCCATCACTCTCTTTTTCTAGATGAGGCAAGCACAGTTATTAAGTATTATTAGCACACCAGCCGCTATGTTAAATCCAGTTTTTACTGATACAGTAAGTTGAAAAAACTAAAACGTAAAGTATAGGGCAGCAACACTAACTTCAAAATGTGCTTTCTGCTAACGATACAATTTTTTTTATAAATCTATCCTTTACGTAGTTATTATCGACGGCCTCCAAAAAATTAAGCGTAGTTGATTGAAACTGTTTTTTACAATCGCCAGTTTCGACAACCTTGAAGTTCTTTAAACTCAACAGTTTCAGTCAAGTTTATGGTTGTCTACAACATTTTGCCAGACTTTTTGCTCAACAGACAGAGTAAACACGAGGGACAGATTCATGGGAGGCAAAAAAGACAATCGCTTATAACGCGATGACTTACTAAAATATAGATTCTGCACTTTTGCCGTTACTCACCCCTCTCCCCCACCACACATTTTGCCGTTACTCACCCTCTCCCCACCACACATTTTGCCGTTACTCACCCCTCTCCCCCCACCACACACACACACACGCATAGAAGATCACTATTGAAAGGTGTTGGGAAATTAACATATCCAACAATTCAATTGTCCCGGATAACATCCTTAGTTCATGATTGTAGATCGTAGAGTCCTGAGGAGGACTATTGGTGTTGATATTGACTGTAATCTGGAAAAATAAATCTATAAACATGTAAAGAAACTCCGGGTTCAAAAGATTTACGTTATTCTTGCTTGTATATATTTGGTGACTTCTTTTCTCTTAGATTCCATGTGAATATCTTCCTATGTCTTCCATGAACAAGTGGATTTTATGTATGTGTATAGTGGTATAAAATATTTTGTTGTTGGAAAAATTAACACCACAAGGAAGTGGCCCAGTGGTTAATGCAGACTGTGTACTTGATCTCGTTTCTTATGTCTTTTGATGGTTCAAAGGTCTAACTAACTCAGTTCTGTATTTTCAATTTAAGTTGGGTATTGTCTGTGTTACAATCACATAAATTCACCTGGTGCAGCTGATTTATGGAAAGCTGCTCTTGTTGATGGATACTGTGTTTCGTTGTATCGTGACGAAGTTTTCATGTTTCATAAAGAATTCTACACATTCTTCGATTCCTTAAAAGGGTAAAAAACTTGGATAAAAACATTGTTTAATAAATACATAAATACACGACATAATAATAATCATATGATTTATGTAAACTTTGTGCAATCTCGTTTATGACTTTAGCCAAAGCAAGAGAGCCAAAGAAATCCAAGATTGTGGCTCTCAAGCTCTCGCCAACAGGTATTTGTAAAATACGAAATTTTACAGATGAAAATTTACGAATTTTTCTTACAAAACATTTTAAAACTTAAAAAATTGGAGAAAGACTATTCTCTTGTCCAAGGGTTAGAGCTTCAAAAATTGGTAGTCTAAATCAGTCAATTCAACTAAAAATTATTTAAGGAAAATTCACAGGCAACGATTAAAAAAATAATAGACCCAAAAAAGCGTAATTATTAAAAACTTGGTATGTTTGTGGATTCAAACCATTCACTCTAAAAACGTTGTATGTATTGTTATAGTGCGGCTGTTCATCGCGAACGACGGCATTACTTGCGAGCAGCGATGCAAGAACTTTCTCATATCTTGGTGGATGTGCCTGGTTTGCTAGGACCCAAGGTAATATTGGTATACTCTCAAAATGCATCGCTTGAAAATTAAAAACAAGTTTAAATTTGGGTTAACCAAATTTTTAAAAGCTTTCGTTTCTCAAAGGTTAAATCGCACTTTTCTTATGTTAAATTTCAAATGTGTTTATAGGCAATGGTCATTATTCAGGCTCTGTCAATGGCTTCTGATGAGATTCATTGGCTTATTCGACACAAAGAACACAATCCTCCAAAAGGGAAAAAAAATCCCGAAGAATATGTTGACGTGTTAGTCACACATAAATTTACTTTAATTTCAACTGTATGAAAAAAGGACTTCTTTTTACGTTTATATTACACGGCTTTGCAATTGCCCTTTGATTTCGTTGATGCACGAGGAATATTTTCTAAAACGTTTATATAAAATTCGCCTTCAAAGTAATCGTTTCTGAAATGCAAGCTGTTTGATTCTCGATGATCAATGAAGGGTGGCAACTATGAACTTCATTCAGATAATTTTAACGGAACTTTATCTTTTTCCAGGAGACTATCGCATATGTTGTTCTTAGTTGAGGAACTATACGGTAATTTTACCATATAAATAATACATTTTGATACGTTTTTTCAGGGGTTTCACAAAGTTTCATAACCTTAACCTTCATCTACTTAGACAAACATTTCATTTTATTAAAAATGTTTATAGCAATGATGTTGAAATATAGCTCAGTACTACAACGTTACTATGTACAATATATGTGTGGTTTTGACAGCAGTTTGTTAAAAGAAATAGTTCAGGTATGGCTGCATGAATCCAAACTTTTTTTCCTGTTTTCTTCATTGTTACATTCATTAAATTTTACCCAATAGAAAATTACCATTGTTCCAGAAGATATATCCTTGTTAATGACGTCATTCAGCGATACTTTGTCAAGCATAAATGTGAAACAAGGTATTTTGAATGTAATCAAGAGTGATCTGAAGTTAGAACTTGATCCCTTGTGTACTCCAGTCTAATGTACTCTTCAGAGTTTATAATATGCTTCAATCTTCAGCCAAACACGGAAGTTGTGTACAAATGACGACAACAAAATAATAAATTTAAAATTATTTTTCAGTTGAAAGTAATAAAGAATTCGATTTTGATGGTTTACGTTTGGATTGGATCAGAATGCAGGTGGAGCTTAAACTTTATCAAACAACAATTAAGTAGATGAAAAACCTTGAAAATTCCGCTTTCATTCAGGCATACACAAGCGTTCGTGGCTCAGCTCGGAGATCAAAATATTCGAGACATGGCCATTTTAATGAATTCTGTCTCCTTTCACTCCAAATTAGTGGATAATCAAGAAGGTCTTTTGAGCGAAGTTGCTGATCTCACATTCTTTTTAGAATTTAGACAAGTGTTTCGTTTTATTTTCACATCAAAATAATCATGGCTAGGGCTTTCAAAATTATGTTGTTTTTAACCGAACTATCCTTCTCATTTGAAATGAATAATGTATCATCATCCTCTGACCATAATCCTTATGATATTGATTGTTTACTATAGTTTTTATCCGTCGAGTCTTGAGGAAGCCTTTCATCAATGTCTGTCATGTTTGGGTCAACAGAAATTTGCCATTGCATACCCATTGGTGTGCAGCCATTTTCTGTCTGCAACAAATGAATTTTGTCCTGAAGAGGTAGAAATGAAACTTCAAATTTCAAGACCGATGAAATTTTGAATTCTGTTAAAACAACGCATCCATTTAGTACCTTCGAACCAGATCTTTTATCTTAGTAACTTTCCAGTATTTTTTTACGTGCATCTTTTATAACTTTATCTCCTCCTGTATCTTTGCAATAATGTAGAGACATTTGATTGGCGAGAAAAGCCTTTCTGCTGTAAACGTCTTCTTGGATACAATGGCTAAGCATACCAAAGAAATTGTTCAGCACTATTGTAAAGAACATCGTAAACTACATCAACAGGTAAACACAGCCAGCAATGTCAAATAGTCTGAACGTTGCAAACAATTTGCATGTAAAAGCTAAATTTATTTAATTTTCGGTAAGTCCTAATAAAATTATTAATTTCTTATGGCGCTAGCTGGACCCATTAAATGCACTTCATTTCCTGGTCGACGCGGCAACGAAAAAGAAGAAAGATCGAAACAAGAAAAACATTCAACCAGACATATCTCTACCTGGTGAAGAGAGTGTGAGAAAGACGCGAGAAAATCTTACACAGTTTGTATCCAAGCATCCATTGTAGCATCAGATTGTTTTAGAAGGAAATGAGTGCGATGGAAATCAGCGTCTTTATCAGCTCAGCTGTATTTATATTTTTAGACTAGATGCAAAACTTCTGGCTTTGGCAGATCTTTCGATTTCGCTTAACTACGTTCCTCATATTCATGTTTGGGAACACAGCTTTGCACCAAAAGAATTTCTTGCTGTTCACCTTGAGGATTTCTTTAGCAAGTAAGATGAGTATTGAATGAGTTATAACTCTAACACATAATGCTTCTTTAGTTCACAACATTTATACGTCAATGTGTAATATTTCTCTTCCTCATAACTCGTTCAACTTTTTATATTTTAGATCTGTTGTTCGACTGGCAGGATATGACAACGAAAAGCAAGAAATCAGCCGTCCTTCTGAATTACTTAAAATGTTAAGGTTTTGTAGGGCTTAATTTGTATTTCAAAGATATTAAACTTTTCATGCCACATTTTGAATTTTGTTGTGCGTTTATCTGATATTTACAAATTTTGAAGAATATTCACTTTATAAATTCCCTAGAGCTACAAATATAGTGGTATTTCTATGATTTTTCTGTGAATTTTCTGAGACAATTTTTGGTTCTGCCTTCAGGTGCTGATGGACGTATTAAGATGTGTTGAAAACTATGGTAAGACTGCATAAAAACTCAATAAATCATGTAAATCGAATATCCTGGTTAAACGTCCTTGTTAAATAAGTGCAAATTTAAGATACAAGTAGTATTTAACCCTTGCCAAAAGTTTCATATAAAAAAAACATGCAAAATATACAAGCACATCCCAACAATATTCGTGCAGCTATAAGTAAATCTAAATATTTTTAGCTTTGCGTTCAACTGCTGTTTGCAGAGCTTGTGCAGGTCCATGTTTTGTGAAGATTGTTACTTGCAGAATTTCCTTTTTTATGGCTTTATTTTGTAGCAAATGTTGACATGTCAAGGATTTGCAATCATGCAATGTTACAACAAACGCAACCAGTTGATAGCCATGGTGGTATAACTATATGTGGCTTGTATACACAATGGTAATTTTTTGTTTAAGACATGAATGATCATGCAACGTTTATACATCCTATATAAAAACCGTGAAGACGGAAGTCTCTCAGCAATTGAAACATGCTCCAAGATGACCTTTTCTCTGCTAACTTCAATCATGTTTTTTTTCTATTATCATACAGGTACGTTGATACACTTCTACGTCAAGTTATGAGTGGAAATATGTTGTTCTCTCCCAACAGAAGATCATTTATCACAAAAACAGCAAATGCAAATTTTAAGGCAGATGAATTCACTGATCCAGTTGGTAAGAAACGCTGCCAACTATGATAAGAACTACACAAAATCACAAGAATTGATTTCGTATTTTCAATGCTTAATTGCAGAGCTTCGTGCATTAGCGACCCTCCTCGGTCCTTACGGTATGAAGTATCTTGGTGATCGAATGCTTCACCAAATTTCCAGCCAAATGGGAGAAGTTAAGGTAGAAATGACAGTTTTAACACATGCCTCCACCAAATATGTCACGATTCACTTTACTGTAATATTATATTTACACAGAAATTAGTAAAGAACAACAAAGATGTCTTGGAGAGCTTGAGAAGTTCTTTTGACAAACATGAACAGAGTTTGGAACTTGTGAGACGATTGAGAAGTACGAAAATTGAAGATTTTCAATAAAAAGACAACGTGTATTTTAAATTCGATATCAAATGAATGAAACCAGTTACAGACAGTTAAGGCTTCAATATATTTAATTTTCGACTGAACTCAAGTTATAACATCATCCGTTCTAAGATGGCACTTGACTGAAGTATTTAAGAATTTAAATTTCAACATCAAATCCCTCCTAACAAAATCATTACATTGGAGAATGTAAGAATATAAGATTGAATACTAGATCACCACTTACGAAGACACTAGATTGGAGTATATAAGAACTCAAGTTTCAACAGCACATTACTCCTATTGAAGCAATAAATTCTAAATGAAACTATTTGAAAATACTTTTCTAAAACATTGAGTTCAAGATGCACCTTTTCTTTGCACTATGTTTTCCTTTATACGTAAGTATAAAGATTCTGTGATATCCAATCACAATCACATTTTCTTTTCTCCAGATACAGACGATGTAATTATTCGCATGACGATCGTTGGCGTGATTTTGGCTTTTCGTGAACTTGCTCAAGAAGCATTACGAGAGGTAAAACTCTTTATCCAATACTTCATGTTCAACCTTTATTTTTTTTACATGTTGGACTCACTAATTTCTAGATTCTGGAGAAACGCGTTCCATTTCTTGTTTGTTATGTGAAAGATTTTCAAGAGCATTTTCCAAAGAATGATGGAAATCGTCCAGTAAGTTATACAACAAAGTTTTCAAGACAAATCCATTTCTCTGACCAGGTTACATTGTTTATCAATACAATGAAAATAAAACAAATCTCATTGATATTGCTTCACTGATGAAATACAAATCAAATATTGAATGTTCTTTATGTCTCTTGGTTTTTTCTCTCTCCGCTGTTGAACTTCTTTATGAAGTATGTATAAAATTATCCCTGTGTGTTCCTCATCGTACATATGTCTCCTATTGCCACATAAGGCTGTTGGTTGGCTGACAATTTCAGGAAAAAAGTCCAACCACTGTTCTTTATTGGATGGTGTTAGTGGCAATATGAATAATTATAACAATTTGATTAAGTACATCCTCAAAGGATATCAACTTTTAAACTAAAATCCAAGAACATCATTCTCTATTTGTTGCACTTTGTTAGTCTTTTCAAGAATGAATTAAATTTTCTCAAATTGTTTCAGAGTGTCGATGATGCGGCGATTTCATGTGGATTTACATGTGATGTTGATCGTGCTCTTGGTTCGGTTTTAAAACAACATAAAGGTTCAAAGCAACTTTACAAAACAATCAATTTTTTTTATCTGATATTATTCAAGATGGAAAGTGAACTGTAATGTCGTTTTTACTTTCATAGAAAAGAAAAACGAAGAAGATGTTCAAGTGTGGTCCTTGTTATTGGTAAGCATAAACGTTTACGGAAGTTGTAAAAATTCCTGTTTTTGGTAGTTTTATGAGTGTAATATAAGACAATTTTTTGGTGGGCGTCATACATGGATTTTGCACAACACATTTAACAAAAAGAACAACATATGTAAATTAGGGTAAGGAGACTCTTCTTATTCAAACAAACTTATGACTTTAAAAGAACCCGCAGTCTCGCATTGCAGTTTGTTATTTTCGTTATGAAAAAATACTGCAAACAACTCAAAATAATGTTGCAATAATTTTGAGATCAAAAGTAGTGACATACCTTCATTGTTTATATAGGTGTTCCTCGGTGTATGTATACCACTGCAAGCCAGCAAAGATGAATGTGATTATAATTCCAATCTAGAAGGTACAAAAAATTCTTAATTTAAAGATTTTTAATGATGCATTCAACAAAGTTTGATATTGAGAATATGGAAAATATGACGTAAGAAACGGTGTATTGCCTTTTTTAGCCCACGAAAACAACTTTCATTGCTTGGCTAAAGCAATTGATCGCATATCTGTTGCGCTGTGCGCAAACAATGGTGATAATATTGAAGTTAGATTAAGGGAATTCCTTGTGGTAAGTTTTAATTTTTCTTTTCATAACTCATGCACAATGTGCTGATGTCACAATAAATAGAGACTGTAACTGAGAGTTTGAACATTTTTTTATGATTTTAAATTTAGATCACATCATCGAGTTTACTTAAACTTGGACTTGAAAGTGAGAAAGACATGCCAAAGAATCGAGAATCAGTCTATTTGCTGCTTGATATGGCAAGTTTGCAGCATTTTTGATAAATAGAGTGCTTATTTGATTTGTATCCAATCGTACATTTTCTGACATGCGTAGATCGTTCAAGAATCATCTTTCCTCACAATGGACATTTTGGAATCCTGTTTTCCATACAGCTTATTACGGAATGCATATCATCAAGTTTACAAGGTATATCATAATGCAACAGAAAAGCAGAATGCAAGAAATTAAAACTTGTAAAATCACGCTCAGGCAGAATTATTCAAGATTTTGGCAGTTTAGCTGAAGAATTACTATACAACTGGGGATCGGGCAAAAGCTGTTCATTTTCTATAGTAATTACCACAAACAAGAAACTTTACCCTACTTATAAAAATTTCCTGGGAAAATTCACTCATTTGTCTCATCTTTTCAGAGATAACACTCATAGTTTATTTTTATTTAAGAAACGCATTGGAAAGAAAGCGAGATCAGTAGTCACAACTGTTGATGACTCTAGTGTACTATAAAGACCACTGTGATCCTATGAAGACACTTGTATTATGAAGTGGCTTCTCACACGACAACATTATTTTGTTATCTTTGTTTATGATTTATATACTGAAGCATTAATTTTGTAAGCACATATGCTGGTCTGGAAGATATATTTTCCGTTACTCAAGTATATAAGCAAGTTTTCTATGAATTAATTATGTATTGAATTTGAAATAATAAAAACGTACGAATGCGCAAGATCTTGTGTCATTTTACACCCATTTTAATGACACCTTAATTTAGTTACATACAATCATATTATCAGTCGGACAGTATCGTCGTAAAATGTTCGGAAATGATCGGATTATTCATATGACGTTTGAGATGGCGTAAACCGGTGTTGTAAACGTGTGGTTTTAGTTATATAAAACAAACAAAGGCCGTTTTGGTTGAATAAAATCACCAAAAAAGACAGGAAGAATTTAATATAAATACAGTAAATACTTTTATTCGTGTACCATATTGTGGATTGTAAACATTGAGTACAGTCACACACGCGAAACCGTTAGTTGGCCGTTACCAATTGACAGTTTTTGTTTTTGAAAAGCAAGTTTACAATGAAACGACAAACAGTATTTGTCTGTTTGTTATGCTGTGTTTTTCTTCATATATCACGTAAGTAGTAAAGTTAAACAGTGCATCTGTTTTTGCAAAACGATTCACCAGTTTTTCATTCATTCATGTTTGATATTATGTCCTTATAGTTGGCATGAAAAGCAGTAATGAAAAACCTCAGTTCGACAAAGGTACGAAAGTCATTTCCGAAAAAAAACCCATATATTTGTACATTGCAAGGTTAAAAATTTTCATTCCTCTTTTTCCTTTGTTTTCAGCCAAACTTTTGAGAAAGTTTAAGAGGTATAACAACAAGCTTTTACTTCATGTTGGCAACAATTAAATTGGATTTTTTTAGTTTGCCTTTTTGTTTACAAATCTCTGAACGTTTGTGTATTAATAAACAAATCAGTTGCACTGTGATTTTAACTCTGATTGTTGACAATAGACTTAGAATTTCATTGGATGTGATGAAGAAAATTGAAAATAAAGACAGCCATGCATTTGAACAAATAACCGAAAACGATTTTAAAAAACTGACTCCTGATATAATTGCTGCAGCTGGGGTAAGACAACATTTTCAACATGCAATGGTAGAATATCACGTTTTTAAAATCTTTTCTTTGACAAATTCACACATTTATCGATCTGTCACTTTATGAATCGTTAAGCAGTTTAAAATTAATGAATCGTTAAGCAGTTTAACACTGAATTAACATTTTGGATTAGAATTGTTTATTACAAAGCATTTGTTTAATGTTAACGACAATTTTATAACGAAACAAATCTTAAAAAAAACAACTGCAATTTTCTATATCAAAAGTCCCTAATCCAATCATATTTTTTCTATTTAAAAAAGGCGAACGCGATAAGAAATCTCAGCTTAAAGAAGATTGTCTTGATGATAGAGAAACTGTTCCAAGGAAACGAGAAAAGTCTTATGATAATATTAGGTGCATTGACACGACAACAACTTGATACAGTAATAACAAAGATATCGGTACGTACAGGACTTCTGAAAAAATAAACCTAACGCCATTCTCTTGACAGACGCGTGAAATATAATGATATGGAAAAAAATATTCTTCGCAAATTCATGGAGAGTGTGACCGAAGATTGTTCAATAACACATTTTGAATTTTGCAATCTAGACTTAACTCTAATGCATGAGAAAATATTCGGGAAAATAGGAAGTAGAAGATCTCTATGAAAATCTCAGATAAGCTATTTTTATTTCTTATGAAGGAAATGGTGAACAAAAGTGGTGAATTTTTTCGTTTTAACTGCGTGCAATTGGAACCACTAATGATGGCAATGAAGAAGGTTTACGGAAGACCACAGACATGGAATAAAGAGTTGCTTGGGAAAATGGGCAAAGAATTTGTTCAATGTCTTTCTCCCGACGATCTCAAGGATGCGGCAAAAAATAAAGACGTCTACAGATCATTGTATGTTGAATTTTTGTAAAAAAACTAACCTTGATGTTGTCAGACCAATGATAATGAAGACACTAGATTGTATTGCATAAGAATGACTTGCGTTTTAATGTCAAGTCACTTGTAACAAAGAATGTCACTATACTGGAACATATACGAAGTCAGTTTTTTTATTTTGTGATTGGAATGGCTATATAACTAAGTTTTAAAATCCAGTCACTCTTATGAAAACTGATAAAGACAAAAGCACAGTTTAAATTGCTCTTGCAAAGACTTGTCTTCATAAAACAAAACAGGCTGAATAACATGAACAAGAAAAAACGAGATGACCGCAAAACATCGTCATTTAAGAAGAAATCAATGCTGAAAGCTGCAAAGTTAGCATTTGGAGACATCGCCAGCTGGAAGAGTGAAGATTTGAAAAGCGCACGATCTTTGTTGACATTTTTACAACCGAAAGACTTAAAGAAACTCAACACAGGAATGGTAAAAAATATTATTTTTACTCTAACAGCATCAACATTACACAACTTGGTACTTTCCGTTTTTTACCTTTCAAGATCAAGCAAGCGTTAGAAGACTTGGGTAAAGAGCAATGGGACGAGAAGCGGGGAAAAGAACTTTTGAATAAATTGAAAAGTTCCACAAGTGGATATGGTGCGTTAAAAAAATGGACTGCTAATACGGTGAAGAAGTAAGCATTGACAACATACTGCTAACGACAACTAAAACAACCATTGCAAAATATCGACTCCCATCTTACAATATCTATTAAAATGTGAGCCACTGAAAACAACCCAAACTATATTGTAATTTATGGATAAAACGCCATACACAATTAAATTTTTTTTTCATTTCAGACTAGGTAATTTACGAGCATCTTTATCGATAAAAGAACTCGATGAGCTTTCTAATGATACACTACGAAATTCCATCAAAGAATTTGGTCAAACTTTGCTTCCTCCATACAAGGTAACTGTCTACACAAGAAAACTTTGGATCTTACATAATTACACGCCAAATGTATACTGTTATACATGTTACAATTCTATTTTTCCCCTTGTTTCTTAACACAAAACCTCCGCGCTATATTGAAGTTTACCAATACATTCTGACCTAAAATCATTCTCTTCGTGAAATAAATATTTCACACAAACCTACAATGTGGCAATTAAATTTCAGAAACGGGCACTAGGTAAAGAGTAAAGAAGCTTTACGGTCATCCACGACAGTGGACCGAGAAGCAAATTAAAATGCCAGTGGTTTATTGGCAGGCATAGAAAGTGCAGGACTCAATGACATCAATAATGATGCTTTAATTAAAGCACTACCCGAAATAAAAGATGTTGATTTTCCGTCACATAAAGGACGAATATTGGCAAAGAAGTTGCAACAAAAAATGGGAGATGCTAATCAATGGAACGTGAGGTTAGTCGTTCCAACAAGAATGAAACTGAATCTCTCTTTTCGTAAAGAAATTCTTCGTGAATCAATTTTCTGAAACTTTCTTACACCAAAAAATGAGTGTCAACTTTGCGAGGAAAACAAATTCAGTTAAATGATATGATTACTTCACTCAAAACTGCAACACAAGTGTGAATGGACTTGTTGGCAGAGGGGGTGGGGTGGGTACGAAATCTGTTTAATTACAATGGCTAGCTTTTAATATCCTATTATTTTGACAGCATCGTAAAACAAATGGGTGGACTCGTAAGAGATCTGCCATCGTCAACATTAGAAAAATTGAATTCACGTCAAGCAGAAGAAGCCATTTTGGTCTTAAGAACTAAACATAATATACCGAGGTCAAAGAAGCGCTTACTTGCAGAAAAGGTTAGAATCGTGTTTAAATGGTTTTGTTTCAAACTTCCTCAAGCTGATATTTTGTATTCGTGGTGTTTTTAAATCCTTCATAAATTTTGGTGTTGGGGTTTTGCTACGGTTTATCGTTTTCTATACATTCGTTGCTTTTCCTACGTTAGATTACTGTAGGAGTAATGAGTGGTGGACTTTTTTAACACGTGTTCTACAACTTTCGATATAGCTGATGAAAAGCAATAACTCAAGAATCTCTTACAAGGACCTCGGTGAAATTGTCACGGAAATTCCAATTCGTAAACTACATAACATAAAAAATATAACCGATATAATACCTGGTGATGAGTTCTTCGAGAATTCCACTATTGATGATAACAATACAGACACAGTCCAACCAAGTTGGCAGGCCGTGCAGGCTAGAGCTATTCTTGGCAAAATCATTATGAAAACAGAGAACTGGGGACCAGTGTCTGAGACATCCGAAAACTGGGAACTGAAAAACATAAAGTATGATTTTGAGACTTCATCATAAATATTAATTTCATTCCTGTCATTTTGCTATCATTTCAGAAGGTTAAAACGCTTGGTTTTGGGGTTGAAACGGACTGACATCGATAAACTAAACATCGACTCGTTCACAGATTTTACTTCTGAATTCAGTCAGATTTTTGACTGGACGCTGGGCCAGGTAAGTTGACCATTATTTTTGTAAGCTCCAAACAAACGTAACGTGCAATCTGCTGTTGAAATAAGACTCTTAAAATACAATTTTGTGTGTTCTTTATAATTAATCTGACTTAAATATGGAGTTCTTATACACTCCAGTGAAGGGACTTCCTCCATTAACAACAACTTACATTAAATCTACTGACTTTATCAGCAGTAATGTGACAAATTTTACTTTTTAAATCAAGGCTGAAACGATAGCAAAAAGACTTATTAAAGCTTACGAATCTCGTGATTCAGAGATGACTGTGACAGATATGGCCTCACTTGGGGATTTTCTTATCAATGTATTTGAAAAGATATACGACAGCACTCCCCTGGAGACAGCAAAGGAGGCCGTACAAATAGTCGGAAGTAGTCGACTCCTACCCAGATTAACGAAGTCTGCGCAAAAAACAAAGGCAGAACTTGCTCTTAAAATTTTGGTAATAGAAAAAGTTCAAATGTTTTTGTAATGTCTTGAGAAGCTGATGAAATAACCAACACTTGTATATTACATGAAGGGAAAACAACCTTCCACGATGACCAGTGAAGACTTACAAGAGATTGGTTATTTGATGGGAGGACTTACTTCTGAACAAATCTCGGAGATTGCATCTGAAGCCTTTCGTGAGGCTATGACTGCATTGGGTGACCTAGATAAACTTGATAGTAACACGACAATTGCTTTGGCATCCAAAACACTCGCAGTTTACGGGTAAATACTCAATAATTTATAAAACAAAATTTTAATGTATCAAAAATATTAAAATATTATGATGCTGGCAATGAATTTGTAAATGCGCAAATTTCCAAAATCTTTTACAAAAACATCAATTGCGATTTCTCGAGCATCAAGCCAATATTTGCTATTGGTTCCCATATAATGTCAACAGATATGATTGGCCTTAAAAATATGAAACTCTGAACAGCGGGTGAAAAATTCAGTATTCTTCTGCACGTGGATAACGTCAGTCATCCACCAATAATACATAACAACCTTATACGTTTGAATTAATATGATGCCTGACTAAAATCTATCAACAGTTTCAACGTACAGTAGTATGGATGATCCAAAAACTGAGTTTATTAATTTTCATATTGGAATGTTTTTTTTTATACTCTTATCTAATTCTCACTCAAGCTTTGATATCACCATTTTTAGCGGTGCGTCATCTCTCACTGACGATGTGCTTTATTACATGGGACATATCGTTAAAGGTTTAAGCAGCGCTGATATTGCAAACATTCCAAGCAGTGTGCTCCAAAATAATTTGCACGTGTTTGCCGAATCATCTTTGAGTGTTGATCAAGCTTTAGCTGTGGCTCAGAAAGTTGCAGGCGCAAAGCGAAAACGACGTTCTTTAGGTAAGTATACTGGAGTTAGTCAGCTGTTAACATTTGCTAGGGGCTAAGTTACACTTAAATATATAAAATCATATCACTGGTGATCAAGATAAAATACTGCAGTACACAACGAACCGAGTTAAGAAAACACCTGACAGAAGTGTAATATAAAGATATTCGGCATCAAGTCACTTATGATGAAGTAACTATGCTGCGTAAAAATTCTAGGTTCAACAACATATAACTTCTATTGTTTATAGCACATTGTTTACCTTTATGTACAGATGTGTCATCAAAGACAGCAGCAGAGCTTATTGCCATGGGAGCCACGTTGCTAGCGATAGCTCCAGATCAAATTGCGATGATCAGCAGCGCAATATTCTTGGACGCTGTAGCTGAAATAAGTCGGATACAAGGATTTAGTATGGCTCAATTACAAGCATGGGCTGCCAAAGCAACTTCGGTAAATTGAAATGATAAAGATTCGCAACTTCAAATTTTTTACACGTTATCAATTTTTTACACGTTTTTTACATATTATCGCTACACACATACATGCACGTTTCAGGCTATGGGAGCGCCAGCACAAATGATCGAAGATCACTTGCTAGTGCTAAATGAATTTGCAAAAGGTTTTACGGCAGATGAACTGGGACAAATATCTTTCACATCAAATGAAGTAATAGAAAGTTTTGGCAGAGTACGTGGTTATGACTCAACACAAATCAATAAAATGTGGAAGGCAGTAAAAGGTGGAAGATCCATGTCTTCATTCAATGGTACTGATCTCGCTGTATTGGGAGTGATAGCATACGGAATGACAACAGCTGAACTTTCAACTGTGGAGCTTACGGCTTATCAGTACGTATGTTGACTTTTCTCATCGCTTCAACTCTCAGAAAAACCCAAAATCTTTCATTTGTTAGTTCGACAAATTAAGCTACTCAATTACATTTGACTTTTTAAGAGACGCAGCTTTAGAACTGGGTCGGCTTGACAAGTGGTCATTAGAGAAGTTGTTAATCTTAAAGGAGAAAGCAATTCAGTCATTTGGCACAGTTCGTACATGGACACCAGCTGAGATGAGTGTAGTAGGGAGTGTTATAGGTACTGCGTTGGACCAAATGTTGAAACCTAAACCCTACCAAATATACATACAAGTTTATGTCGATTTCTTCATTGTTATCTTTCCTTAGGTTCCTTCAATGCACTCGAAATTAAGAATATTTCAAAAGATCAATTAGATGCAATTGCAGCAAGTCATATCAAATTGATTCCACCCAATGTTTTCAAGGAGTTTTCTACATCACAATTACAGTACTTTAATGCAGAACAGATAGCCGCAATAACAATGGAACAAAAAGCAGCATTGTCGACATCACAGAGAAATATCATCACGGAAACTGAAGACGAAGAAGAAAAAACGAATTCTGGTAAGTGGCCACGTTCAATTCAAAAACTTAAAGTTAATGTAAATACAACGTATATTGTGTCTAACCATTTTGGTTTTTTTCTAATTAAGGTTGCAATGGGTTACTTGGAATTTCACTTACATTTCCGACTCTCATTCATGAACTGTTTTTTCAAAGAGTGTAATCACACGAAATTATTGTTCATTATTTTCACACATAATTCTCTTTATAAAGCTGTTTGAATTTACTGTTTACATTTTCGAAATAAATCGTAATATTAATTGGATGTACTTTGTCAATTAAACTGCCAAAGCTGCGCCTCTCTCATACTATCATCGACTTACGTACAAATTATTTTATTCGTAATTGTTGAGAAAAATATGGTCACCATTATTACAAGTCAACTAGCCATGCCCAGAATACATTGTAATATGCTTTTCTAATAGTTCATTCAAAGTTTATGTGAAAGTAAATGAAAAAAGTAATATTGAGCACATATGTGTGGTTAAGACGATGATATCTCACGATTGGTGTGATATTAAAATTGTCTAACGACTTATGTTGTTCGTCTAACATTTATAAGGAATGATAATATCTATCTTAACGCAGTTCAACGATACATCATATCTTTCTAAACATCGTCTAACGATTGATGATATCTGTCTCTAAATTGTCTCACGATTGTAAAAAAATGTAAATCTCATGATTTTAGCTCATAAGTGAAGTTACTTTATTATTGAATTTATAACAAAGAAATACCGAACTCACTTTTTATGCATAAATTTAGAGCATCGCTTGATTATACGCAGGCATTGCGTACCTACTTTGATTAGTTAATTGAAGACTATTGAAGAAACATGAGGGTGATATCAGCCGGATAAATGTGCTCCGGTAAGTACGCTGATATATTGAAATAGTACAGAACTATTGTTTATAACATAAAATCTTATAACTATAAATGACCAGTTATAGCTTGCAAAGGGATTAATATATGCCCATAAACAACTATTCAATGAGAACCAAACACGTAAAATATTAATTCTATTAAAATATACGTTAGTGAACATTATGTTTACATAATGTATAAATAATGTAGTTCTTCATACTAGTGCATAAGTTATTGGATACAAGAATCTGATATGAAACATATAATAAGGTGAAACTACATTTCCTGTATTTAGTTTACAACATACCATAAATATAACTTGCATTATAAAAAAAACAAAAAAAAAGAGAGGATAATACATTTAAAAAGTTTCCTTATTTCTATCTTTCAATAACACTGTACAGAAGATTGTTGTGTGTACACAATGTCCAAAGTAGAAATTTACTTTACATGAAAAGCGTGGGCTACTCATAGACATCACGTTCGTTTTGCCTTAATGCACGTTCATATAACTTGTAAACAAATACTTTCTCGAAAAAGTATAGATTATACAATTGAACTAAGGATGATCAGAGGAAATGTCTGTTAACATGTAAAAAAAGAGTGTTGAACGATAATATTGCCACAGTTTGATTTAACAAATACAGAGTTTACAACGTTGCATAACAAACGAGTTGGAGCAAATTGAATGCGGACGTGACCAAAAAAAACCCTGTCGCTATAGTAATCGGAGACCATTGTCTAACATTGCCGCTTCAGCCAATAGTTATGCTTAAGAAATATTTGGCCGATCTCACTATTCTTGAAAACCTTTAAGGTAACATGGGGAAGTTTTACGTTTCCAGACAAATGTGAACGCCTGACATCCTCTCAGCTCGTCGTTTGTGTTGTAAAACGGTAAGGAAACATTTGTATATTTGTACAAAGGTAACGAACCGCAGACTCTAAATATAACTAGTGTATAAGTAGCTTTTACAGCATGTCTATATGTCTATATCTATATTATTAACTAATATGATAGTAAAAACATGGATAACTAACTGCAAAGTAGTGTGAAACATTTATAGAGTTTCACAGTTTAATGTGTTAAATCATTTTGGTGTTTGGTGTGTGCAACTAAATTTATGTACAAATTATTCATTTTTTCCCGTTGCACGTCAAAAGTTAATAAATAAAATCCACAGGATTCTCAACTTCTAATATAAATATTGCTTCAATGAAGTGTAAATTTCTGCATCCTTTAAAAGCAATTGTGTTTTTCTAATCTATTATACCTCACGTTATATAAGATTTAAAATAATATATGTATAACGAAATGGCAATTATTGGCGTTAAAAAACAGCTTGAAATAAGTTCTTACGCCTCTTTTTTATGTGGAGAGAAGTTTACAAATCAATCAAGATATTTAAGGTGACAACTTGTATTAATGTAAATAAAATCCTTTAAAATTCTTACGTTTTACAATCGTGATGTCATACTTTAATAAAAATATATATCTATATATTTGATGCCATTCACTCGCTTTGTTCATAAAGATTGCAGGAATAAATCTTTCAAAACACACAATATTTTATTGCATATAATTCCGACAGGCAAGCAAATTGTCCATTCAAGGTGTGAGTTAAATTCATTTAAACCAAGTGAAGCTGTATTATTAAGCGCTCATTCGTTCAAACTAAGGTCGTCGGAGGTCATGATGATCTCAATCAACGCACATATTTTTCTCAGCATCAATGCATCCAAGAAAAGACAAACTCCGATGAATTCATAACAAAGTCGCCATATCACGATATCCAATTTACAAGCAACTGTTTCTCTTCTTCAACAAGAACAATCTTGCTAGTTGTACTCCGAAATTTCCTCTACCAATGCAAGTAGCTCAATACGATCTTCAAATGTTACAAATTCAATCTCTGAATTTTCGAACTTAAAGTTTCATACTTCTACTTCTTTGACTTCATATTATTCGCTATACTTCAGACAACAAGGTTTGACAAACTTTGTGATAATTGGTATCATCACTTTCAAAAAGCGAAATCGTGATATAATTTTGGCGAGATTGAAATCGACAATGGCCATTTGAATATTATTCTCGACGTTTTTTCAATACTATGTAATACTTAAAAATTGTAAAATGTAAGATCGATTCTGGGAAACGATTTTATGTCATACTGATGTCACCGATGATTATATTTTATGGTCATCTGAACTCACTATCTCGAAAGCGAAAAGCTATAGACATTTTTAAGAGTCTTTGTGACTTATTTCTAATATTCAAATGAGTCTCATGTTCGGAGGAGACGACGGACGACAAAAGGAGATTTTCCAAATACTGAGTGAAAAAAAAGATACTCAATTAAATCTGGAGAAATATCATAATAACAAGCTTTAATTTACTCATTTAATCCTGCTCCCAGCAACATCCACAGGTAGTCTTCAACTACAATGATGGCAGATATTGTTGTCACCCATATTGCAGTTATTAATTTCGTAGTGAAGTATCTTGACTGCCTGCCGCGTTGCTTGATAATTTTTTGCCGTAATTTTTGTATATAATACAATTTAAAGACTTAACGCAGTATCTAGTGAGGAGTTTGTTTAAATAATCACAGTTGCATTAATTTTGGTTATTTTAGATAGACTATTGTAGCTAGGTTAGCAAGACGATACAAATTCCCAATAACTAGTCATGATATTAACAAAGTGACTTTCGTTTACTTCTTAGTCTTCTCGAGAAATCTTCGCCGCGGAGTTTGTCATATTTATACGTGATTATATTTATCATTTTAAGTAAACAGATTGAAACAGAACAAATTCTTACATAACAAAAGGATTTTCTGGCTAATGGCAGGAAATCAAACCTGAATATGAAAGATCTAGCGTCTTATAGTCGGCCGTTGAACATAATAATAAATGTCATCTATTAGCAACTGTGTTAAATAATGATATAAATCATCCAGGGGCCGGTTGCTCGAAGCCTGGATAGCGTTATCAATTGGATAGCAATTTTTTTAAACTTTTATAAAATCTTTAAAAAGTAAAAAATATAAGATTCCAATTGAGCAATCAATAATTGAAATATTGTTTCGAAGATTACGAAATTTCTTTGTCGTAAGAATAATTAAAATACCTTTTTTACAAGTTTGAAATTTTTTGCAATCCAGTGGATAACGGTATCCAAGCTTCGTGCAACCGGCCCCAGACGTTTAACACAGTCGTTAAGATTTGGTGGATTAGACTAGTTGAACAATTTCGCATACCTTTCTATTGGCAATGATTTGGATTTGGTGGATTAGACTAGCTGAACAATTTCGCATACTTTTCTATTGGCAATGATTTGGATTTGGTGGATTAGACTAGCTGAACAATTTCGCATACTTTTCTATTGGCAATGATTTGGATTTGGTGGATTAGACTAGCTGAACAATTTCGCATACCTTTCTATTGGCAATGATTTGGATTTGGTGGATTAGACTAGCTGAACAATTTCGCATACTTTTCTATTGGCAATGATTTGGATTTGGTGGATTAGACTAGCTGAACAATTTCGCATACTTTTCTAATGGCAATGATTTGGATTTGGTGGATTAGACTAGCTTAAAACTTTTGCATACCTTTCGGACTACCTCAGACGTCCTCAAATCATTTCCACATTTTTTTCTTCAAACAGCAAATATACATTTTGCGATTGGGCTAGATTAAAATTAACGTAAATCTAGATTAGTACAACACAACTTTATATTAGTTTTATGAAGTAGTAAAAGAACGAAGAGTTGAAGGAATAGAAGACTTAAACTGAAACTTGGTTGACTAACACGTAACTACATGCCATGCGCGAATTGCACAACACAAAAAAAGGGAGGGTTTTTAACATTGCGCACCATGGAAGTCTCGTTTAAAACAATGAAAAAAAAAAGCATTTAAAGTGGGAATTATTTGATACTTGCTCAAACATGCATTCACTCTTCAGTGTAGACAAAAATGGAGAGACACGAGAGACAGCAAGTTACACTTTCATCCGACATTTGCTCAAGTTACGAAGAAAGATCCAGATGTATGAACACATTATATAATCTCATTTTCCCACATCAAATCTACGAAAACATATCCATGTGGGATGCCGCGACATACAGAAAATATCTGGTAAGGAGTAAAGTGAATTTTTATGAAAGTTTTATGAACTATTCTCAAAAATAGTTTTGAGAGCGTTGAGCAGCTGTCTCTACAAGGCCGAAAAAAGCGTCGTTTCTCGTGCGAACAAACGTAACATAAAGAGTTGTAAAGTTTGAAATTAATTTATATCATTCATGTAGGTGAATCAATCAATCGAATGTATGCAGTTAATGCAAAGTACGAACATACACGTCCAACACCACGATCAGAACAAAACACATCCTTTTTGGCCGCATATCAATACGACTGGGCAATACCCGCCGGGTGATGACCATCAAAACGTCCCTAAGAAGATTGATGTTACGTCAGAGGAACATTGGGAACTAAATCGACGTCGTCCAAGTGTGATACGACGAAGTATGAAAGGAGGAAACAATTGCCTAACAACGAGAGAGGCCATTTTGCAACCACAACTTCAGTATAGTACACAGAAGAATTCTAATATTTCACCTTCGATGTTACCTAGTAAATACGACTCAGAATCCTCAATAATCCCACCAATTATTACCATTCAACTTTATCCCCAGTTCTAAATCAGAAACCCAAGAATACCTAACAATCATCTTCAACATTCAACTTTACCTCTAAGCGCAGAACCTGATATCACAATTAAACCTGAAGCTAACGCTGTAAAATTGAGTGATTCAATGCATGAAAACTTGTATATTCGACAATCTAAACATCGCTTTGAAGCAAGGGGAAATTCAGAAATCATTTTATGCCAAAAAGATAATCTCCTCAACAAAAAATTTGAAAATTCTAACACGACAAAAGGAATGAAGCCAAAGAAAGTAAATCAAACAAAAGACAACAGCAAATACAAATTTCGTTGTTCCTTTTGTAAGAAACGGTTTCAGTGGTTTTCGCATTGGCAGGCTCATGAAAGAATCCACACTGGTCAGCGGCCATACAAGTGCACACAATGCGAGCGCAGTTTTACACGCAACGACGGTCTGCAGGCACACATGGTCATTCACAACACCAAAAAAGAACACAAATGTCCAATGTGTACTAAGGTTTTTGCACGAACATCCATGTTGGACAGACACATTGTGGAACATACAGGAATCATACCATATCAATGTGATGTATGTTCAACTCAATGTTGTGATGCTCAGTCAATTATAGATCATACGTCTATGCATAAGCAACAAGACAGATTCACCTGTCAGTATTGCAAAAGATCATTCTTGAATGTGAGACGTCTAGTTCGCCACATTAGAGGTCATACTGGTAAGAATGAATTTAATTGTTGGTAAAAATGTGATGAAACTTAGTCATATATAACAAGGGTAATACAAGGATTGCAAGTAGAGGTACTTAGATTGTTACCAAGGTAAAATCTTATAATTTTATAACAAGGATTGGATGTAAAGGTAGTGATTAGGCAGGAGAAGTTACAAGTAGACAATGAAAATATAATGTCAAATGTATGGACTGTCAATGATTGCATGACGTATTTGCTCAAGACAACATGAAATAAAATTTCTAAATTTGCCTTGCAGGTGAGAAACCTTTCTCATGTTCTCAATGTGGAATGAAATTCAGCAAGAAAAGTGCTCTACAAATCCACAGCCGAGTTCACACAGGTAGCAAGCCTTTTCCTTGCCCAGAATGTGGAAGATGTTTTTCTATTGCAGGCAATTTACGTAGACATCTTCTAGTACATACTGGTGAAAGACCCTTCTCATGCATGAAATGCCACAAAACATTCAACAGCAAGAGTCACCTGAGTCGACATATGACAACACAACATTAAGAATTTTGTAATTCTGAATTGTAATGAATTTTTTGTACCATTTAAACTAGTCACATTCAAACTATTGTTGGATCTTGAATTAAAATTTAAAAATTCATATAAATTGCCTGATTTATGAACAAGGAATTTTTAATCTCCCATTTAATATTGACTGAATTATTTTCAAACAACCAAGCAATAGAAGACTTGCTTCAAAACATTAAGTAAAATAATAGATGCTATTTCTTTCAACGTACTAAACAGTGTTGACAGATAATACGATAGTACTTGTACAACATATATAATATACGTATTTCTAGAATTCATAGGACACTTGACTTGAACAAGATATTAGCTAGCCTGTAACTAATTTTCATAATAAATCTACACAATTCGTCAAAAAATGAGATAAATTTATCGAATTCAGAAGAGACGAAAACCATTAAATTAGATGCGCCGGACATTTAAAATTTCAATTAAACTACTCACGCGTAGAGATCGACTCAGAGACCAGGAAGATTTCTTTCAGACGGTTCATTTCGTTTAAACTTTACCAATATTTCAAGGCCTTCAGTAAGTGGAAAAGGATGGTCTTTTTCTTGTTGAAATTCCTCGCGAAGGTCGTTCAAAACAAAAATACTAAATAGCAGACAAAATCTTCGCTTCAATATGGCTTCTTTCACGAAAACTAATGATTAATTTCAATGAAATTCATCGTTCAAAATGCCAGAAATTCCGCGCGAAGCATTGACAGAGAACCGTCTGTTTTAAACAACACTTACTTACCGATTCTTTACCGATTGTTGATGTTGAAAAAAACAGCAACTTAAAAAAGAGATAAATATAATATTGCCTCAATGTAGAATACATGGAATATCCAGCTACCGTCGATTAAAGGATCACGATTTTTATCCACTAGTAAACTAAACTTTCTACAAAATGTAATACACCTCTCGCATGTATCCATCTGTCAATTCGAAGGGAAATTTGATAATGATGGACAAATATGTTCATGATAAACAGAAAGCATATACTTCTATTGTTGCTTTTGCAGTCATGAAATTTGAGACTTCACTGAGTGATTAGGCGAATGTTTTCATGAAAATATCTTCATATTTTTTATTTTTCGTTTGCTGGCTATTAGTTTTATTTTAAGGACTCTTAATTTAAACACAAACTCACATGTACTGTAGTGTGAATTTTTCATTGAAAATGATTTGTTGCGTATCAATTTTGACTGTAAACGAAAGCAATAGCGTCTTCTTACGTAAATTTAAAAATATTCACGCATGAAAAATCGGGCATGTTTTTTCTCTCGACATAAATACATACCTGACGAGTTAGCTCACAAAGTTGGAGACGCAAGTCAGAAGCCATACCATTTCATAACTGACGCAAATCCCGCCGACAAAACGTATATATCGAACTCACGTCCAAAAAATATATGATTTTCCTACAGCCAATGACGTAACAAAGACATGAGAGCGAATTATTCAACACTTATTTAATTCCGGTTTTTTAATAGCTTGTACACAACACATAGTACTATTTAGAAATTTTTAATTTATTGAACCTAGTGGCTTTCGCGTGGATCATGAAACCTATGAACAACAAACTTTTCCATGCACTTTTATATAATAAATACACATACTTATCGATGGACTCACAAGTGGTCATAATGATATATTTGACGCAGCAACATAAGTCGGATTCTTACAAACTTAGCGAACACGTCACAAAGACACACGTTTCTCGCAAGTTATATTATTTTGAAGATGTATTTATGGTATTGGCCATCGTGTAAAAATATCAAGATTCCAACGTTTCGTATTGTTACGACAAAGCCATTATTTAATTCAACTTCGTTTTTCATATGGATTGAAAAACGTCTTAGTAAATAATTGCGGGTAAGATTTCTAAAGTATGGTCACGACAACATGTATACATCACGCGAAACTATACAAAAGCGATGTTTGTAATAAAATTTGATTTGCTTGTTTTACACTACACAATTCATGGCGCGTCATATATTGTCAAAATATTATTTTTAAATGAATATAATAAATACAATCATACTTGTAAATTATCGCAGTCAAAAAATCTCGATGGCGAACAAGTTAGCAATTGTGACGTCACATCAAGACAATAAGACAACGTGATGCGTCACAATGAAGCATGAAGGGAACAATGACGACACATGCTACATACTAAAAATATAACGTCAAAAATAATGCGCCATCACCTACGTAAAGATAACTAAGATCTTTTTCAGCTATGTAGACCTGCTAGGATAAACACATGGAGAAGTTAAATGAAATACCTCATCACTTTATGCAAGCTCAAAATGAAAGCAATATCTTTGATCTTCTTTCATATCTATAGACCAATCGTACTATTTCTGTTCTTCTTCCTGTAGTCTGATAAAAATTCACACAGTCAATTTAATAATTATTTAGCAGTATTCAACTAAAATACACAATGCAGTTCCTCCAAAACAATTTCAATTTCTATCTACGTACTTCATACTACAGTTTAAATGAATAGACACATGTCTACCTCGAGATTTGAAGTCATATTACGTCTTTGCTCATGAAGTAAACAGCTTCTTAGCTTTAATTGCCATCTCAAGTTGCTATAACATACGTAGTTACTATTTTATAAATTTTGAAAAACAAAAACAAAACAATTACTTTCACTATATTTACACAAAAAAATAACGAGTACGTACTAAAAAGCATGTGTCGACGTTTATCTACAAGATTATCCAATTGCATGTAATTTTACATGCAATTCTCGTCGGTATTAACATGTGTAGAGTAAATTAGATGAAAAGAGGTTTTTACACAGCATTTCTGAATTAGTTACCGACGGCAAACTATTTTAAAAACAATATATTTTGTGGAGACACAAACAAAATCAAACCTTTCATAGCTTGCCTTCTATTTCTCTCTGTTTCTTTTTCTGCACGAGACACTGTTTCCCAACCATGGGCACTTCTCTTTCCCCACGGACCTTATTTCTTCCCCATGGGCACTCCTTATCCCATGGACACTATGTCTCCACCATGGGCACTTCTCTTTCCCAACGGACCCTATTTCATCCCCATTGGCACTCCTTATCCCATAGACACTACTTCTCCACCATGGGCACTTCTGTCTATGAAAACTGCAAAATGAACAGACACTAAAAATACTTTTTCAGCATATCACTTGCTCGAGCAACGCTAATGAAAACGGTTATATTTTGCAAAGAAGGTTATAAAATAAAATATCATACTAAATCTGGTACGCTTGTTAGCTCAGTAAGCATGTATCTACAATGTTATTTAAACAATATTGCACTAATGCAATCTAACACAATAGAAGTTGACAACACAAAAAATGCTTGTGTAAACAGAACTATACAGCCTTTGTTAAAGCAATTTGAAAAAAGAATTGACCATTTCACATTTCTCACCGATACTTCAACTTTTTTAACAACATTCTCGTTAGACGTTAAAGAGCAAGGGTTAGCAGCAAATCAATACAACAGTGGATAAGTACATAATCCATTGTACAATAATCATTCTAAAATTCTTGCAGAGCTTTAAAAGTTCTTAAAATAGATACGTTCAAATATCAAACAGGCAGCATGCTTATCGTGCGATTTATTCTTTCAATTTTGTTAATCTTTCTTTGCACATATGAATTTTAACCTCACATGGTTAATTAGTTATGAAATTTTCAAAAAACTATAAATATGTTTATGGAACATGGAATAATGACATTTATATCACGAAATAATTATTCTCTTTTCACTATAGCAATCTGTCAACATAATGAAGGCTTCATCAAACAGATGGTGTCATATTTAACAAGAATGAAATTTCACAAATTTTACCATGGAGACGATCATATTTCTGACAATGTCTCTAAGTCTCCTAAGGAATAACGTTAGATATATTCCTACAATTTCATCTTCACGTAAAATAAAGTAAATCAAGGGAAAAAACCTACTGAAAGTCCAACGAACGCCAGAGTTACAATAATACATTATTTAGCAATCTTAAAGATTTGTACGATGTGTTTATTTTAGCAATTTTACTGAATTAGAACGTCAGAGTTACAATAATACATTATTTAGCAATCTTAAAGATTTGTGCGATGTGTTTATTTTAGAAATTTTACTGAATTAGAACGTCAGAGTTACAATAATACATTATTTAGCAATCTTAAAGATTTGTACGATGTGTGTATTTTAGCAATTTTACTGAATTAGAACGTTCATTGTGACTTACAATGCAAAGAAAAAGATCAAGTGAATGTAAACATGCTTCGGACAGCGACATTCAATGTCTTTAAAACAGGAGAACCATGAGTATTACAAACGTTGTAGCATCAACACAGAGCCAAACTGCTTAAGCAACCACGGTCGGAGTTTAATGAGGCATCGCGTTCTACGTTCATATGTTGACAGACAATCAAAATAAGCTGTGTATATATTAATGCTTATAAAATAAAACCAGTATAATATTTAACAAAACTAGGTACACTTAAACGAAAAAGTCGAGCAGAATGATCATTTGCGTGGCAAATGATCTCAAAAACATCTGCCCACATCATCATCATATTAATATGCAAAATATCCGTGTGTTCCTACTTACAACTGGTGACGCGCGTTCTAGATGTCACGACGTCATCAAGTGATGTTTGACGAAATCCTAGAGCCCATACCTCTACGTCTAAAAACTTTCTTGGCTGACAACGGTTGAAGACAACGTCATAGGGTCACGTCGACAAAATCTAAAGAGTAAGAGAGGAAAAAATTGGTGATCATTACAACGTAGGTTGGCAAGGAGAAAACAACGAAGCATAGATAGAGAAGACGCATTAAGCACAACTAAGCAAGTTTGCAAGCATCAATATACAGCACAAAATATTAGAAGAGCATCTGGACTCAACAACCAAAAAGATTGGGAACGTCGTCAGATTAAGTGAGTACTACTTCTATATATAACATCCTCAGCAAGCTGTTTTTTATCGCATGGCAGATTACCCTTTGTCCTTTGCTTACTCTACATAAAGCATACTCGCACTTTAATGATATACTTCATGAGAGCTTTTTGCAAATGGAATTTAATTGTTTTGCTATAAACATATGATTCGATAGTCAGATCGAAATTTATCTTTCAAATGCTGACCAACATGAATTCACTAAAATTATAATATATAAATTAAAACTTTAACCAAAGATTTTACAAAGAAAAGTACTTTTAAATAAATACTGCATTTTTTTATTGAATTGGCATCTTGTGTTGGTGTGATGGCAAAGTGTTTATGACAAAATGATTTGACATTATGATTAGCCAATATATTGTGTGAAGTGATTCGTTCAAAGAAAACGATAGAAATTATTTCACAAGATCAAGTCAGTAGATGTGACGAGCGAATAACACGCCAGTTTGCGGGTTCCTTTTCTTAGTAAGGCGTAGATGTCTTTTCCGTTAAAAAAGCATTATCTAAAACGGCAATCTTTACAGAATAACGATGCTATTTTACAAGGAGTGCAACACAAATAAAAATTATTACGCACGCTAAAGAAGAATATCAAAACTTCGTTAAAATACTTCTTGAGCTAAACACAACAAATAAATAATATGCAATGAAGTAGACACATTTTATACTCTCCAAGTTTTCGTTCATATAAACGAGAGGGATCTTCTACTGAGGAGAGGATGTAAAAATAAATGATCAACTATAAATATGGAGAAGAATGAGATCTTCAGACGTTCACAACGAACAAATTCTGTGAATCTTTATGCACAAGTAAATAAATTGTTAACGACAATTGTTAACCCCTTCACTAATCTTGCTCAAACGAATAATGAAAAAAGAAATACTTATGATATCTAATCAATTTATTTATTCTTCGATTCAAGCATGTAAAAAACTATACATGAAAGGACCGAAGCACAAAGGAGTCTCTTCATTTGAAATATTGTATGCATGCATATAATAATGGTAGAAAAGAGTAAATGATTGTTATTATTATTGCACTGTTGTTCTCACCTGCAAAAAGGCACACAATAAACTAATGTTACTTAATTACTCAAGATAAAAAGCAAAACATCATTAAAACATGGCAGGACTAAGCTGTTCTAAACAGAAACACTTACACCGTAATTCATCCAATCCGGTGATAAGTGTTTCATTGAATCATAATGAATTCAAAAATTCACAAAAAAAGCACTTAATTCACATAAAACAAAACCGCATGCATTAAATGGTTTCTTTTACAATACAACAAACAAGAATTCAAGTTTAGGATTCTTCGTCTCCAAATCTGTTACCAACTTACTTTATTACCTGTTTTTTTTATTTTCTTAGCTATGTATAGAATTTTAGAATGTCTACACTTTTTTTTAGAACTTTAAACAAAAACTAAATATTGTATGCACGTGTTAAAGTCTAAACAATAGGAATACCATATTGTGAGGCTTTACTGGCCTCACCAAGACAAAAGAATATAAACTGCAAAATAACATGTAGGTTAGAGCTGTAAGATCAATCGGTTGCGATAATTACTTATGCGTAACGAAGTATAGCCAAAGATACGCACAACGTATAGTCCTACAAAATAAACCAATCTATAACAACTTTTTGTGCCGCCAAATTAATTGCATATAACCTTTTAAATGTTTCTTAAATTAGCTAATCAATTAATAAAATTTGCAATTTAACACGATTTTCACTCATTAAGAATTACAAAAGCACGCGATTCTTTGTCTTTCGGTATTTGCATGCCAAAAAAAGACAATATATATATATATAAGCTGTTGACTAAAAACCACGCGTGTTGAAGTGCTTTGCGTGTCGTCCTATAAAAAACGTGCATCAACAATAAACTAAAGCTTAACTATTGATAAGCCCAAAGGCACGTTAGCTGGTACCTAATTCTGCAACACATACAACACAAACATGTTAGCAATTAACAAAATCTTTTCAAACAATAACTAAGTTTTTGTTTTTCTTTCATTGTCTTAAAAAGTTGATGATTCACATAAGAATACACACACCAAAGTACATCGTGTGTTCAACTTTACCCAATATTTATTTATAAAGTGAATGGTTTGAGACCAGGTTATAGTGAAGTTCTAGGAAAAACTGCTTGTGCTGATGTTCAATGTTTCAACGTCCTCAGAGCAGTATTTATCTTTAGGGATGAATAAATTTTTAGATCAATGGATATATACAATTGTATAAACTTAATTAAGTTCATATGCAATCTTCGCAAGATCTCAAGTCTCGAAAGTAGAAGTGTTTTTATTGATTAAGAAGTGAGAGGGCTACTCAAAAATGTATTCATTCAATTGAAATTTCAATATTTCTCTTTCATGCTTTTATAGTGGTGATTTTTAATTCTTTTTTAGCATCAAATGATATTAATTGAAGATAACTATTCAATAACAATATTCTTAAATAGAATAAGACAAATCTAAAGCAAAATAAAATCAGTTGTAAATAATGTTAACAGAATCTTTCTAAGGAACACCTTATAAGAAAAAGAACAATACTGTCTTAAGTGATCATATAAAGTTTTATTTAAACACATAACTGAAATGTAGGTTTTATAAATCTAAAACCAAATGGTCTTTACTGAGCAATGCATATTCTTGACTTAGTTATATTATATACATATAATGTTTCATTCCATAAAGACACAATCTGTTTAACATTTGTACATTTGCAATGTCAAAGAAAAGTCTTTTGATTGTCGCACTTATCCTTTCGTTGGTTAAGTTTTCCATTACTAAGGTTCTACGGGTGATAAAAGATAAAGGGCGCATAGGAAATTGCGTAAAAAAATAAATAAGTTGTAAAGATGCTGAAGTGTTTCTTTTCACTTTTTCAATAGGACTTGTTTTTTCATATTACAATATTTTCAATAAATAGTCATGCATACTGTTAGTTGCACTTACACAAGTAAATGTTTTTAAAAAGATCCATACCATATTTACTTATATACTAAGTAATCTCCTCCCTTAAAAACATTACTGAAGACATTAGGTAACAATGATAATACACAATGTACATATCAATGAATGTGAAGAGCAATTTATAACAATGTTCTATGAGTCGATGTTAAACACATTTTACGTGTTTTTAAGTTTCTAAAAAAAAACGATAAAGATGGAAATGTTTGTTTAAATACACTGCCTTAACTAGCACTATGTATAATGGCATTACAATAGGCCTTTTGGTACCTGTTTCTTAATGAATCAATACACTTGAAATAGTTAGCTAAAAATGAAACTTAGTGAGATAAAGAAAGCATTTAAGTCAAAACTGTAGTAAGAAAAAATTCACATGCATCAAAGTTCCATCTTATTCAATGCTTTATAAAGTAACTAAAAATAAAGCTAAGTCTGATGTCATGCACTCTCAAGTAAATACTGTCTGCCAGAAATTGTAAAGCTTTAGAAAATATGAATGTTCTTTCATCAGGGAAAGGCTTAGGTTTATCACATTTTCTTTTTAAGTGGGAGAAAAAAATTCCAAAGGACATTACGAGTATGTATTTGCATCAACTATGAGCAGGAGAATTTAAAATTGATAAAATGCAGTCATAAGATCCACATTTTATGGCAAAACGAAGCAAATTGTGCCTAGAGGCCTCCTACAATGATTCAATACGATTTGTACACAATTTTATAGGTTTTTTTACATTTTTTTTGTAAATGAGCCTTAACTCTTTTGAGGCAATATCATGAGAATAAGTCGAGCGTTGTAACAGTCCTTTGCACTGACTTCAGCACAAGGCATAAAGTGTTTAAAAATGGCGACGTTATAGCCGATCAAAAAACAGTGAAAAGCAGATATCTTAAAGAAGAATTCATTGGTTAGTCAATAAATACAGTGTGTATAAAACTATATGCAGCATAGAAATGAATTTTTTCCTAACTTAATCCATAAACATATCATACGAATACAACTCTCCGACACAATTTGATATTATATAGCTAACTGATAATTTTGATGACATTATAAGACTATACTTGATTTATATTGTAGTGTTATAAGACATGCACACTAATAATTCACGAACGATTCACAAGTTATGCTTGATACATGGAAATACACAAATCTTTATTCATAAATATAAATATAAATGTATAAACATATAAGTTTTATAATAAGCACGTGAATATTAACTTTATAATAATATGAAACGAATGAAAGTGAAAATAACTGAACGTGATAGTAAAAAATCTGAGTCGTCAATTCAAACGTTTTAATAATATTTGTACAAAATACACTTCTTAAATACAGATTCTAGCGAGTGTCAATGATTAAATGACATATTAAACGGCGAGGGAGCTAAATTATAAAGCTATATATCCTAAAGTATTTATAAGAAATTTATTATGTAATATAAGAACCTTTTGTCACATGCATGTGATCAACATACTGTACATCTTGTACACGAAGTTGAATGTAGAAATATTGTTTTTTTTATCTGAATGCACTCGGCTGTGGATATAATATTACATCAGAGTACATTCAACAGTAATCAATAATATCATTGCACATCAAAATTGTAAAGGGATTCATTGTCAATGATGAAATAGTAATTACAGTGAATTATGCTGTAAGGAAACACATAGGAAGGACAAATTATTTGGCTCATCAACCAAATCTCAAAGAAATTTTCTGTTCAGTGCGGAGTATAAAAATAAATTCATAAACACGTAGCAACTAGTTAATGAACAATGAATGAAAATTTAATACACCGTATTTAGTTCTCTAGTTGAAAGACCTATCGATACCAAATCTATGCATTGTAATCTGGTAATATCATCGAATACGAGATTTCCTCCCAAAAGATAAATAATGTTCTCAGAGAACACACAAATAGATAATTACTTCTTGCTCGACACTAACCAAACACGTGACCTGCATGACCTGTAACTTTGCACATCAAATAAAACCCCGCAAACAGGTTGCTCCAGACACAAAAATAATCACGTGGAATTATAATAATAATAATAATAAGGACTTTATTTGAAGAGGGGGACACGTAACAGCTGAAAAGCTGACAAACCTGTGGAAAGCGTAGTTTTCACTCACCATATTTCACCAAGTCCGAATTATTATACATGATGCGGTGTGATATGGTTTGAAAATTACATGCAAGAATCCAACTTTCACCATACATCTAAAATAAATCATTTGGAAATGACATAATGTATCCAACATCAACTAAATTATTTATCTCTTTCGCATTTTAGGTTTTAATTTTTATCAAAATGACCAAATCAGAAATGAATTGGGAGGACAATGTCGACAGCACATATGCTAGCGATTTAGCAAGACGATTTGCCATTGAAGATCTGGCAATGCAATACAGAACCTCTCTAACAAAAGCTGAGAAGATCCTTTCATCTGGTATGAAAGATGAAGAAAAAATGGCTTGGGAGACCCCTCAAGATCCGTCGGAAGAGAACGCTGAAAATCAAACATCGGGAAGAACATGTAATTTTTCCAATGACATCAATTATTGGCCAAATGAAATGGAAGATGACAATGAAATTGACGTAGAAACAGTTGAAGTTGAGCTCGAGCAAACAGCACACTTGCATTCAAGAAAGAGATATTTCCAAGACTGTCATCTTGTTCCTTCTACGCAAAAATTCCATAACCTTAGCACAGTACCCAATCATTCATCAACATTGTTTAAAAACAGTTACGTCAACCATTGGTATCCTTCACACACACATCCATACAACGTCACATACACACCCTCTATATCCTACACATCCTCATCTAGAAACAATGGATATTCCCCCCACAACTATTCCTTCATCCATGACCAAGTTAGATCAAATGTCCTTCGATCGAAAGAGGAAGCGAAAAGAAACTACAGATTCCACAATTACGATAATACGAAAAATCTTATCGCAAACAATGAAGAATCTCGTCAATACACAAGAAATGGGAAAAGATGGCAAATTTTACCAATGCCAGGAATATCACAAGAAAACACTATACCGCAAGAATTTGTAGCCTATTGTGACACACAACAAGAATTTGTAACCAGCAATGAAAAAAGCCAAGCAGTCGTACCCCCAGAAGAGAGCTTGCGCAGTTTAACATTTAAGGAAGAAAAACAACAAGCACGGAAACTCACGGAAGAAAGACCACAGATATTTTATTTGGAGCAGAAACGCCGGCAATATGCGAGAGACGACCCCGAAGCTACACTCCACCCAGTGCTAGATTTTTATCAGCAACTAGTAGCTTTTATTCTGCAAAACCTCGTCGTCATAGCGATGACGCTGTAACAAATTACAATCGTCCAAGTGTCATTGTTATGCGACAATCCAGCAACAATCTGACGTCAACGAAAAAAGAACAGGGATGTCTTCATGACTGCGCATGTCATGAAAATACCGAGTCCGATTCTTCATATACGCCTCCTCTGTCTCAGGAAGGAAACACACCAATTAGTGAGTGCAAAGGTAAAACTCGTCTAAAAATTTTTTACTATTTTTCATTATGATTGAGATGCTCACTCCATTTATGTAAGTCACAAAAAAAATATTTGGCTTAGCGAAAGGACCTGTCAACACAAAAAAAAATAGTCAAGTTTCATGATATAATAGTCGTGTTCATGACGTTTTTAGATGAGAAACCTCACAAATGCAAAATCTGCGGAAGAGCTTTCAGAAAACACAGTGCCCTCGTCATACATCACAGGGTACACAGTGGTGAGAAGCCATACCGCTGTCCAGAATGCTCGAAGAGCTTCTCTATATCGGGAAATCTACGACGCCATTTCCTTATCCATACCGGCGAGCGACCTTACGTTTGCCCTGACTGTTCACGGGCGTTCAACAATCCAAGCCATTTGACTCGCCACAGAAGAAAACTTCACAATACAACATCCACAAATTCTTCTAATTAAAACATAATCCCAACACATGTGAAAGACTAACACACCTACGGATTGTAACATTGTTCTTACAAAATTTTAAATGACACAATATGGTTTCAATGTGAATGATGGTGTTTTTCAAAAGCCATTACCTATTGAATTGAAATAATGGTTGTAGCCATATCAATCAAAGTTTACGTAATTAATTATGCATACTATGATTATTGTATTAATTTAATAGGAATTAGATTATTTGAATTTAAACATGTAGTATTTCCTTGTGTTTACTTGTTGGTAGTCATTGCAAAGTGATTTAATGGTAAATATGTTTCATATGCATTTCATTTTTCACGACTGCAATACTCTATATTTGTAGTTATATGTAGCTGATGAAAACAACTTATAAATCGTATTAGTAAGTATGTACACCCTTATCAATGAAAATTATCGCTGACTTAATTCAAAATTAAACCTGAATGATACAATGCTCAAAAAATGGTCCTAGAACATTGCTCTTCTCCTTTTCGTTGGATGACAAACTATTTCTTTGAAATGTAACTCATGCATGCAATCCATCAAAAAACTATAATTGGTGAAGCAACTTCCACTTATGTGTATTTTTATCTAAATATTCGATGATTGCATTTCGGCAAATTTGTTTGAATAGAAATGTTTCAGAAATTCAAACAAGATCCTATACATCAAAACTACTATCCAAACTCACTGCTTTGCTTAAGATTCGGTAAAATGTGATTAATTTACATCCATAACGTGCATTAAATAACTGACCCGACGTTTACAATGTGCATAATTCAGCAGTAATTGATTCAATTGAAAACAATTTTATGATTGGAATTTGAAACCTATTGTAGATTCAATTATTGTAGCCGTACCCTCACCCTAACCCTCACCCTAACCCTCACCATTGTACTCAAATGCGTTTACGGCGCCTTGGTCAGCAGTTTTTAATACACTTTGTATATTTTAGATTCTTAAAATAATGGTTAAAGAACACACCGACTAAAACGAATTCCGAAGAAGCAAGACATCTTGAGATTGCAAAATATGAATCAAAACAAGACGAGAAGTAAACTGTAAATTTTCGACTTTATTTCAAAGTCATCCTCAGACAGAATGATATTTAAAACCATACATACACATATATATTTACAACGCATGAATTAAAGTAAACGGAAATAAGCAATAGAAATTAAATAGTGTGATATTTACAATGAGTTGGAGAGGTGTAGTATTTCAAAAGGATGAATTGAAACTGCCGACCCGACTGGTAGAATGAGTGTATTATAAATTAAGAAAAGAGTTGTAATTCTTTGCTAGCGTTAAGTCTCGTGTTGAGAAAAGGTTTGTTATGTTTGATGAGTAGTGCTTCAAGAAAAGCAAGAATGTGGTAGTTGTTAGATTTGGTTGAGTGAAGTATTTTATAGTTGTTGAATACAAGGTTTTCTATAGGAGAGGGAGTTCTGGGAGGTGGAGGGAGATCATTTAGTTGTGAGAACTGGTTTTGTAGAGTCGCCAGGAATTGAGCGTTTTCGCACTCAGAGAAATGCTAGCTAACTGCACTAGAAGAGAGTCTGGTTGCATGTTCTCTGAGCCGTACAGACAGGCATCTTTGTGTCATGCCGATGTAGGTTTTACCACAGCCAGGGCAAGTTATTTCGTATATAAGATTACTGCGAGAAAGTGAAGGAAGTTTGTCCTTGTTAGAGACAAAATAGGACAGTTTTTTAGTGTCATAAATAGTAATAAATTTCACCGGTTGAGAAAGATATTTTTGTATTTTCTTAAAACAGGGTTTTAAGAGGAAATCGCCACGCATGCCAAGATAAAGAATACGAACCCAGATTTTAGGTAGATTATCATCTATTGCAGAGCGGTTGTCAATGGAAATAGAATCATTGTATTTGGCTTTTAGTTTTTTAAACAAAAAGTTTTTAACGCTGTTAGGATAACCGTTCCAAGACATGTAAAATTTGATTATTTCAATTTGATTGTTGAAAAGTGTTTTATTGCTACAAATTTTGAAGGCACGTTGGTAAAGAGATTTTACCCATGCAATTTTACGATGAAAAGGTTCGAAGCTAGAGAAATGTGAGTACTGACCAGTGTGGGTGTCTTTTCGGTAAATGTCAGTTCCGTCAACCGAAATTTTTATATCTAGAAAGTGAATTATGCCATCGTGAAATGTATCAACTGTGAATGTGAGATTGGCATCAAAACTATTAAATTTCGATAAGACATCGGAAATATTGGAGGGTTTAATCAAAACAAGCGTGTCATCAACGTAACGGTTGTAGAATTTTATTGTGCCATCATTAATGAGATCGGAAACTATTAATTTTTCAAATTCGGTTAAAATTATATTAGCAAGGACAGGTCCTAACGAGGAACCCATAGAAACGCCGTCTTTTTGGGTGTAAATGGTGTTATTAAAAGAAAAGGCAGTTTTGTTGCAGCAATCTAATATGAGTTTTTTTAATGTAGACTTTTTAAAGTTGTTGAAATTATGTGTTCATCGTAAATACGGTCTAAAATGATTTTGACTGTGCGAGACAATGGAACGTTGGTAAAAAGGGATTCAACGTCGAATGAAACAAATTGATAGCCTTCAGCGAACAGATGTTTAGGAATGTTATAAATATTAGTTACTGCGTCAAAAGAGTCAGAAAGGGAAAAGGAATTTAGAGTGAGAGGATATAGTAGGAAAGATAAAAATTTGCCAACGTTGTAGTGAGGAGTGTTAGTAGTGTCAATTATTGGTCTGAATTTTGGTAAAGTATGATATTTCTTGTGTGTCTTTGGTAAACCATGTGCTCTACCAAATTGTGCTGTAACAGGTTTAAGAGAGTCAAATTGTTCGTCAGTAATTTCACCACGTTTGTTAAGTTTACGAAGGTAGTCTTGAAGAGAATTAAGTCTGGTTAGTGTCGGGTCGTGATTTTAATCATCATTCTGTCTGAGGATGACTTTGAAATAAAGTCGAAAATTCACAGTTTACTTCTCGTCTTGTTTTGATTCATATTTTGCAATCTCAAGATGTCTTGCTTCTTCGGAATTTGTTTTGTATTATACTTCTTTAAATTGTCGGCTGGTCATGGTTTTTGAACACACCGACTGTTCTGGTTGTTTGTACCATGTAAGTGACCAAACTCCTACCTTTTACGTTGTTCTCACTTGACGAGTAAGCAGGATAAACTGAAACCAATGTATGACAATTTGAATACTTCCAATTGATCCACATGTTCATTCATTGCACTTAATTTGAAAACCTGGCAATAAAAAAGTGATATGTATACTCAGTAAAACCTCAGACAAATAGAAACTAACCATAAACAACGATAACAGCTTTGATTTAGCATGCATAGGCCATTTGGCCTTGAAATTTGCGGAGACTGGTGGTAATCGTTATTATTGACAGCTCAACTATACGATTACTAGAAGCATTATTAAATTCAAAGAGGTCTAAAATCTATCGGGTTTAAGGACTTTTCGATACACTGTCAATAACATGACTCGAGCGTCACATATGAAACATGCGTCAGATCAGCATTGATGGTGGTAGTTTTCGTACCATGAAAAAAACTGTCCAAGTAATAAAGCTAACCTGCATAATTACGCTATGTATATTTTGAAGAAATTATATTTAATATCACGACAAGCGCGTGACAAATAAATTGCACAGCTGTTGAAAATTTTCAGTTAAACTCCATGAAGAATAACTATAAATAATTTCTGGAATTTGGGCAGTACTATAAACTCTATAAAATTACAAACAAAAATAGTGAAAATTCTTTAAAATAGAATAGAACAGTGAAGTAGAAAATAAATAAATGAAAATTCTATAGTAAATATTCTATAAACTTTTATTCAAGATGTAATACATGTTTGTCTTTGAAAAAATTAAGTGAAATGTAAAGCAACACGAGAGGTGTACATAGAAGTTACAAGAAATATGTTATTTCAATGAGAGAAGGGAGAAATATGCACTAATTTTTCGAACAGAAATGCGATACTTTAATTCAGCGAATATATTAAAGCATAGTTTTAGGGTTTTAGTCAGATGTCAATGGCAAGCAGAATAAGACAGCTAGAGATCGTCAATCATCCATACAGCAAATAAAATAACGTATTTTTGTCAAGTTATCGGCAAGGTAAGTTTATACATCAAAATATAAATTCACATATTGCACTTTCATCCGTTTGAGGATTTTATTGTGTTTATACTTAATGAGTGTCTACGTGTAAGCTCTGTGAAGTTCAAAAATGCCATAACACGTCATCAAATTTATGAAAAAAAAAGCGAATTCATCCACTGCACGAATAACAAAAAGTTTAACAATTTAAGTGTTCGTATTTGCCGTACTTCCTTTGAAGAAAAAATAGCAGCTTACTTCATTGTAAGACGTAAAAAAATTGTTTAATTTTACCACTGCAAAGTTTGACTTGCATA